AAAGAGCAACTGTCCAGATAAATAAATACATATATATATATTTATATTTTAATTCTTTTTATAAAAATGTGTAATAGGAGATGGATGTGAAAAAAAAACTATCGTAAATATTTATAAGATAGGTGGGAGAGTTTGTTTTTGAAAGAAAATGTTGTTGTTTTTAAAACATAATATTTAAATCAATCTTTCTTCAAATCTTAATTCATCATTAGCTGGAAGTCCAATTAATAATCTGAACAAATTTTCTAAAGCTTGCCTTTGTCTGTTTAAAGAATTAATTGGTTTAAAACCCTTTCTAGTTAATGGGGCCTTTAACCAATAACTTAAGAAAGCTAATACAGGATAAACATTATCATAAGTTTCAGTGTTATCTTCAATACCGTTTTCATCAATTTTCTTGTACGATAATCTTGAAAAAAATTCGGTCATAATAACTAAATCAATAATTAATGGAGTAGCTAATAAAGAATCTTCACAAACGTTATGAACGGAAATTCTATTATGACCACCTAACATTAATTCGGAATAATATTCATCCATGGCAACTTTAGAATCACCAACAGCCTTCATATATTTAATGACAATACAATGATCAACTGGTTTACCACCTTCAACAATAGCATCTTTAGGATATAAGATATCATTAGATTCAATACAATCGTCAATAACAGAACTCTTCGAGATTTCTTTTGATCTAAATTGTTTATGAGAGGATAAATTTAAACCATCATTATTACCTAAATGATTATAAGAAGCAATCGATAATGGTTTAATACCAGCATCAACTAAATATTGAGTTAAAACCGATTTTAATTTTGTTTGACCAGATTTAAAATCATCACCTGCGATTAAAGAATCATTGGCTTCAGCTAATTCAATAAGACCAGGGACAAAAGTATTTTGTGGTGAACCATTAATATAAGGAGTATGTTCTAAAATAGCTGCAGTAGCAAAAATTGTTGAAGGGGCAATTTCTTCATGATTTTCTTTAATTGCATTTAAAATATTTTCTTTAGTATCATTAATACCTTCGATAATTGGAACACATCTTTCAGTATTAGCAGTCCATAAAACGATAACATTATCTAATTTATTATCATTTTTAAATTTTCTAATATCAGCTCTAATCATTTCAACATCATTCCATTTATTCTTAATATTAAATTCTTTTTTACCAGTTTGATGATCAGATGGAATTTCATTTAAACAATTATTTGCTCTATCGTATTGATTCATTGCAATAAAATCAGGATAATAAATTGATTTTAATGGAATAAAATCTTTCATATAAGGTTTTAATTTTGATTGTAAATCATATTCAAGAACTTGAGATCTTTCAATACATTCAGCTAAATTAGCAGAATTAATATCCCAACCTGTTACAATTAAATCGTTTGGATTAACTAAAGGTAAAATTGAATTAAATGGTACAAAGATATCATTACCTTTATTATCAATACCTAATTTAATTGTTGAAGATTGAGTCATTGAGCCTAAATAATTTGGTTGTTGTAAACCTTCTTTGTTATTAAAAGAGATATTATGTTTATTTGCTAAAATTGATGATAGAAATGTTGAACCATTATTACCACCAAAACCGACTAACATAATACCAGTCTTTGGTACATTTAAATTTAATTTAAATTTATAATTTTGTTCAATCGGTTTAATTGAAATTTTTGAAGTTTCGGTATCCTTTGTTACAATGGTATTCTTATAAGTATAATTTGAAGTTAATACATCATTTGAAATTGAACAAAATTCAGGATTGAATGGTATATTACATTCATTAGATTGAGCGGCAGTCATTATACAGAAAATTAATAATAGAAAGGGAAAGAGAAGACAAATGTTATTATTTCTTTGGTTGAACAGATAGAAACTTTAACACTTGATAGTTTATTTTTTCTCTTATTAAAAATACAAAGATCTAAATAAAACATTTTATAAAAAATAGAAAACAGGAGAAAATGATAAAAGAAGGAAATAATTATCAAATTAGTGACAATTACTTTACTTTATATATGAAAATATATTCTTTAAGAACTCACATGGTGACGTAAATAATTCGGAAAAAAAGGTTAAAAGTCTAGACTGTATTCCTTTTTGTTATACTAATCAACTTTCTAATTTATTATACTTTCACATGCACGAATTCAGCTATTAAATTTCACATTCTGTCATGAGAATATCACAGTTTGCGACCTCTTTTTTTCCAATTCTATGGAATGAATTAACGAGGCAAAAGTAAGTTAGTGTAGAGAGAGAGAGAGAGAAAGTAATTATCTATTCAAGAACGGTCTGTCTGTATGTTTTCCACAGTACGAGCATTGTATTAATTAGTGTGACGCTAGACCGGTGATTGAATTGCAAACTCCGAAATATACATATTGTCACTGTCACACCAAAGCCCGTCTGTCGCTCGCCGTCTATTTGTCTGGCTTTTTCTCCACACGCGCGCGGCACCGAACGCCACCAAGAAAGGATGCACCGCAAATCTATTTCAATGCATGTGAAGTATACAGAGTTTAATCATTACAGAAAAATTTCACATGTTAAAATGTGGAGATGATTAAAGCCCTGTTTCTATTGTGGTTTATCTTCACATGGAAAACATAAAGGGCAGACGTGGGAGAGTGTGGGGGAAGGTGAATGTGTTAGAACGGTGTATTGCGAACAATTAAGTACTTTGAGATGGTTTTCTGTGTTGTTTGGGGGGTGGGGGGAATGATTTCGTTTAACGGAATATACTCTTTGTTGTGTCGATATCCATGTGAAAGAAAAGAGTTCTTTATCTTTATGTTCATTGTATCAATTACAGAACATTTCTAAAATTACGCTTTTTAATCTTGGAACAAAAGTTGAGATTTTTTAATCCCAACTGATATCGTTTATACAGTTCTTTAAAAATAAAATTAAAAAAAAACCCTCAGCAGCAATATTTCAATAGTTGTATTGTTCTGTAGTAACAACAAAAAATAAATTATTTAGAGTTGAGATTCTTCTTAAACTAATGTGGTCTGAATAAGGCTCAGCTCGACTTAAAAAAGAAATGGACGCGACCGGAATTGAACCGATGACCTCTTCCTTGCAAGGGAAGCGCGCTACCAACTGCGCCACGTGCCCAGAACTGAGTTTTATTGTGAAAAAGTGTACGCTTTGTTTAAATCATGATGTTCGGGTAACACCAGATGAAAAATTATTATTTCTATTGTTTATGGGCTGGAATTAGTAGTATTGATATGAAACATTGTATTGAATTATAAATATAAAGTTATTCATCAACAGAATAATGTCTTTAGAGCTAGAGATATTATATTTAGATTTACAATTATTATATATCACAGTATTAATATAATACAGATGTAGTATATATATGTTCAAGCATTAGATTGTGAAGGGAAAGTTTCTTGCTAACATAGTACTAGAAGAAATGGAAATTCGACCAGAAAGGAATTGATACTTCAATGTAAGTTTTTTCTATACAACCGTAAGAGAGAGGAACTGACAATCTCTTTTATACAAACAGTTATATGGAGGTGTTTAATTATATATACATGTCTAAAAATTTAAGAGCAGGATCTTAACGGTACTGGCTAACTTTATTTCCCAGTTTAAAAAATTAACTTCATCACATTTTTTTTTAACTCATTTGTTTTCATTCTGAGTGAGCTGAAGCACACATATTGATGTTGGATTCTAATTGAGTGTTCATAATTAAGTAATATTGAATTGAGGATTGATTACTTTGAAGATGACTGTAGTTATAAAGCAAGTTGTTAGTTGCTTTGATCTAAACTTTGTATATCTGTATTGCACTTTGGACGGTAGTAAACCATTCGAGATATTTTAAACCGCAAAAATTTCCGTCACTGAGATATATTATAACATAATTTGTTAGTACATGTGAGAAAGAAAATACTATGGACAGTGAGATTTTTTAAGAAAATTTCCAATCTACATCATAGGTATGAAAATTGACATCAGTTATTCCACAATTCATCGCATCAAACAGAGACAGTATCGTTGAGTTGTAATTATTTATTCAAACTTAGTAATTGAAGGAACTTGATTAATGTGTTTTTGTTATTTCGTTAAACTGATTGATTGTATACTATGGTACGTGGATTTAATTGTTTTTAGTGATATGTGATGTGTTATTGAGATGAAAGAAAATTATTAATACATTCCTATCTCATAAAATATGATACACATATTTTTCACTTTTTATTAAATTTTTATGTTTAGCATTTACTTTGAAATATCCAACTTCTACTGTTCCGGTAAACAAAAAAACAATAGTGACAATATTTTGTATGAAACAAAAAAATAAAATAACATTTTATATAATAACTATCTATCTGAAAGTTATCAAAAATTACATATTATACAACTATTTTTGGTTTTAATTTATATAATTGAATCTTTTATAAATTCAGAAAAATTTCCAAGTAACAGTGTAATATTAACTGACGAATAAAAACGAAGTTATGAGATACTTCTAAAAGAAACAAAAATTTACTTATTCCTTACCTGTAGTCCTTGAAGTAGTCACATTTTTTCCAATTCATAGATAAACTAAAGTATATTACAATTTATTGAACGTGTGCTGAGAGATACATAGATTTGTTTTTAGTAACGTTGATAACCGTACGAAAATTACACAGCCAGATGGTAAGAAGGAACAACAATACCGACTAATCATTCCCTTCAGTTATCATATAATTTATACAAATATACAAAAGTCCAGTAAGCTATCTTCTATATCAAGATTACAACAACTTCTCTATATCCATTCATTACAAAGTTATAGTACTAATCGCCTGAAAATTTGCTCCAATGAACACTTTTTTCAAATCAAATTCTGATTGAAATAAATCTTTGAGACCCACAGATCTGATTCGCAATACATTAACCTCATATTAATTAATGGAAACCTCTTGTGATGTATAAACATAAACGTTTTATATTGTTCCGAGTATATGTTAGCATGGCTATTAACGGAAAAAATATTGGAAAATTATCCCGATGGAAACGGATTTTATATTTCTGCCCCGTTTGAAAATCAAAAAAAATGAATGAAAAGTTTTACGTAGAAAAAATCACACAGATATTTAATCTTCGGTATTTTGGAATCCCTTTTTCTCTCTTTCAAAATACGTGAAACCCAAACACAAAAACTAGTAACATCCTTAACAAAATTAAACCGAGAATAATATGACTAAACTCTTGTTGTAAAGAAAGAAACTCAAAAGAGATATACATATTTAGATGATTTTAACGGAAAACTATCTTACTTTGTTCATCCTGGTTTAATATTAATAGTTCTTGTTTGTAACTCAGTATAGTTTTACTCGAGAAAAAGCATTTTTGTTTGAGTAATTTATAAATACATATTTCTCCTTCTGGTTAGTGTTTTTTGAGAGTCTCCCCTAAACAATCATCGTCTGGTACGTGTTCATTAATATTCATATTAAAATAAAACTAAAATAATAAAAAAAGACACACAAAAGTTTAAAATGGTATTAAAGAAATTAGCTAATGAAAAAGATTTAAAACTTTGTGTAGTCATGGTTGGATTACCAGCTCGTGGTAAATCCTTTATTTCACAAAAGATAGTTCGTTATCTATCATGGTTATCAATCAATTGTAAATGTTTTAATGTAGGAAATTATAGAAGAGTATTAGGTGTTGATAACCCTAAATATGGATTTTTTGATTTTGATAATTTAAATTCTTATAATATAAGGGAAAAAGCTTTAAAATTAGCATTTGAAGATATGTTATCATGGTTTGATGACGCTACCGATAATAAAGTAGCAATAATTGATGCTACTAATAGTACAAGAGAAAGAAGAAATTGGATAATTGAAAATTGTAATAAAAATAATGTTCATCCAATGTTTTTAGAAAGTTGGTGTGATGATTCAGAGACAATTATGGCAAATGTAAAAGATATTGCAATAACATCTCCAGATTATGATGGTATGGATGAAAAATTAGCTGAAGATGATTTTATGAAAAGAATTGAAAATTATCAAAATGTTTATTCTACTTTAAATACAACAGATGATAAAGATGTAACTTTTGTTAAATTAATTAATATATCTCATGAGATTATTATTAATAAAATTCAAACATATTTACAAAGTAGAATAGTCTTTTATGTTATGAATATTAGAATTAAACCAAAATGTATTTGGTTATCAAGACATGGTGAATCTATTTATAATGTCGAACAAAAGATTGGTGGTGATTCTTCATTATCAGAAAGAGGTTTAAAATATGCTTCTAAGTTGAAAAGTTTGATAAAAGAAAATGTTGCAAGTAATGATGAACAAAATTTATCTGTATGGACTTCAACATTAACAAGAACTCAAGAAACTGCTCAATATTTACCATATAAAAAACTAGAATGGAAAGCACTAGATGAATTAGATGCTGGTGTTTGTGATGGTATGACATATGAAGAAATTGAAGAAATATACCCAGAAGACTTTAAAGCTCGTGATGAAGATAAATATGAATATAGGTATCGTGGTGGTGAATCATATAGAGATGTGGTTATTCGGTTAGAACCTGTAATAATGGAATTAGAAAGACAAGAAAATGTTTTAATTATTACACATCAAGCTGTCTTAAGATGCATCTATGCTTATTTTATGAATGTACCAAAGGAGGAATCTCCATGGGTATCAATTCCATTACATACACTAATTAAATTAGAACCAAGAGCATATGGTACAAAAGTAACAAGGATTAAAGCAAATATACCTGCAGTCAGTACTTATAAAGAAAAAGGTACTAGTCACGTTGGTGAAAGTTCATCAGCTAAGGGTTCTCATAATCTTTTAGTTAATGCTCCGGAGATCAATCAGAATTGATACCTAGTAACCCTATTTAGTCCTTTCCTCCTCCTTTATACATACATACATGTATATTTACTGAAGTATGCTTAAACTTCTTTCGTCTAGTCAATAATATGTCGCATTATATTCTTTTATTCTTTTATTCTTTTATTCTATTATTCTTTAATTATTATGTAGTTCTCTGAAATTAGTACACGCACTCTTTGAATAATTAACTAAATTAAGATAGCGAAACCCATTTTAAAATAAAATTGAGCAGGAGACAAGAGGTAATTTAAAAGCAATGGAGTTGTACAAAAAAGAGAAAGAAAAAAGGAATCCATTTTCTACTTTTGGAAGAGCTGTCTACCTGTCTCCGAGTCTCATGCAATGATACTCCAGCGTTGTTTCATGTCGAATCAAACAGTAGGACATGCTGGTATTTTAATTAATTTCATTTCCAATTCTGGATAGATAATTGTAATTATGTGCCTTGTATTTTAATGCTACAACTATTACTCAGTACAACAGACAAAGGTAAGTTAACCTCATTGAAAGTTGAAAAAAATTTAGTCTTCAGTTCTGCGAGTTTTCTCTCGGAGCTTAATGAGAAAATTAATACTTCTTAAAATTAAAGCAAAGAGGGAAATAGTTAAACCTCAAAAATGGGTCAATTAAATATATGAAATAGGTAAAGAGAAATATTATTCAATTAAACGAAGAAATGATAGCACAAATATTAGGAAGATTTCCTGTTTATTATATCAATTGGAAGAGGTAAAAATGATAGAAGAAAAAAAAAGGTATAGTTTTGTTTGAATGATGGTGGTTCCAGTCGTACTAACCTAAGGAACAGAATGGCTTAGATATCTGGAAGTTTTATCAAATTAAAGATATATAAGCCTGGTAGTCATGAGTTTTGAAATTTAAGAACATGATATGCTGCTTAGGAGGCCGAAAGAATCGAATTTAAGGCTTACGTTTTAAAAGAGAATCCTATTATACTTCGAAACTGATCAACCAACGAACAATGGATAGAAATCAGCAAAGCATAAATCTTCAGACTCCGACAAGGTTTCATTCTTCTAAGAAATTACATACACCTCCAAGTGCTGGGTCTACAACACCAAGACACACACCGGGGAAGTTTTTAAGAGCTATTTCAGGTAAAGTGTTTCGCAAATCAATCGATGGAAAACATATTGAAGAACCAGGTGCTCCAGGTCAATTTGTACCAAATGAAGCAAAACCAATTATGGCAAAGAGATCAAAGCTACCAAAACCATTGGTATTGGGATCTCCTATGTCAATGCCACCTAGTGCTAAGAAATTCTCTCATATATCATTGAAATCAGAGAATGATGTAGTGATGCAACAATTACAATCACCTATTGGATTTTCACCAAAACTTCCACCTTCAATGAAGTCAGCAAAATCAAATCGCAGAAATTTAACCAATACACTATTGATCGAGTCCTTATCTCAACTTTCTGAATTACCTCAGAATAAAGAAGATGGTATAGTAATATGGGCAGATGACGATGACGATTACGACGATGGACAAGATATTTTGTCGCCATTGTATTATAAAAAGAATAATCAACGAAAAAGAATCACTAGTTCAATGGGTTTGAAAAAATATATTGGAGAAAATTGTGTCATTTGTGAAGAGAAAGTAAGTAACAGTTTTAAAGGTGAAAAGATAATCGAACTTGATTGTGGACATGCAAGTCATTACAAATGCTACTACATGGCTATGGAAATGTTATACGGAACAGATGAATTGCCAGAGTGTGATATCTGTTTGCAAGAAGCCAGACCAAGTGATAAAGAGACCCTCATTGATATTGAATCTCAGATTCTAAGGAGGACTCAAGAAGAAAAAGAAAATGACGTGAAGCTGGAGGTGGATGATAAATGTGATGGTACAACTATTGCGCAATGGATTCCATTACATTCTGCAAGAGGCTATGGCGGTCGCGGTGACAGATTATCATTAGTGACACCATTGGAACAAATAGTTCTCCCTGCACAAGTGGGTTCAGACGGGTTTAAGACACCTATTATACAAACAGAAGCGCAAGAGTTATCCCTTATGTCAGGAAATGTATTTATTGATGAATTTGATAACGATCAAATATACCAAGAGATTCTAAAGCTAACAGAGGAGATAGATAGTGGAACTTACGATGGAAGCAGTGTATTCGATGTCAATATTGGAAATCCTATTGTTACTTTAGAGAACCTAAATAAAAACGGTGATGACAATTGCAGTATATCAAAGCACATAATGAAAGTGGAGGTTGAAATCCCAACAGATGACGCTGCAACCATGCCATTAAAGACCAAGAACCCCGAACTTGTTGCCAACGATAATGCGAAAGAGGAAAATATTAAAGCATCTCTAACTGAACATACATGTGCACAATATTCATGTCTTCAAAATTTCACTATAGAAAATCCTGAGTCTCATTTATTGATGTTTGACGAAGTTTCATATTCATTAGAAGGGGAACATTGGTTTGAAAAAACTGCACTATTTTATTTTGATGGAGTATTAATCATAATAAACAAATCCAAGGATAACATATGTGGTAAGATTCCAACAGATCAAATTTCTTCAATAACAAAATTGAATGAGAAACCGGGTTTATTGATCTGTTTGAAGAGTACAACTTTACCTGAAATATATTTACAATTTAATGACCATTGTGGTAGCGATAATATGCTTTTGAACAAATGGGAATACTATTTATCACATTTAGAGGAGAAACCACCATTATATTGTGATTGTATCAGTAACACAATGTTTAATACATTACCAAAAGTTTTGAAGAAAGAGATAACAACATTAGATTTGGAGTCTACTTTAACATTACCTTGGGAAAGGTCAAACCATGAAACACCTTGTCGAGTTATTCTTTGCCTGGGTTTATCCCCAACATCCGAAGTTGAGGCGGAAGGTGGTAGTTATTTGGAACAACTTTGTAATACAATCAACGCTGTACGTCAATCCCTTAATCAAAATGACCTCCTCGGGATAGTTCTTGCTGGTAAAAATGGTGCTGGTGTTGCGGATTCAATGTCTGGCACATTTGTTGGTACTATGCCCGTGAATTGGTCAGGTTGGGAAGATGTAATTGATGATATAACGACAGTTACTCCAGGTCTATTTCTAACTCCAGAGAGAGAAAGAATCGCAATGCTTACAACTTGTTGTCGGTTGGCTAGTACTGTTATTGAGAATAACCCTGAGAGACCGGAATATTCAAATCGTGTTATATTAATTCAAGAAATACCGACTTTTGAAGACTTAGGGTCTGCGCGAATTGCAGAGAAGTATGAAATGCGTCTAGAGACCGCTTATAACTTTGAAGTCCTTACAGTTCCCTGGGAAGGAGAAAAAACTACTAAACTTCTGGAACAACAGATTCAAGATTGTCACTCAAGAAATATGTACAACTTAACTGTAAAATTTGGTTCCACAACAGAAAGTTTACAATTAAATTACGGTATTATGGGAGCTGGTTCAAGAAAGATCGTGGAACACTCTTGCGACGATTCTCCTACACAGGAGACATTACGTTCCCGCGTATGCGACGTGACTTGGTACGACATTAAACTCAGAGAACAGGTGTCTAGAAGCGTTCCAGTTAACTATAAATAACGGCTCTAGGCAAAACTCTATGTACAAATCCAGCAATAACGCGCTTAATTCTTTATCTCTTAAAATAGAATCATTATTTTAAATAAAAAAACCCTAGCATTACGTAACGTACTGAAACGTAGTACCATGTTGTGCTTCAATCTGTCTATATGTTTATTGAATTCTTTCTTCATTCATTTCTTTAGCCTTTTCAACATAAAAGGGAACCGCGTTCTTCGAACCTTTGCGTCTTTGCTGTCTTAATGAGGACATTGCCTACCCGAAACGGATTGTTTTTACAGAAACGCGAATTTTCTTGGGAGAATTCGTTGTGCCTCAAATTCTTAGAAGCAGCGCGAAATTCACATTGAGAGAAGTGAAAATATTTTTTTTACGTATTTTGTAAACAATTGATTTGTAAACATGTAAATAGAAAACAATGGTTCATTACTATAGTTGGCAGTTCTTCTATGATGGCTCGTTTGACTTCATTGTCATTATTTATTCTTCCAACAATTTGGAGAACCTGCGAAACTTATATAAATGACAGGTTCAGGAATATCCTTTGTTTGCTAATATTTCTATATTTTCTATTGTGTTACTATTCTAATACTTTTTGCTATTTTTATTTCTTCTACGTTTTATTTTAAATTCAGCGTAACATACCACAGATAAAAACACACATACATATATATACAAAGATGCAATTCAAGAACGCTGCTCTAGCCACCGCTGCCATCGCTGCCACTGCCTCAGCTGCCTCTTCTTCCGTGAAGGGTTACACCCCAGGTGAACCATGGTCCACTTTGACCCCATCTGCCACTCTAGATTGTGGTTTCTCTGCTTACACCTCTTTCGGTATCGCTGTTCAACCAGTCTCTTCTGCTTCTGCTTCTTCCAAGGCTAAGAGACACGCTATCTCTCAAATTGGTGATGGTCAAATCCAAGCTACTGCTACTTCTACCTCTGGTAAGGTTACCACTACTTTGGCTCCAACCACCAAGAAGTCCTCTTCCTCTTCCAAGGCTTCTTCTTCTTCCAAGACTTCTTCCTCTTGTAAGGCTAGTGCCACTCTATCTCCAGCTGATACTTCCTGTAAGAACTCTGGTACTCTAGCTTTGACTCTAAAGGACGGTATTTTAACCGATAACAAGGGTAGAGTTGGTTCCATTGTTTCTAACAGACAATTTCAATTCGATGGTCCACCACCACAAGCTGGTGCCATCTACGCCGCTGGTTGGGGTATTACTGAAGAAGGTAACTTGGCTCTAGGTGAACAAGATGTCTTCTACCAATGTCTATCCGGTGACTTCTACAACTTATACGATGAATCTATTGCTGAACAATGTTCTCCAATCCATTTGGAAGTTGTTGAATTGATTGACTGTTAGATATAGGGTTTACAGACAAAATAACAATAAACGGTAATATATAAATATTAAATTAATTTTCTAAAAAAAGAAAATAAAATAGTAATGGCATAATAGCATTTTTTTATATTAAGATGTCTAAATTTTCAAATCTCAACTTATGTAAAATAAATAAATGAACGAACATCACAGAAATAGAATTATAAACTTTTTTTTTACAATTTAAAAATTTGAATATAATTACGTAAATGAATAGATAAAGAACCTTTTTTTCTTTTCGATTTTTCTTTTCATTAAAATAAAAAATTGTTACCTAGATTATGTAATGAATATACAAATTTAGAAAATGTTTCTATTATTAATCAATAATATATATTTATTTTTTTCACTTTATGTTTAGGATATTAACAAAATAAATGACTTTTAAAATAAAAAAATAGTCAAATGTGTTTAAAGGAGGAAATATAGTATAACAAAATAACCGGGAGAATTTAGAGAATGTCAGTGTGATGATAATTCAACGTCAATCAATTAAGAACGAAAAACGAAGACAAAAAAAAATTGATCAATCAAGCAAATTCTAAGATATGCAAATAAAAGTGTGAAAAAAATAATATATTAATCAATTAAACGTGACACCAGCACGTAAAGCAAATCCCTAACCCTTATGTTACTTGTTTCTTTTTTTAGTTTTTTCCTTTAACAACTTATACGAACAACAGCAACTCAATGCTTAAAAATGTGGAAATTAATAAAAGACTCCAATCAAATTAAAAGATTGGAATGTTTTGGTTTATCATGTAGAAATGTTTTAAAAAAAGGATGATGAGTTAAAAATAACAAAAAAAAACAGAAAAATATTCTCTTTAATTAATTTTCTTAACAGTCAACCAAGTCAATGGCGGATAGATGGACTGGGGTACATTGAGAACCAATGTGTTCATCGTATAAGTTGTAGAAGTTACCAGATAGACATTGGTAGAAGATATCGTTGTCACCAATAGCCAAGTTACCTTCTGGAGTCAAAGACCAACCAGCGGCGTAGATGGCACCAGCTTGTGGTGGTGGACCATCGAATTGGAATTGTCTGTTAGCAACAATGGAACCGATTCTACCCTTACCATCGACTAAGATGGAGTCCTTTAGAGTCATGGATAGAGTACCGTTGTTCTTACAAGAGACAGCGGTGACTGGGTCAGAAGAAGTAACATCATCTTCGGTAGTTGTAGTTGAACCAGTTTCGGTGGACTTGGTAGAAGCGGTAGTAGCTTGGACTTGACCGTCAGTGATTTGAGAAGCAGCGGTAGCAGAAGCCTTCTTGGTAGAGGCTTGAACTTGACCGTCAGCAATTTGAGAAGCTGCAGCGGCAGTAGACTTCTTGGTAGCGGTGGTAGCTTGGACTTGACCGTCACCGATTTGAGAGACAGCGGCAGCAGTAGTCTTGGTGGTAGCAGTGGTAGCTTGAACTTGACCGTCAGCAATTTGGGAGACAGCGGCAGCAGTGGTCTTCTTAGTGGCGGTGGTAGCTTGAACTTGACCGTCAGCAATTTGGGAGACAGCGGCAGCAGTAGTCTTCTTGGTAGCAGTAGTAGCTTGAACTTGACCGTCACCGATTTGAGAGACAGCGGCAGCAGTAGTCTTCTTGGTAGCAGTAGTAGCTTGAACTTGACCGTCACCGATTTGAGAGACAGCGGCAGCGGTAGTCTTGGTGGTAGCAGTGGTAGCTTGAACTTGACCGTCAGCGATTTGAGAAACAGCGTCTCTCTTAGCCTTGGAAGTAGCAATAGAAGTGGAAGAAGCGGAAGAAGAAGAAAGACCGTAAGTGGTACCGTTAATAGCGGTAGTGATTGGTTCAACGGCGATACCGAAAGTGGAAGCATAACTGGTTAGACCACTCTTGTAAGTAGCAGATGGAGTTAAAGTGGACCATGGTTCGGATGGAACGTAAGCGGCCATGGCGGATGTAGCTAGAGCAGCGGAAGCTAGAGTCTTCTTGTATTGCATCTTTAAAATATGTATATGTGTGTGGTTTGTGATTGGTTTAGAATACTGAGCTTAGTAGAAAAGAAAAGATATATTTAAACAGAAAAGGATTTATTAGTAAGTAAGAAAGAAATAAGGTAGATCAAGTTTACTGATAAGTTTATAAAATGTTTATTGGTTTATATACGTGAGTGAGAAGAAAATTGGAAAAAAAATCGTTTCGAGTGTCAAAGTGGTAAAAAGAAATATTTGAGCTTTCAAAGTGGCTTTTCTCCTACTTAATGATTTCTTTTCCCAAAGTAAAAATAGTTTCCCACTTTCTTTTTGCCTTCCTTTCTCATAACAAGATGGGTATTTCCCTCTTCGAAAGGAAAGAGAATGGGAATATATTAAATTATTTCCAGAGAGGGAAAAAGAAATACAAGGGACCATTACACCCCCCAGCTCTTTCTTTGCACGGGGCAAAACCTAGTTAATAATCTTAAATGGTTTCAAAGACAAATGTCCACTTCTACCTTCTATTGTTATCACAGTGTGTTTCGCATAATGCAAGTTTTCTGTTGCTTAACAGAGGAAGCACAATTTTTTTCAATTTACTCCAGATGAGGTAAATAATAATAAATTAGTGGAAGAAGAAGGTCCTTAATTATGTGGAATGCATAATAGTTTATTCCTTTTTCTGAAATGTAATTGAAACAATTACTGGAATTTGTGTGTGTGGGTGGGAGTGATTAGCAGGCGAAGTAAACGGTCTGGTATGTGTGTAAAATTTTTTTTATGTAATTTTATTACCGTAAGCAGTATTCAAATTGACAGCTGTTTCTTTTTTCTTTTTTCTTCTTCTTGATTTTCTAATCCGGAGGTCTCCCACAAATGTTTGTGTGTGCGTGTCTCTCATTAATAGAGAGGGTTTTATCATTGTCAAAGAAGAAAAAAAAAGTAGATGGTCGTTGCACAGAGATGCCTGCAGAAGAACGGAGAGTTGCAATAGTTTTGTTGGACAGAGTGGGGAGCGGTAGAATTGAAAAAATGGAAAAATAATTTGAATTCTCTTTGTTTGGCAAGAAGAACGGAGCAGAGATGATAGGGGAAGCGGGGATTCTGATAGCTTTTTTTTTTGTTTACTTGATCGGGATATGATATGGGCGATACTTTTTCCTGATTTGGAGTTCGGCCAACCAACTGTTTTTTTTTTATTTTGGTTAGTTTCTCGCACTGCGCACTTTTGAAACGATGCAGGCGAACATCATGGTGTACGACGTAAAATTTGTTGTTTTCTCATTTTGTGAAAAGAAACGAACGGAAAAAAAGTACAAGGTGATAGAAGAAGATATTCCGAATCGGGCAAAGAAATTGCCCGAGAGCCAAAGAAATACTACTTGAAAATCATATTTTGACTACCCGAATAGGGCAACGCAGAGTTAAATGAGATTTGGTGGATACGTTTTTTACGAAGCGATGGAAGTTTTTTTTTACTTATAATCCGTTCACTACGTACCATACACAGATTTATTTGATTTGCTTTTATTATTAATTCACTCAAGCAACAGAAAATTAAATTTACTTAGCGTTGCATTCGCTGCCATGAAGCTCAAAAACGCACAGTTAGATGGAAAATTGACGGATTTAACAGATTTCCATATATTTTGAGGCTTGGCGAAGTTCGTTTATCTAATAAGAATTATAATACCAATACTAATATTTATATTTATCCTATTTCAGTACGAAAACTTAAAAGAGGATTGATCGGATTTATAACTTATTTTTAAATGACAGGATGAGATAAAGTAAATTAAGTCAATTTGTATCAATCGATAACCATTAAAGTATCTTAATCTATCTAAAATTACTAACAGAGATAAACTATGCTTTATCTGGAAAAGAAAACAATAGTAATAAGATAACAATGGTTATTTTCAATCCCACCCCGTTTATTTATTTATTTACTTAAATTTGATCTCTGTCCACTCAGCAAAAAAACAAAGTAAGGGATTCACCAATATGTATATGTATTTTTACTCTGATTCGCAAGAATATAATAAAACTCAATGAGTGCAATTCGTGGAATAATGGAAACATAATTGATCTCCTCTTTCGATGATATTGTTTATTGTATTCACAAAAGAATCAAGAATAAACAATAATACCTCATTCTTTCTATGAATTGTATTGTTCTTTAAAAATAATCCAAACTGTTAAGTTTGTATTAACTATTGTCTTATAAAGAAAAGAAAATGTCGGTTTTTCTGTTCAATATATAAAATTAATCTAAAAATAACTTCCTCTTGACTGGGAGACGGAAAAGAAAAATGTATCCCCTGACTCCCGACGGAGTCATCTCCGACGACAAATCCCAATTTCTCATTGCGCGTGAAAAAGCGGTCACATGTAAATATCACATCCTACGAACTTGTTCAATAATAATTCTTTTTCGATAAAAAAAAAATTAGGAATGGCTGGGTTTATCTTTCTCTCTTTCAGTGCGCGGATCTTACATTTTGGTTGTGCTGTAAGGAGGCCGCACAAAAATGGTTAAATTCATTATAAAATTCATAGAGTTAGCACTCTGATTACTTAACAAGGGAAATATTGGAATTAGAAAACCCAGCAAAATTCCTACCTAAGATCCGCTCATTTATTTTTATCGAGGGAGATCACCTTTTTAGCGATATCACCCAGCAATATATTTTCTGATGTCATCATGGCTGACATATTACGCTTAATTATGCCCCTCATCTTAATCACAAAATAATTGTTATTACCTTCAAAGACTCTCCATCTTATTTTTTCTCAATAACTAACGAACTATTGTAAAGTAAAACATGTAACAGTTTGAATCAATAGTATCGGACTTTTTCATTTTGGCTTTCTAAATCAAATGATTTACAGCCATCTTTTTTTCTCTCTCTTTCCTCTTTGATGCAACAATGTCAAAAAAGATACCTATGCTCAGCTTTACTCAACCCAGCAAATAAGAATATTAATAAAACTAAGCACTTTAATTAATTCTTTATTTTCTTAATCAGGATGTAACGAATCATGATTTTTCAAAACGTATATAAACTCAATGAAAATTCTTCTTATTGTAATATTTTCAATTCCATTTATTCTTTCTCAATTCTCTTTATACTCATAGAAAAAACCATCAACAATCATCTGATACAACAAATCAACAAACACTCCTCTTTTTTAAACAAAATATGCAATACAAGAAAACTTTAGCTTCTGCTGCTCTAGCCACTACCGCAATGGCTGCTTACGCTCCATCTGAACCATGGTCCACCTTAACTCCATCTGCTACTTTCAAGAATGGTCTAACTGACTATGCTTCAACTTTCGGTATCGCTGTCGAACCAATCACTACCAGTGTTAACACTGTTGCTTCTTCTACTACCACCAAGGCTAAGAGAGACGCTGTTTCTCAAATCGGTGATGGTCAAATCCAAGCTACTACTAAGACTACTACTACTTTATCCAAGAAGTCTACTGCCGCCGCTGTTTCTCAAATCGGTGATGGTCAAATCCAAGCTACCACTGCCACTAAGAAGACTTCTGCTGCTGCCGTTTCTCAAATCGGTGATGGTCAAATCCAAGCTACTACAAAGACTTCTGCTGCCGCCGTTTCTCAAATCGGTGATGGTCAAATCCAAGCTACTACAAAGACTTCTGCTGCCGCTGTTTCTCAAATTGGTGATGGTCAAATCCAAGCTACCACCAAGACTACTGCTGCCGCTGTCTCTCAAATCGGTGACGGTCAAATCCAAGCCACAACTAAGACTACCGCTACTGCCGTTTCCCAAATTGGTGATGGCCAAGTCCAAGCTACCACTGCTACCACCAAGACCACCGGTACTGGTTCTACCACAACTACTCAAGCTACAACTAACTCCTCTGACCCAGTTTCTGCTCAAGCCTGTAAAAACAATGGTACTCTATCTATGACTCTAAAGGAAGGTATCTTAGTCGATGGTAAGGGTAGAATCGGTTCTATTGTTGCTAACAGACAATTCCAATTCGATGGTCCACCACCACAAGCTGGTGCCATCTACGCTGCTGGTTGGTCTATGACCCCAGAAGGTAACTTGGCTATTGGTGACAACGATATCTTCTACCAATGTCTATCTGGTAACTTCTACAACTTATACGATGAACACATTGGTTCTCAATGTACTCCAGTCCACCTATCCGCCATTGACTTGGTTGACTGTTAAGAGATTGAATAAAATTTAGCATCGCATATTTTTTTTTTCAAATTTCTTACTTTTTAAAACATTTCATTAACCTTGAAAAGGAATTATTATTTTTTCTATTCGTTAAAAAATTCTAGCCTATTTCATAAATGGTTAAAAATTATGATAAAATTCATTGCATTTCGTTGTACACTAGTCATTTCTTTCTTTACAAAAACACAAGGGTGTTTTTTCTGCATTTAAAAATTGAAGAACGCAAAATAAATTAAATAAGACAACATCTTTTTCTTTATTTAAAGTTCTTATATTGGAAAGTGTATTTCAACTATATCTTTATATTTAGATATATACATATATATTTTCCGATTAGTTAACTATATACAAAAATGTAGATTTTTCTACTTATGGTACTTATATAAACTTTTAATAACATAAAAAATAAATTTAAAAAACACAAATGGGACTTCTTCTTTCTTTCTTTAAATTAGCAAAATATAATTTTACTCAATTTTTATATTATCCTTTTTTAATTCTTTCAATCTTAACCTAAAGGCGAAGTATAAGATAATTGGGAACATTACAGAAGTACCTAAGGAAGCTCTATACATAAAGGAGGTTTTACCAAATTCACTATGCATAATATTGCTTAATTGAAATAAAAACCCTGACCCAATTGCAACTTGAGAAAGATCACCATATGTCAATGTCCTCAGGACAGTCATTGGTTCAGACTCTTTTTTACCATCTTTAGATACAGATTTAAATATCCTGTTTGGAGCAGTTCTAATTAATTCAGAGATAGATTCACCCTTTTGAGGGGTAAGTGGGGCAGTATCCTCGAAATCACGTACTGTGGTGACTTCTTTGTAAATGGACCATGCACCAAGGGAATACAACGATGTGATAAAAATATTACTTGCTAAATTTGATTTTGATCCTTTAAATGTAGATTTGGTAGCATTCCCAAGGGAATTTTTAGTTGCCGCTTGAAATAATAATCTAGTACTGAACATATTTAATATGGATATGTATATAATGCGAGGTTGACTTCCTTTTATAATGTCTTGACACTGTGCTCTTAAATTTTGGCTCCTTAGTCTTTTAAGGGGTGCTAGAGCTTATTATACAAAATGTCATTTGTTCTATGAAAATTACTGTAAGTTTACCATCTCCGCGTCTAAACAAATGCTTTCCACTATGTATATTTTTCACTGCAGGCAAAAAAAAACAAATATTGTGAAACATGCGATGAGAGGGAAAATAGAAGTCATCGATCAACACGTACATATCTACCATGTTTAGTAAAACCAACTTTAGACTCAATGGTTGAAGCTGTTATGCATTGCTCTTGCTAAGGTGGATGAGTTATCTTAGGTTTCAAAGAACATATATATCAAAATTGCAGCGTCGCCGTGTTATTTCTGAGCTTGTAATCTTGTGAAATAGTAATAGAGATATATATTCGGTAAGGAACAATTCCAATTCGCTTGAACGTTCCAGTAAATGTAGTGTACCCTGTGTATGGGAAATTTGTAATTCTTAGTTTAATGATAACTTTTAAATCAGATCCAAATTACACCCAATATATACATATTTATCTATCGAGGCCCTTCAAAAAAAATCGTTACTTATAAGCTCTATTTTTACATTTTCATATAAAAATAAAAACAAAACTGTCAAAAGAATACCATTCAATATACACACATATACAAATACAGTGAGGGAAAAAAGGAGTAAAGGGAAATTTCCTAAAAGAGGAAGAAACCGGGATACATAATTACAAACATACACACACTCACACACACACTCTCACACACTCTCACACACATATCCTCGAACAGTGTCATGTCAAAGGAGAATGAAACAAAACTTCTTTCTCTCGATGAGACTACATGGTATTCTGTTTTAGGTTTAACTACAGCAGCTACTGATGTTGAAATTAGAAAATCATATATGAAATTAGCTAAATTGTTACATCCAGATAAATCAAAAAGTGATTCAAGTGCAGAACTATTTAAAGTCGTAGTGAATGCACATAGTATATTGACAGATACGGGAAGAAGAAATGAGTATGATACGTTGCTTAGAAGTCAAAATTTATATCATTATGACCCTCTTGGAACAAAATCATCATCTTCTTTAAAGCAAGCCAGGAATAATCAACCACGGAAAGCAAAATCATATGACAAACAACCATATGGATTTGGATTCAGTGATAAGAAAAGAGAGAATGGAAATACATCCCCTCCAAAGAAATCTTCTGTACCAATATTTCAGTCGTTTAATATGAAGAATTATCAAAGAAGTTATAATAAGAAAGAGGAAATGAATGAGGAAAGAAAGGAGTACATGAGTAACAAATTTAGAGATACACCTGTAGAACAACCTAGTGCAGTAGACAACGAAAGTGATTCAAAGAGAACTATGGATGAGGATATAGTTTTAACTGATAATGAAAAAGAGACTCATGAGACACCAACAGATGAAACAATAAACACGAATGAAAAAGATGACATTGAGATAAATGAACCACAAAATATGCATAAAAGAACCAAAATGGGGGTACCATTACCAAAAAATGAGAACTCAAAAGATACAGGGTTCACATCTTGGAATCATGACGCTAGACGTTCAGCAAGAAACAAATCAGAGATACGGCAGCAAGCACGAAGATCGACATCTCCAGTCAAGAACACCCCACTTACAAATAGTGATCTTCATGATACCTTTACCTGTGGAATCAATGAGGTGATCAACAAGATGTACAATTCAATGAGAAATGGATCTTCAGAATCGCCTTCATCACCATCACCATCTGAGAATACTTACGAGGAACCAAGGTTATCTTCCAAGAGAGGGCAACCCAGCACTACTAGCACCACGGACATTAATGAAGAACGAGTTGATTTAGACCCTATATTCAATATGGGTAATATGAATGATACAATAAGATCAATACCTATGTCAAAGAAGGTCAAACTATCTACGGAGTATAATGGTACCACTAGAACAGAGAGTATACATGAACCTGTCAACCAAACATTACCTAGATATTATAAGAAGGATTCAATGTCCATGAAAGAAACATTTAGTATTAATCGATTAAATGAAATGATGGTAGATATTCCTCATTTCATATTACCTGAAATAATGGAAAATATTACTTTATATCAATTAGAGACAATTAGACAAGAACTTACCAATTTTAATCAAATTTGTAATGAGATTAAGAATAAATTGTTAGAATTATATTCTAACAAGATCAAACATGATATAGCTCACAATTCTAAATTATTCAAAATTGAAAATCAACATTTCTTACAAGAAGGTAATAATTACAACAATATAATCATTAACAAAATCTATGAAATTGAACAAGCACAACATACTGCTATCGAACAATATCTTAAGATTAATGAAAGACCTTAACCATGGAGCAAAATATTAAACAACAACAACAACAACAAGAGGCGATATTTGTTGTCACGCATCATAGACTCTATTTCTCAATTAAGTAATGAATCCCCTACATAGCATTAGCATCTCTAAAATAATCAGCATAAACTTCTTATTTTTACTTTCAACTTACCAGAACCTTTTCATTAAAAGCGGAAGCAACCAAAAATGTCAAAGGTGAATAAGAAAAAAGGTCTAGCGTTAACTGTATCCCAATTAGGATTATAATTTAATTAATATTCGTACACAATTGATACACTCCAAAAAAACAAACAAGCAAAAAAGATGGGAAAAACATAGCAAAAGAGAAATGAATAGACAGGAACATATTATGATATAGCACAATTTCTTCATTCCATGCATTAAGTAATGTGAATCAAATAGCATCTCTTCATTTTGCAAAGGAACCAAGAACAACGAACGACAAACAATTCGGAAGTAAGTCATCCATTAGTGTCATTGCCAAAAAACAACAACAAGTATTAGAACTTATAACGTAATTTTTCAGCTAAATATTTGTTTTTCTGGTTGCATCGAATCGAAAATTGGGAGACAAAAACCGAAAATAAGTTTAAAATAATCTTTAGAGAACAGAACGAATTGAATAATTATACTCTTCTCCATATGATTAGCGTAGAGCTAATTAATATCTTTTTTTTTTCACATAAGGACGAATATACGTATAACACCTCGATGCAGTTTAGATATTAAGAACCATTCGTACATATATTATTTGTTCTACCTGTAGAGCAATTTTTGAAAAAACGAAAAAGAATAACAAGAGACACAGTAATTGACCGCAATTGAGTAAACGTTGTATTGGTAATTACTTATCTTATCCTTTAATTAAAGAAAAAAAAAAAGCAGAGAATGTTACGAACCCAGCCAGTCGATGCCGATACAAAACTCCAGTTTATTAAAAACAAGCTGTAGGTACAAGCCCAAATAATTCATAAATTAGAACAAATATATTCTTAATTTCTTTCATAACCATTACAAAATTAAATATTTCACTTTGATCCCATCTTAAATTGTAAAGATTAAATAATTAACATAGTATGTTAATTACTGCTATGTGTGTGCTATTGGTAATTGTTATTAAAATTAGTAACAATTGAAGCTTGATTTAACATCTACGTTTAAATGCTAAATCCATTACACAGACACACAGAGAGAGAGAGTTAGATAAGTTTGCGTAGCAACCCAGACAGATATTATACCGTACGGTATTTTATTACATAAAAGTGAAAACAAAATTTTTCAAGGCAAATTTTTTATTTTGTCTGTGTTTGTGCTTGTTGTACTAATCTGTCTAAGCTTAATGCAGATGCCTAAATTGCAGAGATTTCGATGTCGATGTCTCTGTAAAAGGTGAATAATGTTATGCAGACAAAGCAATTATCTAAGGCTTCTTGTACAGTAAGTAAGAGAGTAAGAGAGATACAAATAAAGGGAAGTTGGAATTTTGTTACTTTAAGAAAACATGAACAAAAGGAGAAAATATTCAAATTTCATTCTCTCTTTCATTTTAATGGTCAAATTAACCAAGCCAGAAAAAAAAAATAGTAAAAAAAGAGGATCTCATTTCATTTATCTAACTTGCAGAGTAAATTAATTTAGTGGTTCTTTGATTCAAGACCGACAGCAAAAAAAAGAATAATAAGATAATCTGTGTATTAATTGATATCAAAAAACAACACAAGCTGAACTAACTAAACCACTAAATACCAGTATATATATATTCTATAATATCTCGTTCCTTTCACAAAAGAAAATCACAATCATATTCATCGCCATTCAGCTTTTAACAGCTTTCTTGCTTAATTTCCAGTTTTTCTTTCGTATTAGAAAAAGCCATTTTTTCCCTATTTTTTGCACTCTTTCTGTCGCATCATAGTAAAACCATTCAAGATATTCCACTTTTTTTCTCTTTTTCGTTTTATAATACTGCTAATTCGAGGGGTACCCACATACATATCCAGAGAAGGAAAGAGAACAAGAGTGAGTGAGTGAACAGAAGAAACTGAAAAATAATATTCATTTCTATTTAACTCATCTCTTTTTAAAGATAATTGTTACTACTTATATTAACATTATTATTTTATTACTATTATAAAGTAAAGTTATCATAGCATACATACGATAGAAGCATAGAAGCATAATATTCACACACGCACACACACACATATATATATATATAATGTACATCGATCCTCAAAATCATAATAAGGATACACATTTAGATATTATTGATAAAGTTCCTCATGGGAATCACGAACAATCCCCTAAACCAGTGGATGAAAATCGTAATTCGAAAGAAATTAAAGAAAACAGTAATAATCAAGAGGAAGAAGAACCTACGATTACAATGGATGAAATAGGTAGAGCCATTGAGGAGTCCGAAAGACGACAAGGGAATGATACAGAGGAAGGACTTGAAAGAAAGAGACTAAATGATGAAATGCGTAAAGAATTAATGACACAAAGTAGACCAACTTCAGGTAAATACAGTTTAAATGATTTTCAAATACTGCGAACTTTAGGAACAGGTTCATTTGGACGTGTTCATTTAATTAGATCAAATCATAATGGAAGATTTTATGCATTAAAAGTATTAAAAAAACATACAATTGTAAAATTAAAACAAATTGAACATACAAATGATGAAAGATTAATGCTTTCTGTTGTAAGCCATCCATTTATTGTTCGATTATGGGGTACATTTAAGGATTCAATTAATATATTTATGGTAATGGATTATATTGAAGGTGGTGAACTATTTTCATTATTAAGAAAATCTCAAAGATTTCCAAATCCTGTTGCAAAATTTTATGCAGCAGAAGTTTGTCTTGCTTTAGAATATCTTCATAGTAAAGATATAATTTATAGAGATTTAAAACCGGAAAATATTTTATTAGATAAAAATGGTCACATTAAAATTACAGATTTTGGTTTTGCAAAATACGTACCAGATATAACATATACATTATGTGGTACCCCGGATTATATTGCACCTGAAGTTGTAAGTACAAAACCTTATAACAAAAGTGTAGATTGGTGGAGTTTTGGTATATTAATTTATGAAATGTTAGCAGGATATACACCATTCTATGATTCAAATGCAATGAAAACTTATGAAAATATTTTAAATGCAAAATTAAAATTTCCATCATTTTTTAATGAAGATGCTCAAGATTTAATAAGTAAATTAGTTACAAGAGATTTAAGTGAGAGATTAGGTAATTTACAAAAAGGTAGTGAAGATGTTAAAAATCATCCATGGTTTAATGAAGTTGTTTGGGAAAAATTAATAACAAGAAATATTGAAACACCATATGAACCTCCAATTCAACAAGGTCAAGGTGATACATCTCAATTTGATAGATATCCTGAAGAAGAATCTGATTATGGTACTACAGGCGAGGATCCATATGCAGAACTCTTTAGTGATTTCTAGTTGACAAAAACAACAACAAAACCCAAATGTTTTATAACTATCATAACAACGACAATAATAATATTACAACATCTAATACCATTCATCACTAACAAAAACAAAACAAATTCACTACTCTCTATGTCACTCAAATAAGTCAAGAAAAACAAACAAACATAATATTGTTGACAATATACAGGTTTATATAGTTATATTCTTTATCTAAATTAAATCAAGAACGAAATGCAATGAAACGAATCATTATGACGTATTCAGAGAAAGTCTTCTACGATATAGAAAACAACATTCTATCTCTCTCTAATTTTTTTTACCGTTTATAATAAAATAGTATGCGAGTATTTTGATTACGTATTCAAGAATATCCAATATGTGGCGTAGTTAGCAATCCTCAACTACTGCCAATCCTATTTATATCTATATGTCTCCCTTTGTATTGTTGTTAACAGTGGAAAAAACCAAAAGATGCATTGCATCGCCTTCTTTATTTCTCAATTCAATCACCACCCCAAAACAAATAGAGAGAGAGAGAGAGAGAGAGAGAGATGAAAAATTTATTATTAACAAAAACAGTGCAACTCGCTCTTCGGAGACGTTCAAGCGACGTAATTTTGTGTTTTTTTGCTAAAATTTTCATTTTCAGTGAGAGACTGCAAGAGAGATACACAGACGGTTACTGTTTATAGTCGAGAGATATTGTTTACTGCCTGGGAGGAAGGAGAGAGAGAGAGAGAGAGAGAGAGAGACAAGAAAGGATTCAGGGTTTTCGCTGATGATGATAATGGGATGATAGTAGTTGTGTAACTTTTTAAAGTAATCAATGTAATATATACTTGGATCAAAGAATAAATTAGGCATTTATTTTGAGTAAGTGAAACGAACTTCCTAAAGTTTTGATCGTTAGCTTGTTTTGTTTTTTTTGTTTTCGCTAATCCTGATTTTAAGTTCAATATAAAATATTAATAAATAAGAACAAAATTATATTGAGCATTTAAGGATATTTTGGTTTTGTGGCGAAATAGAATTACAAATACCTGAATTATTAAGAAATTAAAAGATAAATAAATAAATAAACTGATTACGAATATACTTTGAAAGTACGATAAATAAATAAATCATTATATTTATTTGTACAATAGATATTCTAGAAACATTTTTTTTCCCTTATTGATTTGATTTCGGTTCCATTATTTTAATAAAGTGTTTATTTCTTTTACAGTTGACCCTTATTCTTTTTGAAAATCCCTTTATTAAAAAAATTTCCCATCGATTTTATTCAAACATAGCATTCATTTATTTCTCGATTATTGTAAATAAAAAAAAAATCAGTTATTCTTTACCAGCATTTATTTTTTTCTCCCCTTTATATTGAACATTTTTTTTTTTCCTATTTATTAATTTTTATTCATTTTTTGCATTATAAATCACATATTTTTGTTTCTTTAATATGACATTAAGTTCAGAAAGAAGAAGATCACGTAGTTCTTCAATTACAAGAGCTCGTTCCTTTTCCGCATCTATTAAATCTATCTTTAAATCAAGTCATAAACTTGATGATGAAGAAGATGAAGAAATAGATCCAAGAGAATCTATTAAATCTTTTTCAACTCGTTCAAGACAACAATCACCTGCATCAACAAGAACTATAGATCAAAATAAAATACTTACAAAACTTCCTGAGGGGAAAGAATCAAAAGCATTAAATTCAAGAAATAATAGTAATCGATCAATGGGACCACCTCAAAGTGCACGTACCATTAGTCCAACATCAACTAGAAAAAATAGTAGATCAGCTATATCACCAACAAGAGCAATGTCAATCAAATCAGAAGAATCATATGTATCTGATGAAGATAATATGATGGATAAAGTTGCATTTCCAAAACCTGAAGCATTTTATGAAAGTGATACAGATTCTGCAATAAGTACTATCGATGAAGATCGTATACCGAGAGGTAGAGAAAGAGGTAGAAAAAGTGATAGAGATAGAACAAGAGCTCAATCAATTAATACTGGAAGTATATCAGAAGAAATGAATGATCTTTCTATTGATATGATGTTAGAATCAAATAACTTACCAAGACGTACAGCATCTACAAAATCTTTCTCTGTAAGATCTACTAGGCCAACAGCTGAACAAAGTAATGGTACATCAATTCAACCTACAAGACAAAATTCAAGCCATCAACATAGAAATAGTACAACATTTAATTCAAGAAATGGAATGAAAACTGTACCAATATTAGCATCTCAATCATCATCATCAGCATCTAATGTCAGTAGACATAATAGTACCAGTAAAGCTAGGTCAGCTGGTAATTCTAATAATAATGATATTAAGAAATCAAATTCATTAAGAAAAGTTGATTCTGCATCTTCTGTATCATCAATGACAGCAAGAGAGAATAAATTGGGAAGACCAAATATACGAGGAAGACCACATGCTGATACTGTATCTGCATCTAATTTACAACATTATCATAATTCCAATTGTTATCATTCCCCAAATGATGATGCTAAATGTATACTTTCAGTAGATAATTTTAAAGTCTTTGAAAATGGAACACATGAACATAATCTGAAAACTATATCATTGGTACATGGTTCTGGTGATGGATCTAACTTAAAGTCTCTTGGTAGTATGTTTTCATTCTCTGGCTTTTTTAAACCACATTCTAAAGTCGATGATAATTCTTCGATTCCACATGAAAAGGATGAAGATCGTCTAATACATTTTAAAGATGCTATATCTTTGATCCCAAAGAAGGCTATACACAGTACAGAGGTTCGTTCGAGGAGTAACCCTGGTGAAACTGATGACAATAATACCAGTAATGAAGATGATATTAATGATGACAATGATCCTGATAAGAAAAGAAGTAATTCTAAGAAAAATATCCCACAAGTGGTCAATCCAAAGGCAGCTGTTAGTTCAGATGAATTAGAATTAATTAATACATTATCAAAGAAAATATTAAGTGGCCTTAGTGGGAAGAGAAAGACAAGTATAAAATCACCTGATGATCCTAATTCGCCTGCTGTATTTTCTGATCTCTATGGTAAATCCATTGGTACTATTGGACAAGGTGCTTATGGTGTTGTTAGTGTTAGTTCTAGACCATTATTATTAGATGATATACCACCATATCCGTCATTTGTGAAAGAAAATAGAATGTATTTTGCGGTTAAAGAATTAAAACCAAGATCAAGCGATCAAGTTGAAAAATTTAGTACCAAGATTACATCTGAATTTATTATTGGACATTCTTTAAGTAGAAAAAATAAATGTTTAGGTAGAGCACCACCTAATATTCTTACAGTAATTGATTTAATGGAAAAAGATAATACGTTTATTGAAGTTATGGAATTTTGTCCATCTGGTGATTTATACAGTTTATTAACTAGAAAAAGTAAAAGTGGTACATCATTACATCCATTAGAAGCAGATTGTTTTATGAAACAACTTTTGAATGGTGTTAAATATATGCATGACCATGGTGTAGCCCATTGTGATTTAAAACCTGAAAATATATTATTTCAACCTGATGGATTATTAAAAATTTGTGACTTTGGTACAAGTTGTGTATTTCAAACAGCTTGGGAAAGACATGTTCATTTTCAAAGTGGTGCAATGGGATCTGAACCATATGTCGCACCAGAAGAATTTAATATTAATAATGAATATGATCCAAGATTAGTTGACTTATGGAGTTGTGGTGTTGTTTATTGTACGATGGTTTTAGGTCATTATTTATGGAAAATTGCATCTCCAGGTAATGATTCATTATATGATTCATTTTTAGAAGAAATGGAAGAAGATAAACAATTTTATTTATTTGAAGAATTAAGACATGTCAATCATGATATTAATAAATTAAGAAAAATTGCACTTTATAAAATTTTTCAAGTTAATCCAGAACGTAGAATTACCGTTGATCAATTATTATTGAGTTCATGGATGAAACGTACTAGATGTTGTATTAGTTATAAGAAGGTTGCATGTTAAGATAGTCCCTATCTATCTATCTATCTATCTATATATATATATATATAGATAAATATAATTATAAAAATAACGAACAGATAAAAAAACGTACAAAACAATTAAAAGTTGATTTAAAATGATTAATATCTTTTTATTTTTGGGAGAGTGAAATGTGAGAATATATATAGATGTATTATATGAAAAAGATAAATAAATAAATAAATAATAAAATTGGAATCATCAAAAAATACATGAAAATATTATTTTTAATTAATTGTACTATGATACACGGTCTAATTCTTCTTTACCAGCTTTTGTATATAAATAAGCGTTATATTCTTCAGCATTCTTCCACCAATACCAATACATTGCACCAGGAATTACAATAAATAATATTTGACTTTTAAATCTTCTAAAACTATTGTAAAAAGCGTTATGGAATGAATGTGCAAGTGGTTTTTGTGCATATGGAGAAATTGCATATGATGTAATACCTTTTTGTTTTGGAGAACCTAAATGACCCCACCAGCCCATATATGTCTTAGCACTTGGACCACCCATTTTTTAATTCTTTAATATATTTATTGTGTAGTATGTATATGTAATGTCTATAATTTTTCAAAGAATAAGGGTTATTAAATATTTATTATTTTCCTCCTTACTTCTATGATAACGATTATTTGTTTCTTGTTTCAAAGTCTAAGTTCTTTTGAAAATATACAAATATTTCTTCGAAAATGTTATAGTTATATTTATATATATATTTTGTCTCTGAGGGTTAATCCATCTCACCAAACCACTTAATATATATATAGCTGTTATGAATTTATCCTTCTTTTTCTTTTCTTTATAGCGAGAAATTTGAATCGGTCTTTTCGGAGTGCTTCACTTCGGATTTTCTCCGTTTTGATTGGTTGTCCAGTCGGTCACGTGCAGACAGATACATATATCTGCGCAATCTGTCGGCGACAACCTGCTCAAAGTCTGCTGATGCAACGATTTGAACAGTGTTTGTGATGTAGAGTTGAATGTGACAGATGTGTGAAGTATATTATGGCCAGTGAACACAGTTGTATGCGGTGCATGGGTTCCCGGTGTATGTAAAACAGGGTAACTTCAATTTTTTTTTGTTTTTTTTGGCGTCGCGCGGCTTTCTTTCTTTTTTGGATATAGTTTTTGAATATTTTGAAATTTTGAAATATCAACAAAAGGAACGATAGATGTCTTTATTAACTAAGATCTGATATATTCATCTTACAAAAAGGGAAAGCGTGAAAGAAGGGGCTGTGATATTATCCAGTTGATAATTGTATTGTTATTAGATTGAGGTGAGGCAGAAAATAAGTGCTTTTTTTTTTTGGATATATGTCAGATACGGATTCAAAGTCGGCTACACCAACGGTTTATGCACCCAAATTGTATTTGGATGAACCTGATCGTACTGCAGAAGCATTAGCGACATTTCGTCCACTAGAGTCATGTCGGTATAGTATTGATTATTTAGGAGACTCTACAAATGAGTTTATGGAATGTGATTGTCCCGAAGAACGTACACTTGTTGGTGATGATGAATATATTAATCATGCTTGTGATGAAAATAGTGATTGTATTAATAGATTAACTTTAATAGAATGTGTTGATGGATTATGTGAATCAACTTGTGGTAAAGAATGTCAAAATCAAAGGTTTCAAAGAAAACAATATGCTGATATTAATGTATTTCTTACGGAACATAAAGGTTATGGTGTCAGAGCTCAAAGTAATTTAGAAGCTAATACATTTATTTATGAATATATCGGTGAAGTAATTGATGAAGAAGAATTTCGTGATAGAATGGTTCAATATGATGAAAGACATTTTAAACATTTTTATTTTATGATGTTACAAACTGGTCAATTTATTGATGCAACAATGAAAGGTTGTTTAGCAAGATTTTGTAATCATTCTTGTAATCCAAATGCTTATGTTAATAAATGGGTTGTTAATGGGAAATTAAAGATGGGTATTTTTGCTAAGAGAGATATTCAAAAAGGTGAAGAAATTACCTTTGATTATAACGTTGATCGTTATGGTGCTACGGCTCAAAAATGTTATTGTGGGGAATCTAATTGTATTGGCTTTATGGGTGGTAAGACTCAAACTGATGCCGCATCTTTATTACCACATATTTATTCAGATGCAATGGGTGTAAGTGCATCTCAAGAAAAGAAATGGATTAAAATTAAGAAAGCTGAAGGTACATTAAATGATTTAAAAAATAAAAATGAAAATGGTGAAAATATTAACATTGAATTTGTTGAATCTTTGATAATGGAACCATGTGATAATGTTAAAGATGTTACAAAAGTAATGAGTGTATTATTACAATGTAATAATAAATTAATAGCATCAATGTTATTTAAAAGATTATGGTTAACTTATAATTATGAAGATGAAGATGATGAAGATAAAAATTTAAAACAACTTTTATTAAATCAAGTAATTAAATTACATGGTTATCAATGTTTTAAAAATTTATTTCAATTATTTCAAGATAATGATGACGATATTTTATCAGATATTATTGAATTTTTATATCATTTACCAAAATCTACTAAGAATGGTATTATTTCATCTCATATTGATACTGAAGTGAAAGTAATAGGAGATGAATATCCTGATCTTTTAGAAGATTGTAATAAATTACTTCAAAAATGGGATACTTTTGATACATATACTAGAATTACCAAGAAAGATATATCTAATGTATCTTCAACAACTTCGATGAAAAAATTAATGGATCAAAGAAGGATAAGGTTACCACCGGGATGGGAGATTATACAAGAAAATGGTCGTCCTTTATATTTTAATAGAGAGCAAAATAGAAAATTGATAGATCCACCTATATCTCATTCCGATAATAATAAGCAACCTGTATCACTTGATCGTCGAAACCGTTCATTAATCAATAGACATAATCATAATAATACTATTAAGAATAATTCTGAACATCGTCTTGGGGATAAGAGAAGTTATAGTTCGAGAGATTTACACCAAAGCGAAGATTTTGTTAAGAAAAAGAAACGTATCGAACTAGAAGAACAACAAGCTTTACTAAGAGCTAAGGAAGAAGATGAGAAGAGAGAAAAGGAGAGATTCCAACAAGAAACTGAAAGAAGAAATATTTTGAATCAAATTATTTCAGATGTTGGAAAATCAAAAGAATTAGAGAGAGAACAATCATTAAAACTTGAAGAAGAAAAGAAAAGAAAACATATTGAAAGAAAGGCAAATTCACAATTATCTCATTTAGAACATAAATGGGAGAAATTCTTCGCATCGTTCGTTCCGAATATGGTTAAAAAATATAATACAGATGTAAATTTATCTCATGATGCTATTAAACAATGCGCAAGAGATATTGTTAAAACTTTGTCAACCAAAGAAGCCAAAAGAGGTTCAAACAACTCTCCACCTGAGAAGATGGACAAATATAAGCATGAAAAAGTTAAAAGCTTTGTCAATCAATACATGGGAAAGTTTATTCAAAAATACAAGGATAAAAAATTCAAAACATCCCATGCGTCATAAAATCAATAACATAAAGGACTTTAGATATATCACCTAATGTACATCTTGATAAAAAGAAAATCATGTAAAATTAAATGAAAAGAAAAGAAAAGAACAGATTGAATAGTCTTTTTCTCTCTTTTGCATTGTATAAATATTAATGTTATACAAATAATAATGACCGTATCAAATTAGTGAATGAAGATTATATTAAATTAAATTAAACTATGCTATGGAAGAGAAGGATCATATCCTAGTGCTATATTTTTATTATTTTTATTATTTTTATTTTATTTGTTTTAAATGTAATTGATGACTTAAGTTTAATAGCTTCCTAAAACTTAACGTCATGAGGATAACATTTATGTTTTCTACCATCTGTCCTTACACTCTTTCCTTTATCCCTTGCCATACCTTTACGCATATCAAATGCATCTTTATCGTCGTTTATTTTCTTTAAAGTTTCAGGATATCCATCTGACGGTTGATTGTAATAACCAACAACTCTTCTAAAGACATCATATCCCAATTGCTCGTAAAGTTTTATGGCTAATGTGTTGTTACATTTAACAAAAAGATCAATAAAATTAACATTATGGGGCGACGAATCTGTGATTGCCTCTAATGAATTACATAATTTTGATGCAAGTGCAATTCTTCGAAATTCAGGACACACAGTAACTGCTGTAATATGCGTATGCCAATCTTGTCCCTTACCTTCAGTCTTACCCATCATGTAACCAGATATATTATGGTTACTGTTCTTAACATTTACTGTCTCCTCCACACTCTTGAAAAACAAACCAGGCCATAGTATCAAATATTCAAAATAAAATTCCATTGGGAAGTTTTCTGTTAAAGTATCTAAATTAACATTATTTAGTTTAAAGAGGTCGGTAGCTTCAAAAGGTTGAATAGTCGTCATTTCAATATCTAGTTGTCGTAATTTATCGTATTTACAGATCAATCCTTACTTAAAACTCTAATTGAACACTCATTCACTAATCTTTCCTAGTTTTAGAATAGCCTCTGAAGTTGACTGTTTTCTTGTAATGTAGATTTCATAAATTAATTGAAAAATAAATAAAAAAATAACTTTATTTGAGACTGGTTAACATCCGTGCATTCAAATTGTATTAACACCCTTACATCTTATAAACGCATATTTTTCACAAAAAACATGACCCGAATTCATATTTAATTTTTTGTCCTTTGAAAATTCAAATGTAAAAGAAAGGCCCGCGTACAACTCTACACCCTTTATGGCTTCCAACCTGTGAAACTATAGTGCTGAAATTTTCAAACTTTTCAGTACTAGACTAGTGGGAAACGTTTGTCTTCCTAACAGGAAATCTTATATCCTCTCATTAATACCAAGTTCCATTGGCTGTTTCTCCTTCTGGGTGGCTCTGGGAGTAGACAGAACTGCTGTTGTCTAGAGCTGTTTTTACCTCAATGAATTGGTCTCTGTTGGGGAGAAGCTCCCTTCCTATTGTATGTAGAACGGGTTTTGGCATAATCTTTTGGGATCACTACAGTATTGTATGTTCTAACCTCAATATGTTCCACTATGAGCTGGAACATTGTACTAGCCTAACTACACATCAACGAAATGATAATATCTTGAAGTAGTGTTATCAAGTTATAAGAACTCTTATCATTATTTATAGTTATACTTAATATCATATAATAGAAAACCACATATAAAAACATAGCCAAAGATGGGTTCCGGTAAACCAAGAGGTCTAAACTCTGCCAGAAAGCTACGTGTCCACAGAAGAAACAAGTATGTTGATTAGATAATATAAAATGGTATATGAATAGATGAGGTATATGATGAAGTTTGATTATTTAAAAAGAATAATGAGATTGTTTAAGCTCCAAGTATTTGATGATATATTATTGATAATAGTGGTAAGAGAATATCATGAAACAATTTGAAAAGTGTTTAGTTGCCAATACTTTTTTTAGGTAAGATGCGACACTCTAGAAATGGTTCAAATGATATCGATATTAGGTATTAATTATTGAACAAGTATTTAGTCAGAATCAAGTTTATTAAGTTTTTAAGATTCGATAATACCACAATAAAAAAAGTCCATTAGTTGACACTTCACCATAATCTATTTAGATGAGTAATACCTACCAATTTCAGTTTTAAAAGAATTTATTTTTACTAACAATAATTTTACATTATCTCTCGTTTGATAATCTTATTTATTATTATTACAGCCGTTGGGCCGAAAACAACTACAAGAAGAGACTTTTGGGTACTGCCTTCAAGTCCTCTCCATTCGGTGGTTCTTCTCACGCTAAAGGTATTGTCTTGGAAAAGATTGGTATTGAATCCAAGCAACCTAACTCTGCTATCAGAAAGTGTGTCAGAGTTCAATTAATCAAGAACGGTAAGAAGGTTACTGCTTTCGTTCCAAATGATGGTTGTCTAAACTACGTCGATGAAAATGACGAAGTCTTACTAGCCGGTTTCGGTAGAAAGGGTAAGGCTAAGGGTGATATTCCAGGTGTTAGATTCAAGGTCGTTAAGGTCTCTGGTGTCTCCTTGCTTGCTCTATGGAAGGAAAAGAAGGAGAAGCCAAGATCCTAAGCAATTAGTGCATTTTCCACAACTACTATATATGAACAAACAATTTATCTGTATATCTTTTCATTTTGTTTAGAAATATTATAATTCTCCTAAGTTATTATTTAAACTTATAACTAAGTTAACTATATATGTATCATTGACCCATTAGTCTATGATGCTATTTTTAATATTATTATCTAAGTTTAGAACAATAATATTAAATAATAAGTACAGTTTTTGAATGATATTCATTATATATTACATTAAAACTTATATATTAAAACCATTTATGAAATTAAAAAACCACCGTTATCCATCAGAATTTTAAACAATTAAGCATTTTGTATTTTGTATTTTGTATTTTTGTTTTTTGAAAACGAGACAATTAAACTAACGTTTTGTTTTGTTTTTGTTTAAACTTGCATTAAGCTTCTTATACATTTCGTTGTTGTTTAATGTAGAACCAACACCAGTGGTTCTTGCATTTGTGTTAACAGGAATGACGTTACTAACCGGAGCAAATTTATAATCGGTTGTGGTTTGTGCAGGAGCAGCGGCTCTTCCTCTTCTGGCAGCAGCTTGTTCATATAACGATTGAGGTGTGGACCCACTTTCTTGGGCTGGAGTACTTGATGGCTTCTTCTTCTTTCTACCACTAATAGCTGAGTCAAGTGCTGATTTCTTTCTCAATTTATCGTAATCAAAAGATAGTTGAGTAATTCTCTTATCTCTATAGTTATCTGATGCACCAATAATAGGTCTTGTCCACTCTGCGATTAATTTTTCTGCCATTCTAGCTAATTGAGGTTCAACATGTTTGGATTTGGTATAAAAAATCATTATTCTTCCAAGACCACTTTCTTTTAAATGTTCTGTCTTAATTGGTAAAGAATTTATAGCTGAAAATAAAGATTTTTGAATTTCAAAAGAAGGTAATGATCCATCTGGTAATGGTTCAAGCCATATTCTAACACTTTGTAAAAGATTATTATCTAAGATGGTATCAGCTAAGTTGGCTTTTGAAAGTATGAGTTCCACTTTAGGTAACAGTTTAACTTTTTGAATAGCAATCAATGAATCGTTACCTGTATCAATTCTACTATTCAAAGTATCAATATCCAATTGAGCAGCAATATTCATTTCATCCTTTAATCTTAGAATCTTTTCATCTTGATATTGCTCTAAATCATCTTCATCTCTTCTTGTTCTTCTCACTTTAGGTTTCTTTAAGATACGATCAAGTTTTTCTTCCAGAAGTTGACGTTTCGTAGCGGTAGAACCAAAATCACTAGTGTCGTTACCAGAGCTATCTGGAACAGAAATACCTCTTATACGTTGATCCTGTTCTTCCTCACTATCTTCACCATTCTTGTCATTATTATCGTCATCATTATCACTATTAGATATATGTTTACGTGATCTTTCAGTTGGTTGTTGATTTTCTACTGGTGTTTCATCAATAGCAGCGGCATCATCAATAGTAGAATTTCCCACAACTGGTGCAACTACCTCTTGGACAGCTTCTGTACTATTTTGTTGCGGTTCAACCTCTTTATTAGTAGTATCCATTTTTAGGCTAGAATATCTTTCTCTATATGTAAATAGCTTTAACTATGTCTTTCAAATGTACCAAAGTTCCACTTCTTTTCACAGGGCTAAATTTAGGAAACAAAAGTAATATCTATCAGTACTTTGCCTAAAACAGATTGTAAAACACAAACACAGATATATAAGTATATAGATACTAGCCAAAACAGGTTATATCACAATCGGTATACTTCTTTCCTTGAATTTCCTTTATATATATTTGGCCTATCTTGTATGTTTAATTCAATCAATCTTTCCCTCCTTTGCGAATTTCTCAAAATTTCAAAAACTGGAAAAATGAAATTTAAAATTTAAAGGACAAAAGAGAAGAAGGAAGAAAGATAAATACAACATATAGAATTTCAACTAAAGGGGAGCTCAGAGACTAACAAGATAAAATCCAGTAAACGCCATATTTTGCAAGGATGTTTGGTCTACCACAACAAGAAGTCTCTGAAGAAGAGAAGAAGCAACACCAAGAACAATCTAACCAAACAGTGAGAAACGCTGTAATTGCTTCTGCTGTGCTATGGGTTTCTCCTATCGTTTGGAATTTTGTTAAGAAGCAATGGAAATAATTTAAGAGTCTTCCCGAATCTGTGCAAAGGTAGTTATTATTACTATGTTACTGAACATTGAGAAAGTCGTGTTTAATTTGCCTATGAACTGATCCGTCCTCTTTTAGATCGTTTTATATCCCATGTACATATCATCATACAATAACTAAATAAATAAATAAATAATCATAATAATCATAACTTCAATAATAATTATATCATTTTCACTTTTTCCTTCTAAATAAATGAGATGAATTTTAACATATGTACATATTAATAGGGAAGAAAGAATATATTTACTTAATTTAAGTTTATTTGTTACTGTGATATGAAGCTAAACAACAAGGTATCGCCATTTAGTACTTTTAAGTATATACCATTTATGAAAGACAATATGTCGAAATTATTAAATAAGGTGTTCTTCGAACAACAATGCCTATTTCTCAGAGTGTCTATACGGTATCCTCTCGAACCCAAATTAACGAATATTGGTTATGACAGATTAATTGCAAATAAGTTATCCACATTTAGCGATGTTCTATATTGCAGGCCCAGCTTTATTGGAAGTACAAACTTGGTGTCAAGGTACCCAGTTATGGAGTTTGTACTTACCTCAAACGAAATCAATAAACTTTCTAAAGTCATGACAAGCTTGGTAGGTCTGGATGTTGAAAAATGTACTACAGATGTACCTATATGTGATACCTTAAAACAATCTAAAAAGTTGAATGATATATTTTCAAGTTTACAAGAAGAAAATGGAAATGTAGATAACTTCAACAACGGTACATTAAACTCTGCTAAAGCCGATCACTTAACATACACTGACGATCTATTCCTGGATAAATCTAAGATGAATTCTATTGACACAGTAATGTTTGACACTATTGAAAATATCCCACGAAATTTTAAATTATCTACTGTTACCAAACCCATCATCAAAGGTGATGATACATTTAAATATAAAAAGAACAGCTATCTATCCCGATTTGACAGTAACCTTGCAGATAGTCCATTTCTTGGCTTGAACATCTGCTATTTTGTCGACCATAACACATTACCTCTACATTTAAAGGAATGGGTTAGCAATATCGAATACACAGGTAATTTCCAAAAATTGACAGATACCTCCAGTATAAAGGACTCTAATGCATTAAATTTATTATTTCATGGTTTTAAAGGGTTAAAAAAAACATAATAATATCATATCCTAATTAATGCTGTACAAACTACTCAAAACATATATGCCAACGACACTACTTGTCAAATATCTCAGTTTAGAAGATCAATCTCGAGCTCACTAATATTTCGAGTTTTTTGTTCTGTTTTTATTTTGGTAGATGCACTAAATAATTATGTAATTAAACAAATACAAAGGTTAATTATCTTCATATTACTCTTTAGGGTTTTATTTCCCTTTCTCGAGTTTATCTACAACGGCTTGATCCTTATCAAGTACTTCTTGTAAATACGTTATACCCTTCTGTTGACTAGCCAAAATATGTGCAATCTTATCAATGTTCATGTCATTAGCAGGTTCTTCACCGTTTTGTCTATTCAAAGATGCTGCTCCAGTTTTTGAAGAATCATTTGTTGATGTAGTACTACCACCATTTTGATTTATCGTCACTAATGTGTTATCTAATTGATCTGATATATTTCTAGCACGTTCTTTTAATACGGCTAATCTCGCCCATAATTCATTTGTCTTACCTAAACCAGATGGATCCTGGCTACGGTTTAATAGTACCTTGAATTGATTCCACATTTTTTCCTCTGTAACATTTAATGGCAAACCTCTATTTTTCAATAAAGCTAATTGTGATCCAAGTTTCAACAATCTACTCTCAATTTCAACATTTTTACTTGTTACCTTTAATATTCTTGATGCTATTTCAATTTCGTGACGTTGTTGTAACTGAGTATTTTTCTCTAACAACTGTTTTAGAATGATTCTGATTTGTGCAACGTTCTCAATTTGAAGTAAATTCCTCTGATTAAGAGCTTCAAAACCTAATAACTCGACAGGTATAACATCATTATTTGGTTTATTCCTGACAGCTTGATCCCATTCCTCTTGTAAAATATTTGCTGGTTTACTATATAACAATGCTTCTTGTTCATTAACTTTATTGTACACAAATGTCCTTAATTTAGACTTGGAGCTTAAGGGATCCCATGACTCTTTACATTTAATTATTTGTTCTTGTATCTGTTGTGGATAATTTGCTGACTGCTGCTGTTGTAAAGTTAATGACGATGGTGTTTGTAAATTCAAGGATCCTAGCATTGGATTCGTTTGAAATTGTGATTGATTTTGTTGTAGTTGTTGTGGTTGTGCCTGTTGTGACCAAGCAAAGGAAGGTTGAGTTGATTTGATTCCAAATCCAGTCTGTTGTGCTTGTTGCTGTTGTTGCTGCTGCTGGCCTTGATTATTACCAAATAATCCCCCTGCAGCTCCAGTATTCATACCCTGCGGTCTATTTCCAAATAGACCTCCCCCTAAGGTACTTGGATTTTGTTGAGTATTATTATTATTCCCAAACAAACCACCAGTGGTCGGAGCATTGGTAGAACCTAATTGTGTTCTAGCACCGAATAAACCTCCGGTACTACCTAAAGTATTTGTTCCCGCTGTCTGTGCATTATTGTTGTTACCAAATAAACCGTTAGTTGGAGCCGAAGTATTGTTATTATTGGTATTGTTCCCAAATAGTCCACCACCTAAAGTGTTACTTTGTGTATTGTTACCGAATAATCCTCCGGATGGAGCTGCAGTTTGGTTAGTTGTTGGGTTGTTGTTACCAAATAGGCCACCAGTAGATGCAGTATTCATACCTGTTGTGTTAGAGGCACCAAATGCTGGTTTTGCAGCATTACTACCGAAGAGACCTCCTGTAGCAGGTTGGCTTCCAAATGTAGTGGTACCTCCAAGGGATCCTCCCGATTGTGCGTTGTTATTAGTTGCGCCGAATTGAAACATATCTAAGATTGAATAAATGAGTCTATATCCTTTTGATTAACTATAATGTAGTTATCACTGATTTCTAGGGCTGTTTGCTCGAGCTTTAATTTAAAATCGTCAAGTAGGAACTGTGACAATAAACACAGGCAATTGAGAACAAAGGAAACGACCTATTACTGCTCTAATTAATTGTCCTTTCTTCTAAGGTCGAAAGGAATCAAATGAGTTTACACAATTATAATTGATTGATTTCTAATAACTCGCAATCTATACGAGAAATACCCTTTAGCTTTGTTAACGTTATGGAAAGTATCGTATTGAATGGTTTATATATCCATCTCAAAATCAAATTTCTTCTTGGATTTCAATTTTAAGTTGAAAAAAAAGTGAGACGAAGCGATGCTCAACGTACAGAGTGATGCAATGAATTTAACGTGCAGAGTGATGTTGGACCGATTGAAGCTGAAATTAATATGTAATACAATTAAACTTAAAACCACTCTTTAAGACTGTTTCAAGATTATTTAGAACCAGAGTTTAGTTCTTTAAATTCTGGTGAGTGGGTTTCAATTGATATAGAGTTCTTCAAGATCTATAAGTTAGACGTAGGGATAACTTTCCGATACAGAGAGTGGATACATCAGCGTAAGGCAATGACGAAAAAAAAAGAAAAGAATAATGAGACATTTTGTTAAAAGAAGTGGAACCTCAATTTTTATATAATAGTTACGTTGCTACTTTCTTTCTTTGTTCAGGGGTTTTAATTTAATCTGTTATCCGTACATAACGATACGGTTTTGAATTAGAAAACGCGAACCTTTGAAATATTTAAATTATATTAAAATTTCGCGTTGCATCAAGAATACTTAAATAAAGAGAAGCCAACTTTCAATAAGACAAGTGAATTGGTGAAAACATACATATTTGGACTCGAGAAAGTGACCAACCAAACCTTCGAAACATGGATCAACTAACACCTACTGTGAAAAAAAGAACAGTTTTCGAATCTGGAGGAAAAACTATCATAGCACTTTCTCAAGATGAAAACAGATTGATTGCTGCTAATAAAAACGGTATTACAAAGATCCTACTATTGAATAAACCCGAAGATGAACCTGAAGTTATTCAAGTATCAGAGAATTTAACATCCTTAAAGGCTTTATCAAATGAAAGGTTTGTCTTGACCACAGTGAAAGGGGATGCATTTGAGTACAATTATAAAGGTCAAAGAGAAACATTATTATTAAGAACATCTCTACCCTTGCGTGATTGTTCATTGATTCATAATGGGAAAACAATTGTTTTTGCCAGCGATGATTTAGAATTGGTTACAGTTGATTTACCTGAGGACTCGGAGTCAGCAGATCCATCGAAGAGATCTAAATCTAACCAAATTCTAACATTACCAGATCAAATCTCTCAATTATCTTACTCTTTCAAGACCAACATTTTAGCCGTTTCCTTAATTAATGGGAACGTCCAATTTTATTCATTATCTTCGGCTCAACCTAATAAAGTACATCAATTAGACAAATGTGTACTACCTAACTCCTATCAGTCATTTGATAAAACAGGTGACACGCAGGAAAAAAAATCCAACAAACTTGATGAGCTATTAGATGATGACTTGTCAGACTTAAGTGATGTTGAAAATGATGACGAAAAAGTCACTGATCCTGAATTTGTGGACGCCAATAGAATTTGTACTCGTATCACATGGCATCCAACAGGGTTATGGTTTGCAGCACCAAGTACAACCGGAACCGTTAAAGTATTCACTTTGAAGAATTATTCTTTAACTGAGACATTATCTGCAGAAACGTCAAAGAAGTTAATCGATGTTCAATTTGACACAACAAATGGTGAATATATTGCAGCCATTGATATGGATAATAGATTAACTGTTTGGAAATGGAAAACAGGTGAAACCATATATTCGAAACAGTTCAAGCACATGCAATTGACTAACTTGCTATGGAAATCTAATGGAGAATCACTTGATATAATACTTGGTTCATGGACCGGTATAATTACTACAGTCAGCAATGTCGCAAAGTCCTCATCTACAAAAATCGATGATAAAGAAAATCACTCTGATGATAATGCTACCAAATCTACTAAAAACGGGTTGTTTGTAGATTCTGATGATGACGAAGAAGGTATGACTAGTGCTGGGGGTCAAATAAACCCAAATATTGATACAGTTGCCATGGAGAATGATAATGACGACAACCAGGAAGGAGCCGACGATGATAACATGGCCCTCTTTGGAGATGATAACGAAACAAACAAAAGAAAATACCATTTCGATGATGAAGATGATTTCATTGATGATGATGATAATGGTGGATATATTGAAAGAAACAGTTCTGGTAATGTACGGAAATCAAAATCACACAAATCAGGCAATTTTGCAAACGTCGGATTTTCGAATCTAAGCAAGTTTAAATACAAGCCAATGTCCCCTGGGGCAACCCCATTTGCTGCATCCGATAGACGCTACTTAACTATGAACAATATTGGTTATGTTTCTACTGTACGTAATAATGGCCAATATAGTATTACAGTGTCCTTTTTTGACCTTGGAAGATTTAACGAATATCATTTCGAGGATTTATTTGGTTATGATATTTGTTTTCTGAATGAAAATGGTACACTATTTGCACAATCGAAGACTGGGCAGTTACATTATAGACCTCACAATACCCTACATTCTACATGGACTAAATTAGTATCTTTGGCTGAGGGGGAGATAATTACATCGATTGCGTCAACCAGTCACAGAGTGATTGTTGGTACCTCTTCGGGTTACTGTACATCTTTCAATGAATATGGTCTTATTTTGAGTATGGAGAAAGTATCTCCTATTGTATTATTAACAGCATATGATTATAGAGTGTTTATTATTCATTATTCACCTTACCATGGAATATCGTATTCCCTATTTGAACAATCCCCAACAAAGTCAGTATACTATCAGAGGGAAACTTCGCTGCCAATTACCCTACCAAATACATTAACAGATAAAAATAAAGTGTCTGATCCGGATTATGACCGTTTTAACTCTACTGGTATAAAAAGTGTCTTTTTCTCATTATATGGTGATCCATGTGTCTTTGGCTCTGATAATGTTTTGTTGGTATTAAGTAAATGGAGATCTAATACTGAGTGTAGATGGTTACCAATTTTGGACACAGATATGGAAATTTGGAAGATGACGGGTGGAAAAGAAGATTCTGATGTCCATGTTTGGCCCCTAGGCCTAACATATGATACTTTGAACTGTGTCCTAGTTAAAGGTAAGAAACAATGGCCAGAATTCCCATTACCTCTACCGTCTGAAATGGAAGTCAAAATTCCAGTTTTAGTTAAGAGCCAACTATTAGAAGAACATAAACTAAAATTGAAAAATGATTCCGAAGAAAATGAATTTGATAGAGATTTAAATGAATCAGATGATGATCAAGGAACCAATGTCGAGAAAGAGATCACTGTGCCTGTAAATATCGCAGCCGAAGAAGAATATGTACGTTCGAAAGTTCTATCTTCTTTATTAACAGATACAATAGAGAATGATGGTGAAATGTATGGTAACGAAAACGATTTACTTCAAGCTTTAGTAGGTAATTTCGATAAATCCCTACTTAGATTATTTGCCGTCGCATGTTCCAGTCAAAATACAGAAAAGGCTCTTTCAATAGTACAAGAGTTGAAACAAGATAGAGCATTAACTGCTGCTGCTAAAATCTCAGAAAGAGCAGAAATGATGACTTTGACGAAACGTATTAACGACTTAAGAGAAACAAGATTTGAACAGCAAATCAATAATATATAGTTATTTATTTATTCATTATCACCATCGCCATTATATACCAGTTTATCGTTCTATGCATTATATAAATTTATAAACCCAAAGTTTATTATCACTTTAAAAATAAATTTATCTTGCGATTTAAGGATTACTTTAATCATTTTTCATCCATTCAGGTATTGTTTCTAGAAGTTGTTTAATATCTGTGACATCAGAGTTAGTGTCACACGTCGAAAATGATCTGAAAAGTTAGCGCTGCGAGGAAGGAAAAAAAAGTTTCACTGAAAAATTTATATTTGAGATGAGGTAACAAACGATGAGATGCCTTGAGAGGGATATATACAATAGAAATTTGAACATTCCTGCTATAAGATTTGGAGATACATACTTAAACTATCCAATTAGTGAACGTTTAGGCACATAGTAGAAAGAATTTAACGAGATAGATACAATAATGTCAGATAATTCTGCTGCAGAAAAGAGAAAAAGATCGAGAGCTGATAGGGACCACCGTGATGCTGACGAAGACATCACTGATGTTTCCTCTGGCGAGGAAGAAGTAGTTGATTCATTAGGTGAGGATGAAGATATAGATTCTGAAGATGAATTTCAAGGTGAGAACCCTGCCGATAAAAGAAGACGTCTAGCTAAACAATATCTGGAAAATTTGAAGGCAGAAGCCAATGAAATTGATACAGGTCTAGACAACGTCGAAGAAGGTACCACTGTTAGAGAAGTGGATGAATATAACAACTTCGATGCTGCAGATCTAGATAGAGATATTATTGCAGCTAGATTAAAACAAGATGTAGCTGAACAGAAGGGACGTGTCTTTAGATATGTTGGCGATAAGCTATTAATTCCAGAAGCCACCATCTCTTTTACGAGAGTAGGAGATAAAAATTTGACCAGTATGAGTTGTCACCAGTCTGAGCTTAATAAATTTGATGCTGAAGTTGAACAAAGTAAATTGAATGGCTCTACGAAGAAATTAGGTAAAATATTTGCCTATACTGTTAGTAAAGATTTGTGTTTAACGAAGTATGATATATCAGATTTTTCCAAGAGACCTCAAAAATTAAAACACGTGAAAGGTGGTGTTAGATTTATTCCTAAATCAAATATTGAAATCGAAAACACAACCGAGGGCCATTATGATGAAATCCTTGCTGTTGCCGCATCTCCAGATGGGAAATATGTTGTAACTGGTGGTAGGGATAAAAAATTAATTGTATGGAGTACAGAATCATTGGCACCAATTAAGGTTATTCCAACAAAAGATCGTCGTGGCCAAATTATGTCAATGACTTTTAGAAAAAATTCTGATCAATTATATGTATCGTGCGCAGATTATAAAATTAGAACATATTCCATCAATCAATTTTCACAATTGGAAATTTTATATGGTCATCAAGATGCTGTAGTAGACGTTTCAGCACTAGGTATGGAAAGATGTGTGACAGTCGGTGCTCGTGACAGGACGGCTATGTTGTGGAAGATCCCAGATGAAACCAGACTTACATTTAGAGGTGGGGAAGATTCTGAAAAACTATTGAGAAGGTGGATGAAAGCCAATGCAATTGAAAAAGAAGATGGAGAAATTGAGTACCCAGATCAAAGTGAAGCACCAGTCTTCCATACAGAAGGTAGTATCGATGTTGTTAGTATGATTGATGATTCACACTTTATTACAGGATCTGACAACGGTAACTTGTCTCTATGGTCAATTGCTAAAAAGAAACCTATACATATAGAAAGGGCGGCACATGGTGTAATGGAAGGCCCAACTGTTGACACCATATCTGGCGAAACCAAGGAAGATGTAAAAATAAGACAACTACAAAATAAAAAGTTAAAACATCCGTATTGGATTACTGCTATCTATGCCATTCCTTATTCAAATACATTTATTTCTGGTTCCTGGAACGGTAGTCTGAAGGTTTGGTCACTAGAAGAGAACATGAGATCATTTAAGCTAATTGGAGAATTACCTAATTGTAAAGGTATCGTAACTAAGATACAAGTTGTCGAGAGTGGGAAACGTGATAAAGAAATATTCCGTGTCTTAGCCAGTGTGGCCAAAGAACATAAACTAGGTAGATGGGTTCAAAAAGTTCCTGAAGCCAGAAATGGTATATACTCTGCCACTATCCAACAAACTGGGTTTTGAATTGTTATTTTGTTAAATGGTACTGCATAATTTGTATAATATATAATCCCATTTATATAAAAGAATTCAAAAGCTTTCTATGAAATATAAACTGTGTACAGATTGGTTTTGAAAGAGAAATTCTCAACGGAGCACGATATTGCCCTTTAATGTAAAGACAAATATATACACACTTATAATTGTTATTTGAAGCGTTTAATAGGATTCATTTTTTGTATAATATTTTGCAGAAAATAAACCAACCACCATGTATAGATTAGTTGAGTTGCTAAAGGAAATATAAGTTTAGCTCTGGGTTTTTTTTAATAAAATAGAAATAAAGGAGGGTTGCTGTAGTTTCAAAATTTCATTACCCTTTGTACAACGACGGGAAAAAAATAAATCTAACCTTCGTAACAACATGTTGTGTTTTGCCCCGTAAGGAATACATTTGTAAAAGTCTAATTACTGTTACAACGTTATACTTACAAAATTATTTTGTGTTTTTAAATTCTATTCCCCGATTTGTCAGTACGAAGTGCTCATAATTAGTTGTAGTAATGTCTAACAATGGAGTATTAATTATGTCATATATCCAGTCGAAAATAAAAACGCGTTACAGTAGAAGTTATTAAATAAATAAACTATTATCTGCCGTAGTTTATTCTTTTGATCCATAGTCCGAAATTTCTGTAACTGTAGAAATGATGCCGGTTTCTTTAGCTCCACTTAAAAGCAACTACATCGCCACTTCTCCAATTTACCCTTCCTTTTTCTTTTCTTTTATTTCACCCATGGTTGCTCCAATGAACCGCATTAGTTCGTAGATTTCCCAGAGGCTATCTATATATTGTATATGTTTTAAATGGTAGTGAACATAAAATGAAAAGAATATTTTTCCTTTGATACGAATGAACTGGAATTATAATGGAACTTCTGGGAAAATCAAATGAATAACTATTATTCAACTGATAAATTAGCTGTTTGACCAACAAAGTCTTACTCCTGGATATAATCAGCTGCTCGAAAGTCGCCGAATATTATTAAGTTTCCAAACCAAATTTTATATCACTAGTATCTATATCGCCTTTAATAACATCTGCTGTTTAGAAGACCTACAAACGTATACCTCTCTTGTTCTTCTATTTTGTAACTTGGTGATTTCAGCAATAAATAAAAATAATCTAAGTAATCAATATATGTTTACTGAATGGCAGGTAATTTGTCCGTAGCTCGCTGCAGAGCCCCTTCCCCTTCTCTGAAAGGGAGAGAATAATTTATATATTGATATAGAATTTTGTAATCTGAGAAGACTTTGATTTATATTAAATTTATATACCCAGCATTGTCATTTTGTACAAGACAAATAAATATTGCGTTATAGGCCTAGTATTCCAACTATTGATCCAAATGAACATTTAATGAAAAAATTACATGACACATTTTAAATATAATATTACTCCTAATATGTTATATCTCTTTTCAATCTACCATTTTGCCCAATTCTAGGTTTTATTTACTTCTATTGATAACAATATACATCTTTGAACGTTGTATCGGTTGGTTCCATTGTTTTGTGAACAATTATACTATTATGTAAAGCCAGATAAATTTTTAAGTTATATTTTGCCTTGTTTAAAGAGCTGACAATATTTCTATTTTCCAACAATTATATGACTTCGTGGCCAAGCTGGTTAAGGCGTGCGACTGTTAATCGCAAGATCGTGAGTTCAATCCTCACCGAGGTCGTCAATTTTTGTTTTTTGTGTGGCCATCACGTGATGGGAAATCTCAAGTCGATATAAGGCAGCCTACTGACCTTTCTAAACGGCTTCCCTTATATTTAAAAAAGAAAGATACTTGATATGTCGTCAACATCTGAATTACATATGTTAATGCTTGTTATAGTCGGATATGGATGTTCAAAAAATATTTTAAGAAACGAAACAGAAAAGGAATGACATTAATACGTTCACCCTGGAACTAGTTTCATAAAGACAATTGTACAAACTAACAGTTAGGATTGGAATTTATTTATTGTGAAATACTAACGATTATATATATATATATATATAATCGTTAATTTGATTAATTGTGGTTCTAGTGTCATATTTCTAATTCTAACTTTGAAAAAAAAATTATATAGAATGAAGTGATCTAATGATTTAATGATTATGTGTATTAATTTTTGAATATTTAAAAATATAATGAAAAGTCTATACGTAATAAATAAAAGTATCTTTAAAAAGTAAATGCGAAAAAATATTCATGAAATAATGTAGTTCATTAACAATAATCCATCGTAATATTTTTATTCCCTTTTGACTAATCTTGAAATGCAAAGAAATATGCCTTTTTACATCTTAGCTGTAATAGTTTTTTGTTTTTGTGTTTGAAAATTTTGAAATGTTTAAATGCTGAATATGGGTATAATTAGACTCATCCATTTAGTCGATATTAACTCTGGGAAATTGAATCCTCATGGGGTGGTTGTGGAGTTAACTCAAGATCATCTTGAGAAATCCTCTTTTCGTTAACTTCACCATTATCATTATTCTCATTTGATGAAGCCGAATAAGGTAAATATGTTTCTACAGTCATGTCACTAGCTGGTACAACGCGATGAGATATCTTATTTTGAAGTATGTCATTCTTTGTATTGGTGATTACATCTGAATCGGTATCTTGATTATTATTATCAGATCCATGCATATTATCAGTGTCAACACCCCATTCATAATAATCTCTTCTAACTTCAACATAGTCGTAAGCAAATTCACCGATTTGATCTTCATCTAACCCATTTGCTTCAGCTTCTTCACTGACTCTTAATTTTACAAATGGTATTATATCTAGAACAAAGCATATAATTGCAGTTACCACAGCACAATAGCACATTACTGCTGCAATGTAAGCAATCTGTTTATACATTTGTTTATAATTATGAGTTAACCAACCACCTCTATGTTCTGTAGAACCATCCATTCCGATAACCCAATCGGCAGCAAATAGTGCATTGAATATTAGACCAACAATACCGGCAATTCCGTGTTCTGCCAATAGATCCATTGAATCATCGACATTTAAATAATATTTAATTTTAGTGGCAAAGTTACAAACGACACCTGCAACAATACCTTGGATTAATGATGCGTATAATGTAATACAACCACTTGATGGTGTAGCTGCTACTAGACCACAAATGATACCAGAACAAAGACCAACGGTAGACCATTTTTTCTCTGTTCTATAATCTAATAAACACCATGTCATTCCGCCCGTAACTGCACTAATATTGGTATTAAAGAAAGCGTATGCAGATCTTAAATTCGGACTCAAAGAGCTTGCAGAATTGAATAATAACCAACCAAACCATAGTATCCCTGTTCCTAAAGTAACCATTGAGACATTATGAGGTCTAAAATTAATTAATAATTTTTCTCTTCTTCTACCCAGAAAAATGGAGTAAACAAATCCCGCGACTGCACTAACAATCTCAAGAAATCCACCTGCCCAATCTAAAACTCCCCATTGATAAGCCCATCCACCAGGAGACCAAATCCAATAACAAATTGGACAATATACAACAGTGGCAAAAAGAAACAGAAACACCATATGTGGTAATAATCTACCTCTTTCTGCTGTTGCACCGGATACAATACTTAAAGTGACACACATGAACATCATTTGAAATCCTGCATATGCAATCTCTGGGTATGCATCTGATTCATTAACTTTACCATATACATTTCTAAAACCAAAGGAATTCAAATCTCCTATAAATTTATGGTTTTTAGCGGTTTTGGAAAATGCTAAAGAATAACCCCAAAAATACCATTGTAACATACCTACTAAAGTAGACATTAGAACGACCCAGATTAAAGCAAGGGCACTTTTCCTTCTGGCTAGACCAGAATATAAGAAACCTAATCCAGGAACCATGAAAAATACAAGGGCAGCACCAATAATCATAAATGCTACAGTAGCACCATCATATTCTTCATGCCATTGGTAGCCATTTTTACTACGAGTCATATGTCAATGTTGTTTAAAAAAGTAGTTAAAAGATAATAACAAACGTAGTTTAAAACTTAAAGCTCAATAAGAGTATTATCTTCTTAATCAAATACAATAAAATGATTTTAAATAAAACTTCCAATCTTGATATCCAATCTTGATATACCTTATAAGGATAGAATGTGTAAAAAAATGCAGATAAATAAAATAAAAGGATCGATATCAAATGAAATGAGAAAAAGATTAGATATGTTTCTTATCGCTTTTATATGATAAACGTTATAATCTTCAACGGATTGAAAAGGTATATATATCTCTTCAGATATTTGAATAATGATCTTTAATTTTTTTCTTTCTTTCTTGTTATTTTTCACTTTCCACTGTTAAAAACAAAAGAATTCTTACAATAGAATAAAAGATTTCAATAATAATGGATAATGGTTATTGAAATGTTTTCTAGGATAGTTAGATACAAGTAACTGAAAAATAACAAATGTCAAAACAAAAATGTAGGAGGTTAGTGACAATATAAAAAGAACAGTTAATTATTTCTGTACTTACTTCTTCTTTTTCTTCCAAGTCTGTATAATGGATAACTTCAGTAATTAAAGATAGCAAATGACAAAATACAATGATTAAATGTCAAAGGATACCAAATTCTCGAAGTGGCAAAAGTTTGTCCACTAACCTAGTGATAATAAATCAATGATAGTAACGTTGTTGTATTCTCTGTTTAAACCAGAAATAAATAAATAAAAATGAAGCAAAATAAAAAAGATAAAAATGATATTAAAAATCTTTCCTCATCAGGCCCTTTTAATTTAAACTTCTGTATTGTATTAGTCTATTATTATATATATATATATATTACTCAACTATGTGAGGGAGCTTTAAAGATGAAAAAAAATTGATTAAATATAATAAATATTTCAAGCCAGAGAGAAAATCAGGATAAATAGTACGAGTCCCACACCCACCCACTCTCTTTTCTCTCATTATTGTTATGCCTGATTGCTCGCCTTCTTGATTGAAGTGCAAATTTGCGTAGAGAGAAAAAAAAATTATTTGAAAGGACTAGCTCCGCAAATTTTAAGAAAGCAAAAAAGAAAAGTCGTGGGAGGACCAATTTTGCGCGCGCAATCTAAAAGATCGTTTCTTTCTCTTTTACATACAAGGGGAAAAAACGAACTAAAATCTCATCGCGCAATTTTATTCCGCTTATTTAAAAAAAAAAACAGTACTTTTCTTTGTTTGTTTGCTTTTGCAACGCAAATTTGTACTATTTGGAAGCGAGAGAGAAAAGAAAGCAGGGAGTAATGTTTATTTAAATAATCTGACTCAATCTAAATATTTTGTTTTTATTGTTATTTTCCAAATTTAAAGTGACGGAAATAACACTAAATTTGCGTACAAATTTGTTCAAAATAACAGAAAAAATGCGAGTACTACGCCAATTTAGCGTAATACAGAGAGAGAAAACGTGCGCGCACATCATCTTTGAGAGAGAAAACTGATAAGAGATTCGATAAGATAACGTCCTTTGGTTTTATTGGCTGACTGCAAAAAGGGCAGTAACCTGCCTTTGTCCGACCATCGGTTAATAATAAATCGAAATTTAATCAATCAATCAGGACTTTGAAATACAAGTAATAACTATGTCAGAAACAAACTTTATTAACCGGAGACAGAGAGATTAGGAATACGTTGACAGATTCATTCAGATTAGTGGTAACTTACATAGAATGATGTTATCAAATCATGATGGAACTTGAAATTCATCTAAAGTCTTCACGGATAGGCCTAGCGTTTCAGGTATATATACATATTATTTATTTATCTTGAACCAGTTATTTTGAAGTGGGGGAATCAACTGTGTAACCATTAATGACTAAGTCCGCTAAAATCAGGATAACTTGAACATGACTGTGTCTTATGGTTACGTGAATAATTCAAATAATGATGTGATTAGTTCATCTCAACGCTCACAACGTATATATGTATATATAAATATATATGTACTCTGCCAATTGGTATCAACAAATAGAATCGCAGAACCAAACTTAATAGAGGGAAAAGGTGAGAAAGTGGGCATGAAAAATGTATTATCAAATTTATTGGAATATTTTGTATGTATAATATCATTTTCATCGTTTTACTTTTTTTGTTTACTTGAATCTACCGAATTTTCAGAATAGTAGCTCACTTATAAAGTTAAAAAAATATAATATAATGAATTTCAGTTTGGAATATTTGTTTTAAGAAAACAAAATATCTAGTTAAGTTGTAAAATGTTATTGTTTATATATATAAGAATTTTTTTATGAATCATTTGCGAAATTCTTCAACAAAAGTTCGTTTCTCTCTAATTCCTAAAGATTTAGATACTAACTTATATTTATCACCATCATTTAGAGACTCACGTACACCATCTAGAGCATCCATTTCTTTAACTAAAAGATGTGATTCGTGGACCTTAATTTTTGCAAGACATTTATGTTTAAGTATTAAGGACCATAATAAACGCCAGCTTGAACCACCTAATGGTGTTACTAATGAATTGTTAACTTTAATGGTTACAGGTATTATTTCAGAACAAATAGAGGTAGAATCATCAACAACCAGTTCTAAAGAAGTTTTATTAATTTGAAAAGGTAAAATAGATTTCCCATTTGAACAAGTTCCCTCTGCAAAAAGACACCAGGTATAATTGATCCAATCTTTGTTTGAAATTTCTTTAATTTGAGTACCATATTGAGTCACATTTAAAGATTGTCCATTCATCGTGAAATTAATAAATTGTAGCAATGTCAATTCATATAGATCGTTTGACTCAGATGGAATCAAATATTTAATACTACGATTATCTTGAGCAATATACTGCAGCACTATTGCAGCCAAAACAGATGAGTAATTGATCACATAAAGGTTACCCTTTTGTAAATGATACTTTCTTGGATCTTTATTCAATTGACTTCTCTTGACACCATTAACTTGATAATCGATCTTAATTCGACCTGACGTAAAGCCTGTCAAAAATAAAAGTCGTAAATTGATAAATGGTGATAATATCAACACCGGGATAAGTAAAATACATCTAGTTAAATAGATGATGCTAAAAATGATATTTGTAATGATCGATTTATTGAAAAAAATTGCCTCTTTCTGAGTAGTTGGTGGTTGAAATGGTGCTATCCCAGTTCCTTTATCTCTCCAGTTAGTAAATTTCTCCATGGTTTAAAAATAATTCCTACGATAATTAGATTCCAAATCTGTTCACAATTCGACTAGATCGCCCCACGACTATCTCTTCTATCTTTTCAAGTACTGGCTTCTACTTATATTAAAGTACCTTCCAAGGTTCCTGAAGTTTAATCTTTCGTTTATTAAATTATACACGAAATCATATTGATGTTTAATAATAATAATATATACACGGCGCGCTGTTCAATAACTTCGTGGTTCATAAACAATAATCAAAATTTTTCAGATTTTTCATAAATTTTCTATAAGTGTTATCGTTACTCCTAGATTATGTAACAACTACATCCTTATATGGACGAAGCGTCTTCTCATATACTTGGTAGATAAAGAACTCTGATTTGTTGTTAATAAATTTTAGTTGTTTTCGGAATATTTGTGTATTTTTGGTTAAAAGTTTTATAAAAAAAAATACTGTTAGAACCACAACATGTCCTATGAAGATGTCTTACATCGTGGGGACGATTTTTTGAACCAATATCCTCGAAGAAGTAGAGCCTGGAGATTTTTCTCATATAGTACATCTGTCTTTGTGATCGGTGTTTCAAAATTGATCATTAAGACTTTTTACTCCGTAAAACTTAATAATTATGAGAATTTAACCTTGGCCAGACAAAGGTCTCAAAATGAAAACAGAGGACTCATGACTGTGATGAATCACATGTCAACAGTCGATGATCCGTTCATTTGGGCTACATTACCAATGTCTATTTATTCCTCATTAACCAATATGAGATGGTGCCTGGGAGCACACAATATTTGTTTTGCAGGTAGAATCAAATCTATGTTTTTCTCTGCTGGTCAGGTACTTTCAACCGAGAGATTTGGTGCAGGCCCATTTCAAGGTGCTATTGATGCATCTATTAGATTACTAAGTCCTGATAATACAATCCCTTATACTCAAACTAGAAACTTAAATGGAACTATTAGTAAATATTTACCTCCAATAGTAAGGGAGAAGCCTTCTTGGGTTCATGTTTATCCTGAAGGATTTGTATTACAATTACATCCACCATTTCAAAATTCGATGAGATATTTCAAATGGGGGATCACCAGAATGATCCTTGAGGCTACCAGACCACCAATTGTTTTACCTATTTTTACTACCGGGTTTGAAAACATTTTGCCAGAAGATGAATCTAAATCAGGATTCAAACAATTTATCCATAGTATTGGTACTAAAATTAACGTTTCGTTCGGGAAGCCTCTAGATGACACCATTGTTGATAGTTATAGAGAAGAATGGAATAATTTGGTTCAAAAGTATAGGAGACCCGGAGAAACCGATCTAAACGATGAATTAAAGTTTGGTCCAGAAGCACAAGACATTAGAAGTAGATTGGCCGGCGAATTAAGATCTGCTGTTGCTAATATTCGTTCCGAACAACCTGATTTACCAGAAGAGGATCCTAGATTTAAAAATCCATCATGGTGGAAACGTTATACACAAACTGAAGGCCAATCAGATCCAGAAGTGAGATTCATTGGCCAAAACTGGGCTATCAGAAGATTGCAAAAATTTTTGAATATCGAACCAGCTGGAAAAGTCGATAAAACAGATCCAACTTTAAATAAGGAAAAGGAACAAGAAACTAGTGCAACCTTAAGTCCGAAATCTAAATCTGATTTTAATAAAAAGAATAACTAGGGATAGAGCGGCAAATTTAGTTAGCGAATATTGAAGGTTATTGAGAATTAAGAACAAAATTTCATGAAAAAGTAAAATAAAACTATTGTATATACATTCCTTGACGTTTTAATGAACTAAAAAAAAAAATAGAATCATATACTTATTACGAATATATTATTATAAAAAAATAGATTTAACATTAAGTACTTTTCTGCATTTTTGTACTATTAACCTTTGAAGCGAACCTTAAAGAGTTCAGAGTTTCATTCACGTGGTTAGAGGCAGACGAAATGTTGACAAACATAAGCGTCTTTGAATTACCTGTTAAGGAATTTTGAAGTAGATATGTTAATTTAGAATTCCTAAATGGAATGTGTCTTTTATTGACAGAACTATCATTTAATGCATGAATCACGTCACCAAGACAACTTAGTGACTTGTTAATATGTTGCGTTTCTCTTAGTCTTTCACCATCAACATGTGCAACATTAATTCTTTCGGAACCTGCCAAATCGATCAAGTTCAGTGTACCTTCCGACCTTTCACCCGTATTTGAGTTTTCACCTGCCAAATGAACAATAAATATGCTATGAGAACGGGAAGAATGTTCATTTGACTTCGTACTTGCTGTACTTCTCAACTTACTAGCTTTCTTAAGTACCGAGTTAACTGTAGCCTCACAATCAAGCTCACACGTTGTAATATTTGTTATCGTAGTCCTCTGCGTTTCCATATTGTGCCTAATATCATGTTTAGTTTGCTCTGTGTCTTCACCAGATTCAGTATTCCGCAATAAATCAACGATATTTTCGTTATAGATTTCGATGAATTGACACGTAATTGTATATTTCCAACCTCTTTCTTTCAGATTCTCTGTCCAATCAAATATATGGACAATTGTCAACGGTATTATCCCATCCTGTGGATTCAACATTGTATATGTCTTCCCAGAACCTGTTTGACCATATGCAAATATACAAACATTATAACCATCTAGGGCACTTTGGACTAATTGTCCGACTTCGTCAAATACATCACTATTGCTATCCTTAGTATTAAAAATTTTATCAAATTTGAAATGGAAAGTTTGAGGAGTAGTTGAATTGGCATGGACACTACGCTTTGTCACGTCAATTTCCTGGGTACCATTAGTATCATCAAATGGTGTGACCTTGAGATGAGTGGTATTTTGTGTTTCTCTTGGGAGCACAGGCCTTATTCTACAATAAACCCTGATATTACCTCTTAATTCTTGTAAGTTATTGTGAAGAGTTCTTCTAATTGTCTCCTCTTTAATTAACTCATTATTTACCAGAACCAACTTTTTCTTAATATCATCAATTTTTTTGACCAAATCCGTAGAGGAATCTTTAGTTTGCTTTATTTGTTCATTCTTTTCAGTTATCTTACTAACAAGATCCTTGGTCTCAAAACTTCTCTCTTCCAAAATCTTTTGAAGTTCTGCGTATTTTGATTTTGCATCATTTAATCGGGTAGTCAAAATATCAATTTTTGGGTATATATCGTCATTTAAGTTGTGTTCAAAAATTTCAATATCTTGTGTCATTTTGGTTCGTTTTTCAATTTCTTCTGTCCATGACTGTTGATATTTTTCTAACCATTCTTCTCTTAAGTATAAATATTTATTGTCTAGCTCCTGTTTTAGATCTGCTAATATAGAGTCATTCATCAATATTTTATTTCGTTTTCCTTCTACTTCATTTAAAAGATCTGATCTTTTTTTCTCAAATTCTTTAATTCTATCTTGTTTCAATTTTTCGATTTTCATATCATATTCATTTCGTAATTTATTCAATTCACTTTGATTCTTAGCCTCAAGCTCCTTTAAATGCAAAGCATGTCCTCTCTCTAGGATTTGCTTCTTTTCGATATTATCGTTTTCACATCTCTTGAGTTCATTTTGTTTCAGTTTTAATTCATTTTCAATTCTTCTTTTTTCTGACGCTATTTTATCCCATTTAATTTGAACCTCTTGTTGTTCTAATTTATAAGTTTCAAATTCATCATTCCTAGCATCAAGAATGGATTTTTTCCTGTATAAAGTCTCCTGTAGTTCATTTAATTCCAGCACATTACTTTTATAAAATTTTGTTAAATTGGCTGAACTATTACTAGCACTACTATTACTCAGATCATTTTGTGGAACTCGTGAATGAATTGTATTCCTCTTCTCTGATTGAAAACTGGAGCTTGAATGAATCTTTGATGGTGGTGAGCTCGTATAACGACGTTTCTGTTGCATATTACTTGGTATCAATAATTTAGTTTTCCCTGTTGGTGAGGGGATTAAGCTTGGTTCCCTAGAAACGCGTAATGGGGTTGTTGGCACATCTCTCATTATTCCTATAGTTTTCTTCAATCTGACAATATTTTTTTGGTTAGAAAAACACGAATAAGAAAATGTAGATGTATACCGTATTATTGGCCAGTTTAAATATCAACTGAACTCATAAGAATGAAGAATTACTTCGAATTCGATATGCTTATTGATCTGTTTCATCTTTGTTTACAAATTGTAATTATCTATTTATTTATTTTTCAAATACAGTTTTTGAAGGCGACTGGGTAACCTTTACTGAACCGGCACAAATTTTTTTTTTCCGCAATCAATCCGTTGCGATGAGATCGATGAAATTTTTCAAGACTGTTAATATTCTCTATGACCACAGAGAAGTAGAGCAATGTAATGCGTATTGAACAAGTGGTGAGTTATAAACAAGATATTAGCCTCGATATTTTGGTATCTGATATTAACTTATAGAAATATTTGTATATCTGAGCAGAGAAAAACATATTAAGATGGGTCCTAAAGGTAAAGTCACAGTAAGTGGTAAAAAGAGAAGCAGAAATTCCTCAAGTCTTCCAAAAGGGAAACCTTCCAAGTCAGATAGTGAAGTTGAATCTGCAAGTGCTCAAGAGAGCGAGTCAGAAGTTTCCAATGATGAAATTGAAGATGGCGACGCTGTGAAAGAAGATGCTGATGTTGAAGAAGAAGAAGAAGAAGAAGAAGAAGAAGAAGGCAATGATGAATCCGATAATGAGTTCCCAAGAAAGAAAAAATCTAAGAACAGTAAGCATGATGACGGTTCGAACGATTTCTCAAGCGCAATGTCTGCCATTTTATCATCACATCTAAAGGCTTACGATAGAAAAGATCCTATTATGGCTAGAAATAAGAAAGTATTGAAGGAGAATGAATCATCTAAACTTGAATATAAAGCAAAAAAAGCTCTGGTAGCGGAAAAGAAGAAATTGTTAAACAAGACAAGAAAAACAGAAATCATTCCAATTGCATCAGATGAACACCATACTGGTGACGAAATTAGAGAAATTATTGCAAAGGAGGCTAGATTAAGAAAGATTGCCCAAAAGGGTGTAGTAAAGCTATTTAATGCTATCCTATCAACTCAAGTAAGAACTAACAAAGAAGTTGAGGATACCATGGGAGATATTAGAAACAAAAACGAAAGAAGAGAATTGATTACCGAAGTATCGAAGGAAAAGTTCCTTGACTTGGTTAAAGCTGCTGGTGATGACGAAGAGTAGTTTATTTATTTTCTCACTCTTACATAGACACCTTCAGTCTCATAATGCATCTAACATATATCCATATTATAGTCTCATTTATAAATATATAATCACAAATGTACATTAGTTAAATTTATATCATCATGATAACCTTTTGATGGTTTCAATTTTTATTTGATTTTATTCCTAAATTATTGAGATTTTTGTGTGTATTAATGTATAAAGATGCAGTTTTTTTTACATAACTGTTTAGGTTTAAAGATGGAAGGAGGGAAAAAAACAGCTTACAGAGTTACAGAATACATAACAAATGGTTCATACTCAGTATCTACCAGAGATGCGTATTGGTGTAAGTTAGAATCGTCCTTACTAATCTTACCATTCTTATCCACTGCGAAAGCGTTACCACCTAAGAAACCGAAAGCTGTAATCAATTCAGTTTTACATTTATTTAACATCTTTGGTGGAACGGCAATGATTTTTGTATTGAAATGAGGTGGTAAACCATAACGCAATACAGATTCAACATAAACACGTAAGGTCTTGATGTGGAACCAATTCATAAATACATCGATATAAGCAGCCTTGGCTAATCTTACCAATTGTAAACGTAGAGAGTGTTCTAAACTTGCTGCAGAATCATGCTCTTTCTTTAATTCATCAATTAATTCCTCAGAATAGTTGAATTCACGTGGAACGAATTTTTGTTCTCTAGCAGATGTGATAAATTCTTGTAAGTTCTTTTTGAAAAGATGTACATTGTATAAAATATACTCAGAGTCCTGAGCTAATACAGAGGCAGATCCTGGGACAACGTTCTTAGCCAAAGTTTCATAGGATTCTTCGAATTTACCCTTCAAGGCCTTTGGTACAGCTACAAGAATGGTAGTTAAATGTTCAGAATGTAAGACAAAATTTTCTGGCTTCACTATATCATGAAGAGAACGAACTGATAAATCACCGGTTTGTTTCCTCTCTGCGGCGACTAAGTTAGTCTTAGCATTATTATAGTTTGTATAGGTTGCTCTGACATCGGCATCTAGTTGGGAGGATTCCCCTGAGATCAAACTTATTAATTCTTTAATATCTTTATCTAATTTAAATTTTCTTGTTTGCCAATGGAAGTTTTCTAAATATTCTGGTACTGGAACATTATTAATTGGGATAGTCTTATATTCGTTAGTGTTAGCTTCATTTAATCCTGCCAATATCTCTATGATTTTACCAATAGAAGCACCGATTTGATTATCTATTTTATTTAACTCTTCAGATTCAACAATCAAAGTATCCAAAGAACCAATCTTAAATTCAGGTACTTCAAACTTTGAAACAAAGGCTTTACCGCCTAATAATTGTTGTTGCAACCAAGCATCAGTGTCTAGACCTGACGCACTAATAGGTTTAGCGCTTGATGGAACTGAGAATAGCACAAACTCATTGGCGGTATATAAAGTGGTGGCCATGGTAAACACTAGTTAACTGTTTATTCTTTTTTAATCCAAAATTACTCAAAGATAATTCTAATTAAAGGAACCTTTTTTTAACCTAACTATAACTTACTGCCATTTTTATGTATATATACAGCCAGCGAGTAATCAATGGCTGTAAATTGCAACAACTTCACTTTTTTTTTTGGCCGAACAAAAATATTTGAATGGCGTTACCCTCCTTGTCATTTAATCAATTTCCCTTTTATAAGGAGAGTTGCAACGTTGAGACACTGTGCTTCAACCACATAATCAATCACCTACTATCTAACTCGACTAATGTGTGTTCAACGATTGACAATTTGTTTAAGAGTTGCAGTGAGTTATCAAACATTACAATATATAATCTTATTATATATAGGTATATATATTATAAACGTTAGAAAACTAGTATCGAGAGAGAGAGAGAGAGAGGGATGAAAAATAAATAAGATATGATAATGTTATAACATAAATATATCTTGCTTATTTCAAAACCTTACCGTCAGCAATTTCTCTGTTTTCACCGTCGACAACAACTGGTTTATCCCAAGCCCACATGTTGTTGATGAATTCCTTGTCTTCATCCTTGGTTGGGTCCAACTTAGCGTAAGCGTAAGATTCCCAATCTGGAGCAACATCGAAAGCTGGAGCGAATTCTTGACCTCTGATCATGATAGCACCGGTGATACCGTTGTTGTTGTTTTCACCGTAGATGACCATACAACCGAACATGTACTTGGTAGAAGCAGACAATCTGTTGAAGAAACCACCGACCAAGTTGTTAGACATGAAAGTCAAGGTTAATTCATCGTTGTACTTGTAGTCAACCTTCCAGATAGAGTATTCTTCTGGGTTGTAGTTGTCCCAGAACCATGGTAGAGCACCCTTTCTGGTATCTTCGTTAGAGTACTTTCTCTTCCAGTCATCTAGAATGAAGGTAGACTTACCTAGAGCTTCTAGAGGGTGCTTAGCCTTCTTTTCAGTTGGTTCAGCAGCTGGCTTTTCTTCCTTCTTAGCTTGCTTCTTTGGTTGTTCTTCCTTCTTTGGCTTGTCCTTCTTTTCCTTCTTAGCTGGAACGTAAGCTAAAGCCTTTTCAGCGAATTGGAAACCCTTGAAAGCAATCTTACCTAGATCAGAGGCAACAACAGTCTTTATCCATCTGACTAAGTATGGGTGTTGGGTTCTAGCTTCTGGACCTAGAATGGTAGAGAAAGCAGCAGTCCAAGAGACAGCACATTGTAAATCAGCTAGAGAGATCTTTTCGGTAGCAACATAAGTGTGAGTCTTCAATCTGTCATCGAAAACCTTAGCGTACTTTTCAATTAAAGCGAAACGGTTATCGTTTTCCTTCTTGTTGAATTGAGTAACACCCTTAATAGAAAGAATGTTACCGAAGATAGCAGAGAATAGGTTGGTGTTACCAACGGAGACCCATCTTAGAACTTGAGTCTTTTCAGCTTCGGTCTTACCCTTTAGGACAGCCTTAGCCTTTTCATCTTGAATCAAATCAGCAACGTAGTAAAGGACGGCAATTTCTTCAGTGATCTTGAAACCCTTTGGACCAACAAAAGCTGGAATTTGACCTAGAGGGAACTTGGTCTCAAAATCAGCGACAGTAGATTTTTCAACACAGGTGATGTCAATGTTGAAGTTTTCAATCAAAGCCTTGACTGGGTTGCATCTTGGAGTAGCAGAGGTGTATAGAGTACCTTGAGACATGATTATATGTATATATAGATAGTTTCCTAGAGAATTAAGAATTACAAAAAAACAAGCAAACACAAGACACAAAAAGAAGAATTGCAAAAAAAGATATTCAGTGATAATACCAATTGGATGAGATATCTAGCTTTATATATATGTGATGATCATCATTATTGCTGCTATTCATCTCTGTATCTCTATCTTACAGGTAAGATGAGAAATCAAAAAAAAAAGTGAAAAATTTTTCCAGAATGGAAGTAGCATTACCCGCCTTCAGAGAAAAAAATTTGAAAATTTTTCGTTTCTGGAAAAAAAATTGTTGTATGGCGATAGAGAGGGAACTAGCTAGTAAGATTTGCGATGAGCTTCGATGAGCTAACCAGAAGGAATAAAAGAATATATATGAGACCATGGATTGAAAACATGCTTAATAATATTAGTTGGCGTAGGATATTGTAGATATATTGTATTTGGTGTTATAAAGAAGGTGAGCAGTGATGAGTAATTCGGTGGAAGAGAGACTAAGGGCGAATTCAAATGCCTTTGATGGTTTATTGGCATTGATCCCTGCTAAATATTATTACGATGAACAAACACAGGATCAGTGGAAAGCTAAGAAGAAGAGTAAAGGTCAAGCTCGCGATGACAAGGCCAAGAAGTTGGATCCAAATTCTCAAAGTGAAGAAGTCTCCACGGCATTAGATGTGATGAAGAAACGTGAAGTGAATGCTAAACCTGTGGTATTACCTGGTCAAAGAATGAAAGAGATGAAGGAAGCACAGAGACAGGTTACTGCAACCAAAAAAAGTAACAAAACTGATAAAAAGGAAGAAGATGAAGAAGATGATGAATCACTTGATGAACATGAAAACATTAAGATGATCTTCGATGATGAAGGAAATGAAATCAAGGATGATAAAGATAATACTGAAGAAAAAGAGACTCTTTCTGAAAATAGTGACAGCGTTGATGTAGATGAGCAAAAATTTGAGACTGATGGTGAGAAACATGCCGCTATCAAAGAAGCTAAGACAGCTGAACAAAAAAAGATTACTGAAGAGATGAAGGAAAAGAAACAAAAAAATTTAGAAGCATTACGTAGTAAATTACAATCTAAGATTCAAAATATGAGAAATAAACGTAAAGCTCCAGGTTCCAAAGCACAAGGAGCCCCTGCATCAAGAGAAGCAATTTTGAAACAAAGACAACTTAGAGAAGAATTAAGGAAGAAGAGACAATTACCTGAACAAGACGAAAATAGTGATTCAGATGTTAGTGATGATGAAGACGATCATCTTTCTAAAAAATCTAAAGGTAATGATAAGAATGATGATATAAATGCTGACGGTGTAATTTTTCAAAATATTATGTTTGATGATGGTGATAGAGCTACATCTGATTTACAAAGAATAAGGAAAAATGGTAGTGGTAAGAAAAGAGGACCAGCTAAAAATGATTTGAAGGCTCATTTAAAGATTTTAGAAGATAGAAAGAGTAAACTTGAAGCTAGGGATGAATTAAGTCAAATTAAACAGAAGGAAAAAGATAAATGGCAAAGGACAATGCTTCAAACTGAAGGCATTAAAATTAAAGATGATGAAAAATTATTAAAGAAAGCATTAAAGAGAAAAGAAGCTAAGAAGAGAAAGTCTGCCATTGAATGGAGGGACCGTAAACAAATGGTTGTCGATACCAAGGCTGAAAGAGTAAAGAGAAGAGAAGAAAACTTACAAATTAGAAAAGAAAATAAAGGTGTTAAGAGGTCGAAACAGCAAAAGATGAAACGTAAATTTAAAGGTGTTATTACACCTAAGAAGAGAGCAGGCTTTGAAGGTCGTTTGAAGTCCGGTAAAGGTAGAAGGTAGTAAGATAAAAAAATAATAACTATATATAAAACATCCATTGAAAAAAACAATATAAATTTCTTAGTCATCATTAATTTTCATGTAATATATGCAATTCAAAGTACAAAATATCAAAAACACAGACCTGAGGGAAGTTATAGAATATTATTTTAGATAATAGAGAATATAACGAACATATATAGTTGTGTATACTTCTTATATTACTTACAATTCGCATGATTGCAAATTTGATGGGACGTTCTTAAAATAAATATCATAATGAAGTTTACAACCTGGATTAAAATTTGTTAAACAATTTGTACACTTGATACCTTTTGAATATTCTTCAAATGTCATTTCATTTTGACATTTTCCGCACAGGATAGTGGGTGTTATAGCCTCTTTCTTAATATTCAAGTCATACACTATAGGATCATGATTCGTCATTTCTTGATGACATTCATAACATGAATAGAACGTCTGACAACATTTAAATTTAATTGCCATCACATCAAGTGGCGAATTCCAATGTACACATCTTGTTTGATCATCAACTAGTTTCCCAACTACTTTAACCATGTCTTTTCTTTTTGGGAATATTCGTTAGGGGAAAGACAAGTATGATGATGATGATAATAATAAATGTATGTATTTATTTTTACAAATTTTCTTTTTGTTTTTTTCAGAGAGTGTTGAATATTTATATAATGTTATAATGGTATGGTGAGTGCTTGAAGTAGACTCGGAAATAAGAATGTGAGCATACGTATGTATATATATAATTTTTTTTTATTTCATTTTTAGCGTGAAAAACATTTTACGAATCTATTTTCTAGAATCAGCAAATTTAATACCTTTATCAATATTTTTCTTTAAAGTTTCTTTACATTCTTTTAATAATTCATTTTCTTCAGCATTAATTTCACCAATTGGATGAATTTCTTGAATACCATCTGGACCTAAAGTTACAGGAGATGCAAAAAATTCGATACCTTCATTTTTATATAATGGAGAATCAACATATGATGGTTGAATGACATTTTTTTCACCTGCAAAACCTGAAAGAACAGCATTAGCGAATTTTGCACCTGCTTGAGCCATTGATAAAGTTGCTGAACCACCACCATTTTTAGCTTTAACAACTTCGTCACCACCGAATTGAATTCTATGAATTAAAGAATCTTTTTGTTCTTTAGTTAAAGTTGAACCATATTTAGTTTGTGATAATAAAGGAATAATTGTAATACCTGAATGACCACCAATAACATTAATTTTTTCTTTTGTTGGATTTGTATTAACAATTTCAGAAATAAATCTTGATGATCTAATACTATCTAAAGTTGTTACACCAAATAATTTTTTTGAATTATAGACACCATTTTTCTTAAATACTTCTGCGACAATTGGTACAGTTGAATTAACAGGATTTGAAATAACTAAAATTGCAGCATTTGGTGAATTTTTAGCTGCAGCAGTTGCCAAATCATAAACAATTCCTGCATTAATATTAAATAAATCATCTCTTGTCATACCAGGTTTTCTTGGCACACCTGCAGGGATTAAAACTAAATCAGTATCTTTCAAAGCATTATTTAAACCATCGGATTCTTCAGCTGAAAACCCTGTAACTTTAGAATTTGTTGGAATATGTGAAATATCTGTGGCAACACCTTTTGCATTTTTAATATCATAAAGTCTTAAATCTGTTACTTTATCATTTAATTTCATTAATAATGATAATGGTTGACCAATACCACCACATGCACCAAGAACTGTTACTTTATAAGGATTAAATGCAGTTGAAGTAAAAGTTCTTTTAGCTAAAGTTGAAAAGATCATTATGTGTGTGTGTGAGGGATGTGTGTATGTGTGTATGTATATGTATGTGTGGGTCACCTCTTGTCAAGTTTAACAGACAAAGTTATAAATCTACAAGCAAAATATATACTAGTAGAAATAAAAAGAAAAATATACAACTTCTTATATATATATGAGAACTCAAGTTAAGAACAGACAAAACATCACGATATAAACAAAGACTTATAATTGGATAATAAAAAAGATGTAACGGAGTTAAATATTTAAGTCAATAGGTAGTCATTTTCTCAAATTTACAATAGTTAATGCCTTATTTGTTTAATTAAATCAACCAATCAGCAACGAATATTTTTCCTTTATTTAGCCGGTTAACACCCCTTAAATGGGTGTTTTGCGCTTCAAAAATAAGCAAAAACAATAATCGCATCACTTTTTGGTAAATTTCCCTCAAAGAATGAGAGAGGGTCGCCGAGAAACGGCTCCGCAGTTGACAAAACGAAACCGTTTCGCGTGAGAGGGGAATATTGCAATACCGATAAATCGGAGAATAAGAATTCACGTGAACAAAAAAAAAATGTTTTTTTGAGGGCCCACTGTTCTCTCGGCATTGAGAAGGAATATCATCTGGGACGAACCCTAACATAGGGCACCCCGGGAAAAAAAAGAGAAAAAAAAAGAAACAAGCCAACCCTTTCAGTAAATGTGTGGGTTGAGAGGGAGAGGGAGAGGGAGAGGGAGAGGGGATGATGCACTGATGACATCAACAAGATGCAACCAATTGCATGAACAAAGGAGAAGACGAAGGGGTTAAAAGATGTTCGACACATTTATTCGTATATATAGGGAGAAAGAAATTCAAGTAGAATAAGCAGTAAATTTACCGAGAAAGGAATAAATTTGTCAGTCTCCTCAAAGCAACGCAAAGTAAAGCAACAACACATTGTGTGGGTGAGTGTGTTTTTTTTGTTAAAAAGAGAACAAAGGACAGAAAGAAGAATCCTAAAGATAAAAATAGAATAACTAAGATGAGCCATAATAAGGATTTAGGGGATAATACTGGTGATATCTCACAATGTCCCGTAGATGAAGAAACAAGATTAAAATGGTTGCAACAGCAAGATAATTCTAATAATGACAGCAGTACAATACTTTCAACAGAAAGAGAAATCTCTGGTATACCACGTACCGGTTCAAATGGTCAAAAATGGGTTTATCCCAGTGAGAAACAATTTTATGATGCAATGACACGTAAAAATTTTAAAGATACGAATAAAATGGATATGAAGACGGTGATACCGATTCATAATAATGTTAATGAAAGAGTTTGGAATTATATTAAGAAATGGGAAAATGTTACATCAGAAGATGCATTTAAGTTATTATCATTGACATCGTTTAAAGGCGATTCCAAGAAAATTACACCAAGGGCATGGATAAGACATTATATCCTAGGAATGGATCTTCCATTTGATAGACATGATTGGCAAATTAATCACAAACTAAATTTATCATCAAACGAATCAATTAATATTGATTATGTTATTGATTTCTATATGAATAAACAACAAGGAGTTTATTTAGACGTGCGACCAAAATTAAATAGTTTTGAAGGTTGTAAGAAAAGGTTATTACATTTTCTTGGTTTATAATGAAGAAATTCTTCTCTTTTTTTTTCTTACCCTTAAAGGGCTATTGGATTTCAATGTATGAGGAGCTGACCTCAATTACTTATTAAGTTCACTACGTAATCGTTCTTTTGTAAATATAATATAATACGTACACAGAAAATACATCCTTTCATATTCATATTCATCCTTTTTTTTATTTGATCTCCTCACAGTTGCCGTTGTTGTTACGATGCCAGAAACGGTAATTTGAAGAATCGAAGACTTACTCTCTTTACGTAGGTGGGTGCTTCGTAACCGATAGAAAAATTCCATTCTTGCAACGAGGAGGAAGAAGAGTTCTGGAACTAATGTGACAGTCCGTTCCTCCTCTCTTTCCTTGTGCACCGAACGAGAGAAAAACCCTTTTCTTTTTCAATAGACTAAGCACAGTATGTGTACGCCTGCGGCGGATTACAGGATTGCTATTGAGGAAAATTTGGACAAAAGAGAATTTTCCGAGTAATTCTCTTTCATTTTCACTTAATTTTGCCTTCCATTTGGTAATTTCTTTGCGTTGCTACGTGCACTTCTCTTAAAGCTTAGCAGCTTTGCTTTTTTAATTTACATCTGTGCTTAATAAACCCAGGCAAAGACAATACATATTCACAGCCTCTTCTAAGGTAGTAATTGGTGATGGGAACACACAAACAGCTTTTTTGGCTATGTTTTTTTTGCTACTTTCTTTACCTGTTTAGGGTTTTGTTTTTGTTTATTGAATTGAGTTGTTGGCCAATTTGTATGACATATTGTTGTTACCAGAGGGAATGTCTCTTTTTGCGATGCCTTTCCCACATTCTCATTCATCCTTGTTTTCTCCCTCTCTTCTTAACTAAAGATTGGCAACAAATCTGTCTTTTCCTCTTTTGCTTTTCTAATTCAATAGACACACACACACACTCACATATATATATATATATATAAAGAGCTCTCTTTGATGTATTTCTTTTTTTCTGTTCTCTTGATATTTTAATTTCATGGATATTTCACTTTCTTTTCTTGGTTTTTTCTTTTTCTATACAACCAATCAAATATACATTCAAACAATATTATCATGTCATCTACTTCAAGTAAGACCAATGATTTAGAAAATCAATTACCTGTCGGTAATCAAAATACTGTTGTCACACCAACAGTTTCACAGAGCGGTAGACCATACGATCCTGCAATGGATGATGCTTTCCCAAAACATCCACTTCCAAATGCTGGTGACAACAACTCTCAAACTGTTTCAAATAAAGGTACCGTAGCTTCAAGATTTGATATTGGTAGAGATTCTTGGAGAACTCATTTTATTGCTGCTTATGGTGAATTTTGTGGTACTTTTATGTTTTTATGGTGTGCTTATGTGATTGCTAATATTGCTAATCATGATCTTTTATTAAGTTATCCAGAAGATCAAAATAAATATCAATCTCATCCTGGTCAATTAATTATGATTGCTTTAGGTTTTGGTTTTTCTGTTATGTTCTCTGTTTGGTGTTTTGCTGGTGTTTCAGGTGCTGCTTTAAACCCTGCCGTTACTTTATCCTTAGCTTTGGCTAAAGCTATTACACCAACTCGTTGTGTTGTTATGTGGCTCGCTGAAATTATTGCAGGTTTAGCTGCAGGTGGTGCCGCAAGTGGTATGACCCCAGGTGAAGTTAAATTTGCTAATTCTTTAGGTCTTGGTTGTTCAAGAACTAGAGGTTTATTTTTAGAAATGTTTGGTACCGCCATCTTATGTTTAACCGTCCTAATGACAGCCGTTGAAAAGAGAGAAACTAATTTCATCGCTGCTTTACCAATTGGTGTATCTTTATTCATTGGTCATTTGGCTTTAACTGCTTACACAGGTACAGGTGTTAATCCTGCAAGATCTTTAGGTGCAGCTGTTGCAGCTAAATATTTCCCAGGTTATCACTGGATTTACTGGATTGGTCCTTTATTAGGTGCCTTCTTAGCTTGGTCAGTTTGGCAATTACTACAATGGTTAGATTATGCTACTTTAGTTGCCGCTGAAAAGGAAGAATGAATTTAATTTATTTCTTGTTTGCATTTTCTTTTCCACCCCTCCTCCCATTGATTTCTAATCAAATTACCAACAACTACTACTATTCTCTTATAATAATACTAATACTAATATAATTTTTTAATACATTTTTTACTTTATTTAATGTAAATTAATTTCATTCAATTTTGAAATTTTATTTTTTATTTTTGATGTATTTAGCCATCGCATCGTCAAATACATACATACATACATATATATATATTCACATGATTATACAATATGACAATGAAATAATAATCATAACCATTTGAGGAGAATGAATCTACCTATACTGTGTAAGGAATTGAATTCAAATACGTTACAAAAATTAGCGTTCTTAATTGGTGCAAAACAAGACACGAAAAAACCATTAAGAATTCAAAATATTATTGATAGATTTAAACTTTTCAATGATTTATCAAATGTCAAGCATAATAATAGCAAGAAAGAGATCACTATCACTGCAATTGATACAGGGATAGTCAACTGTGCAATCGCATCAATGACTATCACTTCTACCGATTCATTTCGACTGAACTATTGGAGGAAATGGAATCTTCAACATCAATTTCTAGGTGATGGGCAATCATTGACTTTATCTCCACAACAAACATCCTTAGTATCGCGCTCTTTAGTATCATATCTCTTAAAGCAACCGTTTGTGAATGATACATCGTTATTCACAATCGAGAAACAACGTGCGAGAACCGTGTCTTCTCGAGTGGTGTCTGATCCTATTTTAAAATTGAATATTATGGAACATTTACTGTATGATAGATTAAGTGATCATGCAATGATTGAATCATCAGATCCTGCTAGGATGACTAAATTTTGGATACCTCAGGAATTACAAAGACAACACGATTTAAAATTTAATTCTAAACGTGCAAGAATCGATTTAGTAAAATCAATGGTTTTTCAAAACAGTTTAGGGTTTTTAAGGCTGATGGAACCAATAAGCACTCAATTCATTCAGTATCAAGAAGAGAGACATCGTACTAGAATGCCTTGGTTGTTTGATGCTTTACAATTACAAGAACCTTTGAATGGTGCAAGGAAAGATGATGATTTAGCAGATTCTTTATTGCATGCACTCGCGTGGTCACAATGGTTCAAGACATATTGTGAACTGAACCAATTATTGTTAACAAACCCATTACATTCTCAATTGAATGATTATATACATGGACAATACGATCAATGGCGAGAAATGTTAATGAACAAATTGAAACCTTGAGTCGTTTTGAGTTCTCCTCATCGTGTATTTGGTAGTATCAACCCAACACGTGATGGTTTGGTTTTAATTTTTATTTTTATGGTTTTTTTTCGCGCCAACTGTTTGCAGTTCTCTCAAGGATTACAAGTATTGAGAAAACGAAAGTTGAAAAAGGCCAACAAACTTAAAAGGAATTATATCTAATAATGATTGGAATTGGTTGAAAATTCTATTGAATGCATATAGGATAATAATAACATCCATCTCCAAACTGCAACTATGAATATTAGAGCCGAATTAGCCAAGTTTTTAAACCTATGTTTTGTCTTTTCATCAGCATACATGTTTTGGCAAACATATTCAATTATTGCAGATACACATTCACCAATTGTAGTAGTATTATCAGGATCAATGGAACCAGCATTCCAAAGAGGTGACATTTTATTCCTTTGGAATAGAAATCAATATTCTAAAGTAGGTGATATTGTTGTGTATGAAGTCGAAGATAAACAAATTCCAATTGTCCATAGAGTATTGAGAGAACATCATAGTACAAAAAATAATGGTAAACAATTATTATTAACTAAAGGTGATAATAATGCAGGTAATGATATTCCTTTATATGCAGGTAAGAAAACTTATCTAGCTAAAAATACAGATATTGTGGGTACAGTGAAAGGTTATTTCCCTCAATTGGGTTATGTAACTATTTGGGTAGCCGAGAATAAATATGCTAAATTTGCATTATTAGGTTTCCTAGCCATAACATCATTGTTAGGAGACGAATGATTTAAATCAGCTTTCATAAAGTAACTGTCAATAACTGAGTGAAATACATATATGCATATATATATCGTATCGTTATTATTATTACTATTATTACATATTGTATATATGTTCATTAAATACATAGAAAGAAATGAAATAAGCATGTGACAAAGAAAATATATACTTTTGGGACGATTTTCAATAGTGTCCCAAGGTACAACATCGGCAACCAAAACAAAAGAGGCATGATCTGTTGAACCATTCATTTCAATGATAAATCTTTCATTGATAAAAGGGCTCTTTTGTTAAAATTAAGATCAAAATTGTTTTACATAATCGCAGTTACCCTCGCGATACCTTTTTTGTTTGATTTGGTTTTCGCCTTTCTAACATCGCCAAATATTTTGGCGGAAAGTTGAAATAACTTTGCAAAGGCCGAGAAGAACAAAAGGGGCATATTTTAATATATACATTTAAAAGTTGTGAAAACGATCAGTGAGTTGATGAACTGAGAGCTAGACTATAACAACACAATTTGATAGATATCACTTATAAATTATTGTGTATACATATTGTTTCATTCCAATAAACACCCAAGAAAGCTAATTGCAATTTTATAATGTCACAATCCCTACGTCCATACTTAACAGCAGTACGTTATTCCTTAGAGGCTGCTCTAACATTGACTAACTTCTCCTCTCAAGAGGTTGAAAGACATAATAGACCAGAAATTGAAGTACCTAACACCAGTGCAGAGTTATTACTGCAACCAATGCATATTGCTCGTAGTGAGACTGAACAAGTATTGATTGAACCAAGTGTTAATTCAGTACGTATAAGTTTGATGGTAAAGCAAGCAGATGAAATTGAACAAATTCTAGTACATAAGTTTACCATGTTTTTAGAACAAAGAGCAGAAGCATTCCATATTCTAAGACGTGCACCAATTAAAGGTTACAGTATCTCATTTTTGATTACAAATAAACATACAGAATCAATGAAAACAGGTAAATTAGTTGATTTTATTATTGAATTCATGGAAGAAGTAGACAAAGAAATTAGTGAGATGAAATTATTCTTAAATGCAAGAGCAAGATTTGTTGCAAATGAATATCTAGGTGAATTTGTTTACTGAGTTTTTATATCTTATGTTCTTTTTTTGAAACTTCAGTTCCGTATATACCAGAACATGAAAAGAGCATTATATACAAGTAAATATTTACTAATACAATAACGAACCAATAGAATAATAGAAAACTAATAATAAAATATTAGAAATTATATAAAATAATAACTAAACGATGAAAGATTTTTTTGATTGAATTTAAATTCCCAATTTGTTAAAAGTCTGAATCTTATATTCTTTTAGAAAACGTTCCCGATAATACTTATCCGGCTTGAAAGTCTAAATAAACTCTCTCTGAATATATTCTATTTCCACAGATGCTCTTTAAGTTTATAATAAACCGTTTCGAACTGGGTTTTGTTGATTTATATTTAATGAAACGATGAGAAAGCTATCGGTTGTTTGCTAGCATTATTTCGCGGTGTAAACCATTTGATTGATGCAATTTCTGAGTTTTTTTAAGATGCAAGAGTATTGTAAATCATGGAAGGTTTCTTAAAGAGTTTCTTTAATTTTATAAACCATTCATGATTTATCATTAATAAGATTTACCATACCCAAGTGTTGATCAATTAAAAAAATATTTATTATCTAAGATACACCTATATGATTATCTATACTTTGAATACTCAATTCTGTGGTAGAAATTGTTAGCCACGAATGACTTAGTTTCTCCTGGTGGTGCTTCAATCCTCTCATATTCTATAACAGAGGGGGAAAGATATGCTGAGAGGGTATATATAGAACTTCTGCCTCTTTTCAAAATGGGAATATTAAACAAATGAGAACCCCACAAGAGTTGTGGATTTATCAAATATAATGTACTGACATACAACACTGACTGATATGTTCCGCTTACCGCCAATTTTGATGTAATAGGAAATTTGTAAAACCTCGTCGCGTAATAGGGGCAGTTATCATATTTGGTTAAAAATACGTTTGAAGAAACAAGAAAATAGTTCAAATTAGTTGTACTGGAATTAATTATAAACTACCTGACTACTTTAATTTATAATAGCATAATTCTTTGATCAATTTGTAATTCTCTAATTAACTAAAATATCAATTATTATTATATCAGATTAAATTTTTTGGATCTCTCGAGATGATGTTACGCGAAATATCCTCATTAGAACAGTATTTTTATTACAGATGTAAATTACACTTACATTCGTGCTTTTACCTTGCAGTTACAGTAAATAATATTCCATCAAAGGCTCTATTAGGATATGCATTGCAAGAGACTATTAAAAAATACCCACAAACCCATTGTACTGTTACACTAGACTCACCAGATTCTCCACCAAGGATCAAGGAACTCTCGGATTCACCAATTTACTTTGATGATGTCGTAGAGTATTCAAAATGGGAATCACTCGATGCTAATAATATGAATACTATCTTTAAAGAGTATGGCTTTCCCTTTGATAACGGTAAACCATTATGGAAAATCATTGTACTGGAGAAGGCTAACCAGTTAGTATTTGTGCTAAGTCATATATTCTTTGATGGTATGTCATCCACTATTTTTACTACAACATTTATGGAGCATTTAAACGGTAAATTTGATGGCTCTAAAATGGCAGATAACTGTCTGCTCTATACATCATCACAGGATGTAGAGATAGCCGTGCATGCTTACGATTTATGGCCAGTTCCATTGAATTGGAAAATAAAAAGACAATTAGTAAAATTATTGTTAAAACTTTCACCTGGTATAGTTACTGGCAGTGATGCGAATCTGTTGCAGTTTAAAAACTACAATTTCCCTGATGATTTTGCTAAAGTTCCAACAGATGAAATCGATACATTTACTGTAAACAATGATAATATTCAAAGAGTACTAAGGTTCCCACCGGAACAATTGAAAACAATTTTAACTAAATGTAAAGAAGAGAAAGTTTCATTAACTTCTTTCCTAACGGCATTATTTTCAATTGGTTTGAATAATGTATCGGATGATGTCCTAAGGAATGGCAAATCATTTTTGGTTAATATCCCAATGAATACCCGAGCTATTTGCAAAGAGTACTTGAAAATTGATGACTCAGCTTTACAAATGGGTAATTTTATCGTTGGACTGGAGTACCCTACTTCTCTTGATATTGTCTCTAGTGACACCATCTGGAGTCTTGCATCTAAGGTCAATGAGTTCATAATAGATAATAGACAAAATAAAATATCGGATCAAATGAATACTGCTAAGTTATTGGATATTGCGGATGTTCAAAGCTATGTTAGGCAAAAAGTTGAAAATTCATATGGTATTGGGCCAGGGGCAGCCTTTGAAATCACAAATTTAGGGTATAACACATTTGGAGGCAATTCTTCTGATGAAGGAAAAAAATACTATGTTACAGATGCGCTTTTTAATCAACCACAAGGGTTTTCAAATATATTCAACTGTAGTTTTGTAACAACACCAATAGGTGGTTTGACATGTAGTATTAGTTATCCTAAGAACCTTGTTGTTGAAATGGAACCCATTTGGGCTAAAGTCGATGAAATTGTTGAAAATATATGCAATCCTAAATGATAAGTTTCCTTTTTTCAATATTTATATTTATATAAACAAATATATATATATATAAAGATAAATTCATATTGTCCCAATCATACCTTGTTTTCAACTTCATAGTTGTAAATATTATGATTCATGTCTGAACTGCTTCTTGTGATCGCTGTGCTTACATTATCTATGTCTACAGCCTTTGGTTCAAAATTATAGGAAGTTTGAATTTCTACAGATTCTTCTTGAACTCTGTAAATACTTGAAATTCTAATAAATGTTACGAATATCACAGGTAATAAAAACATTGGAACAGCATCAAAGACGTATAAAAACCATTCATGTGATATAATTACACCTTTATAACCTTGAATGAATTCAATGGCTCTTACGATAGATCTAACTAGGATAAGGACACAGTTTATTAATAGGATTATATTCAATCTTTTCCATGTCTTTGAACCGGATGCAATTGGATTGTCAAGTTTACCTAACTTAAATAAGAAATATACTTCGTTTAACATGAATAAACCAAACCAGCCGATTTGAACGAAAAGACCAGCGGTGACTAAATTGGAACCTGTAGTGACAGAGGATTCATTAGCCATTAAACCACCACCGGCGGCTTGTAAGAACAAACTGAATACATCACCAACAACAAAGAAGGTTGTATTATATTTGGCAGGCATAATCATTAATTTTTCAGCTTGTAGTAAATGAGCCATTCTACCGAATAGCATATAGATAGTAGCAGTGTAAAAAGTAGGAGCAATCAATAGACAAATAGATTGACCGATATAGGGACCGACCTTTTCTTGATTTAAAGTAGATATACTTCTACAAATGTAACCTGCAATTTCAGCACCGATACCAAAGAAAAATGGCACATAAGCACCAATCAATTGTGTTCTGTTATAGTATTTAATAGAATATGAAACTGAAGTGTTAGCATCTAAATAACTTGATACCTTTTTCATACTTTTACAACCATATGATACAAATACGGGCACAATAATGACACATATTATACAAAACATAATTGCAAAAAATCTAGCTGCACCTTGGTTAGGAGTATATCTGTATAATTGAAAGTCATCGAAATCGTCACTAGTCATCTTTATAATAAATTCTCGTAAATTGTAAAAATATTTGAATATTAGTTAATTGAAATAATATAGGATTAAAATCAAATCTTAATTCGTATGTATGGTTGATATTATTATAATCTTATTTATATATCTATCTGTTTATTGATTTTAGATGATGAATAAAAACAAGAAGAAGGAAATATGAAGATAGCTGAAAAACTTTAAGAATAAGTAATCTTTATATATACTCTTATGATGATAAATTTATTACGGAGATCAAAAACCTTTAAAAGAGAAAGGCTTATCCTTAACCATGCATAGCCTCGTTCATTAAATGAGAGTAATGGATGCAGAAGGTCTTCTTTCCTACGTCTTTATTAAAATGAGAAAGAGAGAGTCATTGTTCTGTGTTACACTTAAAAAAGAAAGGTATTAGATGCATCAAATAAAAAAAAAAAATAACGTTATGTGTGTATTAATAAAAGTTGTTGATACTGTTAACTAAGGCATATGATTTCCGAAGACAGTTCGGCAAAAATAAATATAAGCAAAAGGTTCATCAATGTACCGATTTAGCCAACCCGCTAACTAACACGCCTGTGGAGCACTCTTTTCCATCTTGTACGCCTTATTGTGTAGGAAATCACAATTTATTTTTAATTATAAATCTTGAAATGTGTCGATGACCCCAGAACAAAGTTTGCCCAGTGCATTGTCTTAGCCAAGTAAACATTTGTGATTAATTCAAGAAACACCGAGCATCTTCGGTAACTAAAGACATTTTGAGGGTGAAAAGAAAGTTCGCGTTGCTGTTGCTACATATTTCTAATTTGTACGCGTATTTCTTCGCATTTCGTTTTTTCAAGATTGAAAAATGAAGGCACAGTTAAATTATACTCAAGTTTTACATGGCGAAAGAGAGTGCTTCGGGAAAAGATACCAAGGGTCTGCTTCCGGATCATAGTCAAACAAGCTACACGGAACGCCAATTTCGGGAGACTATTCCGAACAATATTCGGTTATTTATTTTTTTTAATTACTACACAGTAAACAAATAAAGAATCCATTTATAGAATATGTATATGATTAGAATCTATCAAAAAAAACAAAAATAATAGTAATAATAATAAGGATGGCGATGGCGATGGCATTTATTGATTGTATGTTACTTCAGCTGGTACAGAATCCACCAATAAAAATGTAAATGGGTCAAATTTTATGCCTAAATATCCTTAAATTATGCTAACTTTAGCGCCCTGCAAACATACTGATAGAATTTTTTCTTCCATCGAGAAACAAAATAGCCAAGACATAAAGGTAAAAGAAAAAATACAGCAATTATTTTGTAATCTATTTATATATTATTGTTGAATGTCGACATGACTAGTAGGTTGTTTTTTTTGTTTAACAATCCGAACGTTGTTCGGTGGGAACCATAGTACTCCTCTTTTAACTTGAAAATATTTTTTTTTATTTACGAGAAATTAGTATTTAATCATTTTTTTGTTTTGACTGTTTTTACACCCACACACATTTCGGAACATCCGTGCATTTGTTTTTCAATTTAAAAAAGCAGTATTTAATATTTTTTTAAGTTTTCTTTAGCGGTGAAAGCGTACCGTATTCAGAAAAAAAAAATGTAGCCATTATCTAGATTTTATTTAGACGGAGATTTCTTAGCGAGTTTACCTCTCACTAACATTTAGGCGGTACTCCCATCAGCGGTCAAGGGGGAGACAAATGTTCTCCGCCTAAATCAAAAATTCCCTGGTAAGATATTCCTCCTTTTACCTTAGTCTTACACGGAACCGAAATTTTCATTTTGTGAATAGAATACTGTTTGGTTTCTAATTGTGCTTTCCTACCTCCTAGAAACAATAATATTTGGCACCAAATAGCTGTTTCGTACTGTCTCTCCCTGGGAGTGAATTATTCTGAAACTAACTTGCACGCATCTGTTAATGGATATTCTGTGTCTCTCATACTATCCCATCAAATTATTACTGTTATCGTTCTTATTCCTATTACTATCCAATCAATCATTCTATGAACTGCAATACATCTCTGCTATTCTCATTGATGGACGCATCCTCTCTTACAATACATTCTCTTACTATTACACACAGTTACTGCACTTAGTAGTCAAACCTACTAACTAAGAACTTAGAGGATAACGATATTTATCAAAAAATTTAAAATTGATAAAATAATTTATTGTATTAAATAGTAGTATATAACAAATCTTGTTTATTTTAACTTGTATTATCTTGGAAACTTTTTATACTACCGGAAATAATAGCATAAGAAATTGAGCAAAATGTCACTACCAGCTACTTTTGACTTAACCCCAGAAGATGCCCAACTATTGTTGGCTGCTAACGCACACTTAGGTGCTAGAAACGTTCAAGTATGTTTTAAGATAAATACATAAGTGATGTATACTTCCCCCACAAGGTTTATTTCACTTTATTGTATCAGATAATAAAAGTTCATTGAAAGATAAAACCCAATATAAGAAATATTAATGTAAGTGGAATAGAAATACAAATAAATGACATATGATAATACAATACAGCATATATTGATAGATTCGAGTGATTATTGTGACTTGAAAGAATACATACCTTTTTTAAAAAAATATCATAGATCAGTAATGGTTGTAAAATACGATAATTCGGAAAAGAAATTGAAAATATTTGAACATGTAGAATAGTGATACATTATTGAACTAAAATAGTATAATATTTGTAAGATCAAATCCTGTCATTATTTTCCAATTAACAAACTATGAAATTGACTATATTATAATATATCTGAATAATTTTGAAATGATAGATGAACAATAAACATTGCAATTTACAAGGAGCATAACCAGCACGTATTTAAAAAAAACAATGTCAAGAGAGATCCTAGCATCATTGTATCTAATTATTGTTTCTTTCTATTTTTACAAATATTTTTAAATTCCTGTATGGTTTGTCCGTTATTAGTGAACTTTTTGCATAGATTTAAAATAAGATTTTTTTACTAACAATAATAATTATTGAACTAATTTATTGTTCAATATCTATTTAATTTTTCATATTAGGTTCACCAAGAACCATACGTTTTCGAAGCTAGACCAGATGGTGTCCACGTCATCAACGTCGGTAAGACTTGGGAAAAGATTGTTCTAGCTGCTAGAATTATCGCTGCCATTCCAAACCCAGAAGATGTCGTTGCCATCTCTTCCAGAACTTACGGTCAAAGAGCTGTCCTAAAGTACGCTGCCCACACTGGTGCTACTCCAATTGCTGGTAGATTCACTCCAGGTTCTTTCACTAACTACATCACCCGTTCTTTCAAGGAACCAAGATTAGTTATTGTTACTGACCCAAGATCTGATGCCCAAGCTATTAAGGAAGCTTCTTACGTTAACATTCCAGTCATTGCCCTAACTGACTTGGACTCCCCATCTGAATACGTTGATGTTGCTATCCCATGTAACAACAGAGGTAAGCACTCCATCGGTTTAATCTGGTACCTATTGGCCAGAGAAGTTCTAAGACTAAGAGGTGCTCTAGTTGACAGAACTCAACCATGGTCCATCATGCCAGATTTATACTTCTTCAGAAACCCAGAAGAAGTTGAACTACAAAACACTGAAGAAGCTCTAGCTGAAGCTGTTGCCGAAGGTGATGAACCAAAGGAAGAAGTCACTGAAGAAGCTACTGGTGCTTCCGAATGGGCTGAAGAAAACACTGATGCTGTTGAATGGTAATTCATCGGAGTGTAATTTAATATAATTTATTTTCACTTACATTAGTATATTAGTTTATAATCAATTTTAAAAAAATAAAAATTCCACATTTTATATATTTGTTCTCTTCATATTCTACGAATACATTTCAGAATATTGTTATAAATATTTCTTGTCGGAGACTCTATTACATAGCACATACATCTAATTTTGCTATTATTAAGTTGTACAATACATTTAATTTGTTAAGATTCAGTTCCAAGTATACTTGTTTTGCTCCTCTTTTTAATTTATTAGAAAATGTAACATTCATATATTATTAGTTCATTCACTATATACACCTCGTCAATATTTGACAGCCGGAGCTTCACGAGCGGATTAAAATTTAAGGCGATTTCGATATTTGACAAATAACTTAATAAAACAACAAATGAAAGCTAATAACCATACAAGAAAGGGGAGTTAACGTCAAAGAGTGTTGATAGTAACCCACACGCAATACAAAATAACATTGTTATATATATATATACTACTCATTATTAGATTAAAAAGCTAGACGAGTCCGTTTTTGTGTTTGAAATATAAAGGTTGAATAGAAATGAGCATTCCAAAAGAAAGACTTTTAAAATTAGCAGAGATATCGGCGAAGATATTCGATCAAAATTTCAATCCTTCAGGAATGAGAACCGGTAGCAAAGTACTATCTAGGAGACTGAAAGGTCCATCGGTCGCTTCATATTACGGTAATCCTGATTTTATAAAGTTCAAAAACTTAAAAACATTATTCCCTGAAAGTGAATTTATAGATGAAGAAGAACAATACAGATTATCTAAGGTGGAAGGACTGAAACGTCGTGGTAAAGGTGCACCAAAGAAAACTAAAAAGGGCACAGCTAGCGGTAAATCAAAAAAGAAATAGAGTCTACTCTCAAGTAATATTTAACCTCCCTATTCCACGTCATCCCCACATTTATCTTCATTCATACCCTGACCAATAACATGTATTCCCATTAAATTATTTGCATTTGTCAATATATAACCTGTATATACCATTAATAATATTATAATATACTTAACGAGGAAGTCTTTCCTTTAATTTAGACAGTATCTGAGAGATATCTATCGGCTCTTCGGGTAAAGACAGATATAGAATGTCATATAATTCATTAAATTGAACTTTAATCGATGTTCCACTTAACATATTTTTGAATGTAACTGTAGAAAAATAGTATTCTTTAATCTTCCCTAAGGAGTGTGAAAATGGGTTAAACATCGCTGGAACGCTTAAAGGATTGTTATGTAATTTCAGTATTACCCTTCCATTTTTGTGGTATTTTGGTAATAAAAGGATTCCACCTGGTAAACGTTTTGGATCCTTAATTCTAAGTAAGAATGCAAACAATGGGAAATGATTAATAAGGCCAATGGCTGAGTTTAAAAATACAGAAATGTAAACTGCTGTCATCCATACTAATGTGTAGGATGCGTAAAAGGAAAGGACTGTAGGCATTAAGAAAGATAATACAATAAATAGTAATGTACCTAATAGTAATTCATCTATTTCAAAATAATCATAATCTATTCTCTTTCTAAGAACATTCCTCTTTTTGCCACAAAATAAATAGAACAAACTAATTAGTGTGTTTAGTTGCCAATGGTACAGTTTACAACTAATATGATAGAAGAGGTATATGTGAAATGACAATAAACTGAAAAAATCTACAATTAGTGATATTCCAAAAGAGGCACCAAAGATACATGAAATATTAGTGACAAATGTTAAGAATATACTCAATTTTTCTTTATCACTGGCAAATTTTATTAGGGAATTGTAAGAAAATTCCATTATCCAATAAAAAAGTTCTGAAAGAAAGGAAGCCAATTCGTGATTAAGCTTTATACCAAATGGATTATTAGCCAAGCTATAAGTCACTTCAATCATTTTTTCATATAGCGTAGTCATTATTACGTCGCTTAATGTATTTACAATTACATCATGGTTGTCGTGTAAGACTGCCCCAAGCATCAGCCCAAAGGATGTATCGTTAACTATTAACCATAATGTATTGTAGAATCTGATATAATCAGGGTAAAATTTGCAAGAAGGTTCTATCTTTTTGGTAGAACTTTCGTCATTTAGCCGCCTATATTCGGAAGTTGTCCTCCCTTGTGGCTTTGTTTGATTTATTTTCATATATTGGACAGGAAAATAACAGATTTGTTGGAACCTAAGATCAATCTGTTTTGCTGTAGCAGAAAGTCTTAAAAGTGTGGGTACAATTTTTCTCAAGAAATGAGAACCAAAATAAGCTATGTAACAAGCACAGAATGTAATATAGAAGGTAATGTAGCATGTTAATTTATGAATCACGGTAGAAGTGTACCATCTTTGTAATGAAATTATACCTGAGGAATTATTTTCCTTAGATTTACCAATCATTGGATATGAGTGATGAAATGCATTCAAAGTTGAGTTGTATGTGTTAATAATGTCTATCGTTTTGTTCAGTTTATAATTTCTGGCCTTGTACCTTTCATACGATATTAGTTTTTCGATATTAGGGATTTTCTTTAATATAGGGTTATCAACTGTATTATTCTTTGGTAATATGAGGGAAATGGGTTCAATTGAGTAAAATTGCATCATTTTAAATTTCGGTACTTCAAATTCTACAATGGTAAAGTGTGGGATGTTAATAGTCCAATTTCCTTGGTTGTCTCTATTTCCCAAAATAGTATATGGGTATTCTAGATTTAAGGTATCCTGCAGTATGGAGCTCTGCTCTATAGCAATTACCACATAATCTGTTTCCTCAAGTTTAATGGCTATAATTATTAGTTCCTCATTTTCGAATGATGATTCCTTTCGAAGTAATTCATTAGGCCAAAATATGTAATCTGACATGGTTGAACTTCGAAAAGGATATCTGCAATTAACAAAAATTTAAAAGTACCGCCTAATTAATAGTTATGGAGTATCACTATCTGTAATATATTTTGTAAATTGGAAAATCATTAAATCTACTTTTATAGCGATCCATTTATTATTCTTTTGATCTATTATTGGTGAAAAAGATGGCTTCGCGAGTTTCCTTAAGGTTATGTAAATATTATAAAATTTTGATATGGCAGCTCATTGCATATTTAAATTTTGATAGCAACCTTGATAAATATTTAAAAATATCTTATGGGTTATATATAAAAAATTAACAATACAAGATCTATTCTCTATTAAAATTTGCTACATATCTTTAAAATCTTATATTGTGATTCCAATAGAACTATACAGAAATAATCGCTGATTTGCTACGTGTTACTATATGCTACTATTTGATCTCAAAATTCGATGAATAATATTAAAAGACAATTAACTGGACCATTTGAGCCCATAACTAGTCATTCAAGTGACGAAGATATAGAGGATCTACACACATTTTCCAACAATGTTGGAACGGGCAAAAATATACCTACCATTATACCTCCATCTTTAAATATTGTTCCTCCACCTAAGGATATTGACAGTATTGATGACAGGTCAGATTCTGCTGAAGCACATGATGAACCTATTAGGAAAAATGAATCAAGGATGGCAAATCTATTTAAAAAAGTACAGCCTAATGGTTCGCCAGGTAGAAGGCGACCACGACTCTTCCTAAGGACTACATCGTTCAGTGGGAGTGATGATAATAGGGATGATAATGTCTCATCGACATCAGGACATTCACCTTTAACAAATTTCACAGCAGGTTTAAGGGATACTAGATTGCGTAGCAAGAGTACTGGTACACGACGTTCATCTAGTTCAGTAAGTAGGGCACCACGATCAGCAAAGGTTTTATCATTTGTGGCTGCCGATGATATGGACGACTTTCAAGATTTACAAAAGGATTTTAATTTTAAACATGATGATAAATCTTTTGGCTGGTTACCTCAATTGAATGACGATGATACTGCTGATGAAAGTAGCAATAGCTCTCAGAGTGGGTATGAAGATGAGGATGAAGAGGATATTAGATCTCAATTAACACCCCGAACACCATCGAGAAGAGCGTCGTCTAATGAAAATGCCCCAACCGAAACGTCAGGCTCAACATATCTTGGAATATTCAAAAAATCACCAGCCAAAGTGCCGACTACGCCTCGAAGGTTGTCAATTAGTGGATCTTCCAAATTTCATGTTAGTCACGAGGAAATAGCTGAGAGCACTGGAAAGGGTTCGGATAAAGAGGATGGCTTAGCCATTTCAACATACTCAATAGAATTACCGGATTTTGATCAACCACTTGGAAAGCCATTCGTGAAACCGTTAAAGTTATATGGCAATTCATTATGTTTAATCAGTCCCACCAACTTTATTAGAGTTAAATTAGCATCCATTCATATGAACAACCATTATCGTTTTGCATACTTAATAATATTAACTACATTTACAGCATTACTAGCGATTAGAACATATCATCCGAGGACATATTCATTTCTTTACAGTTTTAAGAATTGGTCAGATTATATCAATTTTTTCCTGTACGTTTATTTTACAATAAATGATGTTACCAAGATAATTGCATTTGGTTTCTGGGATGATTCTCAGATGTTTGAGGTGTATGGGAAAGAATATAGGTCGATTCTCGAGAGGATGGGTATTCTTAGACTTTATAGAACGTTGAGTAAAAAATATGGGCACAAGTTAATTGATTATATAATGCCAGCAAGGGTTATTAACGAGGACAGGCTAAGATTGAAAAGGCAAGAATTAAATAGTTCTATCACCAAACAAAAACGTCAAAAGCAGAAAAAAATATACTTTGATACGCCTCGAGCTTACGCACGCTCATCTTGGAATCGTGTCGATCTGGTATCGACTTGTTGCTTCTGGGTAGGTTTGTTTCTCTCCATAAGAGATTTCGATGAAAGAAATGGTATCAAGGTATTTAAACCATTGGCTGTAATAAGGATATTGAGATTAGTGCATACAGATACTGGTATATCCTCGATCCTGAGAGCTTTGAAATATGGTATTCCACAATTGGTGAGTGTCGGGTTTATGCTAGTGTATTTTTGGGTATTCTTCGGTATTCTTGGTGTTCAATTATTCCAAGGTTCGATGAGAAGACAATGCGTTTGGTTTAACCCTGATGACGCGACAGATACCTATCAATATAGTATGCAATTTTGTGGTGGACATCTGGATCCTAATACTAGTAAACCGGCTCCGTATACGTATTCTAATGGTTTATCAGCGCAAGTTAGTAAGGGATTTTTATGCCCAGTAAACTCAAGATGTATCTCAAATGCCAATCCGTATAATGGAAGGATTAGTTTCGACAATATAGTTAATTCAATGGAGATAGTCTTCGTTGTAATGAGTGCAAACACTTTCACGGATATAATGTACTATCTCATGGATTCAGATGATATGGCGGCTTGTTTATTCTTTGTTCTGGCAATTTTCGTTTTAACTATTTGGATGATGAATTTACTAATTGCTGTTCTGGTATCATCCTTTGAAATTGCAAATGAAAAGTTTAAAAAGAAGAGACTTGAAAAACACTCTAACGAAAGTTGGCCTGTACGTTTGACAGCTGGTTATTGGAGATTTTTCCAGGTAAAGGCCTCTCAAACAAATCTACCTGACTGGTCTGTTCGATGTCTAAGGGTATACGGTATAATTGAGCCAATATTTATCAGTTTAATTATGGTTGATTTGGTATTTCGGTCATGTATTACATCTAATAGTCCTTCCGATTTTATTGATTTAGTTTTAAAAGTCGATAGGGCTATTTCTATTGTTCTCTTCATTGAGACTTTAGGAAGATTAGTTTTGTATTCACCTAATTTCTGGAAATTTTTGGTTCGTGGGGATTTTTTGTTTGATAGTATTATAGCTGTGGCCTCGCTGATTGTAAGCAGTTTAGGGGTGTCGAATAAAATAGGTCATACATACTATTGGTTATCTATTTTCCAAATCAGTCGATTTTACAGAGTTGTAATTTCGATACCATTTACCAGACATCTATGGAAACTAGTTTTGAGCAATGGTTTGATGATATGGAATTTATCTGCTTTTTATTTTTTTTTTACTTTTCTGGTGGCAATAATCACATCCATATATATGGAAGGTATTATTCCTATTGATGAGATGGAGGAAAACGCTTTTGGGATGTATTCCCTACCAAATTCGTTCTTATCTCTTTTTATCATCGGCTCCACCGAAAATTGGACTGAAATTCTATATTCTATTCAGCAATATGCACCAAACATATCCACTGCTTTCTTTTGTTCAGTTTTGTTAATTATTTGGTTCATTCTTTCCAATTCTGTGATATTGAATATTTTCATTGCCTTAATTTCTGAAAGTATGGATGTTGACGAAAATGAGAAGAGGCCCCTACAGATAAAGCACTATTTACAATACGTATATCCTCAAAAGATCCAAGAATATACTCATGCAAGCTTTCTTCAAAGATTAAGAAAGAAATTTTTCAAGAAGAGTTACAAAGATGACTCAAGAGATTTTAAACAATTTTTAATTAGAGGAACAGCAATCATGAATATTGCACATAATATGGAAGATTTAGCAAAAGAATTTAAGGATAAGAGCGAAAAGAACGGTTACAGGATTACGAATTGGGCATATAAACTTGTTGACAGTTTAGCATCGAAAGTCAATGTAACCATATATGCAAACAATCCGTTTTATAAACATCCTGAGGTATTGTTTACGGAAACAAATGAGAGAAGTAACAAGAGTTATGTTCTTCAACTGAACGAATATGAAGAAGAAAAATTAAGTTTTCTAAGGAAAAATCCATCCTTCAACTATTCTTATTTTATTTTCCCGCCTAGACATAGATTCCGTCGTTTTTGTCAGAGACTTGTACCTCCTAGTACTGGTAAAAGAACAGATGGTATTCGTTTTTACGAAGATGATACAGATTTGTACAGTAAGAGACGTTACTTTCGTAGATGGGAAAGAGATGTTTTCGTTTTGATCTATGCTTTAGCAACATTACTTTTGATCGTTACATCATGTTATGTCACACCATTATACAGAATGAAACATAACATCAAAACATATGATTGGCCGCTATATCTAGATTCATCGTTGGTATCCTTATTTACCATAGAGTTTATTGTTAAGACTATTGCCGATGGTTTAGTTTACTCTCCAAACGCATATGTGCGTAATCCTTGGAATCTAATTGATTTTGTTGTCTTGATATCAATGTGGATTTATTACATTGTATTTTTGAAAAACGATGGTAATTTATCTAGACTTTTCAGAGGTTTGTCAGCCCTAAGAGCATTAAGATGCTTGACTATTAGCAATACTGCTAGGCAAACATTTAATCTGATTATGTTTGATGGTATGAAAAGAATTGGTGGTGCTGCCCTTATATGTTTAAGCCTGTTGTTTCCATTTACTGTATGGGGTTTAGGCGTCTTCAATGGTCGGTTAGCAGTATGTAATGACGGCAATTACGATATGCAACATTGTTTTAATGAATATACTAATACAGTCTTCCAGTTCGATGTTATGATGCCTAGGGTATACAGTAATCCATATTTGTATTTTGATTCATTTGGATCTTCCTTCCGTTCTTTATATGAAATTATCTCTTTAGAAGGTTGGGTTGATTTGCTTCAGAATTTGATGAATAGTACAGGGGTAGGAACAATTCCATCCTTACTAGGCAATTCTAACAATGCAGTATTTTTGGTTTTATTCAATTTTTTGAGTATGGTTTTTATACTGAATCTTTTCGTCTCATTTATCATCAATAATCATACTAAAACAAATGGTAGTGCATATTATACGATTGAAGAAAAATCATGGCTGGAATCAAAGAAACTTTTAACACAAGCAACCCCTAGAGTTATTCCGAATTTATTAGAAATGTCACGCTTCAGAAGGTTTTGCTACTTTCTAGCTGTCGAGAAAAAACATTTTTACTACGCATCCTTTCTACAAGTTGTTCTTTATGTCCATATTATAATGTTATTGGCAATTTCTTACTATGATAAATATAACCATGAGACAAGGTATAACGATATCTATTTTATGTTCTCATTAACCGTATTCATGTTCCAGGAACTGGTATATATGATTGGTGAAGGTTTTGGACTTTATTTATCACAGTTTTGGAATGTTCTTAGGTTCTGTGTCGTCGCAATCTCCTTTATTCTATCAATTATTGGATTGAAACTGCCCTTATCCTACGTATGGTTTCATAATTTTGACGATTTTTTCCATTTGGTAATCTTTTTATTTGTTATTCCACAGAATAATACTCTTAGTGAACTATTGGAAACTGCAATGGCCAGTTTACCTCCAATTCTCTCTCTGACATACACATGGGGTATCCTATTTTTAGTTTATGGTATGGCCCTGAATCAAATATTTGGTATGACTAGGTTAGGAGCTAACACAACTGGTAATATCAATTTTAGAACCGTTATTAAGGCGTTTATTGTTCTATTCAGATGTAGTTTTGGTGAGGGGTGGAATTACATAATGGATGATCTAACAGTTGCTCCTCCTTTCTGTTTTAGTGACTCTAAGAATTCAACATCTGATTGTGGTTCTTCCGTTTATGCTTATATTCTTTTAATGTCATGGAATATTCTTTCCATGTATATTTTCTTGAATATGTTTATTTCTCTAATTATAACTAACTTTAGTTATGTTTATAGACAAGGAAGCTCTCATTCTCTAATTAATAGAGGCGAAATTAGGAAATTTTCCGAAGCCTGGTCAAATTTGGATACCGATGGGGTAGGGGAGCTTGAGTTCTCCTATTTACCTAAATTGATGCATTCTTTTGATGGTACATTTTCATTCAAAATTTGGGAAGGGAGTCTCACAATTAAAAATCTGGTTGATAATTATATCACTGTAAATCCACATGACCCATACGATGTAGAAGTTGATTTGATTGGTTTAAATAATGAGTTAAGTAAAATCGACAAGGTGAAGATCATTGCGCGAAGGTTAAAATATAGAAGGTTCATTCAAGAAGTCCATTACACAAACGCTTATAGAGGTGCTGTAAAATTCAGCAAGCTTCTGCAATTAATTCCGCTATATACAATTTACAATCCTAGAGAATGTCTGGGAATTGATGAATACGTGAGATATCTATACAATTTAGGGAAAGTAGATAAATATCTAGAGAATGAGAGAAGTGTTGATGTTTTAGATATGGTTGTGACAAGGTATAAATACATCACAAAAATGAAACAGGATGATAATCCATTTAAGGTTATTGATGATAACAAATTAGAAGATGAATTAACAGTGAAAGAAAACTCTGAGCCAATGCCCCTAGAAACCCCACACATGAACTTTGGTGTTGATAATTTTCTTTGGTCTCCAAAACTGGAATCTGTTTCTCAAAATAAACATTTTAAAAATACTGAAGGGGAAGGATCGTCGAACAATGAATCATCTAAAGATAGCGATTTACCACATAGAACTATTTTATAGAGTAATTTTTTATAAACTAGTATGCATTTCGATATAAGTAGATACATGTATTTGATTAGCAAAAGAAAATTAGATACGCAATGTTATTCTCTCTTCTGAATTATATATTGAGACAAGCAACGATTACTGATTAAAGCGATGTTGAAGTTTGGTGTGGACAAGTTTTAGCTAGAAAACCAAGCTTTAAATGCACTTCGTTTTCCTCTAAACAATACATTTTAAGAAATATTCAAAAAACCACCTAGGGTTCGATTAGTTGTGAAGTTAAAAACTGTTTATATAAACAACTTAAATGAAAAAAAACCTTTAAAAACAATAATGCGGAATATGCCTAGGAACTTAAATACCAACTATTTCAATATAAAGGTAAAGAGATATAAGCTAAAAATGGCATATGTCACGTGATTGAAGATATCATGGTTAAAAAGAAATGCGCAAGCCCGGAATCGAACCGGGGGCCCAACGATGGCAACGTTGGATTTTACCACTAAACCACTTGCGCGTTAATTTGTGAAATTTGTTATTATTTAATAACTACATTAATTAAACAATAAATATTGTTTGAAATTTTAATTCTTTAAATTATCCTAGTAGTAGTTGAAATTTGTCGGAAATAATAAGGTGGCAGAGTTATATGACTAGACTATGAAAAATAGTAGTCGTTGATAATGACAAAGATCAAACTCTTTCCTAAAAAGGAAACCTTTAAAGACAGAAAATTTTTCAACATGTCATCGATAGGTAAGTGTCATAATCATGACAACAACAAGTCCAGTCGAATATATATGGAATGATAATTCAGACTTGAATTAAATAATTTCCATTATTTAAATGTATAATATTATGTAAATTAGAATTAAAAGAAAGGGACGATAAATTTCAGTCTAAACCTTTCGGAATAAAAATACTGTATACTAATTAATTAACAATGAGTATTCAAAATAATAATAATATCCAATAAAATTACCAGCAGAATATTTCACTACTATTATATTTATATTCATATCTACATTTTCTATACAGAAATATTGAGCTGAAGTAGACATATTGATGTTAGATTCGGATTGGTTTTGCATATTAGATAAGTGTTGTTGGGTAATGAAGATTATTACTGTTGGAAATTATATAACAGTGTGACACACAGTGATCTTCGTACAATGCGATATTTCTGTGAAAATTTCTGTATATAAAGGAACCCGTTTTCCAAATTATATAGAATTATATATTACGCTTTCTCACATCTCTCTCTGATAGGAGTGGGAGGGGCTCTGCTGCTAGCAACGGACACATAGTCCTGACCTACAGTAAATATATATACTATTATTGTCAGAATTTGCATGGTAGAAGAATGACGTCAAGAATATAAAATATAAGAATAAAAGAATAATAAAGATTGTCAGATTTGATAATGTTCAATATTTAACAATCCAAAATGAGAAAAGATAATAATAAGACGCATTTAGAAACCATGCATAATTTCTACAATGCTAGTATTGGAGATTTATAATCACGAAATGTTACCCAATCCAAAGGTATATAAAGGGAACAATATTTCATGCATTGGAATATTTTATTTCCCTGATTATTTTGTATATTATTTATAATTTGTATACTAAAGAAATGAGACGACTATACGTTGATTTCTAATAAAATAAATTTTGTACCATATTAAAGAAATGGATTCCTCTAATAATTCCAAATTCCAACAATTATTATTCTCTATTTTCCAGTTTTCCGATAATTACAGTGATAGTAAGTTGTAGAGCAAACGTATGAGTTACTTTTGCTCTAAATTTGTAAGTGATTTATTATTTCTTATTGAATATACAGAACGAATAAATTCTAATTCAGATTGTAAGTTCAGATTGACTCGTATTTATATAATTTTAATTTCTTTTAATTACCTTCTCATTCATTAGGTAATCTTCCTCACGTAATGGTTCATTATTAACACGCATCTATTTTTGCATTAGTATTGTGATTACGTAATTTTCTCGTGATCTTTCCATGTTATTGGTAAAACATTTTAGATATACTCACATCATAATATTTCCGTCAAATATAACTCTATTAAAATCTGATCGGAGTATTAGGAAGTCATAAAATTTTGTTTTATAACTATTTCTGCTCTAGATTGTCCCCTTATTAGGCTGGATTATTACGAAGTTTCTATTACCTATCTATTACTATAATATTTGTTTTAAGACACCAAATGATTATTGGCTATTTGATTTGCTAGATGTCCGACATAATATAACTTGGGCTTGGTAATCCTATAACTATTTGACTTTTGTTCTTACTGGTAATAGTTGTTGGGCAGAGTATAATATGTAGAGAATCTGAGCCAGAGATTTTATTCTCCCTTGATTCATTAGTTTCTAGTTTGTTAGTAATTTTTAATTGGGATATGTTTTAAGATGATAATTGATGCTTTATTTTAAATTATATAATCTACAACTTAAATAACTAAAATTATTTTATTATTTTGCAATAATGGCTTTATATATACCATTAATTTTTCTTGAACAACTCGCCAGCACATATTGCTTCTTTGTTTTTATTTTATATTTTGTGCTGGTTTAAATAATTTTGCTAGTTTCTTTCCGATATTACTAAATTATTTCTTTACAATATTTTTGGACTAAGTGTCACAGTAAGTTACCCTTAGCTTCTTACACTTATTTACATATCTAATGGGATGTATATGATAAGCGTTTGCATTACTGCCTATGTTATCTTGTAGAGCGTAATCCATTTTGTCGATCTTATATTTTAATAAAAGTTATTTAGTAATATTATACAATTTATTCTTCGTAGTTCTCTTTCAAACCCGAAATTTAATGTACATAAGATTTAGGACATAGATATTTTTTACTTCCATAATTCATGCTCTTTATATATGTTTGGTATTGTGTTGTTTTCTTGTTCATACAAGAATCCCTTCATCTCGGACCAAGTCGGATAAGCCTATTTTATTATCTTTGATTACTGACTTTCGTCGTATCATTTATTATTTCTTTGCTCTTAGTAAGCTTATGCTATTGCTCTATGGAGAATTAGGATTCAGCAGTATATGTGTGTCAAAATGCAGGAGATAAATTAAAAAATTAAAGTTACCTATTCTAAAGTTGAAAATATTCTCTATTTATTTTAAGTGATTGACTAATTATAATAAAGTCGTATTATATACGTTTATGATTGCTTTTCAACTTTCAGAACGAATAAAGTATATAACTTGACAGTACAAAAAATATGGAATTTAAAACGAAGGTAATATCATTATTCTGAATGTCAAAGATATTATAATTTATTCCAGAAAATTTATGTACATCCTAAACACAATTAGTATATTCAAGCATCTAAAATATAATGTATGTCAGTATCCACAAGCAACAAATACTTAAAAAATGCAATTCATATACATTAGAATATTTTGTGACCCAAAACAATTCGGGAAAGAATATAATGATACCTATATACCTTTTAAGAAAAGAATAGCTGCAGCAACGTTAATTATAATATACTCCCACTTTATTTTTTTAAATTTCAACCTCTTTTCCTATAAACAGTATATCATCATTACTATTATTTTTCTTTGACGCAATACTTACCGCTTTTGATTGAAGTTCGTTCAATGGGAAAAAGATCCATTCAATAACAAAACCTCTTATTTCACGCCACATCCAAGGGAACATATTCTTTAATTTAACTTTCTCGACATGATTTTCAGATCTAATTGTCTCTTTACCAAATATTTGAATAAATCTTATAGGATTATCCTTCTCGCTATTCGAGATACCTTGTAATTTTATTTTACTTATTATTTGTACCTTTAAATGTGTATCCATTGTTATAGTATCCATGAACCCAATACGAATAATGCACTTATAAAATCCTTTGAAATGATTAATTTTTTGAATTAGAACACGTTCCTCAAGTGGAATAAATGGTACTTTGGCAGTCCTTACGGCAACAAAAATGAAACATTCAGGTAAAGATGGGAAATTTCTGCAGATATCTCCAAATAACCCGGGGACTGTACTGTTTGAATTAACCAATGAAGATAACTCTGAATACATAACAGCAACACCTGGATATCGATTTAATTTATTAAGGTAAGGTTTTACAAATACTGCATTCGTATCTGTATGTCCAATCCGTTCACCTAACATGAAAGAAGGATCATTATTAGTCTCCGATTTTGATAAAATGTCTTGTAATCTTTTACGGTCTCTACGTTCTTGTTTTATCTTTATTACACGACACCATCTCCAAAATACAAAGAAGGAAAACATTATGGCAGTTACCATTATAGTAAACCAAGCGCCATGTGGTATTTTAACGCAGTTTGATATTATCAAACACATTTCTAATGATCCAAAGGTCAGGAAAAAGAATAAAACTACCAGCCAATGAACTTTATAATAAGTTAGCATGCATAATGAAATGAAGACTGTAGTCAAAAGGAAATCTATCGAGACTCCTAAACCATAAGCAGCAGTAACATTAGACGATTTTCTAAAACCGACGCACGTTAAGACGACACAAATCATAAGTAAAAAATTAATGGAAGGTATGAATATAGTACCCGAACTCTTTGCTGATTTATATGAGACTTTAAAATGTGGGAAACAATCAATTTGGATCATTTGTTTAATAATTGAAAAGACACCAAGGATTAACGCCTGAGATGCAATAATGGTTGCCAATGTTGCAAAAATAAATACAAACCAATAAAACCCAGTTGTATTACCACCTGGAATAGACAAGAAAAAAACACTCGAAATTGATTCTGGATGATCATATAGGTAAGCACCCTGACCAAGGTACATTAACATCAAAGATGGATATACAACAAAACATAATGCCAAAGTGACAGATAATGCTGAGAAATGACCAACATCTGCAAACATTGCTTCGCATCCTGTTAACGATAACATAACTGAACCCAAGACGTCGATTGAACGATGATCACGAAGATAATATATAGCTTCAGCAGGATTTAAAGCCTTGAATACACTTGGATGTTTTGATATATTTATACAGCCGATAACGAATATAGTAACAAACCAAGTTAACATAATTGGCGAAAAGGCTAATGAAATATATTGGGAACCTAATGGTTGTACTGCAAATAACACAATTAATATACAAACAGATACAGGCATAATCTTATTATCGAATGATGGAACCACTAAACCAATACCTTCAATAGCACTTAACACAGATGTTGTTGGAGTTAATAACCCATCTGAAATGACTAAAGCACCACCAAGAAAGCATAACCCTAAAGTGAAAGTAGCAAAAAACTTTTTAAATTTTTTATTTTTCAATAAACCAAAATTTTTTGATTGAAAGAATGACTCTGTACTGACAAAACTTCCTCTTGTTTCTGTTCTACTTAGAGATAATAAATTTTCATTATTATCATCTTCGTCTTTGAAATTAACTCCAATCGGACCTGTATGTAAAATATTAGAAATTTTACAATATATTGCCACTTGTCCACCTTCACCATTGTTAGGACCTAATCTTAGAACGATAAAAGCATATTTAACAATTACTAATAAAGTGAAACACCAAAATATTAAAGATATTACACCTGTAACCTCTTTTCTTGTTGGAGATTTATTTTTAGCAAAAATAGTTGAAAGGGTATAAAGTGGTGAAGTGCCAATATCCCCATAAATTGAACCTAATGTACTATAAGATAAAACGAAAATTTTTGACCAACTTTTTTTTTTTTCTAAATGATGAGACGTTATATTATTATGTGATGATATAGTACTATCAGTCGAATTGGTAATTATTGAATCAACAGTTGAATCTGAGACTATATCAAAATTACTGAAATCACAACTTTCTCTATTACTAATTAACTCAGTTCCATCATTTTGTGACCTTCTTGAATTACTAGTTCTCTCCATTCAAAAAAATGAAATAGTGACGTTATTTTTCTTGTTATAAAAATACTAAAAAAAAATATTTAAAGGCAGTAAAAGCTAGTTACCAATAGTCAAAAATGGTGTATAGATATTTATTATTTGGACAGAATTTATATTCAAAGAATGAAACAAAAATATAAGATTTAGATATATATTACAAGAGAGCGAAATAAAAATGAATTTTAAGGGAAACTAATATTAAAAGACAAAAGAAACTGCCCAAATTCTAAATATGATGAATTTCAGATTGACAATTCTTATTAGCTTTTATAGTAGATGGGTTATTTCAACTATTGGTTGAGAATAAACCAAGAACCAAAAAATATATATTCTTGTTTGTTTTTTTCAATAATATTTGTTATATTCATGTGTCACCAATTAAGAATAATAAAAATCTTTCAGTTCAAAATATTAAGACAGTTTTGTTTTGTTTTGCTTTGTTTTACATAGAAAAACAGAAAGAAAAGAAAAAATCTTTCATATGATTACTTTAACCATGATGAATGTGTAATATGAAAATTTTTAAACAATAGCTGTCATCTACCCTTTACAAAGACAAGCTCTAACCATAATTATTATTATTTGCCAACTAGAAAAGAAAGAAAGAAAGTTTCAGAACTGAACACCGCTGTCAGAATATTCTCAGATTGCAAACATTTTTTTTTTGTTTATCCGTTAATTATTCTCTCTTTCACAAGAGTACAGTTTATTTACTTGTAAGATATGCAAAGGGGGAAAGTAAAATAAGTGACTTTTGCAATGAATCTTCCCTTTGATTCCCACTTCTGTCTCTATGTGTATGTGATAGTAAGTTGCGTCCTTTTTTTTCTCCTAAATTTTTTTGCGTGGATGATGTATCTTATTAATGCATTGTATTGTTTAGTGTGTTTTCTGTCGTTTTCTGCAAGAGAAAAGAGAGATATTTACTACTAATGCAAGAAGTTCAAATGGAAACAAAAATGAGTGGGATATTATTGAACAGCATGTAGATGCTAGAGGCTATGCTGAATTAAAGAATAAAGGGGGAAAGGGATACTGTCAAGCATCACTTGCTAAAGCGTTCGATTTATCCTGAGTCTGTTTACTGAAATTTTAGGAAATCCGTTATAATCGGATTACTCTTTCTTTTAACCCAGACATTACGTATATTTTTGTCAAACAATGGGCTTAGATTTTTTTTTTTTTTTTGAATGACTCTGCAAAAAGATTAAATGTAGCTGTAAAGATAGAGAAAATGGCTGATATTTTAATTAAAATTCTAGACGTCAACACCAAAACAGAATGGGAGAGAGATTTTCTTTAAAAAAAAAATGAAAATAGTATTAGTATGGTAACATTAATCTAAAAAGCACGAGCAAAACATGATTTTATGAATATTTATAGCAGTAGTTTATGTCACATAAAGATGGCTTAGCGATTTCAGTTGTCTTAACTGTGAAACTCTCTTTTTTGTATTAAGAAAGTTGAGAAGTGGGACTATTGGGCAATTTAGTACGTCATTGATGGGTTTTTCTTAGTATATATATGTATATAAATGAATGAATGAAACAAAGAGAGAGGAGCAAAACATACAACTTCAAATACAGAAGGTAAGCATTATCGTTTATGTCAGATACGAGTGGCGGGGGGTATAATTAAGTTGTTGGTGGTTGAATACTGAAGAAGCCCGTTTATAACTTGGTCAACGTGTGTGTCTTTTTGAACGGTAAAGGTTGATTAAGAAATGAACGTAATAAATATGTTTTAAATGTTATATCGTACTAAATATTCTTGCACAATTGTAACCTTGTTCGTTGTAAGAATTCTTTGATGGTCATTGTGGTTTATTTTGATGGATTACTGAAAAGACACAGAGCAAATGGTTATTTTCTGTTTATCACTATTTCGTTTTTGTTTATTGTTTTGTACATATTTTATCATTTTGGGAGAGGTGCTAAAGATGAAAAATTATATACAACTAGAAAATATTATCTTAGTAGAAAAAACAACAATATTAAATACAGAGAAATACTATATACAAAACGACATGGACAACTGATGTCTCATCTACATTTTATTAAAATATACCAGGATTGTAGTTTACAATTGGGTCTACATTGAAACAGGTTCCTCTCTTACAAAAACCTGGGCATCCAACAACACATTACTAGAAAAAAGCAGTGCGTCCAATTGTTAACCCAAGATACACACACACCACGATGCTGAACACATGAAGTCATTCCTCTTCTCAATTAAAACATCAGTAACAATTATAATCTGTATGGTTTTCAATCCCTTTTAAAATAATTATATCCATTAAATCGGGGTTACCCTCTTTCACTACATGTGTGTGTGGCGGTTTTTGTTTTTTTTCTGTTTTGTTTTAAGGATATTCCCGTTTTAGACTGTAAGAAAAATTTATCAAAACTTTGTTTTCTCATCTCCATAAACCTAAAGGATTTTATAGTATCATTTTATTTGATATTATTTGTACTGCACAAAAGACAAAAAAATAATTGTACATTTTTTTTGGAGGGGTATTGGTTCAAAGACTACAACTTATAGATTTTATTCTTAAGACTAATTGCATTCTATTACTTTCTTTTTAAAAAAAAAACTACTTTGTTTAAGTTCCCCATAAAGGAAAGATAAGTTTACTTATATTTACAAATTGTTTAAGTATTAGAAAAAGGAAACGTGCATATATTTTAAGCTTAATTTTTTTTGTGTGTTTTCCAAGAGAAAGAATTAAAAAATTAAAAATACATACAGTTATTCTAAACTTGAAACTATTTTGATCAAGGGAATTAATTAATTGCATTATAGTCATATACAATTTTCGTGGCTTATTATTATTATCTTATACTCATAACCTGTGCAAAATGGATGCCCTATTAGATTTCTCTAAGGAGTTAGATATAACATTACTTGATTCTGTGGCTGATACCTTTTATCGTGGTTCAGGTAATGAACAAAAACAAGCTCAAGAAATTTTAACCAAATTTCAAGAACATCCAGATGCTTGGCAACGTGCTGATCAAATTTTGCAATTTTCAAAAAATCCTCAAGCAAAATTTATTGGTCTATCAATATTAGATAAATTAATTACAACAAAATGGAAATTATTACCAAATGAACAAAGAATTGGTATTAGAAATTTTATTGTTGGTATGATTATTTCGATGTGTCAAGATGATGAAATTTTTAAAACTCAAAAAAATTTAATTAATAAATCAGATTTAACTTTAGTTCAAGTATTAAAACAAGAATGGCCAGAAAATTGGCCAGAATTTATACCAGAATTAATTGGTAGTTCAAATTCTTCTGTTAATGTTTGTGAAAATAATATGATTATTTTAAAACTATTATCAGAAGAAGTCTTTGATTTTTCAGCTGAACAAATGACTCAAAAGAAAGCTTTACATCTAAAAGAATCAATGTCAAAAGAATTTGAACAAATTTTCAAATTATGTTTTAGAGTTTTAGAAGAAGCTTCTTCTCCATCTTTAGTTGTAGCTGCATTAGAATCTTTATTAAGATATTTTCATTGGATTCCATATCGTTACATTTATGAAACAAATATCCTTGAATTATTAAGTACAAAATTTTTAGCATCAGCTGAAACAAGAGCAGTAACATTAAGATGTCTTACTGAAGTTTCAAGTTTAGATATTCCACAAGATAATTCATCAATTAAGACCCAAACAGTTCTGTTCTTTCAAAATACATTACAACAAATCGCAGCAAATGTTATTCTACCAACAGCTGATCTAAAGAGTAGTTATACCATGGCAAATGGTACAGATCAATCCTTTTTACAAGATTTTGCAATGTTTTTAACAACATATTTAACTCATCATAGAAATCTTTTAGAGAGTGATGAAAGTTTAAGGGAATTATTACTAAATGCTCATCAATATTTAATTCAATTATCAAAAATTGATGAAAGAGAATTATTTAAGACGACCCTGGATTATTGGCATATTTTAGTTGCTGGATTATTCCAAGAAGTTCAAGTGCTTCCTGTTAATGAATTAAATCCATTAATGCAATTATCTGTTGGTAATCAAACTGTCTCTAGTGGTTCTGGTGCTTTAAATCCAGAATTTATGAAAAAATTCCCATTAAAGAAACATATATATGAAGATATTTGTTCTCAATTAAGATGGGTTATCATAGAGAATATGGTTAGACCAGAAGAAGTCCTTGTTGTTGAAAATGATGAAGGTGAAATTGTTAGAGAATTTGTTAAAGAATCTGATACAATCCAACTTTATAAAAGTGAAAGAGAAGTATTAGTCTATTTAACTCATTTAAATGTCGTTGATACTGAACAAATTATGGTTAGCAAATTAGCTAGACAAATTGATGGATCTGAATGGTCATGGCATAATATTAATACTTTATCATGGGCCATTGGTTCCATTTCTGGTACCATGAGTGAAGATACTGAAAAGAGATTTGTGGTTACAGTCATTAAAGATTTATTAGCTTTAACTGAAAAGAAAAGAGGTAAAGATAATAAAGCTGTTGTTGCATCCGATATTATGTATGTTGTTGGACAATATCCAAGATTCTTAAAGGCTCATTGGAATTTTTTGAAAACTGTCATTTTAAAGTTATTTGAATTCATGCATGAAACTCATGAAGGTGTTCAAGATATGGCTTGTGACACTTTTATCAAAATTGTTCAAAAATGTAAGTATCATTTTGTCATACAACAAGCTCGTGAAACTGAACCATTTATTCATGCTATCATCAGAGATATACAGGAAACTACTGCAGATTTACAACCTCAACAAGTACATACTTTCTACAGAGCTTGTGGTATTATTATTTCAGAAGAAAGAAATCCAACTGAGAGAACAAGACTTCTTAATGACTTAATGCAATTACCTAATATGGCTTGGGATGCAATTGTAGAACAATCTATGGCCAACCCTGCATTATTGTTGGATTCAGAAACAGTTAAGATTATTGCTAATATTATTAAGACTAATGTTGCTGTTTGTACCGCCATGGGTGCAGATTTTTATCCACAATTAGGTCACATTTATTATAATATGTTACAATTATACAGAGCTGTTTCTTCAATGATTTCGAGTCAAGTTGCCACTGAAGGGTTAATTGCTACAAAGACTCCAAAGGTTCGTGGTTTAAGAACCATTAAAAAGGAAATCTTAAAATTGGTAGAAATATATATTTCTCGTGCAAAGAATTTGGATGATGTCGTAAAGGTTCTCGTAGAACCTTTATTAAATGCTGTCTTAGAAGATTATTTAAGTAATGTTCCGGACGCTAGGGATGCAGAAGTTTTAAATTGTATGACAACAGTGGTAAGTAAAGTGGGTCATATGATTCCTCAAGGTGTTATTTTAATTCTTCAAAGTGTCTTTGAATGTACATTAAACATGATTAATAAGGACTTCACTGAATATCCAGAACATCGTGTTGAATTTTACAAATTATTAAAAGTAATTAATGAAAAATCATTTAATGCATTTTTAGAATTACCACCTGCTGCATTCAAATTATTCATTGATGCAATCTGTTGGGCATTCAAACATAATAATAGAGATATTGAAGTTAACGGTTTATCGATTGCTGTTCAATTAATATATAACATTGAAAATATGGGCAATACACCATTTGCTAATGCATTTTATGAAAATTTTTACTTCACATTTATTAGTGAAACATTCTATGTTTTAACAGATTCTGATCACAAATCAGGATTCTCAAAACAATCTTTATTATTAATGAAATTAATTTCCTTAGTTTATGATAATAAGATTAGTATTCCAATTTACAAAGAGGGTGAAGCTCCACAAGGTACATCTAATCAAGTATATTTGAACCAATTTTTAGCTAATATGTTATCTAGCGTATTCCCTCATTTAACTGCTGATCAAGTGTCTACTTTCCTAAGTGCATTAACAAAACAATACAAGGATCCAAGTAAATTTAATGGTATATTAAGAGATTTCTTAGTACAAATTAAAGAAATTGGTGGTGATCCAACTGATTACTTGTTCACAGAAGAAAGAGAAAATGCATTACAACAGCAAAACAAGATACAAAAGGAACAAGCAACAAAGATTGGTGGTTTATTGAAACCATCTGAGCTGGATGATTAACATTTGAAAATGAAAAAAAAACAAACAAAAATAAAAACAAAATAACAATAACTATTAATTTAAAACCATTACATAACTGTATCATAATATTTGTATAGCAAAACTAATACAAGAAATAAAAAAATATAACAATTAAATGTGTATTTATAATAGTATCTTTAGATCTTATAGAATTAAGAAGAAGTATTGAATACTAAATCTTTTTTTAAAAAAAATTATATATATTGTGTAGAATAATTAATACGTATGTATACAGCCCATATTTACATGTTTATTTATTTTGACCTTAAAGTAGGAAACATTATTTATATCTATTTTATACAGGTGGATTCTTAATTGCATCTTGAATCTTTACAATAGAACCATTTGGACCAGGAACAGAACCTTTAACCCAAATAACATTATTAATATCGTCAACTTTTAAGACTTGAACGTTTTGAACAGTAACGTTTATACCACCCATTCTACCAGGCATTTTTTTCCCAGGTAAAACTCTACCTGGATCTTGATTTTGACCGTAAGAACCACCATGTCTATGCATAACAGAAGTACCATGTGAAGCTCTTAAACCTTTAAAATGATATTTTTTCATCACACCTGCAAAACCTTTACCCTTTGATACAGACCTAACGTCTAAGAATTGTCCCACTTCAAAGAAAGATGGTTTCATCGAAGTACCTAATGGTAATAAACCTTCTTCATTTGCTACTTTAAATTCTGTAGTTTTTAATTTTGGATTAACAATCTTTGATGCATAATGACCTAAAAGTTGTCTCGAAACATTTTTTGGATTTTTATTACCATACCCTACTTGACATGCAAAATATCCATCTGTTTCGATTGTACGATGCATAATAACTTCCACATTATCCAATTTTAATATAGTTGCAGCAATTCTATCTCCTGTCTTTGTGTCAAAATAAGGCATCATACCAACTTTTTCAGTAATGATACCACATCTCTTTGGTAACCATTTCCTTTTAAATGCTTGAATTGGAGAATGATTTATCTCTGGAGCAACCGAGTGTACTGTACTAGCAATGCTTGGTGCTATTAATGATGGTCTGGTAGAATAAAGTCTTAATACATTAATTAATTGACATTTGTTTGATATAGGTCTGGATAGTCCAGCCCACAGCGTATTTTGAGGAATCATCGAAATACAGCTGAACGTATCTATTAAAAATAAATAAATTTATTATATTTCTTTAAAATCACGTCCCAGTAACGTCTCTGAAGTCTATTACCTTTCAAGAATATAGTTCCAACTTCCCTTGAATTATATACTCAAGTTGTTTCTATTCTATTTCATTGAGGGATTCGTTCTTCTTTCTTGCTTTACCCGGGAAATTATCCCAAAAAAAGAGCAGGTCGTGTTGTACGAAGCGCTTAAAAGACTTTAACCACTGACAAACCTGATACTACTTGAAACGACAACAGCGATAATGAACCTGGTACGTCTACCTGTTGCAAATGAGGTCCACAGGTTTTGAGGATGTCGATGTACATTACACATAGTCGTCAATTGGGTTCTCCCTGTAGTTGTTACAATGAGAGGAACTGACAACAATTTAATGACAAGTTTACCAAGTTATATACATGTAGTTGAAGTATATACATCCCGTATACACATACTTATAACGATATTGGCAATGCCATATCTCAGATAATATGTAACTAACATAGCAAATAATTATAAAAACTTCAGCATCCACAGTTTTAGTAGAGGGTTTCCTTTGAAACTCCCAAAAAGAGAAGCCAAAAGAATAAACACACACTAAATACAGACACAATGCTGAAAGAAAGAAGGTAGTTCCTTTCCCCCTTAAGTGATCATACCCGTAAGATATTGCACACTTTAGCAGGGAAAAAAAAAAGGTTGAAAATGTTCCAAAAACTTTTATCATATTTGAAGACAACTATTGCTGCAATGGACAATATATGAGGCGAGACGAATCTCATCTACAGAGGCACCGATCTATACAGATGTGGAGACGATACCCGGATGGCTCTGGTAAAAGGCAAGAGCCATGTTCGTTATAAAAACAATTACTAATCGCAAGCCATTGAGTTGCCCCAATGGCCGACGCCACTAGCAAAAGCTTTTGATACCGATCTCCCAGACCAGAATACAACTCTGCTCCACCAAATAAATGGTGAACATACAATCCCATTGCAATAACACAGTAGAAGCCTTACCCTCTTTCTCAAAACAGAAGACAAAACTCTCAAAATTTAAAGGAAAGAAAGAAATTCTCTGGGAAAAGTTTTTTAAAATTTCAATTTCGCTTTCAGTATTTATACTTCTTCAATTATGAAAAAACAAAAATAAATTGTGAAAAGTTCGCTTTGTTTTGGTTCTATAAGGGAAAGATGAATACAAAGAAAGGTTTAAAGCAATGAACACTTCCTAGACTTATTATGAATTTAGGATTCTGATCCTGATAAATACTCTAAGAGATAAAATTGAACCATTAGAGAAACGTATTTCGTATACCCTGCTGAATTTTCAAGGGAATTATGAAGAGCAGTAAGAAAGTAATAGCCGATATTGTGAGTAGAATCTCCGAGTCTGGTAAAATTGTAGGTAATAAAACAAATTCAAAAAGAGTGAGGCCAGCAATAATTAGTTCCAATAATTCGTTAGGGTTATATTATAAATGTTATAATCCATCATTGATAAAACAAGACTTCGTGGATTTATTACCCTTCGACCAACGAAGTTCAATAGATTTTGATTTCATACGGAAGAGAGATCCTAAATATTTTCAATTTAATGATACCTATTACTTACTATTTAAAAACAATCTCGATATGAACAAATATCATAACGAGACTATGATGGGTAAGATAAATAAAATGAGAGTAAAATTGATGCCTTTAGCAGATAGATCTTCAAAAACAAATGGACAAGACAAAATGATGAATATTTTTAATAGATATTCAATGAATTTATTTAACGCCTATGATTCTGTAGATAAATATTTTGATGGTTTACAGGATAGACCTACTCAAATGGCAATAGATAATGTTGAAAAATTGATAGAGATAGAATCAAAATCTGTGCTAGTATGGAATCTACCAATTAAAGTGTCATCTCATCATATTCAGGATATATTTTGGTTCTACGACATAAAACATTGTTTTAGATTATATTGGAATAATAATAGTATTGGATCCAAATCATCAACTTTACATTTTTTTGCATTTAATAACCCTAATGAAGCTGAAAAATTCAAGAATAATTTTCATGGTACGTATTTCAATGATGACCCTAACCATAAAATGCTAGTGGAAAGACTTTAACGAGACTACTTTTTCAAGTTTCATTATCTTGAACATATTTATTTAATTCCCATATACATATATATATTTACATATTCATAAATAAACCATTACATTCTCCATCGAGTTATATTTACAACTCTCTCCAAGACTCCCTAACTATCTCCCATCTTCTCTTGTGTGTCTTTGTATTGTCTCTGTTTGTTCCATGTTGTCCTAAACTCTCGCCAACAGAGAAATATTTTACATCTCCATCTGGATTTCTTTCATTACCAGATCTACCAATAGATACAGCCTTCTCTAAAATAACATATTTTTCCCATATACCACTATTCTTCCAAATCAATACTAAACTATCTTCACTGTTATCAACTTCATTATTATCTCTATCACTTCCTCTATTATCATCATTTGCATCAGTTGCATGACACCAACCAATCTTACATCTATCTTGTTCAAATTGTCTATCATATCCATTATGATTTACTGATGAAGTTTGAGAATTGTTGAGAAGAGGGTTCTTTAAGTGGATACTACACATCGACCATACAGAATCTAGATATTGAATGCTCCATTTCTTTGGGATCATACTATTCAAATTTTGTAATCTCTTATTATAAACATTCTCACTTTCAATTGATACATTGGATTTACCATTACTATTTCGACGTTTATTAGAAAATATTTTTTCATTAAAGAGTTCAAAGACATGCAATGTTTGTTTATTTGAAATCACGGCAAGTTTACTACCTCTAGGACTAAACTCCATATCGTAGATCTCTGCATTCTCTATACCTCTTCTAAATTCATTAATTAAAGTTCCATTTTGAACATTCATTACTCTTATCAATGTTCCTTTCTTTGAACATGTAGCCAGCATGGTCCCCTGGTGATTTAGCTTAATCATTTGAATATCGCTCTTATGTGCTTTAATAATCATTGTAGGTAAAATACGATCCTGCTTATCATTCTTCCGTATCTTATCTAAATTCATCACATGGATCTGACCCCGATACTTATTACTTTCATAACAAAGGATACCATTACTTGAATTATCGTCATGTGAATTAGTACTCTTATAATCAACAAAGGATCCACTAGGAATATCAATATCATCCATTAATCTCTTTGGAGTCTTCCCAAAGGAATATAAACTTATCTTAGAGTCTAGGATAACCACAATAAAACATCTAGATATGTATACTTGTCTTACTGCAGACATAAAATTCAGTTTAATGCTCTCTTTCCCAACAAGATCATCCCAAATGATTAATCTATTTAATGGATAGCGGGGTTCCTTCCCTCCCCCAACTAATGCAATATAATTCGATCTATTGAGCATTCGTGTCTTCCCAATCCCCTTAGCTTTATCATCGTAGTCTTCAAAATGTTGGATCAATTTAATTTGTAAAGGGAAAGTGTTAAAGATTTTAAACCCATCATCAGTAGCTACACTGAAACAGGAATCATCCTGATTAAATGTAACATCATTAAATTTGCTGATAGTCATTATCATAGCTTACCGTTTTATATTTCTATTAACCATTCAAATATAGAACGGAACAAGTTAGTGTATCAGAAATTTAAACTTGTTTTCAGATGCTTTTTATATATGTCGATGTTTCGTTTTCCAATTTATTTATAGGGTTCCTTATATTTTCTTGATGTTTAATAAATGATCGAAAAGTAAATACAGAGCCGATACTCGAAATTTAATCTCTAAGGAGTATTTGAGGAATACTTGAAAGAGTAACATCGGATAATATTCGGTAGTAAGGTGACAACTCAACTTGATATAGTATATTAATAAGGACAACAGGCATCACGATATTTCTTGCTATTCTGACGTTCTTTTTGCAGTTTCTTTCCAAACCTCTCATGAGTTATTCGCATATTGTGTTTAACCAATAAAAAAATACCTTTTGGTTTAAAATAGGTCTATCATTTAGAACAATAACAAATAATTGATGGCTCGGTATTATGGGAAAACATATAGCTACTATCTACTTCCCTTTTTCTATCCACGATAGCTATTTTAGATTCTATTAATCTAATGAGTGAATCTTGCTGTTGTTAGTAGAACGTCAGCGTCAAGAAATGCAGAAACAAACATTTATAAGCATTGACATATTTTAATAAATCGAGTCACATCTTATCACATTTAAATATATAACAATGTAATTATAACTCTTAATCAATCTTAACCAACCGGAGAGTGTAATACACTTGACAGTTTTGCTAGAATATTTTTATTTTTTCGTTAGCTACTTAATTCCTATTTATTTTGGATCTTCTCCACTAATTCACAAATTTTATTTGCATATCATTCAACTTAAGACTACGTCCAATACTACCATTAGCACCTTTAAAAGTCTGCATTCTGATAAATTATACTTATATATATATACATATATATACAAAAGCTCAATTATCAGACTTAAAACATAAACTTACTTGGGCGGCAATTTTTGAAAATACGACTTCCTTTCTTTTAAACCTATAATAATACTACCATAAAACAAGAATAATCTAAAGGATCACCCCCCCAGAAACTAATTTACTTATAACAATAATAATAACCTTATTGCTAGACTAGGAAAAATAGCCAACCCTCATGTCTTCAAACATTAGTGGTTCCAGATTATTGCCTAGAGCATCAAGAAAGGAATTATCAGCAGTAGAAAAGAATTCAATGACTTCCCCTTTAGAAAACAAAACAACCAATACATTGGATAGATTCATTCCACACAGTACTTCCCAGAGGGCGTACAAGGCCTCAACATTTCTTAATCAATTTTCTTCTGACGATACAAGGGTATTAGAAGATACACCAAGAACACCACAACGACTGTCCTCACCGGAATTTTTCACAGATCTTGAAAGGACCAATTATTATTCTGCTTTACCAATAGCTCAACATGATAGTTCAACTTTAACTAGCTTATCAAGTGAGTCCCATTCATCAAATAGAATCAAAAAGACCAAGAAAAGTAAGAAATTAAAACAGTCAAAGATACATAGGAAAAATATTGCAAATTCACTTGATCTCTATGCACACACAAAGGTTTTCCAGTATAAGAATGACACAATTACCATACCTGGAGAATTTAAGAATGAGATTTTCAAATTACAGAACTCAAATGAGATGGACCTAAGAGATCATAGACAAAGATCTGCAATCTACAACAGAAAAACGACAAGACCTAAATCTATAATGCCATTCAGAGTATTAGATGCAAGAGCTTTAAGAAACGATTTCTACACAAATTTGATTGCGTGGTCAGCTACCTCAAACAATATTTTAATTGGGTTAGGTGCATCTGTTTATATGTGGTCAGAAAGAGCAGGTGCTATACCAGTTATGAAACATGCTATCCTAGCGGAGAGAAATGACTTCATTACTTGTGTATCATTTTCTCCATTTAATAGTAGGATAATAATTGGAACCAAGAATGGTTCAATATTTCTTTATGACCAAGATATATGTATTCGTCACAATAAAAAATTCAGTGGCCTAGTTGCACTACAACCAATACATGAATTCAGAAGAGATACATCTAAAGGTATTGCATGTATCGAATGGTTCCATAACGAGAATTCTCGGTTTGTTGTCGGAGCTGAATCTGGCGAAGCATATATTATGGATATAACAAATTCAACAGATGATCAAATTAATATTAAACTTATTGGTGAATTCCAGGCACATAGCCAACAAGTATGCGGTATGAGAATTAACAATTATTACACATTGTAACACCCTTTAACAGACCTTCTATTTTTTCAAATACTAACAAAAAAGAACAATCTTATTAAATATAGGACTTTCAATCAACAAAGATGATACCGTTGTGGCCATCGGTGGAAATGATAATTCATGCACTCTCTGGGATATCTCAAACTCGAATTCCCCATCATTAAGGTACATTCTAAAACACTCAGCTGCTGTTAAAGCAGTAGCATTTTGTCCGTGGTCGAAGTCATTATTAGCAACAGGTGGTGGAAGTAAAGATAAAACCATTAAATTCTGGCACTCTCCGACAGGTACATTGATCAAAGAATATAAAACATCCAGCCAAATTACATCTCTAATATGGTCCGTAAACTATAGACAACTTGTGGTAACCTTTGGATTTGGTGACATCGATAACCCTATAGTTTTAATTGCATATACCTATCCAGACCTCAACGAAATGTTATACGTTAAGACACCAACTCCACTCAGAGTACTGAGCGCTGTCCATTCACCTAACTGTACGTCTATATGTGTGGCTATGAATGATGAAACTATCAGATTCTATGAAATTTGGGGAGGCTCATCTGATATCATTAATGAGTATCATGATAAAGGACTTTACGGATCTGAAATTATTGAATTTATTGAGGGAATCCATGATAGTTACAGAGGTAAGATAAGATAACTCCCCCACAACATAACCAATCAATTGACTAAATAATATAACAAAACAAAGCATTGACCAACTAATAAGAATAACATTCATATCGAAAGGAATCTGTTTAAAAACCGAAATGAACTAACTAAATAAACAAATAAATAGATTAATAAATACAATTTCTTCTTTAAGTCAGAAATAAAGTCATTTTTCACGTTACGAGTTTACTAGGCGAGGGACCAATTTCAAGGTAAAGTTGACGTAAGAACCTTTGATACACCGGAATTGTTCAATTAAAGGTATTTCACCATGTAGACAGCTTAAATAAAGCAAGTTACAGTCATAATATATCTTATTACTTAGTCGAATCACCTAGTAGTATCAGGAACCTAATTGAAACGGTATTCATTTTGCGACTACAAACGACCCATTCCATCTATAGAAAAAAATGGTAGATGAAGCAAAGAAATCAAGTGATCAACCCAATTATGGAGACAACGGCATTAATGAGGAAGATGAGGGTGAATTGGTAACACAGCTAATCGCACCTGGTGTACAAAGAAACTTGGAACATGAGGTAATATTGGGATTCACTGTAAATATTATTGCATACCCATTAATCCTTCTCTATTTTATAATCACATTTGTATATGTCACGAGGAAGATTGTCCCATACCAATTTATAGATGAAAGATTTCATATTGAACAAACTGTTACATACATTAAAGGGAACTGGACCCAATGGGATCCTAAAATTACGACGCCGCCAGGCCTATATATTTTAGGTTGGATTAATTATCACATAGTGAGACCAATTTGCAAATCTATGTCAACATTAACTATATTGAGATTAGTAAATTTAATAGGTGGAACAGTTATCTTGCCATTTGTTGTATTAAGACCGCTTTTCCTTTTTAACGCTATCGGATTTTGGCCTGTCTCAATGATGTGCTTTCCATTAATGGCGACATATTACTACTTATATTATACTGACGTATGGTCCACTATATTCATTATGGAATCCCTGACATTAGCATTAACAGTACCTCTGGGAACACCTCGAAGCATATGGTTAAGTGGTATAATGGCAGGTTTGAGTTGTTTATTCAGACAAACTAACATTATATGGAATGGGTTTATCTTGGTTATTGTTATTGAGAGAAGAGCTATCATTACAAAACAATTTACCACACATTCTGTTAACAATTATCTAAAACTGTTTATCACTGCTATCGAGGACTTTAATGAACTAGTGTTACCTTATTTTGTTAATTTTGCTCTATTCGCCCTTTACCTAATATGGAATAGATCAATTACTTTAGGTGATAAGTCAAATCATTCTGCAGGATTACATTTAGTACAAATATTTTATTGTTTTATGTTCATATTGTTTTTCAGCGTTCCAATATGGCTCTCGAGAAATTTTGTAAAATCTTACAAAATAAGGTGTCAAACAAGACCAGTAAGAACAATCTTCGAGTTATTGTTAATAATGTTCGTTATTCGTTATTTCACTAGGATCCATCCATTTTTATTAGCTGACAATAGACACTACACATTCTATTTATTTAAGAGACTAATTAATAGTAAATCCAGATTGATCAAATATATTTTTTTCTCAGTGGTCTATCATTTCTCTACGTTCAGTTATATGGAGTTGATGAGACCTAATGAAATGTCATTCCATCCAATCATGCCTTTACCAATAAAGGAGTCTATTCTATTACCAATTCAATTAACTCATATTTCGTGGACTGCATTAATATTATGTACTATTGTGACCATTGTACCGTCTCCACTATTTGAACCAAGATACTATATTTTGCCATACATATTTTGGAGAATATTCGTGACTTGTAATGCAGAGCCTATATTTAAGAAACTTGTAGCAGCGGGACCAGACGAGACTCCTGTAACTATCAGCTCCACAGGTAGACTTTTATGGGAATTACTGTGGTTTATGTCTATCAACATTTTCACTTTACTTGTATTTATTTTACATCCCTTTATTTGGGCAGACGAACCTTTCTTACAGAGAATTATTTGGTAATACAGATAACTTTATAAACCTCGTAAGTGTATTGTAATATCAATGATAATATATATAAATTAATAATATTAAGATAAATTCAATAAAAAACTTTTGAGCTGACTTCCTTGTGGATATTTTGATAGATCTTTTCTTTTAATGAATTTAATATAGCTAATAGATTGAGTAGGGAAAGATATTGAATAGAACATTTAATATTTATTTTTATTGGTATACGACCAGACATGTAAAATAAAATTATATCTTCGAAACAGAAAACAATTTGAATCGATCATCTATATATATATATTGAACTCTATTATCTTCGAATTGGCCTTGAATATTACTAATTCTACTATAATGCTACACTTTCAAACTCATTTTGAAGTTTATTAACTTCTACTTCTTCTTCGTCTTCTTTTGGATCCACAACGGCTTCATCTTTTTCTTTCTCTTCCTTTTCTTCTTCTACATCTTCTATAGCGTCGTTTTCATTTCCCTCAGATTTTGCTTCTTCGACAACCTTTTCTGTCTCTTGTGGTTTTAACTCTTCTTCTACCTTTTCAGTCTCTGGTTCTTTAATATCTTCTTCAGATTTTATTTCATTAGCGTCTATTTCGTTAACAGGTTCATCTACAACGTCAGCATCAGATTGTTTCACGACGGGTTCTTCTTTTTCTATTGGCTGTTCTTCATCAATAACAGCAGATGTTGATTGTTCTTCCTGTTGAACTGGGCTCTGTCTATCCGTTTGTTCACTCATAACTTCAGGTTCAGTTTGACCGGTAGCTACATTTACAACTGATTCATCATCAATATCGAAATCTGTATCATTGTCATGACCTTCAAATACTTCATTACGCATAGTCTCTTCCTGTTGAGGTTGAGATTCCTCGTTAATATCATTATCTTGTTGTGTTTGTGATTGTTTATATTTTTGTAATGCTCTTCTCTTTAATACTTCTAAATATTCTTCAACTCTTCCATTTCTCTTCTTATCTCTGAACACCAATTCACCTTCCCCTGAGAAATAATCGTCTGAATCATCGATCAAATACCAATTACCACATTCTAAATCGTTAACAAAGGCCAACATGAATTCCCCCCAATTATCACCAACAACAAACTTGGTGTCAAACTCTCTACCAAATATGATAACTTGTCCATAAGAACCTTCTGCAGCAGGTGCTAAATCAACACCGATATGATTACCCGCGTTATCTGTCACCAATGGAATCCATGCAGGATGTGCGTAAGCTCCTTGAATAGTATTTGGCGGGATAGAATTTTGTTCAGGTATATAAGGTAATTTAAATTGATTTGTTTCTTCAGACGTTCCCTGTTGCTTTTGTTGCGATGTAGAACTACCTTGTTCCATGGAGGCTCTAGCTGCAGCTTCTTGTTGAGCTTTATGTTTATTCAAGTTTTTAGCAACATTTCTCCAAGTTTGTGTCATTGCAACAATTTGATCCAAAGTCATCAATTGTAAACCATATATCAATCCTGATGTACCAGTCATAGATTCTAAATCCTCTTGACCATCATGAATTCTTAATGAGGCCCTTACAGAAGGTGGTAAAGAAATTTCTAGATCTTCTTCCGCATGAGTAATATCATTCTGAGTACATGGATCACTTAATGTAGCATTCAAATCAGGATTATGTTTATCAGTCCAAGCATCAATATGTCTCCAAGCTAAAAGGATCTCAGAGACACCCTTCTGAGAAGCAGCAGCATTATTAAAATCATCAATTTGATATGAATTCTCACCACCATTAGAATCACCTAAATCTGCAGAACTTGCATTACCTGCCAAATTCATACTTGATGGATTGACATTACTTTGTCCAGAACGCATCCCCATATTAAAGTTAGGTTCATCATCTGGATTATATTCGGCATAATGATCCTCAGTACTAATGGAATAGACCCATTCTTTTAATTTCTTTTTAAACACATTCATCTTATCTCTGTTCCTCTTGCTCTTTTTGAGTTGATCCTACTCTCGAACCATACAAAAACCCTTTCTTTTAACCCTTTAATCCAAACTCAATCTCAAAAAGCACAATCACCTTTCCTGATTCCAGAAACAACCGTTATTTGCCCTCTGATACCGAATCGAACCAGACGTTTCCAGCCTTCTCCCTCTCTCTGTCTCTTCCCTTGGGGGGGGGATGACAAAAACCCTTACAGTTCTGTCCATGTGGAAAAATTTCAGTTGGGATTAAATTACCCTACAATCACCAAAAAACTCGAAAAATTAAAAAAAAAATATCTGGGATTCGGGAGGGTAATTTAACGAAAACGACATTTGCCCTAAAACAGTAATGGGTAAACAAATTCAAGACATCCGTGGATCAATTGGAATCTCTGTCAATTATAAAGGATCTGAAGAGGAAGTTGCTTACCCCGGATATGCTCTTGCATTGTGGTCATTATATCGGCTAGTCCTGCCCCTTCAACGGTAGCAACTCTTGGTACTCTTACTTCCCTTGAACTCCGTGGATTAGTTGCCATGTACTTACATACACACACATATATATATAGAAACTATATAAATGTAAGAAGTCATGTAATTATTATATAATATCTGTATCTTTCCTAACGTCAAACTCACCAATTCGTCATAAAATATTATATAGGATAATGCATAATTCTTCTTCAGATACCTTAGTTCACCATTCACATGCTAGCATGCAATTACACAAATCATTATTTAAGAAGAAATCGCTGCGAGGTAAAAAACCACAATTACAACATATTGATGGGGTTCATAAATATGATTCACCTACAGATCATATGTTATCCCCATGTTCGAAAAATCTTGAGAAATTCAAGTCGAATATTTTCAAGATTCGTCACTCAAAACCGATAAAGCTAAGCTTCAATGATTCAGTAGAACACAATTAATAACAAATTTTTTGTTTAGTTCTTCACCACATAAATATATTTTGCATTTTAATACCCTCCGATTAAGGTACACATCTCATCATCCTCATTACTACTTTTTTATATATATGTATACATTTATTTGTAATTTTTATTTCACTATTAACATGGTATTTTTTTACTCTCGAGTTCTTCTAATGCCTAATAAATAGCATATACATATATATATATATATAAGCAAAAAAAGAACATACTAAATAATATTATTAAAAAACAAGACAACAGTCGATATTCATTAAATATGATTTTGTTGCACTGATGATATCTATTTCTTTTTACCGTCGAGTCTAGCATCGATTAATGTATTTAATAACAACGATTCATTATCTAGTACAACTTTATTTGGTGAACTAGCTAATATTGATGCAATTTCTCTAGCGGTATCCAGTCTTTTCAATTCCACATAATCTTTGGATTTTTTAATTGCTTCACCTATTAACTCTGCGGATTTTGCTTCACCTTGTGCTCTCACAACCATCCCTTGTTTCTCTTGTCTTGCTTTATCTACAACAAATGCTGCTCTTTGAGCATCTTGTTGTGCAATTTGTTTAGCCTCAACAGCATTTGTAAATTCTGGTGAAAACGTCATAAATGTGATAGATACATCATCTAACATAATATTAAATCCACTAGCACGACGAACTAAATTTTCCCTAATCAATCTTGATACTTTTTCTCTTTGAGTAATTAGTTGTGATGCATTAAATTGTGCAACAACCGCTTTCAACACTTCATTAACAATAGATGGTAAGACACGTTCACCATAATCCTGCCCTAATGTTCTATAAATTACAGGTAATTGTTTCACATCAGGTCTCGATAACACTCTACAAGTAATATTCACCATTTGCAAATCCTTAGTACCAGTTAAGGATGCTACATTACGTGGTTTAGCTCTAACATCATATATTATTGGGGTCTCAAACCATGGAATTACAAAATGGGTACCTTCATTATAGATCCTGTTAGAGACACCGCCTATTCTGGAATAGACAATTGCTCTATGACCACCATCCACATTAAACAGTGAACTGTTCAACAATAACGCACCACCACCAAGTAATAATAACCCACCTAACCCAGCAAACATCCCAGCTGGACCACCACGACCTCCGGGTCCACGAGCACCACTTCCACCATTCACTTTTGACAGCTGCTGTTGGAAAACACGCGCATATCTCTGAAATTCATTGGGACCTCTATTCATTTTGATTCGTTTCTTCTTGTTCAACTTCTGGCAAGTATCAATCAATAAAACTACTACTCTCTTGCTTAGTGATTTTAATTCTTATTCCCTTTTAATTCAGTTCCCCTTTCTTAAACTTTCTTATTTTAAATTTTAGAAATTTTTGGCCGGTGGCAATATACACCCACGCATCGCACTGTGAACCATCCAGAGTAAAATTGACTCTAACTGTAACAAAGTAAAGTCACCAATTTCGAATTCAACCTCTACTAACGTGCTAAGGGGTGAACTTTTCTTTAGTTCTTAATCAGATGTTGTTTCAAGTGCTCTAGACTGATTAAGAAAGAACTACAATATATTCATTTGTTGCCGTTGGTTTCAATAGATTCGTTTATTGATATAGAGTCTCGGAAGAACAACGAACAATATTTTAAGGGGAACATCAATAAAAAGTTTAAGACTTTGTTAAAACAAAATTCGAAATAGAGTCAACAACAAGAATCTTTTTAAAGTGTATTTTTTTTAATATACATACTTACAATAAATTTAAAACTTCAAAAATTAAACCGATAATATGTCAGAATATCCATTGCATACAGCATGCATGAACAATCAACTTGCAAAAGTTCAAGAATATCTTCAAAATTCAGAAGATGAGAAAAAAGATATAATAGCTAGAGATGCAGACAATAGAACTGCTTTACATTGGGCTGTTTCTTCACAAGCTGCCGAGATTATTACATATTTATTATCACACATGAAGGATATAGATTTAGATACTTTAACTGATGACGCAGGGTGGACTCCCGTTCATATTGCAGCATCTATAGGAAATTTACATATACTTCAAGAACTTTGTGAAAGAGAGATCAAACCTGATTTAGATCTCAAGACTCAACAGGGTGTTACTGCATTACATTTAGCTGTTTCCAAGACTCATTATAGTATTGTTGAATATCTGTTAGCTAATGGCGCAAGTACAAGAATTAAGGATAAAAAAGGTCAGTTACCATTACATAGAGCTTGCGCAATCGGATCTACAAAGATGGTAACTTTATTATGTGCTAAATTAAGTCCTATTAATGCTAGGGATAGTCAAGGTTGGACCCCACTTTTCCATGCTCTTGCAGAAGGTCATGGTGATGTTGCCGTCTTGTTAGTAAATCAATATAGTGCAGATAAGGATATACAGGATTCCAACGAAAAGACCGCCAGCGACGTAGCATTAGACGACAAAGTAAGAAAATTTTTCGAAAGCCATGTCTAATTCTCATATTTTTAGTACTGAATATTTTATTATTTTATTAATCTCTATACACAATCTATATCTATAATAGCATTTGATCTTTAAAAAAATCACTTTTTTATTTATATTATCAATTGAATATCAATTCTGCGTCATAATACCGTCCATTAATTTCCTTATCCTCCTTCATTAGATCATTACTATCCTGACTTGAACCGATCAATAACAATTCTTGACCCTTAATGACACTATTTAAAGTTTCACATAATCTTAAAAGTTCATAAGGAATAATTACCCCTAAAAGATTATTACTTATGGCGAATCTAACCATATCATGGATAGAGATCGGATTATTATCATCTGCAATCATATTGTTACTTGATTGGTCCGTTATTTGATTTGTATCAGTATTATTTTCGTCATATATTGGTATATCGATCGCATTTCTCTGTATGGTAACAGATTTCAAACGATGTGGTGTATCTCCGATAAATAAATTACCAGATTTGCTTAACGTATTCATTCTTAATAAAACAGGGAAATTCGGTTGCTTCCAATTTAAGATTGAACATGCTTGCCAATTACAAGAACTGAAAACAATAGATCTAATACTTTGTCCTGAATGACGTAATGTACGTTCATGTTCGAAAATGATATATAATATATCATCAATAAACTTATTGATAGTCACATATGGAGATATCTTAACTGGGGTGTTTTGAATCTCCTCTAATGTTGGAAAACAAACTTGAACCACCAATTGAATGGATTTAGGTATAGCTTTCAATAAAGTATCAAATTGAAATATTTTAGAACTAATCAATGTTTTAAAGAAACCAATGATTTTTTCATCATCATATCCAATGGTGTTACATATATCATTTTCAATTTCGTCGATATTATATCCACATAGTTTTTCTAATTGAGGTTTACTCAAATCATTAATCAAAATATTAGTTCCATGTATATCGACATAAAAATTTGGAGACGCAACAATTGTACCATCGTTTAAAGCGAATACTTTGATGCTAATGAAAACACCTGCTAATGATGAAGAAGTAACAATTGTTGACTGAACGCTATTAAACGCATTCTTAGAAACGGCACCCTGGTTGTCAAGTCCCATAATACCCGGAATATTATTATTATTGTTATTACTATTATTGTTACCTGTAGATTTCCAATAAGGTTCATATTTTGTTATTTGTAACGGTTTAGCGAGATATGGTAAAATAACTTGATATTGCAATTCCAAACTACCTACACAATTTAATCTATGATCGAATAAAGAAAGAGTGATATCTCTCATGCTCGATACTAAATCATTGGTGAAAAAATGAGACATTGCGGTAGTTTTGGCCAATAATCTTGTTCCAAAAGATGCAAAAATTTCAAAATCAATTGAAAAATTATCTAATGTATCAATTAGAAATGTAGCTTCATAACTATTAGTCTTCGACTCATCATAATCAGAATTTTCTCCAACAGAAAAAATAATATTACGAGGGACAATATCCGATAAATTGGATGTGATTGTCATTCTTCCAGGTTGTGTTAATTCCAATGTATCATTGTTATTAAAATGAATACATTTTTCACCTTCCTTGAATACTAATTTAATGAAAATTTTCTTTTCTAAGAAATTGTGACCATATTTTCTTAAAGGTATAATAGGTGGTGGTAATTCAAAATCGGGAATATGTTCTAACGAACCATCTAATTCGTCTAAATCGTCAGGTAAATCGTTGTTTTGCATAGGGGTCAAACCAATCTGGGCGATTGGTTTTTGTTTATCAAGTTGATTAATAAATGGTAAGATCGCATTCAATACACCAATATGGCTATCCCAAAGAGTATAAAACAAAGGACTTTTACCATCTTCATCAGTGACATCTAATCTCGCACCATTATTCAATAACATTTCTGCTGAGGCTGCATTACCTTTTTGAATAGCATAAAAAATCGGAGTCCATTTGTTAAAATTATCAATCCCGTTAGGATTAGCACCATACGAAATTAATGCACTAATTAATTTACTATCACCACCGTTTTTCGCTACAATATGCAACGCTTCAGCGGCTTCAGGATCAGATGGATCCTTTAAACCAATCTTACGTTCACTGCGTAATTTTAGAAGTAATTGGGTCGCCTTTAAGTTATTATATTTACAAGCGACACATAATGGTGAGAATTGTGGACCCATTTGTTCAGTGAATTTAGGAACTACAGATGCGCCACCAAATATCAATAAAAACTCCACAATATCATTATGATTATTAATAATCGATAAAATTAAAGGACTCTTTGAATTATTATCAACCTCATCGATCGTCATTACCAGTGTTGAACTTATAATAAGTTTTATAGAGTCTAATTTCCCTAGTTCCGCTGCGTAATGTAATGGCGTTCTTAGATAAATATCCTGACCGTTAATTAAATGTCTTAATGTATCCAGATCTAATGTGTCCATACATAACTGAATAATAAATGTTCTTGGCTGTGCAGATGAATGCATTGCTTCATGCATGATACTTCTCTTTGTAAACTCTTCTTCGTCATTACCACTGTATAATAAATCTATATTTGATTTAGAAGCTTCGTAGAAGACTTTTAAACTTATGTCATCAATAGTTGAACTAATCAACAATAGAAATAACCTTGAAATACATTTCGTAAGCAAAGTAGCTTTATCAGATAAATTACTACTATTGATAGATTGTTCTATCTTAGTGACAGTAAAATTCGTCAAAGTATTATGTCTTCTATCATCATCTTTCAATTTTGCAATATTTATTAATTCAATATACCAATTTTCAATCTTTGTATCACAATCAAAATATTCTAGAGGATTCGTAGAATAGTTTACAATACCATGATTATTAACAGGTTTCAAATTTAATACATTCAATGTTTGTGTCAATTTACTACCTTGAATATCTCTAAGATCTGTCTGGTTAGATTGATATTTTATATTTTGTACACTATCATTATCTATATGTTCTAATGGTTGCTTTGAATCATTAGTTTCATTATTATTATTAACATCATTCAATTCAATTAAAATATTTAATGTTTCATCATTTAATTTCAATGCTTCATTTCTTGCAAAAATTGGCTGTACTGAAACAACAGTAGCCAAATAAAATTCTTTCTCTTGAGAATGTGATCTTTTATCCCATTTTTTTAAAACTTTTGAAAAACCTGTCTTATTTAATTCTACGAATTGTTCAAAATTACTTAAATCTTTTTGAAATTTTATAAATCCACCATATATTGTTTTAAATGATATTGCTATTCTGGAACTCAATCTACCATTTTTTTTATAATTATTATATTTAGATTGTAAAATATTAAATTGTACTCTTAAATCCGCTTCTTTCTCTAAATAAAAAGAATTAACTTTCTCTAATTCTCTTTCTAATCTAAAGAAGAAGGATGCTTTATTTTCTTGTAAACGATGATAGAAGACCGGATTATTAAAATCTGTTACGTCATCATCATTATCATCATCATCAATTTTGGTTTTATTTTGGTCTATTGATAGATCTGTTGAATTTGGTTCGCCACTTGGAAATACAGGAATGGCTAATTGCTTGATCAATTTCTTTAAACCTTTATAATCAATGAAGTGTCCATTATATTCTGACAATTCTAATTGTCTACCTTCGAGATACTTCCCGAACTTCATCACAATAAAGTCTCAAATATATATAATTGTATATATAGATCGTCAGTACACTCTCACACTTATAGTAATACAGGTGAACAGATAACGTATATTATTTCAAAAAGCAACAAACACTTCCACTAAAAAAAAAAATAATATCACTTGTATATATATATATGTATATTCCTGTGTCAAAATAGATAAAATCCACGATGTAACCAGAATTTCAAAACGTTCAATAAATTCAAAGAAAGTATAACGATAAAGACCTTTCACTTTTCGAAACCTCAAAGTCTGCAAAATAGGACAGCAGCAATATAAAACACACAAAGTTTAACTTGACTTGATCGAACCTGACACTTCCCAAAGAACTAAAGCACAAAGATCGTCTTTGTTCTTAACCATCTATCTATAATAAAATTGTTGATTAGTTTCTGATTAGTTATTATCATTTTCAGGGAAGAAAAGTGAGAGCCAAGAATGAAGTTCGGGCAGTACAAATTTTTTAATCGGACATACTAAGAAATCACCGTACAAAGAACAAATAAATGAGAAGCAATTATCAACCGATGAGCACGTGGATTGCAAGGTTAGAGGGATAGAGAGGTAGTGACTATCCACTTGTTGCTGTTTACTACTCGATCAAGATCCATTAATAGATGGTGGTGAACAAGAGAGCTAGCTTAGTTAGATGCAGAATATGTGGACAGGGCACAAAGCGAAATGAGTGAGAGGTTACACAATAAACACATATGCTTTTGAAGTAAAAATCAATTGGTTTTATTCTATGATCCCTCAGTCCAACCGACTTAAAAACAAGAATATAACAATGTAGACCAGCTTCATCGTCATTACTGGATCGTCTTCCTCTTTGTACTAATTGTCACTTTTTGTTCAGCCTTAACAAATCGCGAAATATTTGATGCTTTTTCGTAATTTTTCGATCTGAAAAATTTCAGTTTTGATGATTTTTAACCTATTGACGGTTTAGGAACCAACAGAGAAAGACCTATGAGCAATACGACAGTTAACCAGTGTCTCTTAAAATTATAAGTAAAGGCAGATGATACTCGTGTAGATATTTGTCATTGTTTTCTTGTAGACGACCAATCTGTATTCTTTTTTAGAGTAAGAGTCTTTGGTTTAAAAACTCCCTTCTATTGAAATAACCTTCTATAAATCATCGCCTATTTAAGTTAGTAAGTGACAAAAAAGATGAGTCTATTTCAAGATCTAAATATACTTATTGTGGTCACTAATCCTTCTCAGATAGTAAACGCAAAATCTACACAGCTTCTATTGGAAGAGAATGGATGCAATTGCTGTATTACATACAATTCATATGATAAACCTCAAGATTTACAAAATGTTTCATCAATTAAGAAATGGTTTTATGAAGAATTTACTACCGATGGGAAATGCTCAGATATACATTTCATCATCGCCGAAGATATAAATTTTAATTTTTATAAAGCTTGTGCATTTGATCTATTAATCCCCGTAATAAATTCAAATTGGGTTCATGATTCTCTCAACTGTAATAGATTGAATAAGACTACGATATATTCTCCAAATCCTTTGCATATCTTTAAAGATTATGAGTTTTATATCTCAAAATGTACATTCAATAAAAGTGAATATTTTTTTTATACACATTTAATTATATCATTAGGTGGATCTTATACAGATGTTCTTTCGTCAAATATAGATTTCTTAATCTCAAGATCATATATGGATCCATCAATAGTTGTGGTCCAAAAAGGTGAGATTTCAAATAATATTAAATTTATTTTCCCAACATGGCTTTTACAATGTTTTAAAGCAAATTATGAAGTACCATGGGAATCTCATTTATTAACAAAAGAAAATAGCTCTCAATTGAATGAATTATGGTCATCATTACATACTTCTAATTTTAATTCTATTTCGAATGTTTTAAATGGGAAAACATTTAAATTGGATCAAAGTTTAAAATTAGATCATAACGTATTGGAATTCTTGAATGATTTTATTACATTTGGGAATGGTCACCTAACCGATACTTTAGATAGTGATATGACTATATTAATTGCATGTGAAGCTCAGGCTGTAAGACCACAACGATGTATGACAGCTAATTTACTTTGGTTATTCGATACTATGAAATTAGAAGAATATGTTTGCCCAGATTCAAAAATTATTTATAAACCATTCAAGGATAAAATATTCGATGAACATATCAATCTCTTAAATGCAAGTTTTACCAAATATTTTGGTTATCAGAGGCTTTATATTAAATTATTGATTGAAAGATTGGGTGGGAAAGCAAGTACAGATTTTTCAAAGAGAAACAATTTTTTAATTTGCCAAATACCAAGAGGTAGAAAATATAATACTGCAATGACATTATGGAAAAATAAATGTACCGTGGTTAATCATTTATGGCTTGAAGATTGTTATTTATTAGGTGAAAAATTGGACCCAACTTTGAAAAAATATAGTATCGTTCCCGTTGAAAATGGGTTAGATAATCATATCAACCAAGTAGCTAACAGTTTACTAATCAAAAGTTCATCTGATACTCATCTTGATGTTAATAACAACGATAATAGAAATCAATTGTCTCAATCAGGGACTCAAATAACGATTCCAATTGACGAAGAAAAACATGATCTAATTGATGATCCAATTGAAGTTCCATCTGATGATCATGAACGGTTACCACCAAGAATTGATAACACCCAATTTTCTGTTGAGAGTGATGGCCTTAGAAGTAGTGTTGAAAACGAACGAATCATAAACAGATCGTTGAATGTATTAAGATCAGGGTTAGACCTATTGAGTAAGACGCAAAGCAATATAACGGATATGAGCGATGTCGGATCTCCCGTAGTACCCGATGTACCAGAGACTAAAGAACAGGAAGCAACACCGAGCTTGTCCTCAGCGTTGTCTTCTTCTAATTATATGACTGCTAGTATGGGTCCCGCAGCCCGCAATTTAAACGAGCAATTGACAAAGAACGATAAGATTGATAGCGCCAATGAAGATGACAAATCAGAAAACAACGATAAACGAACCATTGACGAAGACATTACGAGTGAAACAAACAAGAAAAGAAAAACCGTACAATTACAGGACAAGCTATCCCTATCAGCTTCGCCATCACCCAGATCAAACAATGGTAGTACTACACCACAGGGTGAACGGGATTCAACAACGAGCAAAGCTTATGATTTAGTTATAAACTTTATTGAAAAATCATTGATAAACAATTCAACCAATTCTAACAGTAATACTGATTCGTTATTGCCGATATATGATATACGTGCTATTCAGACATCATGTCTTGATAAGATTTCTAAACTTGATATGGAGATATTAAGAATTTTAGGTATTCAATTATTTAGCGAAATTCATGAATCATATCATTTGAATTCTATATTTGCACCAAAAGTGCTTCGAACTAAAAAATTCCTTCAAAGTTTATCATTTTCACCATTAAAATATGCTTTAAAACCTGACTTCATCGATGATCTATTAAAAAATATACGCCGTGGTGGTAAATCAAGAGATACATTTGAGACCATTGAAGAACTCAGAGACAATGCAAGTGGTAAACTGCTATCATATTACGCAATTCCTGAAATTCCTGAAATTATTAAAACAAGAACAACACTACCGACAAAAGTATTTGAAAGGGAAGGTATTGAAACTGTAAACATATTCGCAGACATTGCCGGTGGAACAAATACAATTACAGATATTTTAAAATCTCATGGTATACAGCACGTCAATATATTAAACTCAAAATTTACCGCAGACGAAATACTAAAGAACGAACACGTACGAAGAGAAGAAGAAAACGAAATAATACCAGACTATATAGTAATTGTTACCAAACGTTCTCAAGTGAAACGATTAACACCGATGCTTGAAATTGAAGGGACACCTTTAAACACCAGTAATGTCTCTATCGTTGAATGGGATTGGTTTGTCAAAGCCATGTTCAATTTGGAAGTAAACTTTAAGTCTCAACAAGATGTTCTTCACTTTCAAAAAGCGTCAAAAAAGAACGACACTACATCAGTTTGACTTTAATATAAGCATTATCGATATACGTAGAAATCAAAAATAGATACATAATTATACATAATAAGACAAATGAAATTTCGTATAGAGAAATATTCGCATACAACTACCACCATTGTTGAGAACCAATTGAAATAAACCTGTTTAGTCAGCATAAGGGCCCGGGAATTTGTATCGGATAAAAAAGTGAAAAAAATTAAATAAATTGCAAATTTGCAAAACTACGTGCATAAATCGCAAAATCCCAAAATCGCAAAAAGTAATACGCAAATTTGTAAAGATCAATAACAAAATGCGAAAAGCAACTTTGCAAAAAAAGCATTCTGCCCCCCCCCCCCCTCGAGCATCTCTCTGGCTTTCCTCCCATAAACTAAAATGAAAAGCTATCTAAATTAATTACACTTAATTTGCTAACAAAAAGTGAAGGGATGTGGCGTGCGAAACGAACTCCTCAATAGGTGGCGCACGGAGTTTGCGCGCCCTTTCTAAATTTTCTTTTTTGTACGCTTCATTTCCAGTTTTTGATAGTCGACAATTTAGTGAGAAAAAACGGATCGACACGCAATGGGCCAATAATATTCGAGATAATTAGATGATCGCGTAATACGCGGGGGTTGGCACCTCTGGGATTATCGCAACTAACCTTCAGGTAAGCTTCAGGTAACCTAAAGGACAGAACACACACAAAAATAGTAAGGAGGTTTTGTTGAATTTAGGTTTTCATTTTTTTAAAAAATTGACGTGGGGCATGTAATCAAGCATCTGATGTTTGGCAAACAATCCTCGAAGAACATTTGAAATAAAATTTTAAAATCGGGATATACTTGTAACGCTCCACATGTGTCCTCTTCTTTTTACAAAAGACGTTAAAGAGTAACAGCAAATATAGAACCAATGTAGATGTCTGATATATTGGAACGACTTGGTTCTTTTTTTTGCCCTTCGTTGCTTTTCCAAGACAGTATATCCTGTTTAGTTATAGGAAACCGGAAACAGCGGATATTGTAAATTAGTTTTTTGATTTGTAATCTGCCAACTTTGAGGGTCGTTGGTGTCTAATATTTGCAATATTTTAGCTTTTAGATGAATGAGTCCCGGAATTAGATGTTTAGATGTTTCAAAATTACTTTAAAATTTATATATAAAGGGTTCACAGTTTCTTATAATTCGAAAAATAATTTTCTTTTAATTTATAAGTTTTTATAAACAATCCTATTTCACATTTTATATATTAAGAAAAAGAAAACACCAAGTCAATATTTGTATTCTTATATTCTCTACGTTTATTAACTTTCACAACATTTAACAATGCTATCTCCTGCTACCAGAACTATTATTAAGGCTACCGTTCCAATCTTGGAACAACGTGGTACTGAAATCACTACCACTTTCTACAAGAACATGTTAAGTGAACACACTGAACTATTAAACATTTTTAACAGAATTAACCAAAAGAAGGGTGCTCAACCAACTGCTTTAGCTACTACTGTTTTGGCTGCTGCTAAGAACATCGACGATTTGTCCCCATTACTAGGTCACGTCAAACAAATTGGTCAAAAGCACCGTGCTTTACAAATCAAGCCAGAACATTACCCAATTGTTGGTGAATATTTATTGAAGGCTATCAAACAAGTTCTAGGTGATGCGGCTACTCCAGAAATTATCGAAGCTTGGGGTGAAGCCTACAATGAAATTGCTAATGTTTTCATAACTGTTGAAAAGGAAATGTACAAAGAAGCTGCTTGGGAAGCTTGGAAGCCATTCACTGTTACTTCTAAACAATTAGTCGCTAGTGACATTTACGAATTCACTGTAACTGCTGATGCTGGTAGTGGTATTGATTTGGCCAAGTTGCCAATCGTTGCTGGTCAATATATCACTGTCAACACTCATCCAACAATTCAAAACAACCAATACGATGCTCTACGTCATTACTCTCTATGTTCCGTTGACCCAGTTAACGGTCTAAAGTTCGCTGTTAAGCTTGAAACTTCTAAGGGTAACCCAGAAGGTTTAGTCTCTGAATACTTACACGACAAGGTTAACGTTGGGGACAAGATAAAACTAAGTGCTCCAGCTGGTGATTTCGCTCTAAACGAGAAACTAATTAACCAAATTGAAGTTCCATTAGTTCTATTATCTGCCGGTGTTGGTGTCACTCCAATTCTAGCTATGCTGGAACAACAAATCAATGCTAACCCAAAGAGACCAATCTACTGGATCCAATCCTCTCGTGATGAAAAGGATCAAGCTTTCAAGGCTAAGGTTGATGAACTATTGGCTAAATGTGATAATGTCACTAAAGAAATTGTCCACACTAACAAGACCGACCGTATTAATGCTGACTTCTTAGAAGCTAAGGTTCCAGGTCATGCTGATGTCTACATCTGTGGTTCTCTAGATTTTATGAAGGGTATGATTGCCCACTTGAAGGCTTTAGAACACAACGACGACATGATCCACTACGAACCGTTCGGTCCAAAGATGTCTACTGTCTCCGTCTAGATGACGTTGATTTATTCAGTAGTTTTTTTTCCATCTCATCTTCGGTACTTCTGTATATTTATACTTTCATACACTTTTATAACTATTTAATTTATGATATTCATGTTTAAAGAATCAAAAATAAAATCTTTAAAATAGACTGTTTCTGTTTTCGTATAAACAAAAAGATGATACTCTCCAAGTTTTATATTTTTACAATAATCCATTAAAGTTCATATGTAAAATATATACAAATATATGATCTCTCCTCCTATGCTTTCCCCCCCTTTAATTACTTACAAGTACATGTGTGGTGAGAATATACTATTTAACATAATTACTTTCATCATTTCTAAAACCATTCATTAATCATCTTTCTAAATTTTCTTGAGAAATCACGACAATCTTCAAGGCCTTCACGTAACTCACTTTTAATCTCTCTTTGTTTCTTTGCTAACACTGGGAAATGTTTCAATTCATAGTCATAGATTCTATCACACACATTATGTGTGGTACGTGGGAATACATACAAACCTGTAAAAGTACCTAATAAGAGAGGCGTAATCAATTTCATACTCCTTCCAGCTCTTCTAGACATAATGGAACCAGTCATCATTGCAACAATTACGGAGGCGACCCCTAGTCCTAATTTACTACGATCATCTGCATAGACACTTGATATCTTGGAATTTACTTTATTTTCGGCTTCATTACATTTTTTCACGATTTTATCAACATTTTGCTTAGTATCTTCAACACCATCTGCTATCTTCAATCTCTGATCACGGATAAATGCTGTTAACTTCTCAGGTTGCTGTTGTAAAGAGTCGGTATCCTTATCAACAATCAACTTGTCTGTAGCTGGATCGACCTCCTTATAAAAATTCTTCGACATCTTATAAACAATACTATTATCGTAATTTAATTACTTCCTTAATCAACAAAGGCTTTGAGGAATCCAAACTCGTATACTATCAAGTCTTGTTAAAAGTAGTGAAATATCCTTAAATTATATATTCTCGTCTCTTTATCTTCATCTTCGGCGTTTTTGAAACTATTGGCTGGTGAAAAAATATACATATATATATATTTACCAAGCCCTATATGATTAACAAATAGGGAATGACAGAGTTTACTTAAAACATTGTAACTTGTAAGAAAATTAAAGAATAATTTAAATTGAATATATTTTATTTATATCGCTATATGTTTAAAATTTTATACTGAATGTGAAATATATTATGTAGTTAAATACTTTTAAAAAAAGGTTTGTGTAACTATGAAAACTTGGGAAATTTCCCCAAAACAAATCAAAGTGCTAACTTGAAACTAGATTATTGATGAGTAAAGCTCATATGTTAATTCATCATCTATTAAAGACCGCCTTGGTGTTACTTTATCATTTGCATCTGCTTTTGGCATATTCTCTTGCTCACTTACATCAGAAGATTTAGCTCTTTGTGAAAAATAACGCCTGGCATACATGGATGGGACGACTGCACCACAGACTACACCCAACATTATATACTTAAAATGTGGCTCCTTAGCCAATGTTTGGGCTTCTGAATAAACGTTTGAATCGATTTTCATGATGATTTTTGTAAACTTTTTGAGACTTTTATTCCATAAGTAATGAAATTATGTTATGAGAAATATATGCTATTTGATGACAAACTTAAAAAAAACAAAAAAAACAAAGAGCCTGATGTTGACAGATATTAAAACTGCAAACATCTTGGAACTCTCTCTCCATTTATATATGTCATGAGAAATAATGTCTTATTAATTATAGCACTTGTTATTGTAAAATTTCTAAAAAGTCATCGTTACCTAGATCCCAACACCCTCAACAATGGTTGCTTTTAAAGAACATTCTCTCCAGTATAATAAGAGCCCCCGGAATTATTTTAAATACCTATTTTAAAGGATACCATTACAATACTAATGGATTCAATGAGGAAGCTGCTTAAATAATTTTTTTTGTATCAGCCGTACAAGAGATAAATCTTTGATAAGCTCAACCATTTTATAGGGATACCAAGTTTCACTTATTTAATATCTTCGGTATAGGAAGAATCAAAATAAAACAAAACATTCAGAATATTTCTATTCATATGTCGTTATGTATTAATTAATGTGCGGTACTAATGCAAGTAAGTAAGTATTTAAATATTATTATCTAAAATGTTGGCCTAGGAGAAAGCTAAAACTTAAAAAAAATAAAATAGCTCTCTAAAAAAATTTCTTGAATATTGAACCAATCCCTGATTTTTTATTTTTCGAAGAGCCTGATGCTGATGATGATGACGATTTTACTTTTGTCTTTATCTTAGACTTTGATGAACTGTCGCGACTGGAACTACTAGACAAATGATTAATACGAGGTTTTTCACCACTGGCACCACCTGAAAATTTCGAATTTCCACTATTATGGCGATGATGATGGTGAGATTTACGTATGCTAGAAGAAGGTTGTGCAACAGATTTAGTCTTTCTAATTGTCTGAGATGCGCTAAAGGTTGGTCTTAATGAATTACTATTATTAATAGCATTATTACTAGCCTGAACTTCATCTGGTGATAAAACACCATCTATCATTGATTTTACTTTATATAGACCAGATTCCTGGAATTGAACTCTTGAACTTCTTCTTGAATTTCTTGAGGTTGTTGGAGTCAATTTTTTACCATCCTGATCATATACTACATCATTTGTTTGTAATAATTTTTCTCTTGTTGATAATGGGAAAATATAACCTAATTGTTCAAATAAGTTAATCTTTCTTTGTTGTTCGGTAGAAATTGGGAAATATTCATTGACGGAAGCTACCGATTCTTCATCATCACTTGAAGTCAAATTATAATTATCATGATGGAATTCTTCTTCATGTAAAAATGGATTATGTAATGTTTTGTGAATAATATTATCTAGTACATCCAACCTTTTATCCTTCGTTACAGTTGATTTCTCATGTGAAGCACCTTCAATTAATAAATTTCTATCAATAAACTCAAAAGGTACTACAATTACTGGGATTGTATAATGCTTCATTACAAAGAAAGGTAACTTGACATTCCCATTTCTAAATTTTATTTGAATATTAGCACTCACCGTTGCTACAATATGAACACTTGGTTTATAAAGAGCAGCGACTTTTGTTAAAGCTGATTTTGTTGAATCATCTTTAACCATTTCAATAGTAATTTTGATTTTTTTATGAGATAATCTTGCCGCATAATACTCTAAAAGATTTTTACCAACAATTTTTGCTTCCTCATAAACACCTTCTAAAAGTATTCCCTTTGTTAATGGTCTTTCTTCTTCTTTCCCACTTTTTGTACTATGTGATTTTGTTTGTTTAATAGTCTTTTCATGAATGCTTAATAATTCTTTTTTCTTCTTTTGAACTTTATCATGTTGAACTTTCAAATCAACATTATGTTTAAAATCTGGAATACATGTAATAATAACTAAATGATCACCATCTCTAACGAAATTCTCAATATACCAATCAACTGTAGACCAAGTGAATCGTCTCCCAGAGATGTAACACGACACAACTCTTAGGGAACCATTTTCATCTTTATATTTATTATTTAATTTTTTATGCAATGAATTAACGCAATCTTGAAAATGTTCATTTTCCATTGTTAATGATAATGCTTTATGATCAACTGATGGCCTTGACGGATAGACACACGCTAATGAATCTAATACAGTATTTGGAATTTTTATTGAACTGGCTTTTTTATTATCAAAAAAAACTGGATTTTGCTTGCCAAAATCAAATTGATCCATAGTAGATTCTGTTGATCTACCCAGACTAATATATGAATTTTCTAAAGCAGCTAATTCAGCATCTGTCATATTAGCAAAAGATTTTCTTCTATGATCTCTTATCAATGAACCCGAATTTTCATCATTAAGATCTCCTAGACTACGATTTTTATTTTGAATTCTATCTTCCACTTCATTAAGATTTGAAAATAAAGATTGTGTATAACCAGCTTTTGAACCTGAATTTAATTGAGTATTATTATTTGTAAGTTTAGTCATTGTCTTTGATTCCGTTGTAGTCATATCTCCAATATCTATATCATCAATATTTCCTTGTTCATCAACTGCTCTATTTGTCTTTTTCAGGATTGATTTATCTGGTGGTGGAGGTAATTTTCCAAAATTTAATTTTGAAGTAGTTGTGTTAATTGATTGTCTTTCAAGGGGTGATTCACTTCTGCTCGCACTTGATGAAGTTTTATACAAAGGTCTTGAAAGTTGTTTCAATGAAAATTCATTAAGAGATCGAAGAGACGGTACCTCTATCATTTTATCATTACTATCATTATTATTAACCATTGGAATTATTTGTTGACTGTAACTTTCACCAAATAATGGGGGTCTATCATTTAAAGAATTACTTCTATCACTAGATTGTTCACCATTAATAATGTCATCTTTACTCAATTGATTATATAAAGGATTATATTGTGGTGGAATATGAAAAAATTTATTATTAAAACCAATATATCGATTATTTTGTTTTAAAATTTTAATTTCATCATCAATTAAAGATGGCGAAAGATTATCAAAGGATATATGCCTCTTATATTTTGGAGGTAATGGTAACTCTGTAGTCATTAATTTAAACCAATCAAACTTTTGACACTGTGTTTTTTTTAAAATTTCAAAATAAACTAATAAACAGAATCACCCTTTTTTTTTATTCTTCTCCTTCTCTTTGATGTAAAATTTCGAATTATATTATTCTCTCTCAAAAAATCGAAAACAATACAAACAAACACAGACTCAATTATCAGAACTTGATATTATACTCCACAAATAAAAAGTAAACAAACGTTTACTACAACTTATATCGTCTATGTGAAAATAAAATTGTTAAAAATAGCACCTATGATGTATATTTCAACAAGTCAGTAATCAGAAAAAATAACAACAAAAAATTGCTTGCTTACGGTGTGTAATACCATATATTAAAACTAAGTAAAACTAAGTAAAACTATAGAATATATATAAAGGACTAAATCATTCACTTATTAAATATATCTAATAGAAGTTGACCATCCCAGTTCTTAATAATTTAGTTTAATATTCAATTTACAACCTGTTCCGTCTAGCTGTCGCTCTCTTCACCCCTTCCCGTTCATTCCCAGGCAGACAGACAGCTGAAAGGACCCCGTCAATCTTTCTCCGCCCCGTGGTTTGCCTAACAAAGGCGAGGTAGCCAATGCGAGGTGGCCCTATGTTAGGGCTGTTTTGCATGTTTGGGCGGTGAGCGAATAAACGTTGAAAAGAATCTTACAAATGGGCTGACACCTCAATGTTGGGAGGTGAGTAAGAAACGGCCGCACAATATGTGGGTTCCCACTGCGTTTCTGTTGATTTTGCTTTCTGTCGTACCTTGTGGAGCCCTAATTTGGCTCTTACTGGAGCCATGTTAGGGCTTGTATTTTTTTAGGCTTTGGAACAAACGACAAGCTCACTTCTCGAGCACCAGGAAGAGAGAACGATCTCATGGTAGCCCTATAATTACGCCTCTGTCACATATACGAGAGAGGTCTATAGGATTAAGTTCAACAGCACATGTGATTCTGACTTATTTTTTTTATTTTATTTCATGTGTATATATTTATGTATGTATTTGTATAGTACAAATGTTCGTTCAGTTACTGTCCATGCTGTATAATTTTTTCTTTAATTCCAACATTTCATCCTTCATGGAGTCCCTCTCTTGTTTGATAATGAATAATTCAGCTTTTAAATCATTTAACTTTACATTGAATCGAGCATCATCCTTTGGTGAATTGGAACCACTTTGTTGAATCGGACTATCAACACCATGCAATTTCATATTATCGATTTCTTCTTGTAATTTCTTATTATTTTGTTTATATTTATCTAATTCTTTCTCAGAAATTTCAAGAGCCTTTCCTGTATTATTAATCGAATTTAAACTTTCTTCATAATTCTTCTTTACAATATCTAATTCTTCCTTTGTGGATAATAAATCATCATGAGTAGTTTGGTGTTGCGTCTTTAATTCATGATAATCTTCATCTAATTTATCTCTTGATTCACTCAAATCTTGACTTCTCAACAATAAATCATCTAATTTACTAGTTAGCTTATTAACAACATGCTTATGATGTGGATGATATACACCATTAGTATCGATATCATCATCATGTTCACCATCACTATCCTTAACAGCTGATCTGTTTAATGACAAAGTATCTTGCCACGTCGATATCATAGCCTTGATTTGTTCAGAATACACACCAATATCCTTATTTATAGATGTATCTCTCTTTTGTAAATCGTTCTTTAGTGTTCTGTTTTCTTCTTCAAGAACTTTGATTTGATAAGTCAATTGTTCAATACCATTCTCTTCTAAACCCTGTCTAGTGGCTTCATATTCATCGATCGCATTCTTTTGTTGTTTAATGATTTGATTCAAATTTTCTAAATCTAGGAATTTATCACCGACAAGACTCTCTAATTCTAATACTCTATCTCTCATAATATGGTTATCAGCAGTCAGTATATCACATTGATTTTGTAATTTTGTTGCATTAACATCTTCAGATGATAAACTTGTAGTTCTTTTATTAATACTTTTCAATCTAATTATTTGATCCTCTAAATCTCTAACATGATTACTAGCCTCAATAGATTTTTCATTAGCTACATCTCTTAGATTTTGTAATTCAGTGCGGAAACTTTCTAATGCTTGTTTACTAATTACAGTCATATTAGGATCATCTTTATTTACTGAGAGAGACTTTGATATCGTTTCAGGTTCAGTATCTAGAGGTTCAGTGGTTATCTCTTCGTCTTCCTCAACATCATTATCTGAAGCAATATACTCAAGTTTAGGTGATGGAATCAATTCATCAAGCGTATTACGTTCAATTGTATCTTCAGCTTCTGAATCAACAGTAACATTTGGTTCATTAAGATCCGAAGTACCAAGATCCATTTGTAAAGCATTAAGCTTATCTAATTGTTCTTCTTCATGGTTTTGAGAATCTTGGAATTCATCTTCCGTATTATCATCATTGTCATCATCATCCTCATTTTGTTTATGGACTTCATCCGGATGAGATGCAACCATAGTAACAGTTGTAGATAACTCATCTGGTACTATCTGAGAATCTCCTTCCACGGCATTGATCTCTAAAACAGGTGATTTTTCAAAAGTTTCAGTCTGTTTAACAATAGGAGATTTTGCTATGCTCTTCTCTTGCTCAGATACAGGAGAGATTGGATTAGATTCTTCAACGACACTTGCCACCCTTTCAGATTTCACTGGAGATTCTTTTAAAATAGGTGATGCTAAGCTCTTTACATGTTCACTCAATGGAGACTTATTAGCTTGTTCAACAACTGCAAAATTCTGCTGTTGTTCAATTGGTTCATTTCTTACATTTGCGCCAGATTGGAATACCTCGGTGTCTTCCGCCTTTGGAGTGTGACTATAATCTGGATCACTATATGGGGTCAATATATTGTTCTGAATTTGTACAGGATTCGTGACAGTAGACTTTGAAGTAGGAGTGGTATTCAATATTGGAGATTTATTAATTGGCTCATTTTCTGATGTATCTTGATTGTTGCCTTGCTCCGAATCATTAATAACATCATTATTCATATTGTTAAATGGAATGTTATAATGAGGTGCATGGCCAGTTATTGGAGTAGAAATTTCTTCCATAATCCCAGGACATAACTCTTCCAATCTTGTTAAATCTAAGGTATACAATATAGTACCTTTACCCATATTAACATCAGATGTACGTAAATTGTTATCATCAATAGCAGCGTAATCAAATTTATCACCACCCATTATCAACAATTTATTATTTTTCAAAAGGGATAAAGAATGGCCTGAACGTCCTTGTGGTATACCTAAACTGAATACAGGTAATTTAAACCATTTGAAAGATTTCAAATTGAAAAAATATACACTGTTCAAGTATATATCTTGCTCATCTTTACCACCAACAACAACCATCAAATCTCTGTAAACTAGCGTAGCATGTTCTTGCATTGGAGGTGGAATATCATTTGCCTCTCCACCGACATTACGCGGTTCTATTACAGACCAATCATTAATAATCGGATCATACATAAATATTTTGTTCAATAGACCTTGTTGAGTGTCACCACCAAATACCCATAATTTATGTGCGTATGATACCATTGTATGATTAGTCAAAGGAGGTGGTGTGAAAGTCTTAGGTTTCAAGAATTCCCAATGAGAATCTTGTCTTCTGAACGAGGACAAATCGAATACACTTAAATCATTGAAATATGTTTCATCAAATTGACCACCAAACAAGTACAATTTTGTTTTCATTTGACTTGTAGCTATAACAGAAATCTTATGACCGTACCTCCCAAGAGGTCTTGGTCCTACTGGATGTGGTATTGTCCATTTGAATGAATTAATGTTAAATAAATAAATATCATCATCCATCAGTCCATCTTGATTAACTTTATGAGTATCACCCCCAAAGATCACGAAAGCATTACCACATAAAGTTGAAGCATGACCAACCCTTGGTGGTGGGGTATTTTCTCCAATATCAACAGTCTGTGAGGAAAACTTGGTAGCATTATTTTCAGATTTAATAATCCATGTATCACCATAAACAGATTGATCATGCAAACCACCAATGACATATACTTTATCGTCATCACTAGCATATGTGGATGCTACATGTCTATACCTTGGGAAGGGAGAATTGGCTAATTTGACCCTATTCCATATAGTCTTCTCCGATGGTAATTGAGGATGTTGTTTGTTTGTACTATCATATATTAATGGCATAGCTGTAGCACCAGAAACATTCCGCTGCTGTTCCGGGATTGGTGTAGGAAATAGACGCGAATTGCTTGTTTGTTCATATGCTGGAAATTGAGGTGCTGGTGATGGATATGACTGTTGTTGCTGTTGAGGCATTGATTGATTCTTAAATGTCCCATTATTATTATTATTATTATTATTATTATTATTATTATTATAATTATTATAATTATTATTGTAGTTATTCCTATTTTGATCATTTTGTCCAAACAAATTATTATTTGCAGGATTAATACTGTTGTTACTATTATCGTTATTTGTATTGTGGTTATTATTTCCTAGATGTAAAAACCTGGAAGGGCTACCCTTAGGAGAATTACTGGAATTTTCTTTAGAATTCTTGTTCTTGTTCTTATCTTTATCCTTAGAGGATCTTTTACCAAATTTAAAAGGAGCCATGGTCACTCGAGTTGAAAAAGTGGATATATATTAGTAATGAACGATTTTTGAACTTTTCTAGCTCTCTGAATCGATATGGATTGGCTATCTTCAGAGAAATTTAAACCTATTCGCCTATTTTCAGGTCTGTGAATAATCCTGGTCTCTGTAATAATTAGAAAATAACAAAAGATCAATAGGAAATGAGATAAATAAATTCAATTCGTAAACGTCGAAGAAATCGATTACCAATTAATGTAACCCATAGTTTCTTCTCGAATTTATCCATTAGTTTCTCTGACATAATTCGATCTACCTGTTTGTTGATTTCTCACGATGACCGTTGATTTGAGTTTTCTGACAGTACCAAAGCGTAATAACAACAATACCATAATTGGTGAAAAAAAAAGGTCGTTAAAAATGACATTTTAGTGAAGAGGTCTGATAGTTTTCAAACCCACTAAAAGGAATCTTTCGCTTAGATTTACATGTGTTTATATACTTATTTACTGCCAATATGTATGTAATTAAGGATCATTATTTGGGATGATCGTAAACTGGGAAATATTCGTTTCCTACTACTTCGTCAGTATCGGGAGTGAATAACTCCGGAGAATCTCTACGTAATGTCACTGATCCAGCACTTACTTTCTTCATCAATTGCATAAATTTAGAGCCATTCAGCTTACTATTTACTGGTGAGGATGAACGCGATGTTTCTGGTGTTACTACCTCGACTATACTTGCTGCAACTTCTTTGAAATGTATCTGTTCTCCATCAAAGGCTGCCCGTGACTGTGGTTGACTATGGTTCATGAGAGATGGCCCCCTAGTTAATCCATGTTCAATTATATCCAATTCATGATCTATTGTATGAATTTGTACGTCATTTAACTCTGGAAAACTTGTACCACCATAGCCATTATCATTAATATTTACAGAATGTTGCGGATCTTGAAACTGCCGTATCATTATTGGTGCTGATTCTACCATCTGTAATGACGACCTATTCATCTCATATTGAGGAAACCTTTGTATCGTAGGTCTATGATTTGGTTGTATATTTGTAGCTTCATAATTACCGTAAAATTTCTTATATTCATCACTAAACTCCATTGGGTCGTGTATCTGCACTTTTGACAAATCAGGCAAATCTAACTCTTCACGATTGCCGTTATTATGTGTCTGCATATAAGACAAATTTTGAACATCATTGGTGGTTGTAGATCTACTTTGAGGTAAAGGCATAAACGACGGTGATATGTTAGAATTCATTGCAGAATTCCCATTAAAGAAGGACCTTTCTGTGGAATCATTCCGAGCATTACTACTAATCAAACTCTCATTCCCATATGGAACTCTAGGAACGTTACCATTATTATTCGTTAGAGTTGAAAACCTCTGCAGAGGGTTGACACTACAAGAAGTCTCCGACATTTATATCCGTCTGTTTTTACTGGCTTTTGGTAATGTTATTATAAAACTTGACCTCACCAGTTACTCAATCCAAGAAAAAAAAACTTACTGTCCTGTAAAAAGTAAATAAACTAATTCAATATATATCTGTATACTTATCTAGTTTACAGTGTTTCATTTACTCAAATACAGTTAGATTAAATTTCAGTAAATTGATAATATCAAACTGTAAAAGAGAGAGAGACCTCAAAAGGACTTCTCCCCCGGAACTTTTCATTAAACTGACAGCTTATCCGATGGCTTAACTAATAACACAAAATATTTCCTGCGCAATTTGATGAAATTTTTTTCTTAGTCAGTTTTGACAGGTCGGTTGTACGCGTGTTCCTTCGCAAATGGAGAATTAAGTAAGCAATTTGATAAGATAATATTTAATACTTTCTTAGCATCATAATCCTGAAAACGAATGAGTAAGCGACGATTTTTGGAATTTATCCGAGGATCTGAAGCTCTGTGATATAGAAATTCAGTTTAATATACAAAATAGAGATTCATTTGCAAGCACATCTGACTACTATGTTCTTGTAAACACATTACTTAGTTAAGAAAACAAAATATTGTATCGATTATACATTACATAAAAAGGTTATACGTTTAAGTCATCCAGGGTGTTGCACTTTTTTCTTTTCTTTTGATCAATTTCTCCTCTCTTCTTTTGACTAAAAGTACCACGAAAATAAATTCTTACTATTCAATTCAGATAGTCTATTAAAATGATGAATAATTCAAAAAAACACATTTCTTCCAATTTTTAAACCAATTTCTCACTGTAATTTTTGCTTGAAAACAATACTTCATACCACATTGCGAAAGAAAACACATAAATAAATAAATGTATATAAAAAAGAAAGAGGATCGTTTAACTTGCAATAGTGATGTTTCATAAATGAAGTAATATTAAAGATGTTGGAAAATAGTAACAGTGAAAAACTAAGATAAGGGAGGATTTTTTTGCTCTTCGTAATAAGAAGATAAGAATAAAATATTAGTTCCTTAATACAACAGTACAGTAACTGCACTCTTGAATATTTATCAATCGGAACATAGTTTATTTTATGACTTGCTATGATTATTATTATTATTATTATTTTATAGTTGTCTAAATGATCAGTTGTAGAAGTGAGGAAGAAAAAAGAATTATTAAAGGAAAGTGCATGCGAGCATGAGAGAAAAATTAAGATAGAAAAAAATGGAAACATAAAAAATTGGGACAAAGGTTAGGTAAATGATAAAGAAGTTTTTTTTATCATTCAGGACCTTCAATGTCATAACTTCATAATTGGGCTTCAGCTAGTTGCTTAGCAGCAAGAACTTCAGCTCTCAACTTCAATCTACCGGATAAGATATCACCAATCTTGTTGAATTCTTCCCAGTGGACTTCAGTACCCTTTCTTAATTCAACACTGGTTTCTTCTTCCCATAACTTGGCAATTGGCTTGAAAGTAACTTGAGAACCGTTGACACAGATGACAGCGGCAGAGTCATCTTCATTGGCAACTGTATAAATCTTTTCACCCTTGGCATTGTAGTGGAATCTAAGGATATGGGCATCGGAACCATCACATGGTAGGTTTCTCTTGTTCCAGTTTTCGAAGAACTTGACACACTTAACAGCGAATCTAGAAGCAGTAACTCTATCCTTAGATGATGGAACACCACCTTGTTGAACATGACCTGGAATAGCAGTCTTAGCACCAAATTTCTTGTCACTTTGTTCACAATATATATCGGCAATCAATTCAGTAGTGTAAACGCATGAAGCTTCTTCGTTTCTAATGACGATCTTACCGTTTCTAACTTCACCTTTATCATGACTGAAGTTTTCCTTCAATAGAGACAAATCTTCAGCAATGGAGGATAAGTTGATTTTGTGTTCTGGAGTGTATACAGAGACAGCACCAGTAACTAAACCAGTGAAAGAGGCAAGGTAACCAGAGTGACCACCTTGTACTTCAACAACAAAACATCTCTTTCTTGTGGCAGAGGCACTTTGCTTAATATCATCAGTATAGTTAACTAAAGTGTTTAGACAAGTGTCAACACCTAGGGAGTATTCAGTACCTGGAACATTGTTAGAGATAGTGGATGGGATTAAAGTCATTGGGATGTTAAATATTGGGTGATCCTTTCTAGAGTCACGTAATTGTTTTAGGGATCTGAAACCTTCAAAACCACCAAGAATCATTAGACCATCAAACTTGAACTTTTGGAAATAGTATGCAATGGTACCCATGTCTTCAGCGGCAACGGATCTGTTAGTACCGATCTCAGAACCACCTAAGTTGTGCCAGTTTTCAACATCAATCCAGGATAATTCCTTAACTCTACCAGTTTGGATCAACCCACTGAAACCGTTCATGATTGCAAAAGGTTTGTGACCGTGAGACAAACAATATAGAGTAGCAGCTCTGGTAGCAGCGTTCAAAGCGGCAGATGGAGCACCGACATGGACAATACCGATGTTTAATCTTTCAGCTGGTGGTAGTAATTCAGTACCGTCATCTCTAACTGTAGTAGATAAGAAATTTTCATAAAGTTCAATGAATTCAGTGTCTCTTAAGGAAATAGCCTTATCGAAATTCTTACTTTCAATGGCGTCAGCGACTTGTTTAGTCAATTTAACAGATTCAACTAATGGCATTCTAATAATTTTGTTCTCTAAGATACCGATCAATGGAGATGGAGTTTCTGGAGTATTTTCTAGAACAGCCTTAACAGCGTCAACACCTTGTAGAGTAGCTAGCCATCTATCGTGGGCAACAGCGGTACCACCTCTTTGAACGTGACCTAGGATGGTGACCTTGGTGTCCAGACCTAAGTCAATTAAGACATCCTTAACATTTTCGGCAGTGATTGGGTTTAATTCATCATCAAGGGCACCTTCAGCGACGATGACAGTGTTGTTTCTTCTACCTTTGTTTCTGTGTCTTTGACAAACGTCCTTTAATTCTTGTTGCCATTTACCAGCTGGGACAGCTCTTTCTGGGATGAAAATGTAATCGGCACCAGTGGCAATACCAGCCATCAAAGCTAACCAACCACAATGTCTACCCATGACTTCAACAACAAAGGCTCTAGAATGAGATTTGGCAGTAGCATCAATGTAGTCAACCATTTCACAGATTCTTTCTAAAGCAGAGTAAGCACCGATGGTGGAATCAGTACCAGACATATCGTTATCAATGGAACCGACAAGACCAACAATGGTCAAGTTCTTGTATGGAGCTACTTGAGCTTCAGTAAATCTACCATCTTTGACTAAGTCTTCAACTAAAGATGGCCATTCGTGTCTGAAAAGATCAGCACCAGTTAAGGAACCATCACCACCACAGACAACTAAAGCATCGATACCTTGTTCGATCAAATTACCTGCAGCTCTCTTTCTACCTTCACGTTTCTTGAATTCCATGGATCTAGCAGTACCAATCAAAGTACCACCTTCGGATAACCAACCTCTAACGTCTTCCCAAGCCATTTGTTTCAAATATTCACCACCTTTTAATAGACCTTCGTAACCTTCATAGACGGCAAACATATCACAACCGTAATGAATACCAGTACGAACAACAGCACGAACAGCAGCGTTCATACCTGGAGAATCACCACCAGAAGTCATAACGGCGATCTTCTTCTTTGGTTTCTTATCACCTGCTAAAGTAGCCTTTAATTTTTCAATGTTGGACAACATAGCAGCTGGAGTAGCAGAATCAACGTTGTTATTTTCGGCATTTTGGAAGAAATCTTTATCAGTTGGTTTAGAATCAGCTGGATGAACAAAGTTAGTAAATTCAATCTTATTACCTAATGGATCAGCTAGACGTAAGATGGATAAAGTAGAATTTGGAAATTGTTCAATGGCAGCTTCTGGGAATCTTGATTGTAATTCTTCTAATTCAGCAGTAAAATAAGTAATAATTAAATTAGAATTAGCAATAATTTGACCAGAAGTATTTTTTGATGGTTGAACTAATCTAATCTTTAATAGAGCACCTTCACTTTGTTTACTATTCTTAGCTTCTTGTTGAGGAACTCTAAATCCTAATTCATCAATTTCACTTAATTTAAAAGATTCTAACCAAGTTTCTCTAATAGAATCGTGGGAGGTACCAATAGATAATAAAGAATCTTCACCAGTGGTAAATTTATCAAAATCCTTAATTGTAGCAAAACCTAAAGAATGATAAAATCTGATAGTTTGCTTAAATAACGTTTCATCAGTAGTGACTAGAGATGTAAAAGCTACACCATAATATGGGTCAGCAGCAGTCATTTTTTGGATAAAATAATCTTTCAACTTTTATTTTTGTCCTGCTTTTGCGTTGGTGTCTTATTAAGAGAAGTTATAAAAATGAAAAAAAACCAAAGACTAACAGATATGTATATATATACAACTAAAAGAAAAAAAAAAATTATATATATAAGTTGAACAGTGTTTATTAGTTCAAGTTACATCACAAATATATAAAGAAGATGTAAATAAAATAACAAATAATCGGTTCAAGATAGGAGGGAAACCCTCATCAGGAGAATAAAACAGTAAAAAAAAAAATTGATGGACCTTCTCCAGGAAAGAAAGAAAGAGAGACCAAGAACAAAGAAAAAAATTTCCTGTAAATTGAATAGACTCTGAGTATATGCAATATTATCCTCTTCTTATTAAGAGAGTCACTAAGTTTCCGTCTCTCTCTCTCTCTGTCTATCAACAGATTACTTAACTTGGATCTTTTTCCCTTTGGCAAAGGTAATTCCTTTATTATTATCGCCTTCATCATCACCGTCTCAGTGAGTCTCTCTGAATTGCGAAAAAATATTAAATTTTCTTTGTTTTTTTGCCTGAAAGTTCACAGGAAGGGAATTTTTCGAGCATCGCTAAAAGAAACTGAAAAAAAAACAACGCAACCGGTCAGGCTTCCACTGATAAACCACTGAACGATCGTGGGAGTAGCGAAGACGGGCAACAATATATTACATATTCTTTTTATGTGCCGCGCGGTGTGTCTGTTTGAACCGAGACAAAAAGCCGAACAAATTAGAGGAACCCCGGGTGTGTGGGTGAAACAATAAATGGAGCGATCGAATGCGCAAAAAATTGGAATTTCGTTAGGGCACGTCTTAAACCCTAGGGTATACGTTAGGGTCTTGTATATATATATGTATCTGCGATATGAAGAAGGTTATATAGTACTATGTTTATCGATTGTGACAACATTTATAAGTCTACAAGACTGTCATCCTGCCTTAATGTATGTCCCGAAGGCGCTTGTTGTTGTTGTTGTTGTTGTTGTTGTGAGGATGAAGATTGTTCAAATGGATTCACTGCAGCTATCTGGACTGGAACGGGCATGTATGTGATGCCTGTAGTTGTGTCCGTCATTAATCCAGGGTTTTCAGCAAGAACATCCATTCCAAACGGATTGTTGATCATCATACTTGTAGTCCTAGCGGGTGCTAATGATTGGCCTTGAACTTGTGTATTTGCAACTGAATAACTGGGTGGTGCATTAGTTACGGGACTAGCGTTCATGTATTGAGAATTAGTATATGAAACTTGAACAGGTTGTTGCATTAAGAAAGGATTACCAGTGGCTGTGGCTTGTAATCCTTGTTGTGGTTGTGGTTCAAATGAAAATTGGTCGACTTGTGGCGAAAATGGATTATTACTAGACATTGTAGATGGTGAAATTAAATATTGTTGTTGTTGTAATTGTTGTTGTAACTTACGTTTTTCTTCTTGTACTTCATCATATTTGTGTTGTGCCGCAGTAGATGCAATTCTTTCATTATTATAATTATTATTATTATCATCATCATCATTTTGAACAATACTTTGTTGTCTTGATGGTTCTCGCTTTTGTTCAAATCTTGGAGTTTGTTTAGATGTATAATTTGATCTATCGTGTAAATGATCTTCCAATGATCTAATTAATTTTGTTGTAATATGTTTAATAACAGGAATATTTAACCCTAGAGCCTTACCAACACGTAGATATGTTACAACAGATTCTGTAACATCAACAAACCTTTTGTAAAGATCTAATGTAATCTCTGCATCTTCATAAGCTAAGTCAAAGAAAGATTCTAATAATTTAATTACGCCTTCATTTAATTTATTATAAAGTGATAATAAATCTTTAACTAACAGTTTATAAGTGAAAAAAAATAAATCTGTCTCTAAATCAATTTGAGAATATTTATTTCTTAATAATTTTAATATTTGTCTTTCCAATGATTGAACATAACGTAATCTTTCTTTATTACTTGGACGCGATTCACTTGAATATCTTTTCATTATATCCCACTCAACAGAACGACACTCTAAATAATCAGAATATCGTCTCATTACACTTAAATCTGTTGTAGCCCATTTCCTATTGCTATTATATATTTTCACTTGCATATTATTAAAAAATTCCAAATTGGCAGATAAATAATCAAATACAATTCTTGGATTTTCTTGTGTCATCATATGTATCACAACCAGAGATTTAAATACAATTGACCATTGTTGTTTGTTGTTACCAATACGTACACGAATATCATATATGATATCATTAAATTCTTCGCGGTTATCAATGGCATTTAAAATTGGAACCATGTATTTATCCTTTGGAGGTGCCACTTTAATCTTTGTTGCACCTTTCACCAATTTCATATAAGGAGACATCTCTGATTATTGTTTATAGTTATTTCTATATGTATACCTCGAGCTTTTTATCTTTCTTGTGTTCCACAAAGAATTCTGTTTAATGATCGGGGGTTTATTAACAGTTTCTCTCTAAACAAATATGTACATATACATACATATATATATATATATTTATTAAAGTACAACAAAAAATTTATTAATAGATTTAATTTTAAAAACAAGTCAAAAAATTTCAGATCTGAAAAAGTTTCAAAATTGAAATATTTCAAAAATTATTTATTTGTTCATTGCTTGTTTGTTTTTTCCTTCAATTGAATGGAATTAATTTAGTCTCTGCGTGTACACATTGCCCATTGTTGGTCTTAACTAAGCCTACGCAAAGACCAAAAAAAAACAAAAATTAAGCTAGGAACAGATCCGATATCGTTCCGGACGATAATTGTCCACGTGATCCATCGAAATTTCTTTCTATGCAGTGAAATAAAAACAGTAACTGCATATAGAATGGCTGCTTACAGAACAACTGCCATACAACGCAAATCAACAGACAGCCTTCAGTACCTATTCATACAATTTCCAATTCTCAATTTCTCTTCAAGGACGTCAATTAAAATTATATAATAAAACTTACGTTGTTACGTAATTACATCATCATTTACCCCTGCTAACTTGTAGTTGACGTATCATTTTTATTTTACCTTCTCTGCTTCTGCCCCTGCCTTCGTCGCCAACGATAACAACAATGGGAAAGGGGGAACACTAGCACAGAAACAGCCCTGCCCGATTTCTCCGATCCCGCTTTAATAAACCGAACGCACGGCAATCGTCACGCTTTTCTTTCATTCCTTTCTACTGGCGAACCGTCAGCCTTAGCGGTGTCGCTCCTCTTCCCACACAGAAAGCAACTCCATCCCCCCCCCTGGCTGGATATTTTCCCGTATGACGCCAACAGGGGCAGCACTGCAAAGAGGAGTTGAGCGGTGCTATAATTGTTAACAAACTATGGTATTACCCCGGATTTTAGTGTGCATCCTAGCTCGTTTCTTCTGTTTGGGACATTTTGCATTTTGAGGGTCCTTAAGAAAACACAATTTAACGAAAATGCAATATTTTAACAACTACCCTATATAAAAGAAAGCATATTAAAACTAACAAACTACACGCCTTTTTTTTACTTTATTTTCTTTTACTACGTTGTTTTTTATTTCTTGCTTATTTATAATATGTATACGTATATACACACACACTAACAAACGCATACACATAAACATACACATACACATGTCCGCCATCAATATTGCATTTAAACGATTTTGGAATAGCCAAACAGGTCCAAAAACAGTACATTTTTGGGCTCCAACTTTGAAATGGGGTTTAGTTATAGCAGGTATATCAGATATGCAACGGCCAGTTAATAAACTTTCAGCTACTCAATCGTTGTCTTTATTAGCCACAGGTCTAGTTTGGGCCCGTTGGTCATTTGTTATTACACCAAAAAATTATTTATTAGCATCCGTTAATATTTTCTTAGCAGGTACTGCAGGTTATCAAGTTTCTAGAATTATAAATTATAGATTAGATAATGGTGATTCAATGAAACAAGTATTCAAATATATGCTAACGTCACAAGAAACTGCAAAGAATAATAAATCTATTACAACAACAACACCAGTATCATCAACTAATGAAAATTTGCAAACTCATTAAAATATGCATTTCATCAACATCATCTTCCGTAATCCTCATATATAACAACAACATACATAATTTAATATTCCTTAATATGCTTCAAATTTATCTATTTTTCGCTCCTTTGTAACTATATATACATATACACGTATAATTTTAAAGAAAAGGATAATTGAATTTTGTTACATATATATATGAATATTTAAAGTAAAAGTAAGTTTTTTTTTTTAATTTTGTTAGTTGTTTAAACATGTGCATGTGCTAATTCAACAACTGTCTTAGCAGCAGGATCTAGTTCAGCAAATGAATGAATACTAATTCCGGATTGTTTAATAATTTCTTTACCTTCTGCCAATTTTGTACCTTGCAATCTTGCAACAATTGGTACTTTAACATCAAGTTCTTTTGCTGCATTAACTAAACCTAATGCAACGTGGTCACAACGAACGATACCACCAAAGATATTAACAAAAATTGCATCCACTTTTTCATTTGATAAAATTAATTCAAATGCTTTCTTAATTGTTTCAGGGGTTGCACCACCACCACAATCTAAGAAATTTGCTGGATCACCACCATTTAATTTAATAACATCCATTGTTGCCATTGCTAAACCTGCACCATTAACAAGACAACCAATATTACCTTGCAATTTAACAAAATTTAAATCAAATTTTTTAGCTTTAACTTCATCAGGATCTTCTTGAGTTAAATCTCTCCAAGAAAATACTTCTTCTTGACGAAATGATGCATTATCATCAAATCCGAATTTTGCATCCATACACATAACACGACCATCAGTAACTTCACTTAATGGATTGATTTCGACTTGTGTTGCATCACGTTCCATAAATATTTTATAAAGTTTTTTAACAGTCTCTGCGGTATCATTTTCGGTCTTTGATGAAAAGCCAAGAGATTTTGCAATTTTATGTGCTTGAATATCAGTTAAACCTTGTTTTGGATCAACATGAAATTTTTTAATTGCCTTTGGATTCTTTTCAGCAGTTTCTTCAATATTCACACCACCTTCACTTGAGCAAACAATCACCGGTGTTCTTGTTGATCTATCTAAAATAATAGATAAATAACTTTCTTTAATTGCATCAATTTTTTCAACAACATAAACACCTGAAACAAATTTACCCTTTGGTCCACTTTGTTTTGTAATTAAATGATTACCTAACATTTGTTTTGTTAAATTCTTAATTTCAGTTTTATCACTACTATTAACCATTTTAACACCACCTTTTAAGCCAGATTCTAAAAAATGACCTTTACCACGTCCACCAGTTAAAGCTTGAGCTTTCAAAACAACCGTACCAACATTTAAATTATGTGCCACTTGCTCAGCTTCTTCAGGTGAAAATGCAATTGAACCACGAGGATGTGGAATACTATACTGTCCTAATAATTGAGATGATCTATATTCATGAATAGATAAATTTCTTTTAAACACCAAACGTGCTTGTCCTTTTAAAGCGTTTCTTAACATATTGTTTTTTAATTTATTTACAAATTGATAACTTCTATATTGATTATATTGCAATAATACTTAAAAAGAAAAAAAAAATGTATCAATTGTACTTAAATTTGCCGCCAAGCTTAGCTCCTGTGTTTTTTTTAAAAAAAAATGCTGTTCTGTTAATTCTCATCCCCTTATATATATATATATATGTATGTATGTGTGTGTGTGTGTATGCATGTCGAAGACATTATTTACTAAATTATTTTCTTTGGAGTATAAAGCCCCTTCCTATTCCCTAAAACTACGTTATCTCCACATAAGTTTCAATCAAGCCCGCCTCCTCCCCGACTTGGCTTAGCCATTTCCTCTCTTTCAGCCCGTGTTTTCCCTCGAAGAAAACAGAATGCTTTCCCGCGTTTCCCCGCCCGTTCTCTCTGTAAACAGTCCGATATAACCCGGATTGAGTATTAAAATTTGTTTTCTGCTTTTTACTCCAACGGAATACACAAATTCAAGTCGGTGATGGTCGTTGCTCGTGATAGCAACGACATGGAGAGACTCGATATCAAGTTCGTTGATCTTTGGCATTGTTTGACAGTTGGAGAAAACAACAGTACTTCTATATTCTCTAAGTACTTAGGCAGTTTTCTCTCTCTCTCTCTCTCTCTCCAAATGTATGAAGATGCGTGATGATAATGGATGATCTTTGCATTAGAGATATCGTTGATTAATGTACAAAATTTGATATATATATATATGTAGAGATGTATGTATATAATGATATTTCACTATTTGTTATTTATCTTTGCTTGGTGTGTGGTTCTCTCTTCTTAATGACCACGTTTCTTTTGTTTCGTGATATGAGCACGTAACACTTTCTGTTTATCCCTTAGGGACATCTTTTGTTTACCTGTAACAGACCTCTTATGAATCATCATAACAAAATTCTTCTTACGTTGTTTTTCACGATTTGTTGTAGAATGGCCACCTTCACGTTTACCTTTACGACTACCAAATTTCTCACGCCCTTCACGACCTTCCATAATTTTAGCAATACGTTCTTCACGTGTTTGTTTATATTTAACAGGCCCAACTAATCCAGCTGCATCAATAATTTCTTCATTACGATTATTACCATGTTGGTCACGTGTGCTGTGGCCCATCTGTTGTAAAACATTTTCTTCAGTTTGTAATTCACGTAGTTTAGCAAAATCCGCTGGGGTCAAGATTCTTGTAGCGGCTAATTCTTGGAAAGCTTCGGCTGCTGTTGCAAGTTTCTCCTTTGGTTTTTCGTCTTCATCATCTTCACTTAATTCAAGATCACTATCTTCGTTACTACTTGCCACATTATATTCTTTATCACTCTCTACTGTAACCCACGCACCATCGACATCTTCACCATCACTATTTCCATCATTATCTACTTCCCAATTTGCTGCTTCAGTTTCATCATTTTGTTCGTCTGTAGCATGATCACGTTTCCATTGAGCTAATAATTCAAGACCTTGAATTCCTTGAACACCATGATCTGCACCAAATTGTAACCGGACATCACGTGAACTCTTGTCAGATTTATCTTTACCATTTCTTTGTTTCTCTAATAAATCTAATGTGGCTGTCTTACCTCTATCCTTACGTTTTAACATTTCAGGCGCAATATCTCTATATAATGCAAGTAAAGATTTAGCTGCCATATTAACACCTTTAGCTTTAGATTGTTTGTATTCGATTAAATCTTGTAGTAATGTTTCTTCAATGGCTAAAGGAGCACGTGAACAAATTTCACGAATTGTGTTTAAACCTGCTGCAGCAACTTCATTAGCAACACCATCTGATACAAATTCATCAGCTATCTTTCTTACAAGAACTTGTAAGGTCTCAGGTGGGACTAATTCATGACATGCTTGTGCACTAGCTGCCATAATTTTAGTAACATCAGTTTGTTTTGGTGTTAAATATTTAAGGAAATATGTGTATATTCCAAGAACTGTCAATTTATGTGTACCAATCAAACGTGATAATAATTGCATAATTGAAATTTTTTGTTCCATGTCGAATTTATTATTACGTTTATTACCACCAAGATGTTCTTTAAATAATCTTTCTGTAAAACCTTGTGGATCTCTTAATAAATGGATAGCACTAAAATTTAAGAAATTTTGATTAGCTTGACCCTTTGTATGATTACGTTTCTTAACGGTATTAATCGCATTCTTTAATTTCTTAGCACGTTTACCTGTCTTTTTATTAATTTCAAGACGATGTTTTAATGCATCAACATTAACACTATCATCATCATCATCACTATTTTCTTCAAATGTTTCCTCACGTTCACGATCAGCATCCAAAAAGAACATAATACCAGATAATGCAATCTTAGCATCATTATGTAATGCAGCTTGTGTCATAATTTCAACAGTTCTAGAATCATCCCAAATACCACGACGCCATAATTCTCTTGTTAATTTAGCGGCCCAAATACCTTGAGAATCAGGTTGATCTAATAGATTGAAACAAATAGCTTGTGTAGACTTATTCAATTTTTGATTCTTTGAACCTAAATTACTATTTTTCAATAAGGTTACCAAATTGTTATAAATTAAACGACGTAACTCTTTAGCATGAGAATTTAAACCAAGTGAATTACCTTGTAAAGAATAAGCGATTAATAATGGGAATAAAGTTTGAATTAGTTGTTCGGCGCTAATAACACCTTTGTTTCTTAACATTGTTAAGGAAGTTAAAATTTTTTCCTTCAATTCAAATGGTAAAGTTTTATGATGTTCTAATAGTAACTGTCTTAATTCATTTGTGAAATTAGCAGTTTGTACTGGGAAACATGAACAAACTTGGGAAATAAACCCAATCAACTCAACAAGTTCTCCGACTGAGGCATTACCATTAATACCAACACTGTTAGTTTCAACACGGTTTGCACTATCATCAGGGATACCATTAGATGAAGTGGTGGTGGCAGCAGCAGCGGCGGCACTCTGAGCCATACCATTCATCATAAAAATATCACGTAGAGATTCATAATGAGAATATTGTTGTAAAAACTCTTCTTTGTAGGACTCCGGATCACGTTTCACTAAATTCTGTAACAAAATGATATTGTTTGGAAGAATCGCAGCTCTACCTTTTCTAGCCATTATGTTTTGTGTGTCTAGTGTGTTTCTTGGTTGAGGCAGTTCTTATTGTTATTAATAAAACTAATAAGTACAACACAACTGTGTTTTATATATATAAATATAAATTATGCCACAAGATACTAATTCTATGCTTACTGTATTAAACATTATTATTATGAATTTTACTGATGAGATGAGATGAGATGAGAAAATTTTCACTTTTTCTTGTGAATTACGGATTTTCTGTGAGCTTCACATTTTCCGTACAACGAAGAACATTCTGTGTCTTTTCTTACTCTCAGCGCAAAAAAATATGTTACATACAGAATATTTTATAGACACATATTTATACATGCTCTTACAACTGGATTCTGTTACTGGACAAGATATTTGAAAACAACCTTCTTATTCAACACGCGGGTATACCAAGTATACCCAACATGTGTTAGTAAGCAGGTTGTTTTTAAACTAGAAGAATATGTTTTCACGAATATTAAAACAGAAGTAAAAAAAAATATCAATATTTTATCTAGTGCGAATAGTATTAATAGAACAATAATTATTTGAGGATGAACTTCTGGGGTACATTTGATTATGAATGTGGAGTTCAGATATCCTTACGGTGAAAACAATTCAAATTTTTATAGGCTCTACAAAATAACAGCAACAGATGCCGTATGTTATTATTAGTCGTTGTATCTAAGAGACTACCTTTCATTATATATAACGTTAAAACTATTTTCTTGTAAACGTTCATTAGTAAATTATATACAATGGCAACCCTTTGTCTACGTCATCATCATATATAAAAGCTACTCCCTCTGCTATGATATACGTCTGCATTGAAAGTCGAGCAGATTATAACCTTTTTTATCTTGAACTTCAGTGAAAAATTAACAGAGAAAATTTTCAACTAAGCGATGCGGTGCGATGAGCTGCTAAAACCTACAATACAAGTATATATGTATTCTGAACATATAACAAAACATTCAATATATTAAAGACAATTAGGAGCTCGGAAGAAGGCAACATCCATTACATCTCAAAACCAAACGATCAATCATATCAACATGTCTGTTTCTAATTTTAAGACTTTAGGTCTTTCCAAATGGCTGGTTGAATCCTTAACTGCAATGAAAATAACCCAACCGACAGAGATTCAAAAACATTGTATACCGAAAATTTTAGAAGGAAGAGACTGTATAGGTGGTGCTAAGACTGGTTCTGGTAAGACTCTTTCTTTTGCAGGCCCTATGCTGACCAAATGGTCCGAGGATCCTAGTGGTATGTTTGGTGTTGTACTGACTCCAACTAGAGAACTAGCTATGCAAATTGCAGAGCAATTCACAGCATTAGGAAGTCAAATGAATATTCGTGTAGCATTAGTTGTAGGTGGGGAAAGTATTGTTCAACAAGCTATTGAATTACAAAAGAAGCCTCACTTTATAATTGCTACACCCGGTAGATTGGCTCATCATATTATGAATAGTGGTGATGATACAGTGGGAGGCTTGAAACGTGTAAAATATTTAGTTTTAGATGAAGCTGATTTTTTACTTACAGATACCTTTGCTAGTGATTTAGGTACCTGTATCGGTGCATTACCTCCAAAGAATAAAAGACAAACTTTATTATTCACTGCAACAATGACAGATCAAGTTAAGGCTCTTCAGGATGCCCCAAACATTGAAGGTAAACCATCCCTTTATTCATATCAAGTTGAAAGTATTGACCAAGTTGCCATTCCATCCACATTACAAACGGAATATCTGTTGGTTCCTGAACACGTTAAGGAAGCATATTTGTATCAACTATTGACATGTCAAGAATATATTGAATCGAGTGCTATAATATTTGTCAATAGAACTACGGCAGCTGAAGTTCTACGTAGGACATTATTTCGTCTGGGTTTAAGAGTAGCATCTTTACATTCACAAATGCCACAACAAGAAAGAACCAATTCTTTACAAAGATTTCGTGCCAATGCTGCAAGGATCCTAATTGCAACAGATGTTGCTTCAAGAGGTTTAGATATTCCTATTGTCGAATTGGTTATTAACTATGATATACCATCCGATCCAGATACGTATATTCATCGTTCTGGTCGTACCGCTCGTGCTGGGAGAAGTGGTGATGCTATCAGTTTTGTCACTGAAAGAGATATTTCTAGAATCGAAGCCATCGAGGCCCGTATTAACAAAAAAATGACTGAATGTGATAAAGTGCACGACACAGCAGTCATTAGAAAAGCATTAACAAAGGTAACTAAGGCAAAGAGAGAATCATTAATGGAGATGGAAAAGATAAATTTCGGGGAAAGAAGAAAACAAAGAAAGAACCAAAACTTAAGTAAAAAGAGTTCAAGGGCATAAATTTTATAGATTAGTAATAAATAAAAAACAAAAAGATATATACTTTGTAATTGGAATAAAGTATTGTGTTTTTTAACTTTTGTATCATCATACTTGTATTTTTTTGCTTTGTTTTGTTTCCTGTTTTATGTCATCTCATCTCATCGGTGATCCGTTGCCATAACTGTAAAGCGAGTTGTGAAAAATTCCAGTTAATAAAAGAATCAAATTTTACTAACTAATATAACTATTAACTTCTTGCAAGAGAAACCAATATCCAACACCAATACTACCAGAGGAGTACTTAATAATGAGTAGAGCCAAAGAAATCCAAGAAAAGCTAGCACTTAATGCTAAACTTCAGATCGCTCTGAATTCTAATACATCAAAAGTATTAAGTTGGTTGGGTGGAGAACAAGACGAAGAAAAGAATAAGGATTCAAATGGTACCAAAAATGAACAAGCTTATAATATCAAGGATCTCGAAGATAGTAAAAAAATGTTCTTTCAACTTCCTGTTGTACAAATCGGTTCTGGTCTCAGTATAGGTGACAGTACTGATAACGAAGGTAGCACGGATATCCACACCATTGGTGAATTTGTGAAGAGTAATAAAAAAGTTAGCAGTCTGGCAAAAAAGAAAAAGAGATCAGAACATTTAAATGAGAGAAATAATATATATAGAGTGGCAAAGGATGATACTAGAGCGATGGTAGCATTAAAGAATAAAATCAGAACTGGAAGACGAGAAGATATTAGGCGAAATGGACCAAGTAGTAATGCACGTAACGGGACAACGAATACAGTTAATAATAATAGAGGTAGTTCGAAGGATTCTGCAAATGAAAGTGGTGATGAGTCTAGTGAGGACGAAGCAATTAGGAAAATAACACACTCGAAGAAATCCGTTAATTTACTATTCAATGGTAAAAAGAGAGGACGTAAATAAAGTCTATATAATGAAATAAGTAAAATAGAATATGCATGTCTACGTTAGAAAGAAGTGGGTATTCCACAATGGATAATCTTTTCGAATTTACTAAAATAGCAAGTGGCGTAATATACGTTTTCTACTGATTTCCTGTAGTTTTGCTTATTGTTACTCTTTTGTTATTACGTAAGCTCATCGCTTTTCAAACAATCCGAGATTCCCAAAGATTTAATTAATAAAATGTTGAAACAAAATTTTTCCACCCTTTGCCCCTCGATGAGTTATATATAAGCCTGGAAGAATAAACTTCATCTGAAATATATAAAAAAAGATTCTTAAGACTTAAAACTTATAAAGTTATACATACCTGATTTCAGTTTATCAACTTTCAAGATTGGGAGTATTAAAGTGACCAGTGTACTTGAGTAGGTAAAAAATTAGCAAAAATAAATTATTCCCAAAATGAGTGTAAACGTTAAGGATGAGATTGCCTCCAAACCAAGAGCCACCATGTTGTGTTGTGAATGTGGTACTCCAATTGATGGTTCGAAAGGTCTGGTTATGTGTTACGATTGCATTAAGATGAAAGTTGACATCACGGAAGGTATCCCAAGAGAATCAAACATTAGTTTTTGTAGAGATTGTGAAAGGTTTCTCCAACCACCGGGACAATGGATTAGAGCTAGATTAGAGTCAAGAGAATTATTAGCCATATGTCTGAAGAAATTGAAGGGTTTAAACAAAGTCAGATTAATAGATGCTTCATTTATCTGGACAGAACCTCACTCTAGAAGAATTAAAGTTAGGATAACTGTTCAAGGTGAAGCAATGCTAAATACATTAATTCAACAAAGTTTTGAAGTTGAATATTTCGTTAACGCCATGCAATGTGCGGATTGTGCTAAATCTTATACGGCTAACACATGGACAGCCACTGTTCAAATAAGACAAAAAGTTCCTCATAAGAGAACTTTTCTATATTTGGAACAAATGATCCTAAAGAATAATGCGCATGTCAATACAGTTTCAATTAAGGAAGTAAAGGATGGTTTGGATTTCTTTTATGGACAAAAGAATCACGCTATTAAGATGGTCGATTTCTTGACTTCTAGTGTCCCAGCAAAATATAAGAGATCCGAGGAATTAATATCACAAGATTCTCACACAGATGTCTCCAAGTATAAGTTTACTTATTCCGTCGAGTTGGTACCTATTTGTAAAGATGATTTAGTTGTCTTACCAAAAAAAATCGCCAAATCATTGGGGAATATATCACAATTCGTGTTATGTCATAAGATATCTAACTTCGTTCAATTTTTAGATCCAAAGACTTTGCAAACTGCAGAATTGGCAGCTCCTGTATATTGGAGAAATCCTTTTAGTTCATTAGCTGATTCTTCACAGTTGGTAGAATTTATTGTATTGGACGTTGAATCAACTGGTACAGTAAAGGACAATCGTGTTCTAGCAGATATTACAGTAGCCAGAGCAGTTGATCTTGGTGTAAATGATCAAGAATACTATATCAGATCTCATCTTGGTGGTGTCTTACATGCTGGTGATAGTGCAATGGGTTACTTTATTGCAAACTCCAACTATAACTCTGACCTGTTTGACGAATTGAAATATGATTACGTTCCAGACGTTGTTCTTGTTAAGAAATTGTACCCTAAGAGAGCAAAGAGTAAGAGAAACTGGAAGTTAAAGAGAATGGCAAAAGAACATAATGATATTGATGCAAGCAAAGATTACAACAATGCTAGAGTTGAAAGACAAGATTTTGAGCGTGCAGAAAAGGATTATGAAATGTTCTTGCAAGAACTTGAAGAAGATTCAGATTTGAGAAACAATATAAATATGTATAAGAGTGCTGGTAATGAAGCAACTGCAGAAGAAAACGAAGAAAGTGCTGATGACACTGACGATATTGAAGAAAATGATGTACCAGGAATCGATATGGACGAACTTTTGGACGAAATTGACGGATTAGCCCTTGATGATCCAGAGGACGCAGAGGCGGAACAACAATCAGGTGAAGAATCTGAATAGTAACATAATTAATGTTATATAAATGTATCTTTTAATTGAGAAGAATCATTGAAATAAATTGTTTTCTCTTTTTCTCTCTTTCTGTTTGTTTATATTTCGTTTTTCATGACATCATCTTTTACGAATTTTTCGTCTTGACCTTTTAACCTAAATGGTAAATAAAAGAAGATCGATTATTGACATATTATATAAAAGGTAACTAGTAGATAAAATACATTGAAGACGAAGGAATAAGAGTACTTAACTCAAACTGCTTAATACTATTTTAAGAGGTATTGTTGTAACATTACATTTCATCCCAATTGTTTGGTTTTTATTATTATTATTATCGATTTAGAAGTTTTCGTACGATTTCTTATTGAACTATCGCATATATTTTATATAAAGAAAGAAATGACTACTGGAGAGGTTCATAAACGGGATGAAGAGTCCAGCTCAAATGATAAACCTGAGGTTAAAAAAATAAAATTAGGGGATTATAAACCAAACTTGAGAAGTTCACTTGTTTCAGATATGAAATCACACAATTCTGAGTCAGACCACAGTAATAAAGAAGAGGATAATGATAAAGAGAATAAAGAAGAAGATAAAGAAGAAAAAGAGAAAGAAAAAGAAGACGACGATGATGATGATAATGATGATGATGATGATGATGATGCTGACGACGATGATGCTGAAGAAAACAATACTGTTGACCTTGACGTAAAAAATACGGTGGTCGAAGATGAAGAGAAAGGGTTAGTAAAATTTGAATTCGATGGTGTTGAATATAAATTTAAAGAAAGAGCAAGTGTTATAGAGGAGAAGGAAGGAAAGATAGAGTTTAGAGTGGTGAATAATGATAATACTAAGGAGAATTTAATGGTTCTTACGGGTTTGAAGAATATCTTTCAAAAGCAATTGCCAAAGATGCCAAAAGAATATATTGCACGTTTAGTGTATGATAGAAATCATCTCTCTATGGCTGTAGTAAGGAAACCATTAACTGTTGTTGGTGGGATCACATATAGACCCTTCAATGAAAGGGGGTTTGCAGAAATCGTGTTCTGTGCGATTAGTTCAACGGAACAAGTGCGTGGTTATGGTGCTCATTTGATGAATCATTTAAAGGATTACGTGAAGAATACATCACCAATTAAATACTTTTTAACATATGCAGATAATTATGCCATTGGTTACTTCAAGAAACAAGGTTTTACAAAGGAAGTCACATTAGATAAAAAAATATGGATGGGTTATATTAAGGATTATGAAGGTGGTACATTGATGCAATGTTCCATGCTTCCAAAAATACGATATTTAGATGCTGCAAAGATATTACTATTACAAGAAGCTGCATTAAGAAGAAAGATAAGAACCATTTCCAAATCACATATAGTGAGGCCTGGTCTCGAGCAATTTAATGATCTTGATAATATTGAACCAATAGATCCAATGACTATACCAGGGTTAAAAGAAGCTGGTTGGACACCAGAGATGGATAAATTAGCACAACGCCCAAAAAGAGGTCCACATTATGCTATTATGCAAAACATTTTAACAGAACTCCAAAATCATGCCGCTGCATGGCCATTTTTACAACCTGTCAATAGAGAAGAAGTTCCTGACTACTACGAATTTATTAAAGAGCCAATGGATTTGAGTACAATGGAAATAAAATTGGAAAAGAATAGGTATGAAAAAATGGAAGATTTCATATATGATTTGAGACTAGTCTGTAACAATTGTAGGATGTACAATGGAGAGAATACTTCTTATTTCAAATATGCTAATAGATTAGAGAAATTCTTTAACGGTAAAATTAAAGAAATCCCAGAGTATTCTCACCTAATATAGACAAACTAATACTATTTGTCTGTACCTATATAGATTTTTTAAATATATCGTCATTATACAATAACATATACACCATGCATATTCATGATAATACACTATATTATGATTTTTATTTCATTTTTCTATTCGTTATTTAGTTTTTAAAAAAAAAAAGGAAGTTCTGAAACTTAAGACATATCAATATCGTTTTCTTCAGTATGTTCTTGTGCCTCTTTTTCTTTCAAGTCCTTAATGATCCCTGCAGTTTTTTCATTTGAATATATTTTGAAACCTTCTTCTTTTGATACACAACTTAATTGAGCATTGTTTTCATCTAATTTTTCTTCCATCACTTGCTTTAAAATCTTCAGCACTAATACTTCAGCTTCTTTTAGAGTTAAGGATGAATGCCATTCATTTTGTAATTCAGATTGTGCACCTTCAGAACCGGAACCTATAGCTTTAGCATTATAACGGTAAAATGTTCCAGATGGTTCAGCATGGAATAATTGATACCCTTCATCTTTATCGTAACCTGCTATTAACAAAGCGACACCAAATGGTCTAGACATAAGTCTTTCTTCACCAGAAGCACCTTCACCAAATCTTAATGCTAAATCACAAACGGATTGTGTCAAGGATTCAACACCAATATCTTCATCGTAGTAAAAGTTGTGTGTTAGCGCCGACACTCTTGCGTGTTCGATCATTGAACGAGCATCAGCAGTTAACCCACTCATAGCACAACCAATATGATGTTCAATTTCAACTATTTTTTCAATAGAATCAGATTCTAATAAGGGAGAAGTGGCTCTCTTTTCGACACCAAGAACAACACCTTCACTTGTAGCAATACCAATGGCAGTTGATCCGAGCTTAATTGCTTCTAAAGAATATTCAACTTGGAACAATCTCCCTTCTGGAGAAAACGTGCTAACACCACGGTCATATTCACTTCTGGTCAAAAACATTGGTAAATTCTTTAATATAGTATGTTAAAATTTTCTGGTGGTATTTTACTCAAACAAAAAAAAAACAACAGAAACAGAACTATATATCTTTCTTATAAACAAAAATACCAATAATTGAATCTCCACAAACGATTTGTAGTGTTGCTTATAATTCTTTGAATAGTAACTAGAAAATATCACTCGAGCTTATTCAATTTCTCTGTTGTTAAGCTTATTTTAAAGGTTTCAGTAGTTTCGCCACCGTAAGGGAACAATTCATAATATTTCGTTAAGCGTGATGTTTAGGAGAAGGAAAAAAGGGCAAATCAGCACGTGATCTCGGCGCTATTCTATCATATAGAATAAAGACTTTATATATATATATATTGAAGAAGTGAAGTTCTTACAAGGAATCGGAAGGACTAATTTGTTTAGTCTATTGTTTGGGCTACAATTATTAGTATTGCAACAATTAGATTTCGTAGTATTGTGTTATTCTGGCAGAGTCTGTGTTGAAATGACGTTAGTTTAATAATATTAATCATGGAGCAAGCAGATTCGAGATTACGCAGCACACGTAAATCCAGATTTAAGAATATCTTGTAATGAGATCTATTTGTTAAAAATATGTATGCTGTCTCTATCTACATATATGTGTGTATCTAGGTAACCTGTTGAGTTGAACAGCCGGTTAGTCTTGTAGGATATCCGTCTAATAATCAATATATAAAACTTGATGTACTATTCAAGATGTGCACTTACAAGAAAATTGTAGAAGTGGTGCATAGTTGGTACTATCTAAATTATTGGTCATTTTACAAAATACGGTTATTTACGAACCACACCACCTGACATCTAAGAAGTTTTCATTTTTTGACGTGTAAGACTTACTAATCATTATCTCTCCCACAGTATGTTAACATATAATTTACAGCGTACAATAGAGGAAGAAAGATGTATTCTTCCAAGAACAAATTTTTATTCCTTTGTCTGGTAAATTCTTCTCCAATGAAAATACTTGGCATGTAATTATATATTTGTACTTAAATCTACCTATTCAAGTTTGCAAGATACCAACCCAAAGGTTCATATATAGTTACACATATAATTGGTACAATTGTGAACACATACATATTAATGCAGAACTCTGTCTGTTTGGAGTGTTGTTGGCCCTCTTCAACCTTTTCCTCTCCCCATCCCACCTTAGTTTTCAGAGTCTGCTGTCTATTTTTGCGTTATTTTTGTTTGATTCTTTGCTTAAAAACTAAGAAAAACGTCTATTATTCTCCCTCTCTCTGCCTTCTTGTTTCGCTGATTCGTTATTTTAACTGTGCGACTTCCCTTTCGCATTTCTTGAGTGGTTTGCGAAAACGAAAAAATAGGCGAAGAGTGAATGAAGTCAACGTGATTTCCTAATCGGTACTTATGTCAATTAATTACCTCGAGACAAGTTGGAAGAGGTAAAGTTAATAGAAAAAGGGTTTTCCGATGACCAGCATATATGTGTAGATGTAGTAATCTCCAGTTATTTTCTGAAATAAAATCATTTAAAATGTGTATGTCGATGTGGAGTGGTTCAATGTCGGGTTTGGTCGGTACCTTACCTGACTGAAATGCATGTCATCAAGGTTGAATTTTAATAGCAGTAATAATAATAAAAAGTATCATGTAATTATAGATAATTAGACTTAAATTTACCGAAATTATACAAAGATATATTTCAAAGAGAAAGGAAGTTTTTCCTATCATGTTATGATATAAGCCGGCCATTTTTTTTTCTTACATCTAATTTATCATTATATCTATATATATGTTGTATTTTATTTTTCCGACTGATAGTTAATATTAGTATTAGCAGTATATATTTTGCTCCTTTTTTCTCTATTATCCATTGGTATCTCATTGGTACAGGACTTCGTTAATAATTGAGCGTGATTTTTAACCATTGTTACACTTAAGGCAGTTCATTTACTATTGTTATACTTTTTTTGATTCTTCTCTCTTCTCTTAAATTTTTGATTTTGAATTGAAGTATAACTAGAACTGAATTTTAGGATTGATTTTTCTGATTGGTTATATCAATACCATCTAGTAAGATAAATTAACAAGACAAAATTCTAATTTAAGTGGAAATATCAACATATGTCTTCAATTAAGAAGTACCCCAATTAAATCAATAAGAAACATTATTAATATTATTACTAAATTATTCTACCATTATTTACCTGACTTTTTTTTCTTAATTTTTTTTCAGAAACAACGCCAGTAACAACAAATATGTCAGAAATAAAGGAAGTGTCAAATGTAAGAAACAAGATGGATAAAGAAAATATTGATTTGGAAACACATACAAACTGTACTGCAAATTCGACTTCTTCTGCTGGATTACAATTAGAACAATTAGCAAATAGAAATTTGTTGACTCTCAGAATTAAATGGTCTGATGCAATTACTGAAAATGAAATTGAAAAAGATAACATAATCTTGAAATTTTCTAATTACATTGCAAATAATAGAGGTAGTATAATAAATCCATTAAATATAGAAAACTATGAATATCTTTGTGATTCGAAACGGATAGAAGTTATTGAAGAAAGCCATTATGAATTTGAACATGGATCCAAAGAATATGCAAAATCATACTCTGGTAGTGCCAAGAATTGGATGTTTGACATTGTACATCAGGCACATTTTAAAAAAGGTTATTCTTTAGAGAGTTGCGCAGCTTATACTACAAAACGATTAAAAGAATTATCGGATGTTATTGATCGTTGGTCGGTTACTATAAATCACCATGCTTTAACTCATCCTGGTAATCTTTTCATTGGAGGAATATCAAAAAAGATTACCATCACAAAATTATTAGATATATTGACCCAATATGGATCCTTAGTGTCGATAAAGTTGATTCATGATAAAGTTAAGGATAACAATATTGGCTATGGGTTCGTTTCGTATCAATTAGGGTCCCAGGCTTCAAAATGCATACAAATGTTAAATGGTAAAGAAATTAAAGGATCAACACTTTTTATAAATTATCATGTAGATCGTAAGGAGAGAGAGAATTTGCATTGGAATCAGATTGAAGAAAACGTCGATGAAAAACCTTTTAAATGTTTATTTATTGGAAATTTACCTAGACATACCGATGTTGGTGATATGGTCACCGAAGATATGATTCTTGATCTGTTAAATAAAAAGATGCTGGAAAAACTCCCAAATTTTACAATCCTATCATATTATTTCCCGAAGGGATCAAATAAAAATAAGAAAGAAATATCGGAACCAACTACCTTAAAAGGGTATGGTTTTATTAAATTAGGAGACTCGGATGAGATCCAGCATCTAATCGATGAATTTAATGGTTTTCAGTGGTTTGGAAATGTTTTAGTTGTCAATAAAGCCATTCAGAATAGAATTCAAGGTTCAAATCAAAAAGGTTCTGTCAATAAACTCGACAATAATCAAGTTATAAAAAATGAAAATAATAATAATCATAGCAAACAACACCGAGAAAAGGCTGTTATAGCTTCCCATGGCCCTAATCTCTTCGATCAACAAATTCCACAATACTTTAAAAGTGTTTATCATAACTATTATAATAATCTTTTGGGAAATCAGACAAGTTCAAATATGTTGATACAAACCCCAATACTAGGCGATACAAATTCATCCGCAATAAATTACCCATTTAATTTAAATAATGAACCCATATATAGGGCTTCAGCTCTACCTCCAAACCCATGTATCAATGGTCTTCCAATACCACTGAGTAACCAGCAAGAATCAAACTTATATGTGAAGCATATCCCTTTAGATTGGACTGATGAGACATTGAGTGAGTTTTATGAATGTTTTGGAAAGATAGTTAGCTCTAAAGTTATTACCATAGGTGGATCATTGAATCCGAACAACTTAAATGACGTGATTTCCTCAACTGAAAATGATAATACGTCAGAAGAAGAGCATGGGCCAGAAGAAGCAATAGGTTCATCCAAGGGATACGGTTTTGTATGTTTCGAAAATCCGATTGATGCATCACGAGCTATTTTTGCAACGAACGGTTATCAACTTAACAATGGGTCGATATTACTGGTTTCATTTGCAAATAAAAAGGGTAATAACAATGCCAGTAATAACATGCGTACTGTCAATCATAGAAAAATAAATACTGACTATAATAATTCAAATAGAAACACGAATACTACAGATCGTGATTGCAGATTAGAAAAGTTCTATTTTAGAAGCAGAGAGAGTGTCAGTACAGATGAAATGAATAACAAATTACCTTATAACAAAAAATTTATGAATACCTTGATGCAACAACAAAACCAGCTTTTTCTTAGTTCTCCGATGAATATGCCACAAGCTCCAATTCAAAATTTTCCGATGTACATGAACCCAACCGTGAATAACATCTCATATCTCCCTATTTCAACGTACAATTCGACGCCATTTCAATATCCAAGACAAACCTAGGGAGGTGTCAAAGTAGTTCGCAAGTAATTTATTTTTCATATTCTTATGTACTTGAAATAGCAGTACAAAATTAGGTCTAGGGTATATAGGGGTGTACGTTATTCATTAATATTAAGATTATACATGAGGTATCTTCGTATATATGTATATTTTATAAAGAAACAATGTGTAAAGATACGTGCGTTAATGGTTTACAGGTTTTGCGATTTCTCACTTAAAAAAATCGGATGCAGGTTATATAAGCTTAATGACAGTTATCCTATTCGAACAGATCTCCGTGTTTATTGAAAACCAAATTCATATCGTGTAAAAAATCTCCTAATCGATCTAACTTTTCAACAGTAATTGGAACACTTGTTGTGGGCAATTCCTCTGGAAATTTTGGTAGGTTACCTTTTTCTTCAGTAATGTCAGATGTGGATATTTTCTCCTTTTCAGGATTATTAAGATCCAGTTGGGATAATAGGTTCACTCCATCCTTGATTTCAATGATGCTCTTAATAACAACTTCCATATCAGTATCAATCTTTTTCAATTTTTCATCACATTCCTTTCGATAGGTGTGGTACTCTTCCATTTCTGCTAATGGTAAGCGTGGAGGTGGCGCAGTTGGTTCATTTGTGTCAGTTGACGATGGAGGTATAATGGAAATGTCAGTAGGTTTATCGTTAAGACTATATGTCATTGAGGTTGATGGTATGCGTTTGAGATTTTGAAACGGCATGAGAGGGGATTCGGAAGTTCGTTCAATGTTTAAGTTATTTATGTCGGATATTGAGATCGACTCTCTTTTCTTTCCAGAAATATTTGAGCCAGTTTCATAAACGTGATGATCTGCTCCCGAATTATATCTCATTAATGGTTTAATATGATTTGAACCTTGTGGTAGTCCTCCATTTTTAGGATGGTTTAAATAAGGTGGTGCAATTGTTACACCTGTTTGGCGTGGTTGCTGCAAATCGGCATTGTATGAAGGTGGTTGGTAATAATGACGAAAACTACTTGGTTGTTCAATTTGCAGAGTGGGCGAATAACTAACTACTTGTGAATTGGTAAGAACTGGATTTCTTGCAACAGGTTGTCTCTGATAATTCAATGACCTATTTTCATTTATCTCCATTGTAGGATTATTTCCAGTCATCTGAAGACCAGAGGGGTTTCCCACGTTTGGATATGAATCTACAATATATATGGGACCCGGTATCCCTGTGCTATTGTTCACACCAGTTATGTTTTCTTCTGTAGTTATATATCCACTAGGATTGGTGTTGTTAATAATTACTCGTTGACTATTCATGAGTTGTTGACGATGCTGTTGTTGTGTTTCATTATTTTCGATACTCTGTCCTGGTGTCATCAAGTAACCGCCGACAGTAGGTATATTTGGACGTATAACATTCCTTCCTATTGGATTGACATTCAAAGCGCCATTTGGAAGTTGTTGTTGGGGGTTAGTTGGATTAATAAAATTTACTGACACTGGAGATAAAATGTTTTTCCTTTTTCCATCTTTTCCTAGACCAGTTCTCTTTCTTTGAATATTATTTAAAGTTAAGGAATAAGCATTTTTGTGGAAATATCCAGATGGATGTGTGAATGACCATTTTATATCGGCTTTGTTTACAATTGCGACGTTGTCTCTGTTATGATTTGATGAGATCTTATGGAATCCATACATATGTAATTGCCTAACAAAACTACTAACGTTACCGTGTTTAAAATATTTTTTTAATACTTGAGAACTAAATTTTGGATCATATGGTTTGACCACGAATACAGAACTATCTTGTTTTGACCAAAAGATCCATTCTTGCAGTTCAGGTCGACTTAAAATGGAATGCAATTTATGAATAAATTTAAGGTGTTGCATAATTGAGATATGCCACTTGATTAAAGGAATTTAAACGAGTATTATAAATATGAAATGAATATAAGTTGATGTTGTACACTTTCTGTTTTTTCTTTGTGTGTTCAAAATATTTAAAATAAATATTTGTAATGAAATATAATAATAATTAAAAGAATTGCACGACCTTTTAATATCAATGCACCTTTTTTTATTTGTTTTTATCGGTTACTGTTAGTATTACTATAACAACAATGATAATGAGCTTAATAAAAATATTATGTAATTAAGTGAATTAGAATTATTCATAACTTTAAAACCAACCTATTTTCCTTTAAAATAATTTTTTTTAAATCGGTACAAGTTCTAGCGTATTTATGGAATCTCTGTTAGTTATATACACATATATATATATATATATATATATATATATATATATATATNATTAATATATATATATATATATATATGTATATCAATTTACTGGTTAATATTCCGAAACAAATAAAGAAAGCAAGAAAGATATATCAAATGCCAATTCTCGATTGGAGTAACGTTTCTTCTTCATGATTGTAGAATATTAGTTGTGCGAGAGAAAAGGGAGAGTTGCATTGGATAATCATTGATTCTTCTTTAATCTTTTTTTTGCTATTGATCATAGCATCAAATTTAGATTATTGTATCATAAAATTTATTTTACTTAATACGCCAGATGAAGTTGTGTATATGTAAGGAAAGAACTAGAAGCGGTGGATCATTATTTTACTAGGGCCCAGTCAGAGAGCAACAGAAGATATGTCGCAGGATAGTCCATTCGAGAGCATATAGTTGCAGTAGTAACTCTCTTGGGTTTTCTGTTTATCTCCCCCCTTGTCTCTCTCTCAATTTCTTGTTCTATTTTAATTTTTTTTATTTAATTTCTGCTTCAATTAGTTGAAAGATCTGTTGAGCAATGGTGGTTTAAACTTCTGTGAATAGTACAGTAACATTTCCTACAATTTTAGTATTTTTTTTAATTTTTCCTTTTTTTTTCCTCCCTTCTAAAGTTATTCATTAAATTTTGATTGCAGAGGTTTCAACTTGTCGTATTTAAAATTCTTATTCCTTCTTTTAAAGAAGAGTAGCCAAATATCCCTTTGGGTATTAAGGTTATACTCATCAATAAGGTCAACATGAAACCCCCATAGGAAGAACTACGCCCAGAAACGGGACTCCTCGAGGGATAATTTGGAATCAAAACAGCGTTAAATGACTCCTGCGGGAAATGATAGAATACATTTAAAAGAAAATTAAGCGAGTCAGAATAAAAGGACCTTATATGGAAATAGATAAAGATAAAATAAGAGAGATCACAAAGATATATAGATATATTATTAAGGTTTTTGTTTAAGAATATCTCGTGGGAAAACTAAAAAAAATAAAAAAGAGTGTCACCCCTCCATTTTCTTCTGGCTGAGAAAATGCATATGCCAGATAGGGTTAATTGTCTGAGTTAACATGGGTCCTACGACTATTTTAAAATTAGAAACACAATTGAAAAAAAAGTGATAATAAAGTAACAAATGGTTGTACAAGTAAGAATAAAACTGGATCCGGCTAAGAATAAAAGTGAATTTGATAAAACGTTGGATTTCTTACTACCTTTATTTCATAGGAAGTCGGCCCATTTTTGTCTCTCCTCAAAAATAAAAAGCTTAATAGAGTCCTCGTAGGAACGCTGTGAGAAAGATAATCCTTAACGGCCACAGAAACATCCGCGCAGATTTTATTTTTTTTTGAAATGACCAGCAGCTGTCTAACTCTAATTGAGAACAGATTAGACAGCACAACTAAGTTGAGCCCCCATTTCGAGAATTTAGGTTAGAAGGAAGTCCAAAGGATCAGTTCAGCCAAAGATATTCCGCAGCAACAGTAAACAAATTCTAATTATTGGATCGTAAGCTAGGGCCCAACCAAGAGAAATTCCGTGGAACAGAAACGACACTTTAAAAAAAATGACAAGATAAGTGCACTCATCGTGTTGAAAAAAAAAACATCACCGATGAAATTCGTTCTTAATCTAATCATAATTTTTAGACAGAACACTTTAATTCCTATAACTCTCTTACAATCTATTGAAATATAATGAAGTTGATAACTCAAATAGGAAACATACAACTACGAAGAGAAATAATATGAAAACATTGGTAATTGGCAAACTTAGAAACCGAAAGAATAGAAAGCTACTAAGTTGTATATTACTTTTCAGTTTCGTTTTCAGTAATTTTATATTCTAATCGAGTAATACCGATTCCGTTGGTTAAGTATATCGTATTTAACGCAATAATCTCATTCACTTCTCTTGCGGTGTTCTTAGTGATAGCTTTTTTTCTTACTTTCTTACTTTTACTTGCTGTACGCAAGAATTACATAGTTGTAAAATGCAACGTTTCTTATTTTGGAGAAAAAAAAAACAGTAACAACTTCGCCGAAGAGCTTATATTTCACCTACTTCATGTTTATTACTCTACTTGAGCTTAGTGTGGATATATTTTCTGTAAAGTTGTTCCTTATGTTGGTGTCTTTCTATAACTGCACATCAATAGAGAGGTTTACTGTGTCTCATCGGTATTAGGGAGATTTCAAAAAACTTTAATTAACATTTCTTGCATATCTGTTTTTCAATACTAAGGAATAGAAACATTTTATGTTCTTTTATTCCACAGGAGTTATTTGAATCTGATTTCAACTGCGCGATATTACATGGTGAGGTCTCCGAATTTTTTTATTTTTTTTTTCTTCCAAAAAAAAAAATAGAAGACCGGTCTCTATGTCCAATTCTTACTGCGGCAGTTATTCCGGTTGTTGATTAGCTTCTATCGATTTACGCTACAAAAAATACGTATTAATTGCTTATGTGATCATGGAAATAACTGTCAAAAGAGGAAAAAGCACCAAGACGTTTTAAATTTTCCTAAAAGATAAGTGGCTAGACCTTTTGTTATTTGTTTGCAGTAAGCATTTTGTTTTCAAATGCAATACCGAGCAACTAAGTACAAATAATTTGTTTTTACAATTGAACTGGACTGAATTTGATTGCAGAACAGTATGCTCAGAAAAGATTACCATGTTGTACAAGGATTATCTTTCGTATAACTCTGAAAGTATCAACATATCTGTAGGCTATTAAAAATTAACGTCGAAGAAGATGGTAATTTTGGTTCTTTTTCATTAATATTCTGTTCCAAAAATACGAAATGGGAAATAAAAAGAAAAGAATATGGCGAGACTACCTGATAAGTACATAATGTCTATTTGAGAAACGCAATTGATCTCTAAGATACTAACTTTTGTATATACGTACTTTGCCATATCATATGGTTTTGTCTTGCTTATATTTTATAAATTTACGTCACGTTAATCTTTTTAACGGGTCATCATGCATGTTAAGTGGAGAGACCTTTTGTTAAAAAGCATGTACTTCACTCACATCTCCTCTATTCCACTCTCTGTTTCCCTTCTACGTTTCCCTGCTTAGAACAAGATGTATGATTAGGTTAATCCGTGCCTTTTATTTGCTGGTTAAAAGAAGATCGTCATTATTCTTTTTCTTCCTCTCTTTAGTAATTTTAGAATTATATTGTGTTTCTTCTGTCATCTATACTCCGATGATTTTCAGTAACGTTATTCTAACTAATGGATATAAATAAAAACAACTTCATAATTTATGAAGGGTTTGGTGTTGAATCCTGTTGGCAATATATTTCAAAATAGAATGGTAATAGAATTGTGGGTAACTTTATTATTATATCTCCTTAAATAGAGATTGAAAAAAAGAAAAAGAAGTTTCTACGTAATAAGGGGGAAAAAAAAAGAAAAGATACCTTAGAGATGATTCTCTTTTTTGCAGATTATCAGTAATATATTACTCTTATCGTTAATATTTGTAAACTAATTGACGTAATTGTTGTTTCAGCTAATTACTTTATTTTAAGAGTCTTTTCTTCTTTGGGGTACTATGTAATTGCAATGTTGATCAGAGAGACACTGAAATATATGTGCATCCGCATCTATACATCATGTTACACAGTTGATCATGTAGAGGAAGAAAGAAATCATCGTGGGGGAGTAATTAGTCCACAGCTAGTAAATAATTAGCATATGTACTCCTAGATTAAATAATTCTGGAGGTGTATAACTGTTTTCAATACTTGTGCACAGTAAATAGCCAAATCGAGAAATATACTGTAAAAATAGAGTCAAATTATGTGTATATCAATTTGAAAATATATTGTTATTTGCACTTTTCCGTTAAAGATATTATTATTTTTATATCAATCATAAACCAACTTATTGAGAACAGATAGCAAATGTAAGTTTTCATTTGGATGTTCATGACCTCTGGGGGTATTGGAGGGTCTTTTGACGACGGTCAACAGCGTTTTAATCCCTGTTATGTTTGTCACATTCTAACCCTATGTTAAGTGCTTTCATTCCTTCTAGACTGTGAATCCCCCCCCCCACTGCTTGATAACTATACTTTTACGAAGAACTATAGGTAGGTTTTTCTAACACTTTAAAAAAACTGATACACGTTTCTTATTAACCTTTTTTTAACTTTTCGGTAAATTAAGTTATTGAATGAAAACTGGATGTTTTTTTTCTTGTTTTTTTCCGAAGCCGTAATGGGGTTGTCCAATTAAATACTGTGAACATTTTCCGGCCAAACCTCATTCTGCATGATGATGATTTTGCTACTAACAAAAATGTAAAGATATATATTTAATATTCGCCTATATTTGAGGATCATTACGGGGTTAATTTCGCGTATTCCATAGTAAATATTCATATTAAAGAAAAAGAAAATATATGTATTTTGTTTAATTCTAAATTTTATCTTAATAAAAAACTATTTGAACGTTTCATTCGTAGTGTAATAATTTCACTATAGCATGATACTTTGTAATTACTTTGTATTATCAATTGATAAGTAGCCTGTGAAAACTTTGGCAAATCAGACCTTTCAGAAATGATACGTATTTTTTTTATCATTTTTTTATTTGCTTTATCATATTTGTTTTTTTCGTATTTCCCTCGCTGTGATATGTGTCTCTTCTCTCTTCGGGTTTGTATTCTTACTAAAAAAAAACTTTCTACGCTGTTTGTTTTTATGTGGGTAATTTATTAATTTGTTAAAGCCGACCAAATTTTTAACTTTCCAAAAGGAATGGAATCCATCTAGGCTTACGTAAAAACTTTAAAAATTCAGAGAATCTAAAGCAGAGAGAGAGAGAAATATTTAGTGGAACTCTGAAATAGTCTCTTCTTTTCTCTTCTCTTTTTGGTCCTTGTTTCGATATGTAACATCTTCAGCATTTCTATGAGGGTTCTACAAAAAGTTGTATATCCCCTTCTCTTTCCCACCTTTCATCAAATTTATGCATATCAAATAATACGTTGAAACTACTTAGCTAGAAATTTTTATTAATATAACTTAATGCTTGATTTCTTATTACTCTGTAAATGAAACTACATTGGTTTGACGATTTATGGCGTCTTTTTCGCCTTTTTGATTTCTCAGTATAAAATTGCACATATGCACACAAGTGAAAGTTCCATCAAGAAGGAAGGAAGGTTAAATGCATATCATATATTCAGTAAATATATGACATAATCTTATGTATATAACTAGTGTAGGTATTTTTGAGACCAGGATTCTAGGTAGGGTTTTTGGCCTAAAATTTGATTAAAAGGAGGAGCTCTTTTTCAAAATCCCCCCACGCCTACTCTTAATTCGCTTATGCACCCTGTTTTGAACGTCCTGAACCTTATTGTAATCTTTTTTCTTATTGCCACCGTAATAGAATAATCTTAAATCTTTAACTATTAGAATATCAAGTTAACTTTAAATATTTATGCCAATAGGGAAAGAATTTATCTTTAAGTTTCATTCAATTCTTATTAAATGATTCATTTTAAAGGGTAGAAGGGTTCACAATTCTTAGACATTTAGTATCGGTTGAAAAGTTATTGGCGCTCTCATTCTTTACAGACAGAAAGTAAGCTAAAATAGAATTAGGTAAAAATAGTAGTTTTGTTTACTTCTTTTTGCATAAGAAAAATTGTTTATTGGTTCCTATGATTGTTCTTAAACCTATTGTGTCTCTTTTAATAGAAATTTAACTGTAAGAAATGAGGGTTGCATTCATACGTAGTATAGTCTGGCAAATTTTTATGTTATAGTTGCCGGTTTCTATCTCAAGAATGTTTGACTTCGTTTTCTTCATAAAATTTTGAAAAGTATATTTTAGTTGTATATTCTTACACTCAAAAGTTTGTAAGGTTAACAAACAGTTGAAGTAACGGTTATCGAATTAGAATAGAAAAAAGAAAGCATGCATATCATTTTTTAGGTCTCTGTAGCATAAAAAAGGTAATGTGATAAAGAGAAGAGAATGTATGTGTGAGTTTTGTTAGAAATTGAAAATTTCTGGCCAAGACTGGTATATAGATGTAGTTGGGGCTTCTTAGTTTCTTGATAAAATTCATATAATTTTATTTTCAGTTCAACTTGAGTTATAGATTTGATATTGAGTAGAATGTTCAACTGTTCCTCATCAGCTAGTCTTGAAGTTAATGAAAAGGCAGATATAACTTAAGCTAGTTATGATATATTCATGTTTCAAAACTGGAAAGTTTATGAACCATAGCTTCAAAAGTTCTGATATATTTACCTCATGATAGATTTCTTGATGTCTAATAGTAAATGGGAGGATTAACTCAAAGAGGTAGGTCAGTAAATGGGATAAAAAAGAGGATAGCTGCCTACAAGTCACCAACTTGTATCACTTTAAGTAGATGTCGTTGATATAAGATCGCATATATATCTAGATGAATAATAACAGGAGGAAGAAACACTGAATATTTTGTGAAGCTAAATATCGGTTCGTCCCAAAACTTCCCACTCATATACTGGACCTTCACATTTGACAACCTTAAAAGTACCAGGTATGTTCCATCCTAGTGGTGATTCTCTACTGAATTCCCATTTAACTTGTTCGTCCTGCGTCAACTGACCCGTATTTGAAACTGTATTAAGTCTGAGATCTAAAGTATCTTCTATACGTTGTTCTATCATACGTACATAAGCCTGGCTTACAGGGGTAACATCAGAATACAATAAAGAAACATGTGGCCTAAATATCTTTTGCTCACCTTCATTTAATGACGGTTGGGAACTATACATTTCTGTCATGATCTTTTCTAAGCCCAGTAAATATTTATTAGGTTTGCAGTTCAATATCACTTTTTGAAAATATTGTTTTTTTATAGAGCATGAGTCAAATGATACTAATGGTAGCGTGTGTACATCTCTTAATTGTTTCTCAATCGACCTTATAGCAGCAACACAGGAAGTTAAAATTTTATTGACATCATCCTTATTTTCACATTTCAAATTTGTTGCGATAGTGACGTGAGGTTCAAAAGGTATAGACGAAGGAAATAAAGTTTGCATCGATATTATCAGTTGTTTTAATAACTCATAGTAAGTACTACCTTGCTGTGGACAAAACCATAATGCGATTGACATTTTTGGAAATAACACTAATGACTGAATTTATATGATGAAGCTCCCAAAGGGAATACGTATTTTAGTTTGGTGTTTGTATATTAAATAAACAGATGTTCCTTGACTTTTTATTATATTCTTTCTCCTTGGTATATATTCGTAGTTGTCTTTTCAACTGAAAGCTTTTGATAACTTTTATCTCTAGTTTACTGAAGCCAATGAATTAAAAATTCGTCAAGGTTTGCCCTAATTGCCCTTCATTTTCCCTATCCATTTAGAATCGGAAGGGATGGCCCGCATTGTTCTGCATGGTTTTCTGAGTACATTTTACAGAATTTTAATATAGAATAAACGATGATCTCTAAACTGTAAATACTATCAAATTGTTTCAAGAAGTGAGTATTCTTACTATTTTGTTGAATTAGGTTGTCCTTAGAAGATCGTTATTATACTTGGAAAACAAAGAAAAAATTTTAAAATATGGAAAATTGAAAATTTTATGTTTGGCACTAGTTACCCAACTTACAGCTGGAGTTCTCAATATAAACAAAAAACAATAATTACATAAGCCAAACTGATAAGCGTTTGTATTACTGCTTATACTGAGCTAAATGTTCTAAGGTATATAGTATGAAATATTCACATGAGCATAAAAACTTGACATTAAGTAAATAACACAAAGACTATTGTGCACAATTATTATAATTGAATAGGCTTATACGACGATACTAGAATAAGAAGTTCATAAATGTGAAGGTTAACAACTACGTCACTAAATTCGTAATATATAAAGACAGAGGTTTGAAATACATAATCTGTATATTAAATAATTCCTTCAAAAAGAAAGGAAGAAGAATTATCTGTATAATATCTGTAAAATAAAAATGAATGAAAATACAAATCCAATCAATGCTCAACAAGATACAAACGAGGATTTCCATCACTTTCAAACCCGAAATTTAATGTACATAAAATTTAGGACATAGATATTTTTTACTTCGATAATCCACGCTCCTTATATATGTTTGGTATTACGTTGTTTTCTTGTTCATACAAGAATCCCTTCATCTCAGACCAAGCAATCTTTCTAATGATAAACAAAAGAATTCAGATCCAATATTTTATACTAATCCTACATATTTGAACTTGGAAGGTGATAATACTTCTCGTTTCTATCTTGTTGAGCATTGATTGGATTTGTATTTTCTTTCGTTTTTATTATACAGATATTATGCAGATAATTCCTCTTAATCTATTTCGGAAGGAATTATTTAATATACAGACTACGTATTTCAAACCTCTGTCTTTATATATTACGAATTTAGTGACTTAGTTATTAAACTTCACATTCATGAACTTCTTATTCAAGTATCGTCATATAAGCCTACTCAATTATAATAATTGCGTACAATATTCTATGTGTTATTTACTTAATGTCAAAATTAGTGTTCATAATCATTAATTATTATGCTCACCTGAGTATCTTAAACTGTTTTCCCTTTGAATATCCAGCCCAGTTGAAAGTTTTGTGAAATGACTATTTTATATTTATATGAAATACATGAAGTAAAAATTTATAGGAATATTAAAAATACAAAAGAAACAACTCTATATGTCCTGAATTTGGAACAAGTCTCACTCAGATCCAAAAAGTTTCTTAGATATCTCGTAACTTGAAATCATAATGGCGCAACTTGGGGCAATTTTAACAACTCTTGCCGTTAAGCCAGTAAATAATGCAGCCGTTCCTTCGTTTTCAATGATCGTTCCAAGAAACTTGAACATATTTCTTTGATGTTGAGGTCTTTGAGATTGTACATTGTCGGTTATCATAGATATTTGCCATCGTGTTTTACCCACATCGAAGGGATGCGTTAAAATGGCAGCAATGGTACCACTAACCGATCCGCTAACAAAACTATTTATGAAGTGTATAACTGTACTATTATCATTAGTCATATCATTTTTTATCCATAAGTTTTTCTTACAAAACTCGTATGTTCCCCAATATATGGCACTAAATGGAACATCTCTCCATAAGGTTATATTCAAACCTTTGAAAAGCGCCCTCAGCGGACCATTCTTTTGAACATCTTGTCGAGTTTCTTCCATTAGATCTTTTACCATTGTCCAACTTCTAGTTGACTTAGATGCTCTAGGTATACTTTGAAGCTTAGTCTTGGTAAGTTCTAATGGCGCTACACTTGTGGCTGCCAATATTCTTGCTAACGCACCACATACCAAAGGATTTAAATTTTCATGATTCTTGGATAGTGGCGAAATATCTCTAATATGTTCATAACCAGTGAAGTATACAATATTCGAGGGAACAGCCATTAATAAATTCAGAGAAATCCCTCTCCAAAGAGTAGTGATACCTTCAATATTTGTTATCTTTCTGAAGGCATCTATCGTCCCTGTAAACCTCAGCGACGAACTTACACAATTTAATTCCTGGAAACATGGGTTTTCCCAAAATATTTTATTATTCTGAGGGAATTCAAAACTTGGGATTTTCAATTTAGAACTCTTCACTGCATGAAGATCGGTAGACCTAGAAATATTCATAGTCGCACTATCTTTTGCAGGTATTGGGACCTCACAGGTACAATCAGGAAGCATACCCTGTTGTTGTAATCTAACCCTAACAACATCCATAGGAGTAAGGGTGAGTGATGTCAATAGAGAGCCTGTAACTGCACTAAGCATACGCTCTCCCAAAGTTAACTTTAGAGTATCATCGTTGCCCATAGTTTCATTTCCAAAATAAAGGAAAAGAAAAAAAAACTAATGAATAATATGAGTGTAAAACCAGACTCCACCTAACTAATCTTTTGCAAAATTTATTATTATTTGAATCTTATTGTATTCGTAACGCAGATCTCTAGAATGATCTAAAAAAGTCTTTCTACTAACAAAGAGAGAAATTAACACAAATGCAGATAATTACCGTAGGTATTGTTAAATACCTGTTATTATTATATATAAATATTATGAAATATAGGTTAAATGAACTGATTAACGTTTATTATTTATAAGGTTATTCGTCCCTTACCATTTACATATATATGTTTACTGATAAATATCTAAACTTAATTGGCATCATCGCTTTGACACCCGATTTTCCACCAGAAAGCGAAAAACGGTAGAATTTTGCACTAACAGAAAGCGCAGAACCGAGAAGAGTCAGCCAATGCCCAATTAGGATTAAGATAGAAGGCCCATTACTAATACAACCTGGATAAAGATAGTGACATATACGTATTCATCTGCTACTTTATCATAAAGCCTACTACAAATATGACTCAATTTCGTTTATTTTTTGGTTTTCCTCTTCTTCAATTTTGAAGTAGCTGTTAAAATTCTTTTACCTCCACTCGCAACTTGCTGGTTGGTAATATATTCTGTTGGGAAAAAGGTGGTGATAGATCTTTGCTTATTCTTTTTCCTGCTATTAATATCCTTCATAAGAGGTAGTAAAATTTCATCAGTCTTTTCTTGAGTCCATCCTAAATGGTCTTCTAAGAAATTTCTTAGCATATCAATAGCCGGATATCCCCACACAAACGGTGTTGTGTCATGATCGACTTCGGGATTCATATATGCATCCACGACTAACTCACTTGGAAAATTACTATCTAACAATATGTCGTTTTTCACCATCCTCTTTCTTAAATCTTTTTCAAATTTATTCTCCTTTGAAAGCTTTTCACTGTCAAATTGTCCTTCCTCATACCATTGCTTGAATTTTGTCAAATCACCAAACTCCGCAATTACCTCCATACTAGAGACAGGCCCCATACCTTTAAGACCGGTAGTGTAATCACTCCCTAATAACAACGCCAAATCAATCATATTTCTCCTATCCAGCCCTAAGTCTATTGTAATCCTCTCAGAATCATAAAACTCTACGTACTTTCGATCATGAAACATATTCCGATAAATTTTAGAACCTCCAAATAAAAATACATCGCTATCATCTGTAATCACTCCATCCACAAGATTTAATTGTAAAAGTTCAGCACATTGTGCTTCAGCTTCCATTGGGGCTGTAATGAAAGGAATACCAAATTGACTTAACATATCTTGAATATCAGTGACCATGTCGGGTGTAACTTCATCAGAATCTCTTTTCTCCTTTACTTGTTGTTTAAACAACTCATCTTCTAAGAAAGCAGTATCCGCCACCTCTTTATTTGGTTGATAATTATGCAATAAATCAACATTTCTAAAAGTATCAAAATCTTTTTCTTCTTGCCTAATATTGTCGGCCAGATCATTTTCTTCATCCTCTGAGAATTCGTATTCAAATATCGTTGGCTTAGCCTTATCATTCTGAACTGAATTTGCGAATATATTGGAAATGTTTCCTGAATTGTCCGAAGAACTATTATTGTCAACTATAGCTTTATCGGCGCTGTTAGATATTTCTTGGGTTATTTCTGAATCAGAAGTATCCGATATACTTATTATATTATCGGATAGTTTATTATCTTTTTCAGTCACAATGTTTAGTGCAACGTGGCTTTTATCTTGTAGTTTCATTTGTTCGTCTACTAAATATTGAGCATTCGCTCCCATAACTAATTCATACTGACGATTATCCCTCATTTTCTCAGATCCATTTATTGGTTCGGCCTTATCTTCTACAAAGTTGGTATTTGCGAAAGGGTTTGATACATTTGGTTCGGAAACAGTATCTACACGATCAATATTGCCAAACCAGCTCGGAGTTTCAGGAATAGTGTTTTCTACTACAGGCTCATCTATTGCTTCCTCATTATGTTCATTAGAAATAGAGGGTCCACCAAATAGAAATGAGTTACCATTCAAGACAGTTGAATTGTTTGACCTATCTAATATAATTCGTAAATTTTGTTCACCCTCAGTCTCTTTATGAAAATTTTGGTTGTCTTTTCCTTTATCTAGATTATTCTGATGTTGTTTTAACGTTTCTTTAGTTATTTTTTGTTGCTCTTGTTTCTTCTCTAATTTTTCTTGTTGTTCTTTTGCCAATTTCTCTCTTCGGAATTGCTCAAGCTTTGATTTTTGAAAGGCTTCCATCATTTCAATCTCTTCAAACTGTTTCGTATATTCATCATAATCTCCATCTTCACTACTCACATCATCTTCATCAGCAACTTTGACTTTGTAAGATGCAGTTGGCCTATCTCTACTAACTGGAGATTGCTCGATAGGTATTTTATCTAAAAATGCTTGACTTCCTACTATTTGAGAAGTTTTATCAAGCTCCGGTAATCGGCCTGCCTTTAACGAATAGTCGAATGTGTCTTTAACCACAGTTGGCGCTAATGCTACATCTTCCCAATCATCGTCATCGTCATCTTCATCGTCATCTTCCTTCTTTTTGATATCACGATCTTCATTACCATTTAAGCCAGAACTTCTACCCATAAGGTGATTAGATATCGTTTTATTATTTTCAGGAATTTGACTTTCAGCATCAAGTAAAATTGCCTTTTTGGCTTCAGAACCATCATATTCACCTAAACCCAGGGTCCAACCGTTCTCAGTCTTAGTTATCTTGTACTCCCTGTTCTTTTGACCAGAAATTCTATTGACTATTTCATCATTAAGTTTCGATGCACCACCATCATGATAACCTGTCATATTGATGATTCTTTGAGTATAATAGTTTCTTCTTTTCACCATATCAATCTGAAATTTTGAAAAATCCAGACTATCTGGAAAGACGTTTTCTAATTGTTCTTTAGAATAACCCATTCTTAGTCTCGATTTTAGACGTAGGTTAGATAGTAATTGATATTGAAGATTTTTAGGTAACTCTTCAAATGCTTCTGATGTGGGATCTATCGAATCTAAATCCAAGTTATCAATAGTATCCTCCATTACTAAACTTTCTCTTTTCCTTTTCTTTTTCTCTTCTTCATAGTTTAAATTTACTCTTGTATCTTTTCTTGAAACTTTAAATCCTTCAATATTGGGCAAATCCCAATCATCCTGGGGTCTGAACACTAAATCTGATGTTTTGGTATCCTTTTTTTGTTCATTATTTTTACTATTACCAGAATTCTTATGCATTTGTAAAGCTAACAATTTTCTAGCAGTTCGTTGTGCACTATCTCGTTTCCCTTGTTTAACTTCATTTCTTTGCTTGATGGTATCTCTTTTTAAAGCAGGAACACCACCATCAAATACAAAAACAGGTTTAATACCAAAATATAACAATTTACATATTCTTCTAAAAAACCCTGTAATATGTGAATTCTTGATAGCATTTCCTTCCGAATCCCTCATTGCTTTAATAAATTGATATATCCAGATTGATGCATCCACAGCCATTTTTTTATCTTTCAAGGATTCCAATTTAACCGGTCTTGCAGTGGGACCAACAATATCCCAAAATGAATGCACACCCATACTTGTTCATACTATATTATACACTTCGAGACGTTTGGATTATGAATCTTTCTAAAGATGTAGTACTGAAACTAACTTTGATACTAATCAAATATTTCTAATTTTCAACAATAATGTAATATGCAGCTTATTTTATAAACTTTCAAGGTCATCGCCTCCTTCACAAAATTGTACTCCGCGAAGACAACATTACTTAATTACAGATACAAAGTAAAACTAATAAGAAATAATCTTAAAACATCTTAAAACAAGGAATGTTATTTATCAGTATAAACTTTTAAGCTTATGTTTTATGTTATTGCGGTTTTAAAGATTTCAAAATTGTGTTAAAAAAAATGTTCTAACCGAGGTTTGAACTCGAGACCTTTGCCGTGTAAAGGCAACGTGATAACCACTACACTATTAGAACATAGCTAAAAATCTCTAAAAAATGATAGATAACTTATAAAACAAACGACCCTAAAATTTACCCTTAAACGTAATAAAGGTGCAAAATAATTCTTAATTAGTAATGAGCTTATGTAATAATATAATAAGAACGTTAGATACTTAAGTGTAGTAGATTATATTGTTGAAAATATCTCTGCAGGGGCATAAAGGCGAAGATATGGTGTATAATTGAAATTCAATTTTCATTGAGGTATAAAATAAAGGTAGGACAGTAGTTGCTTACTTTCAAAAAAATATGTAAGATATTCGAGGTAAAATATTATATCGAATGTTTCAAAGATGAAATTTAAACGAACGGCAGTCTTTACAATTGTAGATACAACTATATTTCGTAGAATCGCAAACAAAGAACTACAATCACAATTGTAATAGGGGGAGTCTTACAGTATAATTCTGACCGAGAAATAATAACAAATAGGACAATAATATGCAGTTTTACGAAAAGAAATATACGGTTAATTAGTTATATTGTCCGGTAAATAGAGGGTAAATATATCAGTTCATATAATAGTTTCTTCTATTTCACAAAATAACATATTGAGCTTCTTCATTTCCTTCCTTTATATCAATCTCATAGTTCCTATTCTATTAACCACACATTGCATTAATACAAAATTAAAACAAGACGCCACGTTATCAATTATCAAAATATAAAAAATTACTGAGTAATAAATAATCGGAACTTCCTCTTTTACAAAGAAAAAAAACTTTTATATAGTATCAGTATTGATTTAGTTATACAACACCTACAATCCGTTTTATTTTTCCACTCCATTCTATAAAATAAAGGAAAATCTCTTTGAACTGTGTCATCCTGTAAAAAACCTGTATATTAATACTACCTGAAAAACAAAAAGAGTATCGTCCTAAAAAGGTCGGTCATCCACTCTGTTAATTTTATAACAGTTTCAATCAGGTGATGCTGCGCCAAATTACACATACGCCAATCTCTAATACTATTGTTATTCAACTTAGAGATCTCTCTCTATATATATTATTTTTATTATAATAATGGGAAACTACAGTCTCCTTCTTTGTACAGCCTCGGCTCTCTGTCACCTATCCAGTTACAGGATAACCTGGACCATTTGCTTAAAAAATGCAAAACTAGAATTTATTACAAAACCCTCCGAGATAACAATGCTTCAAACTCCTGTGTCGTCAGACTTCTCTCTTCTTATTAATATCCAACTAATTAATTTCATCGTTCGCTCGTCCTGCGCCATTTTCTTTCGGACACCACTCTAAACTGAGAGGGTGAAATTCTTTTGTTATTCGACGGAAAGAGTTCACCGAAGAGAAGAAACTGGTGAACGGAACCACGGAAAGAGATAATTAGAAAACGGTGTTTCTGCGTTCCTAAACTAACAAATCCGTTGCTTAGTGAAACTATTGAAATTTCTTTAATTAGAGTGAAAAAAAAGCAAAAATTATGAGCTGACGATGACAAGAACCTAATGTGGTAACCCAGTCATGCACATTGCTATAGGTAGACTCTGTATATTTATAACGTTGATAAGAATTACTAATTTTTGTTTTTGACGTATATTATCAATAATTTAAAGTATATAAAGGCAATATATTTCTATTGCCAAAGGAAGAATTTAAGTTTCCTGGTTATTGTAATAACTTTGGATAAAAAGTTTCATAAAAAAAAAGTGAGCAAATATCAACTAAAGATAGAGTGACAGTGGCTTTTGGTTTATTTTTATTTAAATTATTTACTACATTTGATTTTTTGCAATGCCAGGCTCTATTAAGGATTACGTTGATAATGTCCTATTCATTCCAAACTCTAATGACTCGAGAGGGTTTAATAACGAAATCCCTTGGAATAGGGATATCGTAGACACTAATAACATTCACCATAGATCTAAAGAACAAACAAATGGAGATGCAAATAGTGTGGATCTAGAAGAGAAAGACGCTATGAATAATGTGATAGATAAAGAAATTTTCTCAACGACTACGGCTACTGAGGATGATGGAATCCCATCATTGACTCATCCTATGGAAAAAAAAATTTTGAAAAAAATGGATATGTTTTTAATTCCATTAATGGGATTATTATATTTCTTATCAAATTTAGATAAGTCAAATATTGGTAACGCAGAAGTTGCAGGTCTTTCTTCAGATATTGGTTTGAAAGGTAAAGAATATAATGTCTGTGTCACGGTATTTTTTGGCACTTATGTCATATTCGATCCTATTGGAGCTAACTTGTTGAAGATTGTTGGACCTCATTTGATGATGAGTGTATGTCTATTATGTTTCGGTGCGATTTCTTTAGGTTCCGCTTGGGTAAGAAATTATGGTGATTTATTAGCCGTAAGATTATTATTAGGTGCATTTGAAGGTATGATATATCCTGCAATCAATATGTATTTATCTGTCTGTTATAGAAGAGAACAATACGCTAAAAGATTTGCCTTTGTCTTTAGTGCAGCTTGTCTGTCATCATCATTTGGTGGTTTGATCGCATATGGTTGCTCTACAATTAATGGCTCTTTAAAGAGTTGGCAATATATTTTCATCATCGAAGGTGTTATATCAATTGGTTTTGTACCTTGTTATTATTTTGGTCTAAGTAAAAATTTGGAAGATTCATGGTTTTTCAATAAAGAAGAACGTGAATATATTATTGAAAGATATAAGACCATGAACACGTTTAACCCAGATGACAAATTTGATTGGTTTCAAGTGAAACTAGCTCTAAAGGATATTAAGACTTGGGTTTCTGCCATAGCTTTGTTTGGTATTGATCTAACAACATTTGGTTTGACAGTGTTCTTACCAATTATTATTACAAGCTTAGGTTTCTCTAACGTTAGAGCTCAGTTAATGACAGTACCTGTATATTTTTTGACGGCTATCGTCTTCTTCATCTGTGCATTATTGTCTGATTATTTAAGGTTAAGATCACCTTTCATTATTGGTGCATGTACTACCACCGCCATCGGTTTAGCTATTGTACTCGGTTCACAAGTTCATGGTGTTAGATATTTCGGTGTCTACATTCTTTGTATGGGTATCTATGTCAATGCCGCTTGTAATTGTTTATGGTTAAGTGGTAATAATGGAAATTATTTTAAGAGAGCCACCGCATTAGGTATTACCTTGTTTTTTGGTTCTGGATCCGGTCTAGTCTCAGGTCAAATATTTTTAGCAGAAGATAAACCAAGATACACTAAAGGTTTATCAATCTGTTTAGCATTCCAAGTTGTATCAATTGTAATGACTGTGATACAATACATATTATACAAAAGAGAAAATATGAAAAAAGATAAAATTATTGAAAAATGTAGAGAACTAGGTGAACCAATACCATATGATGAAAAGTTAAGCGATATGAATCCTGAATTCCGTTATTTATACTAACGGATAATAAGAGAAAACCTTTTTTTTTTCTGTCAAAATTTTGTAATATAATTTCTAATGTGAATGACCTCCTGACCTAGCCTCAAAAAGTATTAGCTGATAAATATTGATATGCAAACGCTATAATGTTATCTTGAGTCTATTTTTGTTTTATGTACGACAATAAGTATTGTACATATTTATATATATTCTATCTAATCCTCACTAGATTCTAATCCAGAAGATGAAGTTTCAGAATCGTCCTCAGACGTTTCGTCATCATCTTCTTCTTCATCTTCTTCATCATCACCTTCTTCAGAGGGGTCGGTTTCTTCCTCACTTGAACTCTCAACAACTCTAATGATTTTCTTCTTTTTTGATAAAGAACTATATTTCTTTGCTTGAGGAACAGCCGGAACATCAGAAAAAAATTCATCCAGACTTTGTAATTTGTACTTCTTGCCTGTATTCGATGTAAAACTATTTCTAGTTGCAGAGGTACTTAATGTACTCGTAGTTTCATTATGCAATTCCTCTGGTGTATTGTTGTGTACAAATGAATTTGAAGTTTCCACATAATTTTCAGAGGAAAAACTTTTCTTGAATTTATTGTAATCCTTCAATGGTAAACCTTCACGGATATCTAATACTTCTGAACTATTTACATTATCTGACACATCCCAGGGGATATAAGAATGATAGGCAATTAGGTCATGGTCAATATCTTCTGTATCCTCTGCAAAATCAGCATCTTCATTAAGAGCTGGTTTATCCCAAATATCTAGTTTTGGAGCTTGTAATAACAATGTTGCTATTTCGTATTTACCACTATCAAATAGTGATGTAAGATAACGTACCATATCTCTAACACCGTAATCATCATCAAATTTACCTAAATATGCAAGATATTGAAACATTCTCATAATACGAGAGTCATCCACATTATAAGATTCATTTGAACTTTCTTTATTCTGATCATATTCGTAAGAGGCCAATTTAGCACTCAATAAAATTAATTGTCTTCTAGATTTAGGTCCTTCATCTACGAATCCATTTATTAAGTTTCTTACTATGTCAGGACATACTTTGTATTCAATACCAGCAATCTCACCAAATAACCATATGATACCCGCACGAGCATTATCAGCTCTGACATGATTGGTAGTTAATAAATCTGCCAACTTTAAAATAATTTTGAGATGTCTCCTGGGATTATAAGAGACTAGTTCTCTTATGATATTGACAAAACAATCCAAAACATTGTTGGTCAATCCGTTTTTATCGGATTCTATTACTTTAATGAACCATTTCATCATATGCGATTCCAGTGTCACCGATAGTTTACCACAGGATGCCATGGTTTGGGATGCAACAATAATAATCTTTTCATTTTTTTGATGCTTTATAATTTTTTTCAATTCACGAAGAATGAACTCAACATTCGTATCATTTATTAAGGTTGATAAAATTTGTAACTTTAAACATACGACGGTAACATTGTCACTTGGAAATGGCAAAAATTCCCTATTAAACTGTTGAAATAATGTCGAATCCATTTTTGAATACAATAAAATTGACTGTAGTAAAAAGGTTTTTACACCAAGGTTAGATGTGGCAACAGTAATGTTGGTTAATACCTCTGGGAAACGAGAGTTTCTAAAATCATTAGGTGTCGTTAACTGAAAGAATGCATTACAACACGACACGATCACTACGGGACTTGTACTAAATCTAAGAACCTTCAGACTATTAATAAACAATTCTAAATCTTTCTCCATTCTCAATTCGTAGACAGGGAAAATAATCTGGTTATATTTATCTGGCAGAGGCACACAATTACTAGAGACATCTTTTGAGGAAATATCAACCACCATTGGTTTGACTATATATCTCTTACAGTATCGTATCAATGTTTCGACAAGATATGACTGGGCCCACGAATCAAGTTTCTTTAAGATTTGACAAAAATAACGATAATGGCCATGCAACAGTTCTAATCTATCTGGAAAACATTCCTTAAATACAACTAAAACCGATGATATTACCTTAGGATCAGAGTCACACATTAGATCTGTATACAAATCCATAATATCTTCTTCTATTTCATTTCTCTTCCACCTATACAGCTTCATTAAAGTACACGCAACTTCACTTCTCACCGTAGGAGAAGGGTCAACTATCAACTTCCTTACACTAAGTAATATAATCGGTGTCAGCGATGGGATTTTGATGTCTGATAGTGCCTTAAGTGAGAATGCCCTAACATCTGGATTACTGTCAGCCAAAGTCTTTTGAATAGCATTGACAGATAATAAAGCCAGATTCTGATCCTTTTCTGCATAACGCAGTAAGTAAAGGTACACCATCCGTTTGATCTTGATATCATCTGAGCTGATATTTTTAACAACATCGGAAAAAAATTCTTCAATATCTACCGATGTGTCATTGGATGCTAAGATACTTAATATCCTCTTCATCGCATCCTTAACTTCCCTAGAATTTCTTGAGTTAAGTAAGTTCCTTAATTGCTGTGTACTTAGATTCTTCGAGTAATGTGTGTATGATGATTCACCAAGTTTAGAAGATGCAACAGCCGCAGCCTCCAGAGTTATGGCTTTTGCAGATTCAAGTGCTGATGCTATCTGGCTAATAGAATCCACCATCTCTGTTTCGTGAAATATGTGTTATAGTTGCGAGACTTCCCTATTAAAATTAATGTTGCTTTGCTTCAATAGGCCTTTTTTTAATATCAATAGTATTAGTTATGACTAAATACCAATCTACCCAACCTATTTACAACTCCTTGAGCATACCAATAAACAATCATTCTTCTTGTTTTCACTGTTAAACTTTTGATCATATCTTTCCCATTTCCAGCTAAATTCTTCTTCACAGCGGGCACTGAAAAAATAGTGCCAACCAATATAACAATAGAAGACAAGGTGGGAGAGAAAAGATGGTAATATTTCAAGGAATGAAATCATTTTTGAAGCATTTATGTTTCTTTATGTGATATATGTCATTTGAGTTAAACATATATATGAAAATATACAGTTATATATTAATTTGTGGCAAAAAAAGGAAGGGTATCTAACCTATCATACTTCTCTTTCTTCCACGCATTCTTACATCTGCGAATCTCTTCAGGACCTCGTTCAATTTTTGAACACCCCCTTTACCTTGCTTCTTATATACACTTGAGAATCCTTCAATTAACCAATCGTTGTATTTGTCAGAAAATGATGAATGCGTACTGATGATTGCTCTTTCAAGTACATATAAGTCGACCCCTTTGTCTTCGACCATATTAGATTGTGAACCAAGACCAAAATCAATCAAATATGGGATCCAATTAGTACCATTAGTATCCCTTACTAGTACGATATTGGAACTTGTAAGATCACCATGACAATAATCGTTAATATGCAGTAAACCGATTTGTTCACCTACTTTAAATAGTGTATCCTTCACGACATCATTATATGGATCTTTAGCGTTCATCCACAAATAATTTTTCAAGTTACTGAAACCACAGTCATTAGGTAAATCCTCTCCCAAGAATTCCTGCCATATATAACCGTTATAAGCATCTGTAGCAATCAGTTTCGGTACATGCAAACCTTCAATGAGATACAGTTTGCCTAATAATCTTGATTCGCTCAAGGTCCTATGTTTGGTAAGTTGTTTATCAATAACAGGGTGTCTATATTTCTTGGGAGATCTGTACTTAATAATGTATTGAACTGGCTTACTGTCTTTCGTTATCTCATTGGACGGACAGTAAGGATGGACAGGTGTGGTAAAGACAACAGCCTCTGCACCTTGTGATATTAACTTAATTGGAACATTAGGAGTTAAGTATTGCGATACAGCATCCACGATTTCTTGGGACATCTTTTCAGTCTGTTAATCTATGATCTTGAGTTGTTTATTGAGTATTATAGATACACTCTAGCATTTACCTTCATCATTTTGAAAAGTATACTCTTTCATAGTTTAAGATTTTTCTTTATATAATTTATTTTCTATAGTTAGCGAAAGATAAAAAAAAATTACTCTGACTATAATATCTCATCGCATTCCAATATCTTAGTAGTATGGAAAAGAGCTTGGTAACTGACATGAACATAAAAGTAGGATTAGTTCTTCGAAAGAAGGACTTATATACAAAGCATCGTGGTTAAAGTTTTTGATATTGTATTTATCACTATGTAGTGTGGCGACAAGAACTCTCTACTCACTTCCTATGAATTCCAAGATCTTAGATATGGCGGGTAGACGAGACCATTTTTCTAAATTTAATGTCATATTAAGCACTGGTTCGATATGAGCTCCATTCTCTTCTACAAAGACATTGTAAGATATATTGAAGTTATTAGAATTCGTACTATCTAACTTTTTGATAAAATTTTTAATCTCATGTTGCAATATTTCATCTGTGCCGTATACTATTAACAATTTGGTTCTTGGAAGAACATTAGTCCAGTTTATAGAATCAAAATTTTGCTCTACATTTAGCATAGGGTCATCATCGAATACATATGACTGTGGTAATAATAACTGGGTAAATATGTCCAAACCTTCAAAAGATAACCCGTCCATCATTTTATTTACAGAATAAGCCAAACTATTTCTTATTCCACTGTCCATTGAATCAGATGTTGGATTACACCATGGACTTAGAACTATAGCTTTCTCTGGTAATTTTCTATTACTTTGTTGTAAAAATTGTAGCGTACCAAGAACAATATTACCACCAGCTGATTCACCCATTAAAATTACATGCTCACAATTTAAATCTTGGGTCACGTAATTATATAATAAAACTGTCTCGAGCAATTGTAAAGGATGTTCACCTTCCTTTGAAGCTGTGACGGTGTAATCATGAATAATTATACCCATTCTAGGGAAATGTTTCGACATATTATTAAGGAAGTTAAATGACAAAGGCACTAGTTTTATAGCAAAGCCACCACCGTGTGAAAATATCAATATGGGATCTCTGGCATTATCAAAATCATCCGGCTTCGAGTACCACACATATTTAGTCCTTATACAATTTTCCCTACTTAAAAATATCGAATTTTCCTTCAATCGAGGCCTTAGTAGTTCATGATCTTTTTCAGTCACATATCCACTAATTTCTTGGTAGGTATCTAAAAAAAATGAATCTATGAATTCGAAGACAGGATTAATAACTATTCGACATGTAGAATAATCACCCAGTAAAAATGCCTCTCTCATAAGTATTCTTCTAACGAATGAAGGTGTGATTTTTCTTGAATAATTATACCACACATTATAGCAATAAATGGCAGTCCTTACCGGCAAGATAAGAATAATCTTTAAAATAAAATATATACCGCTGAGTTCCATCTGTTTCATTAAGACATTGCTTAGTACCAACTAACACTATTTGATTTTTAATTATATTCAAACGTAACTGCCAGGAGTCGATAATTTCATGATACTTTTTTTATAATGGGTTTCAAACTGAGCCTTCCTTTGAAATATTGGTTGTTTCGATGTCTCGGATCATGAAATTTTATCGCTAAACGACAAAAGTTGACATTTCGAAGGAATTTTAAGATTTGTTAAAAAAAGTATTTATCAAACAGAATAAACATAACAGGTAAAAATCATTAAAGATAGCAAATTACATAAACTCAATAAATTGATAAAATATTTCTCTTACAGTGTATAATTACTTATATTAATATGTTTATATTTACTCTCGCTTATTCTTTGGATTGACCACCGTATTGACTTCTCCAAGTTTCAACTTGTTTTGGATCAACACGTTTGAATAAGTATTCTGGTTTATTAATATTGTGTTCACCTTGGATAACTAAGTTGAACTCGTTGTTAATCTTTAGGGCTGGAGCGTTCAATATCTTGTAGATAGTGTTAGAGGTTTCAGGCATAAATGGATATATCAAGGATGCAACAGCGTAAATAATATTTAGACCAACACCGACAACAGCGTCTGACTTCTTTGGTAATTCTGAAAATAGGCTATTATCAAGTTTGTTTTCTTGTAAGAATTGGTTACCACGAGCACTTAAGGACATGGCAATTTCTAGACCACGTCTTTCATGTGCAAGTTCCATTTCTGTGATATAAGAAGATAGGATAGTGTTGATGTTACTGGTCAATTCGTCAAAGTTGGAGATCTCCTTTGGATCGTATTTTGGAACAACACCATTATATTTGGCATCAACGAATTTAACTAATCTGTTGACAAGATTACCTAAGTTAGCCAACAATTCATTGTTGTTAGAAGAGACAAAATCATCCCAAGAAAATTGAGAATCACTAGATTCTGGTCTAATGGAGGCCAGGTAGTATCTCCAAACACTTGGAGAAACACCAGTTTCTTGAGCATTGTTACCAAAAACACCGATATTTCTACTCTTGGAAAACTTACCACCTTCATATTGTAGATATTCTGTAGTGTTTAGATGGTGTAGCATAGTCCAGTTTTCTTTTGTACCGATTTGAGAACCTGGGAAAACAACGGTGTGGAATGGAACGTTATCCTTACCCATGAATTGATATAGGTTAACATTTTCTGGATTCTTCCACCATTGTTCCCAGTTCTTAGTGTAGTTAGCTGTGATGGATACGTAACCAATGGTGGCATCAAACCACACGTACAAGACTTTGTCTTTGTACTTTTCTAAAGGAACAGGAGTACCCCAGATCAAATCTCTAGTAATACAACGAGGGTTTAAACCTTCTTTCAACCAGGAGCTAGTAATGGTTTTAGAGTTTTTAGACCATTGGCCTTCTTCAGAAGCCTTTAAGAACCATTCCTTAATATCACCTTCTAATTTATTTAGAGATAAGAAAATATGGTCGGTGTTCTTAATCACTGGAGTAGAGTTATCTAATTTACAACGAGGGTTAATTAATTCAAATGCATCTAATAAAGCACCACATTTATCACATTGGTCACCTCTAGCGTCATCGTAATGGCATTTTGGACATTCACCTTCAACAAATCTATCAGCAAGGTAAGAGTTATGTTCTTCACAATACAATTGTTTCATGGATTGTTCCTCTAAGAAACCGTTGTCATTCAATCTAGTGAAAATATCTTGAGCAATCTCGGTTTGTTGAGGGGTAGTAGTTCTACCGAAATGATCGAAGCCAATTTGGAACCAATCGTAAACATCCTTATGAATAGCATGATACTTATTACATAATTTACGTGGAGTGACACCTTCCTCTAATGCTTTAGTTTCAGTGGCAGTACCGTATTCATCAGTACCACAAACAAATAAAGTATTATAGTTTCTAGTCTTACAGTAACGAGCAAAAATATCAGCAGATAATACACTACCAACAATATTCCCTAAATGAGGAACATTGTTAACGTATGGTAAAGCAGAGGTAATGATAATGTTACGTTCACCATCCTTTGGTAAGATTTCATCGGATTGAGCAGCAACTTCGAAACCTGTAGCGATCTTGGAGGCACCAGTATGTTTAAAATTCTTTGAAGAACGAGGAGTATGTTTAGCGGCCAAAGTAATGGCATTCTTAATTTTCTCTGGGAAATTTGGGAAACGAGCAATAATTTGTTCTGGATCTAAGGTGAAGGCGTTAACGAAAGTAATTAATTTCAAGGAAGTCATTGGTTCTTCCAAAGATGTCAAATAATTGTCCAAAGTCTTTTGAACACATACGGTAGCATGTTCTTGAGGAATTTCTTGTTGACGGAAGAAAGATTCTAAAGAAGATTCTGCGTAATGATATTCTTCTGAGTCTTGACCAGCAAAATCATTCATAGCGTAAGAAAGAATTGCGTTAGCATTGAACAGAGTGAATTCTTGGCCTTGAACTTGATTAACAAATTGGACAGTCTTATTATCATCATTAACTTGAATCTTTAAATCCTTTGTAGCATACTCTAAAGCTAGAGCAATTTTTAAGTTGGTAGAATAGTTAAAATAACTAGAGAAACCGTTCTCCTTCTCAAAGGAAACTTGAGCAACCATTTTTACGTATCTGGATAATATGAAATAGATCTCAATCTTATGGCAAAATTAACTATATACGGGTTTTAAGAAATAGAAGATATATATATATATCTAAGACATCAACCTCGAAACATATAATTGATTATATAATTATATAAAAAATGCATGTGGATAGAACGATTTCAATATTTAGACTATATTTGATTACTCACACCTCTGTGCAGACAAACCAAAAACTGTGTGCGTGCGCATAATTTCCCTGGCGTGCTTACCTCACCGGGGGGTTGAGAAGGACTCCTGACAAACCTGTCTTGTTTTGCCATCTTTTGCAAACAGGCAGCTCTCACCCTTCTCATTGAGAAAAGATTTGATAATCAGAATATTTTTCACTTTTTTTTCTTTTTGAAAATGAAAAGTTTTCAGTTACCCGCACATTAGGGTTTAGGTTTGAGGACGTTCCGTGCCGTGTTAGGGTTTGTGTGGTAGAGGGAAACATTTGGCGACGCGATGAGGCCTGCCAACTGGAAGGGAAGGTGAGGCTGAAGGAAGGAAGGGGACCCGTCAATGAAATTTTTCACTTCTAAAGGGTTAATCGTTTGGTAACCACAAAGAGAAGATTCCCCCTTTCTCAAACGTTTGTAACAGTTATAAGTTTAAGTTAAAGGTTCTCTTCAAGAGGTACATTTTTTTTTCTTATTTGTGGGATGTATAATAAATTCAGAATTGTTTTCTTAGGACGACTAGGCAATTAAGGGTGAAAATAGCTAGCAAAAGAACTTTTAGATTGATAAATAAAATATGAATGTTAACGAGTGGTTTGATAATTGGGATATTGAAACGCTGTATGGCGATAAAGTGAAAGGTAGCAACACATGTGTTGATGGTTCTCCAATTCCTGTGAGTGGTATAGTTTGTGGTCCCATTTTGCGTCTAATTGATATCGATTACACAAACTTTTTATATAATGGTTCAATTTTAATCATTACAAAGAGTACTCCCAATAATCCAATTGAAAATAAACCACCTATTATTAATTATATATCTGGTCCTGCAAATATTGATTCATTAAACGATGGGAATAGTTTGGTTTTATCCGATATTGCTGAATTTCCATCACAATTATTTCATACAGATCAATTAGAAAATGGAGTTTTCCAATTTCATAGATATTCTATACAGATCCCGTTAATGGAACAAGAACAAATGATAAAATATTCATTAGATGGAGAATTTAAATTAAATTATAGATTTTTCATACCTTCAAGATCAAAAAATTTTAATACTATTGCGTATTCTTGTAATGGGTTTTCATTATCTGTTGATACAAAAAAATTTAATGGTTCATTATGGTTTGATATATTAAAGAAACATTCAAAAATTCATTATAATGTAATGTTAGGTGGTGGTGATCAAATATATAGTGATCAAATTAAGATTTATTGTACAAAGGTGAAAAATTGGTTAGAGACTAAACAACTTTTAACAAAATCTAGTACAAAAGTAACACCAGAATTTAAAAAAGAATTAGACAATTTTTATTTAAAAGAATATTTAGAATGGTATGGATATGGTCATTGGAAAGGTAGTACAGATGATTCGAAGTCTACGCAACGTTGTTTTCCCTTAGCAATGGCTACAATTCCATCTATAAATATTTGGGATGATCATGATATTATTGATGGATTTGGATCTTATAGTGATACTTTTATGAAAACTGACGTATTTAGTTCAATTGGTAAAGCTGCTTATAAATATTATATGTTATTTCAACATCAAGTTTCAAATGATCTTAATATCGATAAAGAAGCATATTTAAATTCAAGTCAATGGATTTTAGGCAACATTCCAGGTCCTTATATTGGTGAAGTCTCTCATTCTTTAATGACTAGATTAGGTCCTTCCATGGCTTTATTGGGATTAGATTGTAGAACTGAACGTAAATTAAAAGAAATTTTATGTGATGATACTTATATTAAAATATTTAACCATTTGGAACAAGAAGTTAAGAAGGGTAAATTAGACCATCTCTTAGTAATGTTAGGAGTTCCAATTGCATATCCAAGATTGGTATGGTTAGAGTGGCTTTTCTCATCAAAATTATTGGCACCATTGAAATATTTATCGAAAAAGGGAATTATTGCAGGAGGTTTAGTTAATGAATTTAATGGTGATGTAGAGTTATTAGATGATTTAAATGATCATTGGTGTGCAAGACATCATAAAAAGGAGCGTAACTATTTAATTACTAAATTACAAGATTTTGGTGCTAAACATGGTATAAGAATAACAATTTTATCTGGTGATGTTCATTTAGCGTCTGTTGGTAGATTTAGAAGTAAACTCCATAGACGTCATATAACAGGATCAAAGGATGAAACAAATAAAGACATTTTGACTAAACCTGAGGAAGATATTAGATTAATGTTGAATATAATCTCTAGTGCAGTTGTAAATACACCTCCACCTGATGCAATGACTAAACTACTTCAATCTAGAGCAAAATTACATACATTTGATTTTGAAACTCATGAGGATACAATACCATTATTTGAATATGATGTCGATGGCGAAACCAAGAGACATATTGATTCTTTTATGAATAAGAGAAATTGGTCAGATATTATTCCTGTTGAAAATGTAATGGCAAATACTTATTTGAAAGACATGTTAGATCTCAATATAAACGATAGAGTTACACCAAATATAATTTCTAAATTGAAATCGAATGACGATAATACAAACGAAATAAGACAAAAATATCCAGTTACTCAAAAGGGTGTAATTGCTTCAATTCATCTTGAAAAGGACACAACTAATAGTAATTCTGAAACCGCCTGGTATGCCATTCCAATTCCAGAATTACAAAGAACAGAACAAAATCTTACTCACCGTGGGATCAAGCATTTACTGCCTTAAGTTGGGCCTTCCAGATTTAAAGATATTATCTTTGTTCTAAGATAATTAATTATTAATAATAAAAAATAATAATATATACGATATTCATAATGACTGATTATGTACTTTAAAGACTCTTAAATTTTTATTTTGTGTTGTTGTTGTTTTTAAATGGTTAGAGTATACTAAATAATAACAAACATTTTTGAATACATTTGTTTCATGAAATTAAATTATCATTAACGACCTCTATTTAATAAAGTCAAAAATTCTTCTCTTGTTTTATGAGCTCTGAAGCAACCTAACATAGAAGACGTTATTGTAGATGAACCAGTCTTTTGAACACCTCTAGATACCATACACATATGAGTAGCCTCTATCACAACAGCAACACCCATTGGTTTCAAAATATCTTGTAAAGCCATAGCAATTTGTTTTGAAAGACGTTCTTGAACTTGTAATCTTCTTGCATACATTTCAGCTAAACGAGCTAATTTACTAAGACCAATAACTTTTTTATTTGGGATATAACCTATATGAACTTTACCAAAAAAGGGTACTAAATGATGTTCACAAAGAGAATATATTTCAATATCACGTACAATAACCATTTCATTATGATCTTCTTCGAATACGGCGTTTTTAATTACATCATCCATAATATTTGTTTGATAACCTGTAGTAAAATATAACATTGCTTTTGCATAACGTTGTGGAGTATCTAATAAACCTTCCCTTTCGACATCTTCACCGATTTCTTCAAGGATTGTCTTCACCGCGCCAGAGATACGATCAATACGTTTTTGATGTTCTTCTTCAGTTTCTTCAGCTCTCTTTCTAGTACCGAAACTTGGCCATGAGAAACCATCTTCCTCGACAATTGGATTCAAAGTATAAGGGGAAACAGGTCTCTGATTCAATGGAGTAGAACTCCTTACAACAGATTTGGCTAACTCACTATGGGAATTGGCAGAATTAACATGTTCATGATGATGATGACTTTCAGGCATTATTTTTGTTCAGTTTATATGGTTTGTTTTACCTATTGTTGTTGATATTTTCTCAATTTATTAGACAGTTAGTTAAGGATGTAATATATAGAGGTGTAGAAATGACACAAACCTTACTTAAATTGCAGGTATCCTATATATATAAATGTATATGTATATATATGTGATAAAAGTTAAAATAATAAATTAAAAGTGTCTAAGATACACCTTAGACACAATATAGTCTCTACACAGTTTTACAATTGAGGATGAAAACAGAGCTAGGCTTGAGAGATGTGAACCATACATATATCCCTATGTTTTTCTATTTGCCATGTAGGACCGCATCATCAATAATTTTTCACGCAGTAAAACACGCTGAACAATCACAATTTCACCATTGTGAGACTACAAAATTGAAATATCTTTTCGCTGAAATGCGAGAAAATTAAAAAAATTAAAAGTGTTAACTGAAAAATTTTGTTCTAAGAGTTACTGCAGTAGCCATCCTTTGGGAAAGGAAGAGTCACAGTCCTTTCTTCTCTTCGCTGATATAATCATTAATATTTGTTTGTTTGTTTTTTAATTGGCAGCTTTGAGAGAAACCTGAGAAGTCTCATTAATGGTTAGTCCGCTCAGGTCACATTCACGCATATTGTTAGAATGTATTTGTATTTATATGGGAGAAAAGTTGGCGGTCACGTGAAATGGGTGAGCTCATCATTGTGAATGTGAAGCTTCAAAGGCCTAGTATTAATGTTGATAGTTGATCTTTGATTGAGCCTTATTAACCGATGATCCTTCCTAACCCGTTACAAACACGACATATATCTTCGTCTAACAAGAACCGTATTCTTCCAGAACCCCTACAATTACCGCATAATACACCACCGATTCTTGGATCACCAGGTCTTACGTATAATGGTCTTTGAGTTTGTTGAGGTTGCTGGTACATTGGTTGTTGATATATCGGCGAGGATTGATAATAGTTACCGTACCCTGATGGCGCCATGTTAACATTATTTTGACGTGCAAATCTTCGCCAGCATGATTTGCATGATTTGCCATTCTTGATCTTGTAACCTGTATTATTACATTTAGGACAATAGAATCCAGATGGATATACCCATGGAATACGTGGTCCGGTTGAATGATGGTTATGTAAACTATTGTTGTTGTTTGTGGGACGAGGTGGTCTTGGAGGAGCTGGTGGTCTATAATTATTATTTAGTTGTGGAGTTGAATGACTTTGTTGTTGTTGCTGTTGTTGTTGTTGTGTCTCTGAATTGATAACATCTTCGTAACTTGGTAATTCGTCATCTGGGGGCATACTTTCAGTATCATTGAATTTTTGTTTTGGCATTATTTTAGTTGTATGGTGTGTATCTTTCGATTAGAAAAAAAAACAATAGTGTAAGCTTATATAATGAGATCTTTTTTTGTATTCTAAACAATAAAAATGTATGAAAATGTATAAAAATGTTTCTCAATGTGACATATCTGAGTCCTCTTCTAGTTATACTGTCAATCTCCTTATTAGTTTGGTTTGTAGCTCTTGCGCCTGTTTTTTCTTCAGTTTCACGTCTTTTTTGCCTGAAGAGAGAAGCCCTAAAATAAACGATTTCGATTAAATTCCGAAGGCGCTCGGTAAGAATGATTAGTTACTCTTTTAATAAGAAGACAGTTTTCTTTGAGACATTAAAAGTGATCAGTAGATAGAGTTAATTGAACTGGTTGTAGTTGAATCATTTGTGGTAAGATGATAGAGTTACTGGTATGTATATACCTTTGTGTCTGTGTGTGTTTGTATGTGTTTTGGGTTTCATTTAGTTATTTAAATATATCATTACTTAAGAAACATCGGTTAGCCGCCTTTGACAAAATACAAAATTTCCATATGTTTTGGTACTCTATTGACAGAAACAGAGTAAAACTCTGTTAAAACTTTGATAGAAGAAGGTTAGAGACATAGATCTATCCCCATCAAATATCATTCAATGTCCACTTTTTTGGTTGTGATATTGAACACCTTAAAGGTTCTCGATACTATGTGGTTTTCTCTTCTCGTCGTACATTATGATTTCATTATGTATGTGTGATTTTGGCTTGTTTTTTTTCGGTGAAGTGAAATTTGAACAAAAGTTGTTCCCTCTCTGTCTCTCATGGAATAAATGAAACACGAAAAAATAATAATAATAATGTAACGTAACGGGAACCATTTCTCTATTTTCATTTCATTTATGTTTTTAGCCTTGGGTGAATTTAACTGTAATTTTCAAGTAATTATTATGCAGGTTACAGTTTTGGTTCCTTTTTTTTTATAATAATAACAATTCAACTTTAAGATTAGTTCCTTCCAATTTTTTAAAAATTATTCAAAGAACTTGTACCTAATTAAACAAAACAAATACAAGAGGATAACAAGAATTAACCTTGTAACCTTACTTTAAAAATAAAAATAAAAAATGCCACGAAGTTTAAGGAATCGAGGTCCTGATGATTCGAATCCCGATGAAATTACAGATGAAAATGGTGTTACTCACACTACAACAAGATCATTAAGAAGAATCAATTATGCAGAGATGGACAATATATTTGATGATGACGATGACGATGACCTTGTAGAACCCACGCCAGAAGTGGATAATGATGCAACTGTACCCATTGCAGAGCAACCAAATCTCTCATTGCCCTTTGATATCAATGATATTGAAGTGCCTACAAATACTACCATTAACAATGCTGACTATGGCAATGATGACGATGATGAGTACGATGAGGATATCGCCAATAATGGAAAACGAAATTTAAGGAAAAGAAAACAGGCGCATTACGATGATGACGATGAAAGTTTCCACGAAGAGGAATTGGATGATGACTTGGAAGAAGATGATGACGATAATGATTTAGATGATGAATATAGTGAAGGTTATAACAATAGGGATTCAAAGAGAAGACTGGTTGCTGAGCAGAATAGAGAGGATAGAAATTTTGTGGTTCCTGATCCTGACGATGAAGGAGGGTCGATGGTAGATGAAGATGATGATGAAGCTTTATATTATTCTAATAGAAGACGAACAGCTAGAAAAAATAAAAAAAGGCATATTCAACAAACAGAGACTCCACCTAGAAGAAACCTTAGAAGTACTTCAATGAGGGGACATACTCCAGAGGCTCAAACTGATGAAGATGGTTATAATGCTAAACATGTTACTTTAGCAGATGAAATTAGAGAATTACAAGAAGATAGTCCAATTAATGAAAAAAGATCATTGCGTGAAAGAACGAAACCCGTAGACTATACTATCCCACCTTTGTTATCAGCTGCAACAGCGGAAGAATATTTAGAAAGACCAAAACCAGGATCATTTGTGAATGTCTCTCCAGCTCGTCGTGGTGGTAGGAGTTGGAATTCAGGTGGTCCAGTAAGAAGGTTATTTCCAACAGGAGGTCCATTCGGTGGTAATGATGTCACTACAATCTTTGGACAAAATACAAATTTTTATGGGAATACAAACGGTACATCTGCACTAAATAGAAATGATCAAAATAACAAATTGATCCTGGATTCAGATTCATCAGACGATGAAATATTGCCATTAGGTGCCACTCCAAAAGAAAAGAAGGAAAATCCATTAAAGAAAACGAAAAAGAAACCTGAAATTGCAGATTTAGATCCACTTGGTGTAGATATGAATATCACTTTTGATGAAGTGGGTGGTTTGGATAATTATATTGATCAACTGAAAGAAATGGTGACTTTACCATTACTTTATCCTGAATTGTATCAAAATTTTAATATCATGCCTCCAAGAGGTGTTCTTTTCCATGGTCCTCCAGGTACAGGTAAGACTTTAATGGCGAGAGCATTAGCTGCAAGTTGTTCCTCGGAATCGAGAAAGATTACTTTCTTTATGAGAAAAGGTGCCGATATTTTATCCAAATGGGTAGGTGAGGCTGAAAGACAATTAAGATTATTATTTGAAGAAGCAAAGAAACAACAACCATCTATCATTTTTTTCGATGAAATCGATGGTTTAGCACCAGTGAGATCTTCAAAGCAGGAGCAAATCCATGCCAGTATTGTTTCCACTATGTTAGCTTTGATGGATGGTATGGACAATAGAGGTCAAGTTATAGTTATTGGTGCTACAAATAGACCAGATGCGGTGGATCCAGCTCTTAGAAGACCAGGTAGATTTGATAGAGAATTTTATTTCCCACTACCGGATGAAAAAGCTAGGGCTACTATTTTGAAAATCCAAACAAAAAAATGGAATCCACAGTTACCAGAAAAGTTGGTCGATGGACTAGCTAAATTAACAAAGGGTTATGGTGGTGCTGATTTGAGGGCTCTTTGTACAGAAGCTGCCCTGTCAAGTATTCAAAGAAAGTATCCACAAATTTATAGGAGCAACGATAAACTCTTAGTAGACCCGAAGAAAATCCGTGTTAATCACAAGGATTTCATGTTTGCATTAAAAAAAATTGTTCCTTCGTCTGCTAGACAGACTGGTAGTGTTGCTGAGCCTTTACCGAAATCAGTAATGCCACTATTAGAGAAACAGTTTAGTAGTATTAAAACAGTTTTGAACGGTATACTTTCTGATGAAAGATCTAGTAAATCTGATAAAGCTACGACGATACAGCACTATATTGATTACGAAGATTCTGACTCCGAAACGGAAAGTACAACAATCGGTGGAATTAATAAGTATGAAATACTTGATCAGATTAGAGAATCTCAGATATGTAATCCAAGAATGCTGATTACTGGTTCTCAAGGGAATGGGCAACAGTATATAGGTGCCGCAATTTTAAATCATCTTGAGCATTATAATGTACAAAAATTAGATTTAGGAAGTTTAGCATCGGAAAGTAATAGGTCTATTGACGCTGCCATTGTTCAAGGTTTTATAGAGGCGCGTAAAAGACAACCTTCTATTATTTTTATTCCAAATATTGATATTTGGGCCAGATCTATTCCGACAAGCGCATTGTCTACTTTGGCTAGTTTAGTTAGATCATTGAAGAGTAAAGAGAAAATATTGTTATTAGGTTTAGCTGATACTCCTGCAGAAGAATTAAGTTACGATGAAACTATTTCCCAGTTATACTTCCAAGATAACATTTTTAACATTGAGAAACCTCAAACAATGGAGAGGTCGGAATACTTCAAGGAAATTTCTACTATCCTAGAAATGAAACCGACTGAATTCGTTACTGAAAGAAAGAGAACAAAACCATTGGAAGAGCTTCCTGTGGTTTCACCCAATTTGCTACCTGAAAATCTGGACGAAAATGGGAATCCATTGCCTGAGGATGAGATCCTCAGAAGGAAATTAAAGAAATTTCAGTATCAAGATATGAAACTAAAGAATGTGCTTAAAATAAAATTATCCGGTCTAATGGATCTATTTAAAAACAGGTACAAGAGGTTTAGGAAACCAACTGTTGATGATTCATTTCTTGTCCATTTATTTGAACCTTCGGCCGATCCAAATTATCAACCAGCCTATGTCAAACAAGGTGATATGATTCTGGAAATTGCTACGGGTAAGAAATTTTTCAATATGGATTTGGATATTATTGAAGAAAGGCTGTGGAATGGTTATTATTCAGAGCCAAAGCAATTCTTGGAAGACATTGAGCTTATCTATTTGGATGCAATGACTGTTGGAGATAGAGAACGTGTAATTAAGGCATCAGAAATGTTTGCAAATGCTCAGATGGGTATTGAGGATATTTCAACTCCTGAACTTATCAAAGAATGTAAGATAACAAGAAGGAGAGACCACGAAAGACAGCAACTGTACGCAAAACAATTAGAACAAGAAAAGTTAACTAACAATGTTGAGACTGCCATAGAAGGATTTGGTCAAGAAACAAATGCTGAGGTTGCTCCGACAGCAGATTTCGCTACAACCGATAATGTTGATGCTATAGGTGCAACTGAGATCAGTACCGGTGCAGGTAGTCAAGTCCAAGCACAGCTTCAAATAAATCAAAATACTGTTATACCCGAAAATCCATTCAATAACGGTCGCGATGAGGTAGACGTAACAAAGCCGGTTGTAATTGAAAAAGGTGAAGCCAAATCTTCTACTGGTGTCGGCGAAAAAAATAATGATAATACTTCAGAACGAGATAAGTTAATTGATAAAACAACTGATCAAAGCCAGGTTCCAGTAGAAGATCAATTCGGTACTTTGAATAGTGAAGAAACTCATGTGGAACCAAAACCAGAAACAGCAATAGAAAATTCTGGAATTAAAGAACCAGAAATTAATAGCGTGTCCACAACCGAGGAATTGAATGAGAAGCCTAAAGAACTCGCCCCTCCAAAACAAGAAGATACGAGGATCGTAACACTAGATAAAACACGTCTAGACGAAGTAATCTCGAGTTTAATAAAGGAAACTGATGATTTCACCGTAACTGCACTTGAAAATATTTATTCTAAAGTAATTAGAATCATCTGGGAGAACAGGCAATCATGGGATAAATCGGAAACACTTGCACATCTAGAATCATACATCAGTAAGCTCAACAAAAGAGGGCAGTAATGACCTCCGAATTTAGATTTATGTATTTTCATATATAAACAAGTTTTATGTTTATACTCTTCTTTAAGGAATATTTTTCATAGTGAAAGAAGAAAATTCTAAATCATGTCTTATTCGAATTATTTTTTAATAGGCCTCATAGCTTGTTAGATGCTGAAAAAAATAGTACCTGAGGCGAATATTAAAACAATTGTTAAAGGTGGTAAACAGTATTTAAGAAAGCATATATATTAGTATATATTAGAGAGAGAGAGAGAGAGAAATCAATTAAGATATCTGACATCTATTAAGTGTATTGCCCGAGAAAATGTCAACATCCTACTCTGTAGACTCCTCGAAATCGTACATGATTGCAATGCAATCGATGGTCGATACCGTGGAGAAGTTAAATCTAAAGCTAGGGGCATATATACCAGAAGTTGATAACGAGGTCAAAAAAGTAGCTAATGAGAAGAATGAAGGAGCACAATTAGCTGTTTTGGCCCAAGATCGTAACAAATGGGATGATATATACGATCAGTTTAACGATGTCTCCTTCGAAAATCTTCAAAAAGTTATAAAGAGCTATAAATCAAGTAATAGTAACAACAAAATTTATAGGGAATTTGGGAAACTGATAGATCTTGCTGATAGTTTATTACCGAAAGACGTTTTTACTGAGTCATTATTACAAATTGTGTACAACAATGGTTCCAATGCGTTAGAAAAGGAATTATTAGATTTCCTTGGCGCTTCTAATATCGAATTGATTTCGTTCCTTATCCAGAATCAGTCCACTATCAAATCAATTCCGCTTGAAGAGACTCTATTTATGATTCAGGATGCAACAAATCCGAATAAGAGGCTTACCCAAGAAGGAATTAGAAACCAAGTTCTTGAAAATGCTGCAAGAGCTAAGAATCCCAAGTTAGATGCTGCTCAGAAGATAATAAAATATCCACATGTGTACAGAAAATATGAATCCAATACTTCTTCTGCCCTTTCGATTGGAGGTCAAAAATTTGCTTTGCCTGTTGGCACTACAAGGATGACATATCAAGCTCATGAAGAAATTATTATACCTGCTCCTGATCCAGAGAAGAATAAAAGTTTTTTATACACCAAACTATTGAAAATAAAAGATCTAGACTTTCTATGTCGCTCTGTTTTTAAATATGAGACATTGAATCAGATTCAGACTCTGGTATATCCCGTTGCATATACTACTAACGAAAATATGCTAATATGTGCTCCAACCGGTGCCGGTAAAACTGATATTGCTCTTTTAACGATTTTGAATGCTATTAAACAATATTCAACGACCACAGAAGGAGGGGAACTTGACATTCAATATGATGATTTTAAAGTTATTTATGTTGCCCCACTAAAGGCTTTAGCTGCGGAAATTGTCTCTAAATTTAGTGAAAAATTATCCATTTTTGACATTAAAGTTCGAGAATTAACTGGTGATATGCAGATGACAAAGGCTGAAGTTCTTGAGACTCAAATTATAGTTACAACTCCCGAAAAATGGGATGTAGTTACTCGTAAAGCAAATGGTGATAATGACTTAGTTTCTAAGGTCAAACTTCTCATTATTGATGAAGTTCATTTGTTACATGAAGACAGAGGTTCTGTTATTGAAACCCTGGTTGCCCGTACTTTAAGGCAAGTTGAAAGTTCTCAGTCTATGATTCGTATTCTAGGTTTATCCGCCACTTTACCTAATTTCATGGATGTCGCTGATTTCTTGGGTGTCAATAGACAAATAGGTATGTTTTATTTTGATCAGTGCTTCCGTCCCAAACCGCTGGAACAACAATTACTGGGTTGCCGGGGTAAAGCAGGTACGATGCAAAGTAAGAAAAATATCGACGAAGTTTCGTACGAGAAACTTCTGGAGATGATTAAGATGGGTTATCAAGTGATGGTATTTGTACATTCAAGAAAAGATACTGTTAAGAGTGCTAGAACATTTATTAAGATGGCCCAAGAAAACCACGAAATTGAACATTTTGAACCAGATCCTTCCGCAAAAGATATTTACTCCAAACAACTCGCCAAGAATAGGGATCGTGATTTAAAAGAAATTTTTCAATTTGGATTTGGTGTTCATCATGCTGGTATGTCTCGTTCGGACAGAAACTTAACTGAAAAATTATTTAAAGAAGGTGCTACAAAAGTCCTATGTTGTACTGCTACATTAGCCTGGGGTGTTAATTTGTCGGCAGATTGTGTTATTATTAAGGGAACTCAAGTTTATGATTCCAAAAAGGGTGGTTTTATAGACCTAGGTATTTCTGATGTCATTCAAATTTTTGGTCGTGCTGGTAGACCTGGGTTTGGTTCAGCAAATGGTACCGGTATTCTCTGTACCTCAAACGACAAATTGGATCATTATGTATCATTGATTACTCAGCAACATCCGATTGAATCGAGATTTGGTGCCAAACTAGTTGATAATTTGAACGCTGAGATATCACTTGGTACAGTCACTAACGTAGAAGAAGCCATTGAATGGTTAGGTTATACGTACATATTCGTTAGAATGAAGAAAAACCCATTTACATACGGTATTGATTGGGATGAAATAGCGTCAGATCCACAATTATATGATAGAAGAAAGAATATGATTATTACCGCAGCAAGAAGGTTGCACGCCCTTCAAATGATTGTTTTCGATGAAATATCAGCACATTTCATACCTAAGGACTTAGGAAGAGTATCTTCTGATTTTTATCTACTGAATGATTCCATTGAAATTTTTAACCAAATGTGCGATCCTCGTGCAACCGAGGCCGACGTATTGTCTATGATCAGTATGAGCAGTGAGTTTGATGGTATCAAATTTAGAGAAGATGAATCTTCTGAATTAAAAAGATTATCTGAGACTTCTGTAGCATGTCAAATAGGAAGTCCATTAGATACCTCCCAAGGAAAAACAAATGTTTTACTGCAGGCATATATTTCGCAAAGTCGTATTAATGACTCAGCACTGTCATCGGATTCCAATTATGTCGCCCAAAACTCTGTAAGAATCTGTAGGGCATTATTCCTAATTGGTATTAACAGAAGATGGGGTAATTTTTCAAAAGTAATGCTTGACATTTGCAAATCTATAGATAAGAGAATATGGGCCTTTGATCATCCACTTTGTCAATTTGACTTACCAGAAAATATTATGCGCCAGATCAGAGAAAAGAATCCATCGATGGAGTACCTTCTAGACCTAGAGCCTCAAGAATTGGGAGAATTGGTACACAACTCCAAAATGGGTGGAAGACTTTATAGTATATTGAGCCGCTTCCCAAGAATTAATATTGAATCCGAGATATTCCCCATCACCTCTAATGTTATGAGAATCCATACAACGTTAACCCCAGATTTCAAGTGGGACACTTATATACATGGTAACGCTCAGTTTTTTTGGGTTATCGTTGAAGAATCTGATAAATCTCAAATCTTGCATTTTGAGAAATTCATTTTAAATAAAAGACAACTAGATAACCCTCATGAGATGGATTTCATGATTCCGTTATCGGATCCATTACCACCTCAGGTGGTCGTTAAGGTTGTATCTGATACATGGATTGGATGCGAATCAGTCAATGCCATTACGTTCCAACATTTGATAAGACCCTTTAATGAGACATTACAGACAAGATTAGAAAGACTAAGACCATTACCTATCAATGCACTACAAAATCCGCTTGTCGAGTCAATTTATCCATTCAAATATTTCAATCCAATGCAAACTATGACATTCCATACCCTGTACAACACAAATGACAATGTCTTTGTTGGTTCACCAACTGGTTCCGGTAAAACTGTTGTTGCAGAATTGGCAATGTGGCATGCTTTTAGAGATTTCCCTGGTTCAAAGATTGTCTATATTGCTCCAATGAAGGCTCTAGTTCGTGAAAGGGTCGATGATTGGAGGAAGCGTGTTACCCCGGTTACTGGTGATAAAGTAGTTGAACTGACCGGTGATTCTCTCCCTGATCCTCGTGATGTTGCTGATGCTACTATTGTCATCACAACACCTGAAAAATTTGATGGTATATCTCGTAACTGGCAAACTCGTAAGTTTGTTCAAGATGTTTCTTTGGTTATCATGGACGAAATTCACCTTTTGGCAAGTGATCGTGGTCCAATTTTAGAAATGATTGTAAGTCGTATGAATTACATTTCCTCTCAAACTCACTCTCCTATTCGTTTATTGGGTATGTCCACTGCTGTTTCGAATGCGTATGATATGGCAAGTTGGTTAGGTATCAAAAATAATGGTTTGTTCAACTTTCCATCAAGTGTTCGTCCCGTGCCATTAAAAATGTACATTGATGGTTTCCCTGATAATCTTGCATTCTGCCCATTAATGAAAACTATGAATAAACCTGCATTCATGGCTATTAAACAACATTCTCCTAACAAGCCTGCTCTGATTTTTGTTGCGTCACGTAGACAGACCAGATTGACGGCATTAGATCTGATCCATCTGTGTGGTATGGAGGATAATCCAAGAAGATTTTTAAACATTGATGATGAAGATGAGTTGCAGTATTATATTTCTCAGGTAACAGATGATACATTAAAGCTTTCATTACAATTTGGTATCGGTTTGCATCATGCTGGTTTAGTTGAAAAAGATCGTTCCATTTCCCATAAATTATTCCAAATGAACAAAATTCAAATTTTGATTGCTACCTCTACGTTAGCTTGGGGTGTTAATTTACCTGCACACTTGGTAATTATTAAAGGTACTCAATTTTTTGATGCCAAAATTGAAGGTTACCGTGATATGGATCTTACAGATATTTTACAAATGATGGGTAGAGCAGGTAGACCAGCTTATGATACATCAGGTACAGCAATTGTTTATACGAAAGATTCCAAAAAAATGTTTTATAAACATTTCCTGAATGTTGGTTTCCCAGTTGAATCTTCTTTGCATAAAGTATTGGATGATCATTTAGGTGCTGAAATTAGTTCAGGTACAATTAAAAACAAACAAGATGCGTTAGATTTCTTGAACTGGACTTTCCTTTTCCGTAGAGTACATCATAACCCAACATACTATGGTATTGAAGAGGATACTAGTGAAGCAGGTGTTACGAAACATTTAAGTGAATTGGTCGATTCCACAATGAATAACTTAGCTGAATCTAAATGTGTATCGTTACACGGCACTGATATTAATGCAACTCCATTTTTAGGTATATCTTCTTACTACTATATTTCACATTTGACAATTCGTCAATTACTGAAACAAATTCATAATAATGCTACATTCAATGAGGTTTTAAAATGGTTATCGTTAGCTTTTGAATACAACGAACTTCCTGTCAGAGGAGGTGAAATTATAATGAATGTCGAGATGTCCGCAAGATTAAGATATTCTGTGGAGAGTACATTTAATGGTGAATATGAATTACCAATGTGGGATCCTCATGTGAAGGCATTCTTATTATTACAAGCACATATGAGTCGTGTTGATTTACCTATTGCAGATTACATACAAGATACCGTATCTGTCTTGGACCAATCTTTACGTATTTTACAAGCTTTCATTGATGTCGCTAGTGAACTTGGTTATTTCCAAACTGTTTTAACTATGATCAAAGCCATGCAATGTATTAAACAAGGTTATTGGTATGAAGATGATCCAATTGGTCTACTTCCTGGTATTGATATCAAACGTAGAACAGATATGACTTTTAATGAAACAGGATACCCAACAGAAGATACTAAAGAAAATGATAAATTGACAACTCTCGAAAAGCTTGGTCATTATGGTGTCAAGAAATTACAACCCATTATGGACCGTTTCAATATACCTACCGAAGAAAGAGGTAAGTTTGTTCATATTTGTCAAAGGATTCCAGTGTTAGATGAGATTCATTTTGAAAAGCAAACTGATGCTGGCCAATTGACACTTTACAGTAAACACGTGTATGGTAAAAGTAATAAGAACTTTGAAATATACTGTGATAAATTCCCAAAAACTCAAAAGGAGGTATGGTTCTGCATTGCATATCAAGGTGATGAACTATTGATGGTTAAGAGATGTCAACCAAGACAAGCTGGTAAAACTATCGTTGTTGGGTGTGATTTGATTATCCCAGAAGAAATTCAAGGTGAAAAACTGGAATTTATTCTGATCAACGACGCAATGGATTTGAAATACCGCGTAAGTCATCAACTAATTTGAATTTGTATGAAAATTTAAAATATGCAATGATCGATATATATGTATATAGATGTAAATGGATATACTGCGTGAATATAATGTACAATTTTGTTTTATTTTTTACTATGAAGAGCATTATTCGAAGAAATCGTCTTCTTCTTCTTGCTCTTGTTCTTCTTGTTCTGCGTTTTCTTCGTTTCTTGATTTTCCATTCTTCACATTTTTACCTGTAGATTGTTGGTTATTATCGTCCTCCACAGTAACACCATGTGTGTTCTTGTCAAGGGTTTTACCCTTCAATATGTCTTCAAAAGAGACAGGCAACTTCCCTTCTTCTAGTTGTTTGGCAATAAGATCACGAATTATCTTTCTTTGTTTGAAAGATTTGGAGTCCTCAGATTCTGGTGTATCCATTGAAGGGTATAATGATATATATTTTTGAGTCTTTGGGAAGTTAACGGCATAACAGACATCGATTTTTCTACCTAATAATCTTTTGTTGTATGCCTCTCTTTCATCATCCGGTATTAATTCAATCTTTCTTAAACATTGATTATATTTCTTGAGGGCCTTCTTTCTTTCAAAGAATCTAACCATATGATATTTAGAGGAATATTTTTTCGCTTTTTGATTCAACTCAGCACCATTTAATTCCAATTTTAAGGCCTCCAATGTTCTTTCCTTTTCAAGTATGACAGTATCCGGTAAGATATCTTTCTTTTTTACAAGAAGTCTTTCAATATCTCTAATTCTCTTCTTGATCTTATTTGTACCTGCACCCAAATATTGAGCCATCTCTAAGGATGAACCCAAAGCTCTCTGTTTTCTTTGTTGTTTTGGATTTGCCATCGTTTCTGTGCTCAACGTCCTCACTTCTTTCTTCGATTTGGAAGTTTCAATGGAATGTTATGCTTCCACTCTTTATATGTCACCCGCTAGTCATTGTTCAGAATCTGAGAAAAAAAAAGTTCGATGAGCTGAAAATTTTTCTTAGTTTTCCATAATTTTTGTTTTTTAGCGGTAGAAGTTGCTCGGTCGAAGTAAGAAGACAGAAAGATGCATAGCAGACTAAAAGAGAAGTATTGACAGGGATGTCAGTAAATGGAAGTGATTTTTGAGATTGATATCGATAAATTACATAGTTTTAATGATAATTTAATTTATTATTTTATTATTTTGTACTTTTATTAATTTTATTAATTTTATTATTATTTTTTTGTAACCTTTTTTGTCGGAGAATATATATATATATATAATTATTATATGTAAATTGAATATTGTCTGTGTTTATTTAGTTATTAGGAAAGAAATTTTAGTTGAAGAAACATTTACTAATATCTCAAAACATTATTAATTTTTCTTCTTTCTTCCAAACCAATTTCTTTTCTTCTTTTTCTTTGAATCCATATCGGTTGGTTGAGGTGGTTGATAAATACCTTGAGCTTGGTTACCTTGACTAGTTCCGATTCCACCATTAGCTTCAATATAATTATCGTAAGGGTTCCCCAAGGGGAAATCTTGTCTTACGTTAAACCCTAGATATGGAGTTTCAATTTGTTGAGCCCATTGAGGGTCACCTGTTATAGCATATTCAAATCCGCGAATTGTATCCAGAGGTCTTTCATCTCTTGATCTAGTTGGGTTAGATATGTCTGGTACTTCAATAATATTGCCAAAAACATCCGTAGGTTGTACTCTAGAGCCATCTTCTGCATCAAAATAAGATCTTCTGTTCATATTAGTCTTGAATGTATCGGCAGCTTGTTCAAAAGGTTGAGCTTCTTGAACAGCTTCTAAGATAGGATCATTCACTGAAGCAGTTCTAACTTTGAACCTAGCGGCTTCTTCTTTAGTCACTTTCAAGTCTCCACTCCCAACAGATTTTTGAGGTCTATGACCTATAGTTGTGTCTGGTAAGTCACCAGACCCACTATGATTAGATTTTCTTCTAAAATGTACCATTATATATATATATGTATATAGTAGTAGTATTTATTTATGTTATAGTTTATTCAAACCAGTCTCGCAAACATAATCATCAAGAAAGAGTCTCCAACTCCTCTCTTTATATAGCTTCCTTCGAGAATGGTTTTAAAAAGACTCAAACCCTCAGCCTCCCTCTCCTTGTCCTTCTCAACTCCTTCTTCCTTTAGTAAAAATATTTTTACTCATCCTGTTACAAATCTTGGCACAAATTTATCTGTGGCTGAGTCCGAGATTGGGTGTCGGCTCCGGGAAAAGTCATGGAACTTTTGGTTGCTCATCACACCGAACGACCAGGCTGGCTGATGAAGAAGAAGATGATGAAGATGGCGATATTGAAGGGTATCGAGATGATGAATGATGTATTTTTGTATATAAAATTATGTTTTTAAATATTATGAGATCTATTGTGAGTAAGAGAGGGAGAGAGCGGATGCGTTCTGATTTACTCTGTACATAGTCTGACCATAGTGGTAACGATATTTTCACAAGCGTTTAACAATTCTTCTTCGGTCATTGCTGCCGTGCATGAGATTCTGAGACTAGGAACAATTGGTAACGTTTCTTGTTTTAAGACAATAGTATGTCTTGAAATTAAGATATTATGATTAACTAAGATAGCGTCCACAATTTCTTGTAAAAACATTTCTTCATTTTCATATGGTTCAATGAAAACATCAGAAATTTTACGTTTTTGTAAATTTAATAATTCACTAAATAAAGAATCTCTTGTATAGTTAAATTTCGAATTTCTAAATGATTCTTTTAATTCTAAATGTACAACCGGTGAAAATTCTGATGATTTTAATATGAAAAATTCATTTAATTGAACTCTTGAATTGAAAAAATAAAACATTTTGCGTGATAATTTTTGTAAATTTTGTACTATTGAATTATCATTATCCATAATTTGTAAAGTTTTATCAACTACAGTTGTAGTATAAGCAGGTAAAGAAGCACTAAAACAATAAGCATTTGAACCAATGTGTTGATATTCTGACATAAATGTATCACCAAGAACAAACCCACCGGAAGAACCAAAAGCAGTAGCCATAGATCCAACTGTAATATCGATAGAAGTTGAACGATCCATATTAAAATGTTCTGGCAACCCACGGCCTGTAGCACCTAAGATACCTAAAGACATCATTTCATCAACAAATAATCTATATTTATATTTTTGTTTTAATTGAACTAATTCTGGTAAAGGTGCAATATCACCTGAATTATGGAAAATCCCCTCGGTGACAATAAATTTTCTTGGTATAGCAGGTAACTTTTCTTTTTTCTCTGATTCATTTAATTGTTCTAATAATTCTTCTAAGGATTCCATATTATTATGTTGAAAATAATAAACTGTTGATCTACTTAATTGTAAAGCATTTTGAACCGCTAAAGAGACTTGATCATCTGCTACAATAACATCACCACGTTTGGTGAAAGCAGGAATCACAGATGAAGAGACAGCAAAATCTTGACCATATAAACAACATGCTTCAGTACCAAAAAATTCAGCTAAAGTATATTCTAAATTATAATGGACATCTTGATTACCGTAAAACCCTGCAGGACCACATGCACCGACACCATAAACTCTAATAGTTTCTTTTGCAACTTCTAATACTTCAGGGGTTTCACTTAAAGCTAAAAAATTATTTGATGATAAATTGAAAACATTTTCAAAGGATTCTTTTTTATTATCTCTAGTAAAATCAATATATTTGCTAATACCATGATTTTCAACAATAGGAATTTTAGCTAAACGCCAATACCTTTCAGCGGTTTCTTTATCATTAACAGGAGGAACTACTAATGGTTCAGGTTCCCATTCATCAATCAAAGAATCGATTTCTTGTTTTGTTAAATTTGGTCTATTTGATTGCAAACCTTTCTTTTGTTGAGGCTTTGATAGATAGTAGTAAATACCATATAAGATCAAACTTGCTTCGACAGCTGTTCTATAAGGATCATCCTGAGTAGCCTTTTCGATATAGCTAATTACATGATGACCTCCAGGTAATCTAGATAAACCTTGTTGAAGATAGAACCAAGCAGCAGATGAAGTAGAAATCATCGCGCTAGGAATCGGAATTGCAGTAGGTACAGCCATATGTTCAGACATTATCAAAGGAGCAACAGCACAAAAAAATAGTAATAAATTACTGGATACTTATATATTCCAATTCTAATCTGGTTCTCCTATTTTTCCCATTGAAATAACATATCTGTCTCTTCCACCATTATGTTTATTTTATATTTATATTTAATGAAAAGTGATTTGGGGCAACAACGAACGCAGCAAAAAAATGCTCTCAAATTTCTTTGCTCGTTTGACGCGTAGATTTTGGGCGTCGTGGGTGTGGTGTGTGGGTGGTGTGGGTAAGATTAAGAGGGTAACAGATTCATAAATAGGAGCAAATATAGTAAGTGAAATGAGAACTCGACTGATCTCATTTGTAAATGTCCCCACTTGGTGTCTGTTGTTGTTACTTCAAGCAAGGTTACCCCTTGTATTGCTGTTGATAATGGATGCTTTTATACAGTTGTGATATTGGGGCTTGTTGCTACAGAATATCAAAGAAAGATTTAAACACACTGAATATCGTGTGTGTCGTCCTGCAAGGAAAGCTGGTATAGCGGGATGTCATACCCATGCATAGTGATGTATATCAATTTATATAAATGTAGCTCTCTATCTCTCTATTTATACTTGGAAACAATAGATTTTCCCGTCTGTTAGTCACATTTGTATGAGATGATAAAATTGGAAATTCCCAATACGCGCAATAACGCACCAAAAGAGCATTAAAAACCCATTTAGTAAACAATTCACCTATATAGTACTTATATTGAATGAAAATGATACAAAGAGGATAATTGTAGGAAAGGGATAAGATGCAAGCACTAATTGAGAAAGCTAATCAATCAGGTCACTATTTACCTCAGGATCAAAATCAAAGCTGGGAATTTCGTTGGTTTAGTCCCTTGAAGGAACAACATTTAGCTCATACACAACCTCAACAAACTGCAGATGAAGAAAATAAATATCCATTTCAATATAAGACTTGGTTAAGGAAACAACCAAATACAACTGTAGATGTCGATAATGTAAGTATTGAAGAACCCTCAGATTCGACTAAGATTGATACGTTAATACCGTTGAATTTATCTCAATTTAATAGAGCAAAATATTCTACAAATAATAATGGGCTGTCTGTTGACGACATTAGAGGCGCTGTCGGTGGTAGTGAATCTATTCCAGGTCTATCATCTAGCAATGCTGCTACAACCGTTGAACGTCAAACTGTCGAGACTCCAGTAGAGGAAAGTCCTGTAACAACTGTGGAAACCCCATCTGTAGAGACTCCTGTAGAAGAAACTCCTGCTGCTATCGAAACACCTGCTCCAATTGACGAAACGCCCATTGTAGAAACTCCAGCCGGTGAAACGCCAACAATAGAAGAGACTCCGGTAATAGAATCACCTTCTAATGAACCTACAAAAGAAGAGTCTGTAGTGGATTCAGTACCAGAGTCTCAAGATATTGAAATGAAAGATTAATTTACCTTCTAAAATTGTATAAATATTAACTACATAAAAAATAACACTTATATTTGTTATTCTATTATAACGCACATTAATTATCTTATCTTATTTATATATATATATGTACATTTATCTTTATTATATATAATTCATTTGTTCTTGTATTTGGTGTCTCAATACAACGCAGTAGATTCTGTCTTGACAATAATACTGGCAACACTATCTCTTGCCTTCATTACTGCATTAGCCAATTCCTCATCACGTTGTTGTTTCATGGCAATTCTATCCTCTTTATTTAAAGCATTCATCTCTTGCATAATATTATTGAAATCCTTAGTGTCGCCACAACCACTTACTAAAAACATGACACTACCCAGTGGTAATTTTTCATATATCTTATTGATACTTTCATTGCATAACTTAATTATTTCATCACTAGATTTGGTATTTACAGTTTCAGCTCTTGAACGTCTTTGTGAGTAGCCTCTATTAAACTCAAGTTCTCTTAATCTACCAACACAGATGTCGTAATCATCAATGTGTAATTGAATGTTATCATAAATTTCAGTATCATTAACACATCGAATCTTTTTAGATAATGATGACACTTTGGAACCGCCTACATAAATATTATCCTTCGAATTGAAATTCTTGGAAACATAATCATTTAAAATTAACGATTTCTTATTACTCTTCTCACTTAATCTTACAAATAAATCTTCTGTATTAATTGAGATACCAAACCATAACCCATTCATTATCTTTAATTTTGTTAATTCAATACATGTTCTAGCATCCTCAATAGAATCATGCCCATCTTCAGCGTTATTCTGAATGCTTATATTCAAATATTCTGATGCTAGGTATTTCAATGCTGGTTTAAATGGTGGTCCAGCTTTATGATCATATATTACAGCGGTATCTACAATTCTTGGATGTCTTAGTTTTAATGCAAGAAGATCACTCTGTAAAGAATGACCTATTAAGATATCTTGGGAGCTTATCAATTTTGTTATTTTATGTTGAACATCCTTTAATGTTGTAGTCACTGGATCCAATTTTTCCTTTGTTATTCCACTATATTTGGTTAAATAATCTGTTATCTCTACATCTGGTTTAACTAATTCATCATATATTACATTATTTTGAAAATCTAAAATTGACACTCTTGTTAAAACAAAATCTTTACCAGCAAGACACATTTCACAATCTAAGCCAAATATATGAGAGCCTGCATGATCAAAGGAAATAGTGTTGTACCACATTGAATCACTCTCTTTCGTATTATTTAGTTCAATATCTTTGCATCTATCTTCATCCGTGACACCTTCGGTATAAGGGTGGATAGGATATCCATTCTCTATCAACTGATCCAATCTCATTATTAAGTCATCAATGATAACTTTTTTATTAGACAATTCAGTTTTCTTTAATTGTTTTTCATTTTTAGTTAAACCAACATTTATAAACGAATTGTATGATGAGAATAAGGATAATCTGGAGCCAGGTGCCGTTATTGGTACAGATATACAATTCTCTAACAAATGTTTGTTTTCATTACCTTTCAAAAAGATATGGTTTTCATATGGTAGATCAGCGGAGAAAGATTTACCGGATGGTAACTCAAAATCTTGAGGTTCTAATCCCGGCATGAATAGAACTACCATCTTTAATCCCTGGGGTCTATTCTTCAATCTAAGCCATTGAGGCATATTATTGTTTGCGTTCATAAGAAACAGAGTTAAATCTCTTAAATCTTTAATAGATATTTTCTTATTGAAAGCATTCTCAAAAATTTTCAATTCCATAGGTTTGTTCATTTTCTTCTTCTTCTTAATTACTTTCATGCTTGTTAGACTATTTTTTCTTGATAATGTGCTGTTAGGGTTGTTATTGTTGTTAACTTGTAACACAAGTTGTGCACTTGACCTTCTTCTTTTAGGTGGTCCATTAGCCTTCGATTCTAAGGATTCCAATAAGTTCTTGTGAGCTTCATCTGATCCATGGATAGACAATCTAGCTACTTTATCGTGTACAGAATTGGGTCTATTTGGAGATAATGAAAATGTTGAATTCTCTTTTATAGTGTCTTTACTTGAAGTAGCACCTTGAGATGGTGATGGGTTTGAAATTTTTCTTGGAGATATCTTTGGTGACTCTGGTTGATAGGATGTCATCTTATTATTTTATAAAACAAATATGTAAATAAATAGCAAAACAGTATAGAACAACGTTAATAGTATTGGTTGGCTCTGGTTACCAATTTTTATGGATTATCTTTGCTTTGATAGAATACAGATCTATGATTTTTCACGTTAGTCCAAAATGACAATAAAGATATAGCAATTAATGTTCTGTTTGAAAATTATAATTGCACAAGTATAGACCAAAAAATGATAGTCTTCTTATTCAGAGTTAGAGAGTAACAAAGAATCTTCTCTCAATTAACCAATCTTTGTTACTCTTTGCCAGTTAATGATTATAACGACAGGCATCTACAAAATCAATTTTGATTTTGAAAGAAAAAAATTTGTAACCAGAACGTCATCGCGAAGAAAGCCCCGTAGAGGTCAAGAAATAATCACATAGGTTTACCAGATATATGATATTAAAGGCAACTAGCAGCCATTCATTGTATAAGTTAAAGGAATATTAGCCAAAAGATTGTTCTTACATTAAGTATACATCTAGATAACTTGCTATTTTTACTACGGACTTTAGAAATTGACCAGTATAGATGAGTAAAATGACCTCATATCAAGCCAGTTATCGGTCACATTTAGAACAAATTTGCTAGACAATAAGATATGAACGGTATGAGTTCATAATAATTAATCAATTAATAAAAATTATGACACAATACTATTATAAATTATTTTCAATAATTGGTTATTATTTTTATATAAAAATTTGTTTACTGGAGCCGATGTATTAAGACATTTTACATTTTGTTGCTTGTCTTTAAAATTAAATAAAAGCTCAAAAATGCAAAAAGTTTTTAAAAAACATATTTTATCGTCATTATTAAATATAGATACTTTACATTTCTACATATGTGCAAACTTATCCGAATACATAAAATACACACAGAATGAAGTCCATTTTTCACCAAATCATTTCTATACCTCTGCAGAATAATCTTTTCTCGAACTAACTAATTTTCTAATGTCTGTACTGCTCATTTTCTCCTTCCAGCCATCTTCCTCCTTACCACCCAGGACATTGACAATATATAAATCCAATTGGGACATACCTCTTTCTTTTCTTGTCTTATTGACAATTTCACCACCTTTTACAGTTTCCCTGCTCACCACTAAACATTCTATCTCAGGCACTGTTCCTGTTGGTCCACATACATCTTTCAAAGGTATAATTTCTATCTTAAGACTTGGTTTGAAAGTATTCAAGAAACTTACAACATTTTCTCTTCTAGTATCGAAATCTTGAACAAAATCCTTGTATTTTTTGTTGACAAGTAATTCTTCAATGGTAAGACCAATAATAAGTCTCTCAGATGTTAAAAAGGCAGCCACAGTTAATAAAATCTTGTGACCATCATGGAGATGATCAAATGTACCACCTAAAGCAGAAACCTTATGGCGATTATGATCCTTTTCAAAATTTTCAATTGCATTCAATTCATCTGGTGTCCTTATTTCGATCCATTCCTTTGTGTTAGAGATTATTTCTAATGTATCATATTCGAAACCATCTTCATCTCGTATTAAATCACCATCCATGACATATAGAAAATCCCAGTGTATTAGTCCTCTGTTAAAGTTCCCTAAAAATATATTAATTGGTAAAAGATCTAACCTTTCACCGATTAGGTATTCTCTTACTGAATTGTACAGTGTACCCAAAATATCATCTAAATGATGAGAGCTTTGAATCTTATCACGAAGTATTATGTCAAATTGACCATCGTTTCCTTGTTTAAATTCATCTATATGGGTTGCAAGACATGTAGCGGCAAGTTTTGAAATGTTCTTATAGTTCAAGTTGTAAACATCACTTATCACAACACCAACTCTAACCATCTTTGTTGTCAATTGAAATTTGTTATAATATAAAATACGATCAGTATACGTATACTTGCTATAGCTAATTATATTGTATATATATACACTGTAGAAAATAATCAAAACAGGAAAACGTGCGTTTCCTTTTAATTGTTTGTATTTGAAAGTTCCTTTTGTTTTCTAATATTGAAACTGAAGTGGATCCTTGGATAATTATGATTTTCGCACTACATTATATTTTTTTTTTAAACTATGTAAATAAGAGAGATGAGCTAAAAAAATTCACCGAGAAACATCAGAATCTGCAGTTCGATTAAGTGCTAATTCAAGGCTTCTAATACCTTAGAACAGTTTTAATTGTAGCTACAACTTTCATATTTACACCGATATTTATAATGCAGACACTATCTGAAGAATATAGACCATCTATTGACAAACAAAGGGAGGAATGGTCATCTATTAGAAAACATATAACAGATGTAATGGAAAATTTGCATAATAGGGATGCCTTAGATACATATCGAGAGATATTTAATAGTAATATTGTACGTGGCGAGGACATTTTGATTAGCATTGTATTAACAGGTAAATATAACCCAAGAGGACTTGCTTTACTGGTAAGTAACATTAATGTTGATTTTCCTGAATTTGGTCAATCACTTATAAATGAATGTGTTAGAAGATTCGTCTTTTATTTTAAGAAGGCCAAATATCACGAATGTTTTCGAATGATGATATTATTATCTCAATTTTACAACTATGATATAGTTCATATGGTGGTCATTCTCTATGCCTTACAATCAATGTCTGAAGAAATAGAGAACACAAAAGATAAGGGAAGACGAGAAGCAAGTATGTCACTCATTTGTGCAACTTTAATGAATTGTGGTAAGAAATTATTGGATTCTAGTGAAGAGATTCATAATCAATTGTTAGATCAATTAAGGCAATTATTGCAAAATAATCGTAATTTATCCTCAGCGACAATATATTCCATCGAACAAGTTCTCGAGGTTAGGCAAAAACAATATAAAGACATTCCAGAACAAGAATTGTTAGAGAAACCCTTCCCTATTGAAGACGATTGGTCTGAACACGCTATACTAGTGTTTATCGATCCAGATTTCCTCAGTATACAACCTAATTTCAAACTAGGAGAGTTTGTTCCTACCAAAAAATATGATCAAGAGGTCGAGATGTTTAATATACTAAATGAAATTGCAAAGAAAAGAGTAATGAATGGAGAAGAATTAAGAAAAGAGGATACCGAGACTATTGTTGTTCATAATATGACGGATTCAGAGGCTACTGAATTTAAAAAGAAAATATATCTTACTTTAAAAAGTTCATTATCTGGTGATGAAGCTGCTCATAAATTATTAAAAATGAGGGTTCCAGACTCGGATAAGCAATCTGTTAGTGAGATATTAGAACGATCAATGATTCAAGAAGCGACATACTCAAAGTTTTACGGTCTTATTACTGAAAAATTGTTAAGTGCACATAGAACATGGAAAGATGCTTTTATCATTACATTTCATAAAAGACTTAATACTTTAGATGAATTAGAACCAAATGAATTAAGAAATAGTGGTAAATTTTGGGGTCATCTATTAAGTACAGATTTAATAGGATTTGAAATCCTGAATGATATTAAAATGACTGAGAATGATAGTACGGCTCAATTAAGAATTTTTGTTAAATTTATCTTTCAAGAAATTGTGTTTGAAATTGGTATTAATGAATTAAGAGCCAGATTAGATGAAAGTTATATACAACCTTATCTAAGTGGGTTATTCCCAAAGGAGGATCCCGATGATATGAGATACGCCATTAATTATTTCACAGCGATTAATCTTGGTGTATTGACTGAAGGTATGAGACGTGAATTACAAATATTAGACGAACAGACAGTAGGTGACACGTCTAGCGATGAAGAATCGGAAGAAGAAGAAGAAGAAGAAGAAGAACAACAACAACAACCAAAAGAGGAAGAACAACCTAAAGAGGAAATACAGAAACGTACTTCAAGGTATGAGCCTCATCAACGTCAGGAAGGTAATGAACAAAAACGCGATTTGTCTAAGAGGCGCAGATCTGTCACTCCACCACGCCGCCAAGCAAATAATAAGAGACGTAGATCAGTGACACCACCAAGAAGAGGAAACAGAGGCTGAGTAAATAATAAAATATATTTATTTTTGATTAATTAATCAGTAGGTTAAAAAATACAAATAAATTGTAATTTACATATATATGTATTAGAAAGTATCTAGAAGTATAGAAAATAAAAGATAAACCACTTCTCTTAATAAATAAACAAACGAACAAACTAAAGAATTATTGCAATTCGGTAATAGTGAGTATAGTTTTAGAAGAGAAATGGGAAGAAATACAAGTATTATTCGAAGAAACTATATAAAGAGTTAAAACAATTTACTAACAAACAAAAAAAACAAAAGAATTCGTTGCTAGAAAATGAATCGTCTTTCAATAGTACTGAAAAAAAAGGATGAGATAGGTGTGAGTGTTTATACGATTTTGAAAGGTTGAACAAAAATAAGGGAAAAGAGAAATAAAAGGGGGGTATCAGTTAAAAATTTTCGACCTTTTTAAATTTTTTTGTGACTTTCATTTCAAATAAAAAAAGAATGAATTTAAGTTATTATTTGTAAATCGTTTATTCATCGGAGTGAATACCGAACCATTTTTCGACACCGTATTCACCATCAGCCTTCCATAGATCGTTGAAAGCAGTGAATAAGTAAGTAGAGTCACCACAAGAAGAAGTGATGGCAGAGACAGCGGCTTTTTGGTTATCCTTGGATGGAACAGCAACACCGTAAGTTTGACCTTGAGATGGCCATCCGGATTCAGTAATAACAACATCCTTAGCACCATCACAAGCGGTCCAAACTCTTTGAATTTGTTGTAATAACCAAGAACCAGAGTCAGAGGCGACAGTGTTTTTGTCAAAGAAAGCATGAGCGTTAACAGCCATGTAATCAGAGTATTGACATAGATCTGGGTTGTTAATGACAGCGATGAAAGTATCAACAGAGACAACTGGACCAGTGTAACCAGCGGCCTTTAAGGCAGCTCTACCAGTGTCAATGTATTGACCAACTTGAGCTGGAGTAGCTTCACCACCGTTAACTAATTCGTTACCAACGGAGACAGAGACAACTTCATCCCAAGAACCATATTGGTCAATGGCAGCCTTCATAGTGTCGACAGCGGATTGAATTTGACTAACGTCAAAGATACCTAAGAAGACATTTTGAGAAGAGCTCTTAGCTTGTAAGACGTTAGCGACTTGATTACAATCAACACCGTATAATCTGATAGTTGGGTAACCAGTCAATTGAGCCAAATCGGAAGAGACTTGACTAGCTGATTTACAAGAACCGTCAGAGTTGTAAGGAGAGTAAGTAACACCCTTGACACCAGAGGAACCAGTGTTAGAAGAAGAGGCAGCTGAAGTAGCTTGAGTAACAGCTGAAGTAGCCTTAGTAGAAGCAACCTTAGCAGCGGTAGCAGCCTTAGCAGTAGTAGTAACGGCAGCGGCAGCAGCGGTAGCAGCAGCGTTAGTAGTACCAGCTAGAGCATCAGCAGCAATGGCAGAGATCAAAGCTTTTTCTTGAGCAACAACAGCAGTGGCAGCTTTAGTTTCAATTGGGTTACCGTTACCGTCAACGAAGACAGTAGCTTCGGCATGAACAGTAGTAGTAACGACATCACGTTTTTCATTGTGATTGTGAACAGCTGGAGCAGCAGTAGCAGCACCAACCAAGGAGGCAGTAGCAATTAAAGTAGAGAAACGCATTATTAATAGAAGTAGAAAGCAAACGAAAAAAGGTATTTATTTATTTGTTTTTTTTTAATGAAAGTAATAGTTTTTAAAAATCAATTAAAAGAGTGACTAAGTAGTTGGTTGTTTGTTTTTTTAAAGAGTGCTTTAGTTCTTTCTTAGAAGCTAATCAGAAGATAAATACGATCAAGAAATAGCAATTGAAAATAAGTTATATTAAAAGAAAAAAAAAAAAAAGACTGAAGTAGAAGTATATATATTAAGAAACCAATAGCAATTAAAACAAAAAAAAAGTAAGATAATTAATGCAGAATGCAAAAGATGGGTGGGACTTGCACAATTCATTTTCTCTTTTAACCAGGTCACACTAATTAATCTTTCAAGTTTACCTTGTTTATTGTTTATAATTTACTGCAAAATGTCGAGGACGGGGGGGGGGGAAAGTGAAAAATTATTGCCATCAACATGTTTTTGTCTCATTGTGGAAAATTCCTCGATTCGGCAAAATGAGTGAAAATTTTTTTTAATTTTTTTTTTGCTTTTCAGGCGAGGAGAACAGCACACAGAAATTCTTTGTAGTATGAAACAGGTTTTCTTTTTTGGTTGGTCTCTTTCTACTGGGGCTTCTTTGTAGTGTGCCAGATTTAGCTTCGGTGCATAATTCCTTTTTCTTGCGTGTGCATTTCTTAAACGACGCATACACACAAAAACAACTTTCTTTTCTTCTTCTCCTTACTTTGGGAAAAAGGGGCAGTTACCCTGTCTGTCACTCTACACGAATGTAGTACTCATCGTGTTGTACGGAACGTTACCCTGCATGCAGCCGTACACAACGACACACGGATAAAATATGATTCAAGAAAAAATGAATAAAGAATAACCGCATCCGGGAAGTTCCGGTAGTACGATGTGAAAAACTGAAAAACCATTAAAAAAAACTAAATCACGATAACTCATATGTGTTCTCAGGCTGTCGCGCACTGCTTCCCCACGCGAAAAACAACAAACGTAAACACAGACAACGCAGAAGAAACAAACAAAAACAAAACAAAACAAAAGAACGCCAATTTTTCTCTACGCACTATATATGCGCAGAAAACCTCCCGGAGTGCAACAAAAATATCTTATCAAAACGGCCCCGCCATCTTTTTATTACTATTGTCACACTCCACGACACGCGAATTTTGTTTACCTCCCCCCAAAACAAGAGAAAGAAAGAGAATAGCACCCGCCCGGTTACTGCGCCCACTTCTAATAGCATTCCAACTAAAATTATACCACACACACACACACACACACAGAGTGATCCACGTTTTGATTTCCTTACATTTCACCACAGTCAACACTCAACGTAAGTGATTTTTTGTTAAATGAATAATTTTTACCCTTCGAGGAAATTTTAATGATTTTTCCCCTTTCTAAAAGGTTTTTATCGTTACCTCTCTGGGAATTAAAAGACAACAAACCTTTCAATATTGAAAGAGTTTTTTCGTTACTTTCTTTTTTAATTTTTTTTTCTGTCTCTCTCTTTTTTATAAATAGTCTTTTTTGGCATGTATATATATATATAACGAACCTTAGATATATCTTTCTTTTTCAATATAAAATCTTATTTCTCGAATTATTATTTTTTCTTTAATTACATAATATATTTCATTTTAAAGTTACAATAAAAACCGTACACAGTTATTTTTTTTTTTGTAAACAATGTTGTTTAGTAAATCTGTGCTAACTACTTTGGCTTCCACTCTTTTAGCCACTACTACTTTAGTTGCTGCTGATGATTTACCAGCTATCGAAGTCGTAGGTAATAAATTCTTTTATTCCAACAATGGTTCTCAATTTTATATTAGAGGTGTTGCTTACCAAGCTGATACTGCTAATGTAACTTCCGGTTCAACTATTAATGATCCTTTAGCTGATTATGACAGTTGTTCAAGAGATATCCCATATTTACAAAAAGTTGATACTAATGTTATCCGTGTTTACGCAGTTAACACAACTTTAGATCATTCTGAATGTATGAATGCCTTAAATGATGCAGGTATTTATGTTATTGCAGATTTATCATCTCCTGAACAATCTGTTAATAGAAATGATCCAACCTGGACTGTTGATTTATTTCAACGTTATAAAGATGTTATTGACATGTTCTCTAATTACACTAATGTCTTAGGTTTCTTCGCAGGTAATGAAGTTACTAATAATAATACTAATACTGCCGCCTCTGCATTCGTTAAGGCTGCTTTAAGAGATTCTAAACAATATATTAAAGATCAAGGTTATAGAAGTATTCCAGTCGGTTATTCTTCAAATGATGATGAAGACACTCGTGTTCCAATGGCTGATTATTTCGCTTGTGGTGATGATGATGTTAAAGCTGATTTCTATGGTATTAATATGTATGAATGGTGTGGTAAATCTGATTATAAGACTTCTGGTTATGAAGATAGAACAAGTGATTTCAAAAATATCAGTGTTCCAATTTTCTTCTCTGAATATGGTTGTAATGAAGTTACTCCAAGATTATTCACTGAAGTTCAAGCTCTGTACGGTGAAAATATGACTGATGTTTGGTCTGGTGGTATTGTCTACATGTATTTCCAAGAAACTAATAACTATGGTTTAGTTTCTATTGATGGTACTTCTGTTTCAACAAGAGATGATTTCAACAATTACTCAAGTGAAATCCATAACATTTCTCCATCTTCTGCCAACACTGCTTCTTATTCCGCTACTTCTACAAGTTTAGCTTGTCCAACCAACAATAAGAATTGGGCTGCCGCTACTGTCTTACCACCAACTCCAGATGAAGATTTATGTTCCTGTATGAATGCTGCTAACACTTGTGTTATCTCTTCTGATGTCTCTTCTGATGATTACGCTGATTTATTCGATTACGTTTGTGCTTACGTTTCTTGTGATGGTATCTCAGGTAATGGTACTTCCGGTGAATACGGTTCTTACTCCTTCTGTTCTGCTGAAGAACAATTAAACTTCGTCTTAAACTTATACTACGAATCCAACGGTGGTTCAAGTTCTGATTGTGACTTCAGTGGTTCTGCTTCTATTCAATCTGCCGTTACTCAAGATGGTTGTTCTGCTGCTTTGAAAGAAATTGGTTCCATTGGTACTAACACTGCTAGTGACTCTGCCACTTACTCTTCTGGTTCTGCTTCAGGTTCTAAGACCTCATCTGGTTCTAAGACCTCATCCGGTTCCAAGACCTCATCTGGTTCCAAGACCTCATCCGGTTCTTCTTCATCTCAAACCTCTTCAAAGAAGAACGGTGCAGTCTCTCAAAATGATTTAGGTTTCATTCAAACTTTATTGACTTCCTTCGGTACTATCTCCGTGGTTGCCAGTTTAGGTTTTGCCTTATTGTAATTGTAAATTAATAATACATATACAAGAAAATAAAGATACAACAAAGTTATTCCATAATATTTAGAAAAAAATTTTAAAAAACAAAAAAAAATATTATTAGTTATCTATAGTTATTAACATTCTCATTAATGAAGGACAAATAGTTTACATATAGTTTACATATGTACAGTTATATATATATACACATTTTTTTTATTTAAGAACATAATTTAATGTTTTTTTTGTTCTGCTAAGTTTTGTTTGAAATTTGATACGACTAAAATGTAGTGAGTACTGATTTACTATATATATATATATGTGTATGTATAAGATGGTTATATTTCTATCATTCGTCCTTTATCATGAAAATTTCATTCAAAGCTTTTGAATCCATAACAGCTGCACGTTTTTGTTTAATCCATTTTGAACGTACTGATAATCTTGTCGTTATAGCTGTTGGAATATTTGATGCAGTTTTACTTGATTTCAGCTTCAATGCTTTCTTAGTGGCCTTCTTAGCAGCTTTCTCAGCTTTCTTTGCTTCTTTCTTAGCCTTTTTGGCTTCTTTCTTTGCTTTCTTCTTATCACTATGCTTATGTTTCTTATGATGCTTTTCATCATCGTCATCATCATCACCACTATCTTTACGACTTCTCTTTCTATTTTTTTTCTTTGATTTTTCATCTGGGGTTTCTTTCTTATTTGAATATGATTTTATTTTTTTAGTCTTTGGATCCCATGTACTTGCTAATACATCAGCTTTAATAAAATGTACCCCCCATTTCCCATCTAAAATTTTTTCCTTTCTTTGTAAATCCAATTCTTTTTCAATTTCTTGTTCTTTACCATTTAAACGACCTAAAATTCTTTGGAATACATCAAGACCTGCACATTCACCATTATCGAACTCATCTTTACGTTCTTGTCTTGATATCTTGGCACCAAGCCCTACATTATCATCTTTAATATGTACTTTAATATGAGAAGTGTGAGAATGCATTGGTGACATACCAAGTCCCATACCCGGTTTCCAGCCAAATCGTTCTAATTGTTGATGACCAAATCTAGATGTATCATTACTCCAATTGGTATTTCTTGGATCTCTACCAAATCTTTGTTTTACTCTTGTTGCTGCTAAACCCATTATATCAAACGAAATCCAAAACCAATATTTGCTGTTTCAATTTATTCTTCCACACACACACACACTCTCTCTCTGTATATCAATTATTTATTAATATTTTTTACTTTCTTATATCCACTGACTAACCCTACCGTCTCCTATAAATACGTTCACGTGTATAACATTTAGTAGTCATTGTAGTTGTTCAATTAACATTAATCAAAAAATTTCATCTCATCTCATCCCACCTCATCTCATCGCACCTACCATGTATTGGTTGCCAGTACTAAATCGAATTTTGCTTCAAAAAAGAAAATTTTTTTAATTTTTCAAAATTTGGAATTTCCGTCCACGTGACTGAAAGCTTTCAAAAATACGCCCTCCCGCGGGACCGTTGCCAATAATAAAAATTTACAAAGGTTCCCGAGAGGCAAAATCTACTCTTTTTGATAAGCCTTCACAGCGCTGACCTCCGTGGAGTTAAGAGAACATAGTGATTATTAATTTCGCTTGATACTCTTGGCAAAATTACGAAGAAAACCCACAAATGAACCGCAAAAAGATACGTACAAAACCAACACATTCCCCGCGGAGATAAGACACACATTTCACTCAAAAACAAAAAAATTTTCTTTTTCTTCGTGAAACTGAGCGAGAATATTCTATTGAGATTCTTTGTGCGTGGCTCTTTGGCACATTTGCACTTTGGCCCCTCTCACGCTCAAGTTAGTTTCTGGAGTTAGTGAAACTAAAGCAAAAAAAATAATGGCTATAGGTATTGCTGCTGAGATGATGATTCACGTTTGGCCAATGCGATTCATACTGAGTAATATGATTAGATGATAGGGTTGAATCTATTATTAAAAGCTGTATAGTGTTGGTAACCGATACGTAGCTGCTATTGTATATCTGACACATAATATCTTTATACTTTTTTTTTTGTTCAGTTTATTTCTTTAATAAATATAAATAGTCACACATCTCTTCTTCTTTTTTAAGAATAAAACCACTTTTTTTTCCTATTTGCATTTTGATTACACACACACACACACAAATAGATATATATTTCTATTTTGCTAGAAGGTATCCTCTCTTATAATAAGCAAGTGTTACTTAATTTTTTCCCCCTACTATCTCATAAATAAGAGAAACTGAGCTATTTTTTGTTTTGTTTTGCTAGTTTAATCAGAAGTGGTTTGTGTTTTGCAAAAAAAAAAAGAATTATTTTTTGGTTTAGATGACTGCTCATTCTACCACGAGTAATGGTTCTCAGAATGGAAAAAATGAATTTGACGAACAACATATAACTTCATATACAAGTTCATCAGATGAACAACGACATCATCAGGATGAAGAGGATAATTATCATCTTTCTACAGATTCGGGTTCAATACTTAAAGAAATTAGTTCTTTAGAGTCTCATGATTCAGATTTTACAATACTTTCAACAGGTGAATATAAAATTAATAGAAATATTCCAAGAACTTATCTAAATAAAGATGATATTGAAAAAGTTACACAATCTGATATTTTCCCACAAAGAAGATTATTTAGTTTTTTGCATAGTAAAAAAATTCCAGATGTACCAATTAATGATGATGAAAGAAAAATTTATCCTTTATTTCATACAAACTTATTATCAAATTTTTTCCTTTGGTGGGTTGTACCAATTATTAAAATAGGTTATAAAAGAACAGTTCAACCAAATGATTTATTTAAAATGGATCAAAGAATGGCTATTGAAACAATTTATAAAGATTTTGATAAAAATTTAAATTGGTATTTTAATAAAGCAAGAAAAAATTATTCAAATTTACATCCAGAGGCAAATGAACAAGAAATTAGAGATAAGACAAGATTACCAAAATTAACAATTTTAAAAGTTTTATTTTTCACTTTTAAGAGACAATTTTTATTTTCTTGTTTAATGGCTATCTTAGCAAACTGTACTTCAGGGTTTAATCCAATGATTACTAAAAGATTAATTGCATTTGTTGAAAAGAAAGCATTATTTCATGATACAAAAGTTAATGCAGGTATTGGTTACGCTATTGGTGCGTGTGCAATGATGTTCTTTAATGGTGTACTATTTAATCATTTTTTCCATTCATCACAATTAACTGGTTCACAAGCTAAATCATTACTTACAAAGGCTGCTCTTGATAAAATGTTTAGAATATCAAATTATTCTAAACACAAATATCCAAATGGTAAAGTTACATCCTTTATTACAACTGATTTAGCAAGGGTAGAATTTGCTTTATCATTTCAACCATTTTTAATTGGTTTCCCAGCAATTTTCGCAATTGCAATCGTTCTTTTAATTGTTAATTTAGGTGCGATTGCTTTAGTGGGTATTGGTTTATTCATTGTTATCTTAATAGTGACAATGGTTGTCTTTAAATCTATTATTAAATATAGAGTCACAGCTAATAAATTTACAGATGCAAGAGTTGGTAAAATGAGAGAAATTTTAAATAATATGAAAATGGTTAAATATTATGCTTGGGAAGATGCTTATGAAAGTAATGTTCAAGATATTAGATCTTCAGAGATTGAAAATGTTAGAAAAATGCAATATACTAGAAATTTTATGATTGCTTTAGCAATGTCCTTACCAAATATTGCATCATTGGTTACATTTTTAGCAATGTATAAAGTTAACAATATGGGTAGAACACCAAGTAATGTTTTTTCCTCTTTATCATTGTTTCAAGTGTTAAGTATTCAAATGTTTTTCTTTCCAATCGCTTTAAGTACTGGTATTGATATGATTATTGGTCTGGGACGTTTACAAGAGTTATTAGAAACTGCAGAAGAAGATCCAAAATCAAGAGAAGAATTAAAACCTTCTGCTGATTTAGATCCAAGCATAGCCATTAAAGTAGAAAATGCTTCATTTGAATGGGAGGATTATGAATTATTAGATGCAGAAGAAAAGAAAAGAATTGAATCAGAAGAGACAGATAAACAAAGAATGAAAAGATTAAAAGCAGAAGCTAAACTCAATAAAGATAAAAAAACAATCGAATCAAAATCTAAGGAAAATTCAAAGAGTAATGGTAATATAGATGATACAGATAAAGTAAAAACTTTTACAAAATTTACTGATTTGAATTTTGAAATTAAAAAGGGAGAATTTGTTATGATTACAGGTCCAATCGGGACAGGTAAGACTTCCTTATTAAATGCATTGGCTGGTTCTATGAAAAAGACTGGCGGTAGAATACAAATTAATGGTCATCTTTTAATGGGTGGTTACCCATGGATCCAAAATGCTACCGTTAAGAACAACATTCTATTTGGTTCCCCATTCCACAAGGAAAGATACGAAACAATTTTAAGAGTATGTTCATTAGAAGATGATTTAAAGATCTTACCAGCTGGTGATGAAACTGAAATTGGTGAACGTGGTATTAACTTATCTGGTGGTCAAAAGGCTCGTATCAATCTTGCAAGATCTGTTTATAGAATGGAAGATATATTTTTGTTTGATGATGTCTTAAGTGCTGTTGATGCCCGTGTTGGTAAGTTAATCATGGATGAATGTCTTTGTGGATTATTACATAACAAAACCAGAGTCTTGGCTACACATCAATTGTCATTAATTGAAAAGGCTGATAAGATTATTGTCCTGGGGACTGACGGTTCTTTTGAAATGGGTCCTGTGGCTGAGATGAAGAAAACAAGTCAAACTTTAATTAATTTATTACAATTTGCAACCGAATCCAAAAAAGATGAAGAAAATAATGAAGATCAAAAGGTTGATGATGAAGCTCAAGAAGCTGAAGAAAAGGATAGACTTCAAAAAGAAGTCACTAACAAAGCAAACGAAGATGGTCATCTAACTTCTAAGGAAGAAAGAGCTGTGAATAGTATCAAGTTAGGAATCTATAAAGAATATTTGAGTGCTGGTATTGGTAAATGGGGAGCTGTTGCAATTCCACTATACATTCTACTAATTACAGCAACTACATTTTGCACATTATTTTCATCAGTTTGGCTTTCATATTGGACTGAAAATAAATTCAAGGAAAGATCAACAAGTTTTTACATGGGTCTATACTCATTTTTTGTTTTTGGTAGTTATATCTTCATGTCAATGCAATTTACGCTTGTTTGTCATATCGGGGTATTGGCTTCTAAATGGTTAAATCTAAGAGCGGTACATCGTATTCTCCATGCTCCAATGAGTTACCTAGATACTACACCTCTTGGCCGTATTTTGAATCGTTTTACAAAGGATACCGATAGTTTAGATAACGAACTAACTGAAAGTGTACGTCTACTGTTATATCAAACTGGTAATATTATTGGTGTTTGTGTTATGTGTATTGTCTACCTTCCATGGTTCGCAATTGCTATTCCATTTTTATTATTAATCTTTATTTTCATTGCGGACCATTACCAAAGTTCAGGTAGAGAAATTAAAAGACTGGAAGCTATTCAGCGTTCATTTGTATACAATAACCTAAATGAAGTCCTAGGTGGTATGGAAACAATTAAATACTACAGATCAGAAGAAAGATTCCTAGCCAAATCTGATTTCCTTATTAACAAAATGAACGAAGCAGGTTATTTAAGTATTGCTGTTCAAAGATGGGTTGCTATTTTCTTAGATATTATAGCGGTAGCATTTGCCTTAATTATTACCCTTCTTTGTGTCACAAGAGCGTTCCCAATTAGTGCAGCTTCTGTCGGTGTCTTGTTGACGTATGTTTTACAGCTACCAGGTTTACTGAATACTGTTCTAAGAGCTTTAACACAAACTGAAAATGATATGAACAGTGCAGAGAGAATGGTTACATATGCTACACAACTACCTATGGAAGCAGCTTATAAGAAACCAGAGATGTCTCCACCGGATTCATGGCCTAACAAAGGTGAAATAGAGTTCCAAGATGTCGATTTTGCATATAGACCAGGTCTACCAATTGTTCTAAAGAACGTAAATATGTCAATATCTAGCGGCGAGAAAATTGGTATCTGTGGTCGTACAGGTGCAGGTAAATCTACAATTATGAGTGCATTATATAGACTAAATGAACTGGATAGTGGTAAGATTATTATTGATGGTACAGATATTTCACAAATTGGTTTATATGATTTGCGTAGGAAACTTGCAATTATCCCCCAAGACCCTGTCTTATTCAAGGGTACTATTAGAAAGAATTTAGATCCATTTAATGAACACCCAGAAGAACTACTATGGGATGCACTTGTCAGAGGTGGTGCTATTGAAAAAGAAGAGCTCCAAAAAGTTAAAAATGAAAAGGAAAATGATAAAGGGACCCACATCGACATGCATAAGTTCCACTTGGATCAAATCGTCGAAGAAGAAGGTGCTAATTTCTCACTAGGTGAAAGACAAATCTTGGCATTAACAAGAGCACTTGTACGCCAAGCTAAGATTTTAATTTTGGATGAAGCGACCTCTTCAGTTGATTACGAAACCGACGGTAAAATTCAAGCACGTATCGTAGAAGAATTTGGTGATTGTACTATTTTGTGTATTGCCCATAGACTGAAGACAATTTTATCATATGATAGAATTTTGGTTCTGGAGAAGGGTGAAATCGCCGAATTTGATACACCATGGAAACTTTTCAATAACGAAGAAACAATTTTCAGAAGTATGTGTGGCAGATCAGGTATCACTGAATCTGATTTTAGTAGGAAAGATTAATAACTGACACCTATTTTGCATAAGGCTGATACCTAAGCTATTTATTTATAGATCATCATTAACCAAACCAAACAACTACAAACTTTCAACAAGAAAATATTCCTCCGCACACTAAAAGTATAAACATTTTTTTGAAAAAAAAATATTGATTAAACATTCAACAATATCACTATTTAAATCTCATCATGATGGCATCAGGACGATATCTATAGACGTTACCGTTTTACATTCCAATTATATATGGACAAAACAGTCATATATTCATATCTATAAATTATAAATTATATAAATTTAACACATACTTTTTCTTTTTTTTTTTGGCTTATTCATTTAAACTGTGAATTCAAAAAAACTGAAGCCACCTATCAATACCAAATTGCAATGTTTTAATTATTATTATTTTTTTTCTGTTTAATGTACATAAATTACTATTTATATAAACTTATTTACTCATTATTTGCCTTGCAAAGCTTCGTATTGTGTTTGCAAAACAAACAAATAAAAAATAGACTTTCATCTCTGTTAATTTGAAGTTCATGGCTATAGGTTGTTTAATTAACGACGACGGGATGGGAACAAACGTTCTTTAGTGATCTTGTATTCTTTGTTTAATCTTAAAGCAACTTCTTCTAACTTGGTGATCTCATCACCACTTTCAACAACTAACATAGTCTTATCATCGTTCAATTTGAAATTAATCTCAAATTCGGCAATGACAGCTTCCAAAATTTCAACAACCTTAGCAGCATCCAAATTGAAGACATCTGCCAATTGTTTTATGCAGAACTTGGAGTAGAATCTCTTGTATGTGTATAAGTAAGATTTCACAGATTCAACCTTAATTCTCTCAACCAAGTTTTCCATGACAACATCCTTGTTTGGTAGCATGTTCCATGATTTTATATTCTTTAGATAAGCAATTGAAGCTTCCCAATTACCCTTTTGCATAGATTTGGCAGCATAAAGGACGAAATCCCTAGAGGTTTCTGGTGGACCTTGGAAACTGGATTTATCGTGGTGTTCTAGAACACGACGGATAGATTTTTGGGAATATGGTAGTCTCTTGATTCTAATACCAGAGTAGAATGCTGTCATTTGTGGAATCTCAATCAATAGAGAACATGTCATGAAGACAACATCGATCAAATCTAGGTTGATATGTTGATGATATGGAATACACTGTTCTTCACGGTTTTCAACGTTAGAGTTAATTCTTTGTAGAGGTTGTTGACCCAAGATTTCCTTCAAATGAGCACTAGCCAACAATTCATTTAGAACTTGGTGACATTCTTCAATCAAGCAAGCTTGGAAAGCAGATAGACCAAGTTGGACAACAACACGGTTGAATAAGACTTGTAAAGAAGAGTTACTCTTACTAATGTTAGATTGGACCTTGGAAGAAAGTAGCATCTCCTTGGCAGCGTGGAAATCACCATTTGATGCAGTAAAGAAAACGCAGTATAGAATAGCACGTGTACGTAAGAAAGAGTCTTCTTGTTTAATCAGAATGTCACACAAAGAGTTTACCAAAGTGGATATGTATTTTCCGTCAATAGTTTCAGGAATGGAGATATAATCAGATTTGGAACCTTGAGGAACAGATTTCCAAGCGTTAGTTTCAATGATGATGTTCAATTTATCAGACTTGTAATAGATGTGATCCAATCTCTTAACAAAGACACGGGCTAACAAAGCTTCCTTCTTTTCGGCAGGTAAAGTTTGTTCTAAGTATAGTTGAGTCTTTAAGATCATGTTGTAGATTAATTGTTCGTCCTTTAAACGCAATAGATATTCACTAGAATGTGGATCCAAGTTCAATAGAGACTTGGTGAACTCATCATCCAATCTTTCAACAAAAGCGAATAGAGAACCCAAGATGTTCTTGACACCTTGAGCATCAGCAACTGGTTCAGTTTCAATATTTTCATTGAAAGTAGCCAATTCTGAAACACGGTAGGTAGCAATATTATCCTCTAGAAGTTTTAATAGAGCCATGTAATCATTGTAAGCAGCCTTCCATTGGTCGATTGGTTGGTAAGACAAGTTGTTGGTAGCTTCCATTCTAATTGGAATCAAAGTTAAATAAGCCATAATCAATTCATATGGACTGGCATTGGAAACCAATAAATCTTCCATAATCTTAATCATATCTTGAGAATTAACATTCTTCTTACCTCTAGAATCAATAACGATACGTAGGGAAGTGAAAAAGCTAACTTCAGAAGAGGCAGCAGCCAAAGAGGAAAGATTAACAGATTTGTTAGCTGCAAATTGAGCATCAATATCCATAGCTGGTTCAGAAGATTCTAGGTCAATAGTTGGTTCCTTGTCAAATTCATCTGGATTTTCTCTAAATTGTGCCATAGAGGCTTCATTTTCCTTAGCAACTTTTCTAACTCTTTGTTTTGTAGTGTTGTAAGCTCTAGAGACATCCTTCTTCTTAATATCAGTTTGAGAAGTAGAGTTAACTAAATCTTCAACTTGAGCAACCACTTTAATGAAAATGTTTGGAGTACCCCAGTTTTGTTGTTGAGCTCTAACTAATAGACGAGTAATATTATCGAATTCATTTAGGATAGAAATCCAATCGTCAGACATTTCAGCTGTTTCAATCTTATCAAAAACAGTTTGCATTTCATCTAATAATTTATCCTTAGCAGATTTAACGACTTTCTTACCTTCATCATCAGATTCAGAACCTTCAGAATCGGAATAATTGGCACCTTTCAGGAACTTGTTACCACCGGAACCACCACCACTCTTTCTAAATTCAGATTTCTTGAACCAATCTGGACCATAAGGTTTACTATCAGAATCATCAGAGTCGACATCAGAATCTGAAACTTCGGAATCGTCATTGAAAAGGGAGTCATCAGATTCTTCACCGGAGGAACTTAGTAGTTCTTCTTCAGAAGAGGACAATAAGTCGGATTCAGAAGATGAAGTATCACTATCGTATTCGTATGTTGTTGCGAAGAAACGGGACATATTGGGAGGTTTCTCTCGTTTTTTATATATGTAACAATTATTAGTCTTCTAGTATTTGGTGAAACTGTTATAACAAAACAGGAAAATAAAATAAAAAATATAACTTGTAAATAAAATGTTAAACTATATAGGTTGATAATAATATATGAATTAGAGTTAAAGGTTCCATTCAATCAAATAATAATAACGATTTCGTTAACTTTGCCCACTGCAATGTAAGAAGAAGTACAAGCTCTGTCAAGATTTTGGTGATATCCTCTCACCAAAGGGCATTGCCAAAAATTGAATAAAATTTCCAGTGATTGCGCGTTCCATGAAACTGAAAAATTTTTCACTGTGCAACATCGTTTTACACGAGCAGGAGACGAAATACCATAGTTAAAAAAAGAAGATGAAATCTTCTTTAACTATGATTTAAGGTAAAATCATTTAGCTTAAAAAGAACAAAAATTGCAAAATCTAAGAAGGATATATAAATATGTTATTTTATATAAATGTTTTAATGAAAATTTAAGGAGGGAGGAATGTATTAATGTAACCGTAACGAGATGTAAATTAACCACATTTGGAATAATAAAAGAAAAAACTTGTAACTTTTTTTAAAAAAAAGAAAGAACAACAAAAAAATCTAACGACAACTTAAAACGAATGATGGTAGAATCATAATATATACATATAAATCATACATATATGCAATATTACCTAGTTAATTTTTATTTTCCTAGTTAGAAAAGTCACAATCTAAAGAATATTTCAAAGTGTTACTTGAAGTCCAGACACCCCAGTGCTTCTCAACATCGGAAGTACCGGAAGTGTTTGGCTTCCAATCTTCATCGAAAGCTTCAAAGACAATGACGTTAACACCCCAAGCTCTCATGGCACAGATACCTTCTTTCCAGAATTGCTTAGCGTTATCAACAGATGGGTAAGCAGATTCAAAGTTGGTACCATCGGTTGGCCAACCAGTTTCACCAACCCAGAAAGTGATATCAGTAGAACCCTTTGTAGTTTGAATAGTTTGTAGAGCTTGCATGATATCATCGAAGAAAGAGTAAGAAGCGTTGTTCATGGTTTGACCTTGCCAGTAAGAGAAGGCATTAGCCATGACGAAATCAGAAGCTTCAATAACAGCAGAATTGTAACCAGCAACTAAAACATTCCATGAATCAACAGTACCAACTTGTTTACCAGAATAAGATTGACCTTCAGAGTCACTAATACCACCGATCAAAGTACGGATAGTATTAATCTTATCAGCTAATTGAGAAGCAGTTAAATCATCACGATATAGAGCTTCAGAACCAACTAAGAAACCAGCAACGGTATCGGTCTTAATCTTTGGTAAGTATGCAGTTAAAGCATCTTGTTCAGCTTGGAAATGAGCGTCATCATTTGGCCAGACACCAACAAAGACAGAGAAACCTTCAGCTTCAGCAGCAGGACCTAAGTTTTGTAAAGTGTTACAATCAGAGGCAGCATAAACCTTGATAGTAGAAGTATAGCTCTTCAATACTTGAAGTTCAGTTTCATAATCAGAGGTAGATTTACAAGTACCGTCATTGTTCTTGACACCGATGTTGAAAGCTAGCTCACCAAGAGCAGCAACCTTTGAGGCAGAAGCCAAAAGGGTAGTAATAGAAGCGAGAGTAGAGAAACGCATAGTTTAGTTTGATCTATATTTATGTGTTTTGCTAAGGAATTTACTTTAAGTAAAAAACAAACAAGCAAACCCAAATGTAAATAACGTTAAAAAAATTAAAAGAAAGGATTAAAGAAACTCTTTTTTAAATATAACTGATCCCTGGCTTTTAATACTTCAAGTCTAAATTTTACTGCAACAAATTTCAACCCCAGGAACACTTTATATATAGCATTTTGTTATTATTGTTTACTCTCTCTCCTGCGGTAAACAAAAGCTGAGAGAAAATTTCAAAATTTTCTTTTTTTTTCTTTCTTAGGCGACGGTGAAGGAGGGTAACGCCCATTATAAAATTTTTTTCCTCGAAATTTGTTCTATTTATAGAAATACATGAAAGAATAAAAATAAAAAAGTTATATATAATAAATTAGTATATTTTCTTCTTGCTGTCGACGGAGTAATCACCAGCACCTGTGTTGGTGACTAGAAGCAGTCCACCGATAATGCTTAAGTTTTGATAAAATTCGTATCTTAAGAAATCTCTCTTTGAGTCTGTATGCAGCCAATAATTGTTTAAAGATAAATTGTAAACAACTAAGATTAAACCTAGTAATAGTGAAGCCAATTTGGTCTTATAACCAATGGCAAAACAAACAGTACCAGATAGGGTTAAAATCACGGTGAACCAAGATTTAGAGAATGCAAACCCAACAAACATTAAAACAATCAAGATTCTACCGGCTAATAACAAGTAACCTTTAAATTTTTGACTTTTATCTTGTAATTCAGGTAACATACCGAAGGTTGTCTTGTTTTGTACAATAGAATCACTGAAAGCGATTAATAACCCACCAATGACACTGAAATTTCTTAAAATGAATGAAGAACCTGTAAATAATCCATAAACTAAACCTTGAACGATAATACATGCACATAATGAAGCAGTAGCATAGTTGGTTTGTTTTCTTAACACTAAGAAAGTTGAACCTACAGACATTACTAATGTGACTAACACTAAGAAACACACAACAAACCATCTTGGATAATGTTTCCATTTATGTAAGAAAAATACTTGATCACTCCATTGAGTAAATAATCTAATAGAATCTTCATAAAATGTAGCTACAATGAAAAATCTTGCTAAACCTGGAATATAAGGTTGTAATTTTTTAACAAATGGTTTATCTGTTAAATCTTCAGCAAAAGTGTTCATTTGATCTAAAGTTTTTTGTAATTTTGTCATAAACGAACCATTGTTACCATTAGCAGAATGATTGTTACTACCATTGTTTACTGCATTGAATGCTCTGTTCTGTGCAGAATTATAATCAAATCCAGATTGTTGTTGTTGTTGCTGCTGGTTCATTGCAGGTACACCATTAAACCCATTATTAGTACCACGATACGACATCTTTGTAAGTGTATGTAAATATTAATATATACAGAAATTGGTAGGATCCTTCACAGTTGACAGTAATTAAAAATACAAAAAACCAAAATTAAAAATGGTTGTCTTGGCAATTACAATTACATATAAGTATCGATATATATATAGCAAGAGACCAACCTAATTCCCCAGATCAAAAGAGTGAAGTAAAGTTTCTCTCTCTCTCTCTCTCTCTCTCTCTCTCTCTCTCTTTCTCTCTAGATGTTACTTCCTAAAGAGAAGCTGAAATTTTCCAAAATTGTGTGTGTGAGAGGGAAAACTGAAAAATTCATTTCTGTCGCGCTGTTCTTTTCGCTGTGCGAGAGAGATGAAGCAACGATGGTTGTAGTATTTATTCATCTGTAATTAAGGACCGTTTGGAACGAGGGAAGGCCACTGTTTGTTGAGGAAAGAGTGCAGTTGCTCCATAGTTGTTGTGATGGTGATGCAGTTATGTTGTCATTTCACATCAACAATGCTAATGAAGTCGGCATCGCTAAATTGACGATTTCATATTCTTCACTGATGTAAATATTCAGATGCAAGTGCCCCATTCCCCATTCTTATATAAGACTAGATAAAATAAGTTAGTTATATATAAGCAAAAACTCTTGACATACTGGAACCAGTTGTTTAGTACCATTTATTAATGTCGTCGGCGCAGCAAACAGCAGCTGTGCATAGTCTATATTACATCGAGGGACACCTAGGCACAGCCTAGAAACGTGGCAGCGATGTCTACTGAGAATTATTATATAATATCGCCGTTAAAATAGCGCAAAACGCAAAAAAAAAGAAGGGAGAAAGGAGAAACTTTCTGTCAACGTACAGCCCAGAATTGATAATGACTACTACTGGTTTCTTGAAAGATTGTACATATATATATATATATATTTAGAAGGTTGTAATAACATACATCTTTAAACTTTTTCTTTTGAATTTATCTGTATGAAAAATATAATAACCAAGTTATTTCAAGGTTGATTTAGCTATATATATTTTCTCATCAAGCTACCATATCAAACAATGTTTGCCCCTAATATCAAGAGCAGTCTCTTTAGGACTGCTACTTTAACTTCAGTGGTATCTATATTAAATTATTCTATGCGTTCACCTGACTCAGATACAAGTACATCTTCGATCTCGTATAATTCATTCAATTTGTATAGAATTCCTTTAGCAGGGATGGCTCTATTTTATTCAACAAATAAATCAATTGGTTTTAATTTAACTATTATTTATACAGTTTTAATTGAAGCCCTTTGTGCAATGATTGTAAATTTTTTCACAATACCAAAAGTTTGTCAAAATGTAGAAAAAGATGTAGATGCCTTTCGTTGTTTTTTAAGTGTAGCAAATTTCTTTGGGTCAATCTTTACTGGATTATTTGTTGTTTATGTAGTGAGTTATTACGTGAGACACCCTGATTTCTTTAAACGTGAAGGAAGTGGGAATAATGCTATTGAACAAGATGATGATAATGATGATGGTATGACCCAATCTGGTACATTTACACCAAATGAAGATGTTACAGCTCATAACATTTTCCATCCCTTAAAGTTTACCGATATTCCAACTTTATTATTAATATTAATGTTATGGATTATATTACATTTATCTGGTTCTATTGATTTTGTTAGTGATGTGTATTCAATTAGAACAATATTATTCGTGTATTGCCTTTCAAGAGTTATTAGTGATACTTCTTTGTTGGTTATCATTCTAGTAAAACTTTTAGGTAGAGAATGGGAAGTATCAATACATCTATAATAACACCGACAAAATGTACTACTTTTCTTTCCCCTATATAGAGAGCAAGTATATGATTTGACGTCTAATAAATAGTACTGGTAACAAACCTCATTGATATATGTAGATATATAGATGTATGTATGATGGTAAAATTGATAAATGGCAAAAGTACACATACCTCAAGAATATTTTATTAGATTAAATGGGTACGTGTGCTCTAAGGGCATAATTAGTGATAGTTTATGATGTTTGCAGGAAACTTGTTTTTCGTTTATCTATTTAACTAAAGGTTTTTGCATATATGTAAGATAACTTTCCTCTCGACGGTTTCAATTGGGTTTAATAATACTACATTGTTTTACAGATACTGCCCAATGGAAATTAACATTAATATGTTCTCATTATAATATAAATGTTCTTTCCGATCTTTATGGTTTTATAATATGTTGTTTTTTGTCTTTTGACTGCATTTTTTTGATGATTCAAGCTTCTATTTCGGGCAGGCAATGAACGATCATCTGACCCCCTTCTAGGAAAAATTACTTTAGACATGTAATTAAAATGAAGAGCATTACCTATTTAAACGATAACCAAAAAATGTAATAGAGTGGCATTCTGTAACTTAGTTAGTTTGTTCCATTATTTTTTATAACAATCCTACCAACAATGATTCCATATAACGATTTAAATATGTGGGCAGTAATTATTGCCTCTTTCGTTACATTACATCGATTTTATATAGATTACAAAAAAAGTACATTTCCATATTTAGCTATACTATCTGTATTTCTGGTGGTGTATTTTGTAGGTTACAAAAATATTCAAAATGGATTTTGCCCAAATGGATCTCTGAAAAGGTATCTTTCTGAAATCAATAATAATTTAGAACCTAAGCTATTGAGTAGAAAATGTTTGGAAAATTTTATTCAACTACTTACAAGTATTCGTCAGTGTAGATTCAACTGTTGAAATGCTGAGCGATTGCTGGTTTTCTCAAAATAGGAATAATTACATGCTTCATAGACATCAAGAGAAGAAAGATGGTCAAGTATAAATAATGTTTCATAAATAATACATATATATAATTAGATGGATTTTATTGAATATGACAAGTTTTTTAGAGAAACATCCAGTGCAAAGTATTATTCCAAATTTTATATTTAGTTAAGATATATAATTTTTTGTTTTTGCTGTTTAATGGAATAATTAACAATTAGTAGCTTCACGTAAACAAATTTTAGTTATGGGACGAAGGCCACAAATTATATGTCCAAAATATCATTTTACAATTTTAAATATATAACGAACACTATATTACCTCTGCTCATATTTACTTCTGATAAACCTCTGTGTTTGTGGAAACTATATTATTATAAGTGATAAGAATTTACATTACTAACAATTTTATCTTGTAGAGCATAATCCATTTCGTCAATTTTATTTTTATTAAAAGATATTTAGTATTATTATACGATTTATTCTCCGTTGTTCTCTTTCAAAACCAAAAATTAATATACATAAGGATTAGAACACATATATATATATTACTTTGATAATCCATGCTCTTACATATATTTGATATTCGTTTATTTCTTTGTTCATACCAGAATCGCTTCAGTTCAGACAAAGTCGGTAAGCCTATTTTATTATCTTTAACTACTGACTTTTTTCGTACCGTTCATTATTTCATCTCTCTTAGGAATTTTATGCTATTGCTCTATCGAGAATCAGTATTCTGCAATAGGGTGTACATTATTTTGAGGTGTTCGATATTTATTCAAAAGTTTAGGTGGTGATGTGTAGATATTTTGGAATACATATATTTATTAATCTAGCAATTCAATAACTTATGCTGCCTATTTAAATGGTTTTGAATTTGTTGAATTTACTCACTCAAGAACGCCTACGTATCAGAACTAGCCCGTTATGCTCATTTTATTATACTTCTTATCAATATTCGGTCGAAGGATTTCGAATATTTTCCTTTATAGAGAATATACACTTTCAGAATTTATATATGTTGATAACTCTTCTTAATAAAGATGTATGAGCATTTAGAGTCATGTCAGGTTAACTCCAAATGAAACCTTTAAAACTTGATTGGAAGACTTCTCAATTATTCATAGAGTATACCCCCTACTTAATTTTCTCAATGTCGTAATTCACACACCGTTGCTATCTGAACTTACTGGAAAACTAATCATAGATGGATGGAACTTCAGTCATTTTTATTGTACAGTGTTCTCTTTCTAAGGCATTACTGTCGTTTTCTTAATAAGTTACCTTTTTTTTTGACGAATTTGTTCACAGAACCCGATGAGGTAACTCTATAGTTCAGTTAATTAGTTCTATAACCTTAAAAAATAGTATATATGTTCTCTAAAAGTAGTCGAGAAGGCACACAAGAAATGGTTACATATCGTACCGCATTATTTCTAAATATCAGTCTCTTCTTTCCTTTTCTTTACTTGCCACCCTCACAAATTGCAGCGTCACTATTTGCTATAAATGAGCCTCCTTATATTCCAAGAAACCATATATCTAAATAATGCGGGAGAGACAACCCTTCACCAAAACTATGATACTTACCTTTTAAATAAAATTGATAATTAGTGGCTATTCCTCATAGTCATTCAGAATTGCACCAGTAATAGTATAATTAATGCTACCGCACCATATACAACACTAACATAGTTCATCGAATTTGCTGTGACGGGAAGTTCGTATGGAAGTGAGAAAAAACAAAGACAAAATAGGGCCCATAAGATACAAAGAGAATGAGCAAGAAATTGAAACCAACCTATAGACTTGTGGATAGTGATATCTAGTTCTACACCGCTCATATCATTCAAAATATCTGAGTAAAAGGTCGATCTTTTAATCAGTAAGATAAAGGATGGAATTGCGTAAGTAATGAGGAGCAGAGTTATACTGGCGGTTATAATGGCATTAAAAGCCGTTGTAGATCCCATAAAGATACAACCAATAATAACTATGAGACAATGTGAGAGTAAAAGAGCTATTAATGGTGTTTGTAATTTAGGGTGAACATTAACAATCAACGAAAAAATTTTTGAAGTCAAATTCTTCCCTAACCTTCTATCGATCTGACGGAAATCTCTGGCAACACTCCATAATATTCTACTTTGCCAAGTGCTGGAAGCAACTCCACATATTATACCACAAAGGGCACATAGACTTTGCATAAATATACTGAGGTTTCTATTATCAGTAGCCTGCTGGTAGATCTCAAGTATGGGCAATATAGATGTTTGTACCCTTGCTTTATCGGTAATACAATAGAACATACCTATAGAATATACAAAACTTGTTAAGAACCCCAGAATCACAGTGGTGAAAATAACCCGAGAAACTAACACTCTGGCCTTATCATTCCCAACCTCATCAGTCATATGTGTGGCAGAATCAATGCCAACAAACGCCCACAAAGGGTTAATCAAACCTACTATAAATGCAACCCCAGATGATCTCCATCCAGTATTATTGTCAAAATCAGCAAATATGGATGAACTCGAAGGCCATTGGTGGGAGTTATTGTTTGAACGAGATATCAATGATATGAGAAAAGTTAAGAAAAATGTAAATATGGAGAGATAAAGACCACATTTCAGAAAGGATGGCAAGGGTTTTGACCATAGGTTCCCCATTAACACAAGAATATTGAGACATTGATAAGCGATAAATGTGTGCCATTTTTTCAATTCGTATGTTGGATGTGATGCAGCATACATACCCAAGATATTGAGGGATAAGGAAGAGCAAATACTAGCTGTAGTGAAGACAGCTCCGAAATAATTCAATAAACCAGTAATTAAACCGAGGTTCCTCTGCATATGTGATGTTAATTTCAAATTTTCTACTGAGTATTGAGCAGCAATATTTTTGTCTTTACTTGTTATATTTTCTGAATCAGTTTCCAGGGTTGATTGCTCACTTATCAAATCACTACTTCTCTCACACAATTTCAACACCCAAAAACAGGGACCATTACTATTTGGTAAAAGCCGTGCAAAACTAGAAAGAGTGAAGGAACAAATAAGAGAAAAGAAAAACCCAATAACCAGACCGTATATTATGAGCATTGGACCACCACTGGATATCCCAACGCTCAGGGAAGAAGAAATACCCAACCATGAATTAGTGAGTGAAAATGCAATACCAAGTAATGACTGCCATTTGAAGTTTTTTTCAAGGCTGTTATTCTCAACGATTTTTATCTCTGCAATTGAAATTGCTGAAATTTGCTTTTTATCCATGACTTTGCTGCAATAGTTTTAGTTTTATTTGGGAGTATGTGAGTTAGACATTTAACTGAGAAATGAATTTGACAATTCTCTTATTTATATATAAGAAATATTTAGAAGAATTTTGTTATATAAAAAAACGCATGATACTTGATGTGTCATCTACCTAAATATTACTATCACAATTCATTTACGACCTCTTCAAATGGAGGAATACTATCTAAAACCAATTTCAATTGAGAAGTCTCCTCAAAAATAGGAATCTCTGCAATAACCCTGACACCAAATAATTCGAGTGACTCTTTGTTTAGCTGGTTCTCTGGACCATTAAGAACACATCCAAGAATATGGTCTTTCAATCCCCTCATTTGCAGATGGTCATACGTCAGAAGAGTGTGATTCAGTGTTCCAAGTCCACTTCTTGCAACGACGACAATGTAAACTGGTCTTTCGGTCTGGTCAATAATTTTTTTAATCAGATCTGATGTTACTTCCAGTTTGGAATTCAATGGAACAAAGATTCCACCTGCACCCTCAACAATTAATGGGACAGCAGCAACAGTTTCATCAGGTAGAATAAAATCATTTAAACTGAGTTCTTTATTGGAAGGGTCACACTTCACTGCATCTAATGGGCAAAGAGGCTTGTCCAATTCGATTAGTGGTTTGAATATTTTTGGATTCCATTTCACTGCTTTGTTCGACTCACAAAATTGTGACACTGTCAATGAATCACCTTGATCTGATTCCAGTCCAGTTTGAACCGGTTTCCAGTAATTTGCGTGCCACCTCAGGACTAGCAAACCGGACACAAATGTTTTTCCTACGTCCGTGTCTGTGCCGGTGACAAAAATTATAGGTTGAATAGAAGGCATCTGATTTGAATAGTGGTTGACCAAGTTGAGGAATGGGAAATAAAGAGAGTTGGCAGTTGGCGAAACTAAAAGGTGACAAATACCCAGGTCTTTTATATAGTTTGTAATTTTTTCAAAACGGTGGTCCTTTGAGAAACTAATGAGGACAATTTCATATCGTCTCAGAATCTTGATGAATCATTCATCTTTGATTTAGACCTAGGGAAAAATGTCTTCATGGATATCATATGAAGAAATCTCACAGTTAATCGAGTATAAATAGGAACAATTTATTTGAATAATAATGAAATTCCTTTCAGATACCAAAACTTTATTTCTATCTATATGAATCTAAATAAGCGATTCTTAATTTATGTCGAGTATGCTACAGAGACTAACCTATTCTGAAACGATTGAAGAAATATTGGATTTTGATAAGAAACATATCTGGCATCCATATACATCACTCAGTAATCCTCTCCCTGTTTTACCAGTAAAAAGGGCAAATAAATCTACAATTTACGTTGACCTGGATGAAGGGAAAGAATTAGCACTCATCGATGGAATGTCTTCATGGTGGTCGGTGATTCACGGATATAATAACGAAGAACTAAATTCAGCAATAACTCACCAAATTGGAAAAATGAGTCACGTAATGTTTGGTGGGTTTACACACCAACCAGCTGTTGACTTAACTAGGAAGTTGCTTGAATTAATTGACCATGAGAAACTGATTCATTGTTTTTTTGCTGATTCTGGTTCTGTAGCCGTCGAAGTTGCTATGAAGATGGCATTGCAATATACTGCTAGCATCTCTTCAGTTGCAGACACTACTGGCTATAAATTTCTCACTGTCCGTAACGGTTATCATGGTGACACCATTGGTGCTATGAGTGTTTGCGATCCTATTAATTCAATGCATTCGATATACAGGAATTACCTGACGAATAATATCTTCATTGATTCACCCCCAACGATACCTATTTTACCAACATCACAACTCTCACAACAAGATAATGCTGTACCAACAATAACTGTCGATACTACGTCTTATATGTTGATGTTTGAAAGCTATTTGCGAAAATATGATAAAGAAATAGTTGCTGTAATCCTCGAGCCCATTGTTCAAGGTGCTGGAGGAATGAAGTTTTGGCATCCACAATATCTCATTGATATCCGCAAACTATGTACTGAATATGGTAAATTATTAATACTAGATGAAATTGCAACTGGTTTTGGCAGAACGGGACAGATATTTGCCTTTAAACATTGTAAAGTGTACCAGGAACAATTAGGCATTCCATTAAAAAAGCAGATTGATGTTTACCCAGATCTAATGTGTGTTGGAAAGGCTCTTACAGGCGGATACATGACCTTGAGCGCAGTTGTTGTTTCAAACGAGGTAGAAAAAGGCCTTTCTTCTTCCAAAAGCCCGACTAACGGAACCTTCATGCATGGCCCAACCTTTATGGCCAACCCTCTGGCATGTTCAGTTGCAAATATGTCACTTGAGATAATATTGAGAAATGAATGGCAGTGTCAAGTTAGAAACATCGAGAAGCAGTTATTTGACGAGCTGTTTATTCCTATAACGACAAATAAACATTGGATGGGAAAGACTGTGAAGAGAGTTGCAATCCTGGGGGCAATCGGTGTTATAGAATTATACGTCTCAATTGATCAAGAATGGTTTCAACAAAAGTTCATAAATATGGGAGTTAATATTAGGCCATTTGGTAAACTTGTATATATTATGCCACCTTATATCATAACACCAATTGAATTAACGACACTCACAATGGCAATAATAAATGTATTGTCAATGTGGGAAGAACATGTTAGCCAAAAGTGAAGAATTTTCATTTTGTTGTATAAAGTGTGGTAGTTTGTGGAATTATTACCCATAATCAAAATCCACAATTAAAAGAATATCGCGCCAAATATGTCAGATAATAATATCAGAATATCGAACCGAGCATTTGCAAGTTCCTATACAGTTTTATATACTATCACTACTCAAAAAAAGATATAGTGTAACCAATATTAAGTAATATACTGTCGAAATATATTATTAACTAAAATATTTTACATAATTCGAAACAACATTAGGATTGTCCAATATGTCTCTGTAGATGGCTCAGATTTTAATCAAATGAGAAAATGTATTCAGTACTAATCAACACATTTAAAATTATGGGAACAGTGTACTTATTGGTACATAACTGGTTAAGGAAGGTATTGGTGTAGCCTCGCATCCGTCTCCAGACGGAAGGATGCCCGGTGCTGTCCAAATGAACCAGCTGCAGTAAGGGAAATTTCATGCGGACAATGACAGACAAGTAGCACATTTCTGCAAGGTTGCGCTCAGTTTACTTCATAAAGATAGATATCCAATAAAGTTAAGACTTGAGTGCATGCACTTTAGTGTCAAAGTTATTATACAAACAGCATGCCGTTATCTCCACCAAGAGCCTTCTAATGGGATGTGGAGCAATTCTCCATCTCCCAGAAAATAAACTATTGGTGGTCCTGTTTCTTTATTTTCTGTGGGCTTAACAGTAAAATTAGACGGGAAATCGCCTGTATTTGACATTCTGATTATCTACACATCCTTAAAAACATCCCTATACTATAATGGCTAGGTGAGGCAACGATGGGCAGAAAGTGGTTCTCACAATACAGCGGACATAATTGTTCCAAATGTCTAATGACAGCCGAATCGGCCTGTGTCTGTTATGATAATGGCTCAAATAATTACCTCGAGATCATTGCCAGGGAAGCTCTTCTTATATGAAAATTACTCTCTATGAAACTTCCTTTGGGCCCGTCACTCAAAATAGTATAGAATATGGTTGCTATACTGTTCTGTTCGACCTCTATGAGCATAAAGCCCAGGACAAGGCAAGATACATGGAGAAAACAAGGTCCTATTTGAAATTAATATGGGATATTTTCCAACAATAGATTATTACCCAGGATTTCGAACTTATAAAAAAATGATCAACGAATATAACATAACGTGGTAACATATATCAAAAAATAAACTCCACATCATGTTGTGTTGCTCTGATTCCAGTCAAATACAAAATTCGAAGAGCTTTGAGGTTGGGAGGGGGTGGGAAGCACGAAGGTACAAAAATAACGATCGTTTTCCAACAAGGAGCAACCACCCGTTACTCAGCAGGTTCTTGAGAGGTTATAATGGTTCTCCAGATTATATCATTTATTTCTTAAAATAGAAACTTAAGAGTTATGCTATTGGCTATGATTTACAGAAAGATAAAAAAATGATATCTGTGGCAGGTATTGAAAATGGTTATGTGAAATTCACGGACCTAATGCATCGTATGATGTTAATTGCATTATACAATAATAAAGAGTTCATGACATTCCTGTCTGGAAACTCAAAAGTGGTTCCGATCTGTCTAACTCTTAGCCACTTGGTGACAACCATGGAGAAGAGAGCTCCCACTGGACTTGTAAAGTACTTTCTCCATGTTGTGGTTGCCGTAACCTACTTAATTATACATAAGACTCAATACTGTTCTAGTATTGTTCCTCTCAACATTTCTTATTTTCTCATTCCTCTGCAGAATCAATTATCATCGAACACTGTGCCCCTTAGTCTAGCATTCTCGACCTATAAGAATACTGAAAAAGAAAAATAGGTTTTTCCTGACCTTCAGCAATGATGACACACTTAGTTAAAGACGACTACAACATGGGCTTGAAAATAAGCCATGAAATTGAGTTAGTAGAAGGTAAAAGAATTTATCAAGAAGAAAGAGAAGTGGGCAACCATTTGACTAGAAACTCAGCGTATCTGCACTACAAATTTGTATATATATATATATATATAAATAAACACTATCTTAACTGATAGAAAAGAAAGTTGAAAAAGTTAAAATATCATTATTGCATAAATCATTTCAAAATACATAAAAGTGAAAAAAAAGGAAATTTTATAGAAAATTACTCGAAATATATTCTCAAAATTTCTAAATAGAACTTCCGTGTTCATTTGCGTTAACAATGAATTCGTAAAAGAAAGCAGTAGATTGTAAATGAGCATCCATAGACATATGTTCATTAACAGTGTGCATTGTAGCAAGAATTTCTGGATCAGTAACACCACCAGTAAATCTGTAAATGGTATCGGTTACATTCCAGTAATGTCTAGAATCAGTGTTACCAGTAACAACAGCAGTTGTAATGAAAATATCACTGTCTTCACCCTTTTGAGCAAAAATATTATTTTCGAATAAGTTGGATACTGTACCGGCCATCAAGTCCCAAACTGGACCGCTACTGGCAGTAACTGGAGCAGGTTCTAGCAGACGTTGTAAGTCGACATCAATATAACCGTTATCAGTGGCTGGAATAATCTCATTACCTTCAAATACCAAACCGTAGTCAAACTTTACAGCGGTTTCGTTTGCGTACTTCATAACCCTTTGTCTAGTTTCTTCAACAGAAGAACCAAATGCAATTCTGTGATTAACAATAAAATAAGCACTTTCTGGAAGAGCATTAATTTTGACACCACCATTAACTATATCAACAGCCTGTGTAGTTCTCACATAATTTTTAGTCATGTCGTTAGATACCAAGAAGTTTGCCAGAGAAGTCTCTAACTCAGTATCATCTGCGGCACCAAGAATCAAATTTTTGAGGTCACTTGGAAGATCATCTGAATATTCGGCAGCACAAGTTAACAAACCATACAATGGACTTTGAACATTAAACTGAACACCGAATGGGTTATTCTCCAAAACAGTAATAAAGTCAGCAGCAACACCAATAGTAGTGTGATCTGGTGGTGAAGATGAATGTCCACCCTTACCATTGACAGTAACTACTAGATTCATTGTACCTTTTTCGGCATTTGTGACAGTAGCGACATAATGGCTGTCATCAAGCTTCAAAACACCGGCACCTTCATCAAACATGACCATAACACCATTTTCACCATATCTATCTTGAAGTAATGGGGCGATATATCCAGCACCTAAAGCACCACCTGATTCTTCATCAAAACCATAAGCTAGTAGAACTGTACGTTCAGTAGAGTAACCATCTTCTAACAGTTTCTCAATAGCTTCCATGTGGGCAATGATTAAGTTCTTAACATCAAAAGCACCTCTACCGTATATGAAATCAGTAGCGTCATCATAATGACCCGAGAAAGGTGGGAAGTCCCATTGGTCAAGGGTAGTGTTTTCAACAGGAACAACATCTTGATGAGCGGTAAAAAGCATTGGTTGCAAGGATGTGTTATTACCTTGCCAGGTGTATAGTAAACCATAATGATTTACAAGTTCAAGAGTCAAATGTTCATGAACTAATGGGAAAGTTTCTTTTAAATATTCATGCAACTTTGTAAATTCGGCATAATAGTCTGGGTTATCAGCAGGATCTGGGTTAACATCTTGGATAATAGTTGGAATTTGAACAGCACCTGATAGTCTTTCGATAGAATCAGACTTATATTCTTCATCGTATAAGATGGTTAGAATGGAGTTGTTGAAAGATGGTACCAACGGAGTAGCTGTCTGACATAATGAGTCAGCAGCCTGGACTTGAGTTAGTCCCTTACTTAACGCAATTAAAGCAATTGCAGAAGATAATAGTTTATTAGATTTACCCATATTTGGATATTTCATGTTTTATTTATTAAAGGAGTTTCAATAGTAAAACACTGGATTGGTTATATTGTTAGATATAAAAAATGCAAACAAAACTTCTTTCCTTATATCTTTAATGTTCGATTATACCTGCCCTATTTATACCTTTTTAATAATGGCATCAAAGATATATTTCTATTTCTTTTAGTTTCACTAACTTGAAAGGAGTATTAAACGTTTGACCTTCATCCAGTCGTAGTTCAATTGTTTTTTTGTCGAAGAAGGGCGTAAAACACAGTATTCATTTGAAGAGGATTTTCCTTCTTGCCATTGCTATTTTTCTTTTGTGATTCCCTTTTTGGCAGTTAACGAATTAGGAAATGTTGATGTCTAAACGAAAGTATATGTTAAGGAGGTTTATGAGTTTTTTCTTAATAAGTTTCATTTGGGGATTATTAAGAAGATAGGTTCTTCTATGTTTTCCTGAACTCGATCTGCTTACACCTCCTGCACAGAAACGCAGATCTTGTGCTTTAATAAGTTTATTCGGAATATTCCGTGGAAAAAAAAGCAATTCAATATGCGAAGAAAACCGCGTATGCCAGAAAATCGAACACCCCCTCAAGAGCGAAATTACGATGCCCTTGAGAATCAAACAAGAACGTACCTAATTAAAGTATAGAGTGCATTACTTAAGTATACAAGAAATGAGGTCAACATAACAGTACGTACATTTATACGTGCAACATGCGTTGTTCATGCAAGTCTGAGACGCTTCAATTTTATTATTTTGCACTAACCTGCAATTTTTTGCATAGCAAGGCAGGGGGGCATTAATCCTAGTGATAATATATTTAAATTTTGACCTTTACTATTGCAAAGTTCAGCTCTATTCAAAAGGGGTTAAACGAGACAAGGACTTGTATTTGATATGGGTTACTTGTATTTTGGACACCATCAAGGATACTAATGGGACGATCAGAAGACCTTTTGAAACAAATTTTTTTTAAACAAAATGGGTAACCATTTTAGAAAGTGATAACCAATTTTTAATATTTCCTAACCACAATTTTGCAATTATTCTATGAGAGCGTTCAAATTAGAAGACCATCACAAGTATATCTTACAATACATAAACACAGCTTCAAGAAAAACTTACTAGTATAACGTCGAATATTAACGAAATTTTTTACTCTCTGGAAGTTGTAGCCAGTTTCCGATAATTCTGCTCCGGCTTTTTGTAGATCCCAGAAGAAAATAATGCGAGCCAAAAAAAAGAAAAGCACACATCAGCGCAGAGAATGTACCTAGTCCTCCCAGAGTAACGGTAAGGAAATACGTAGGTATTTTGGTGGAACTGACAAATGCGGCCCTTTTTTTCTTTCTTCTTCTTCTTTTTTGCTGCCGCATTGTGCGAGGAAATGCATTGTTCGAGGGCCTCCGGCAGTTTCACCAGCTGAAAAGTATCGTCACCTTGGCTTGTGGTTTCTTTCTGAAATTAATTTGGGAATACGAGAGGGGGATTAGGAAAGCTCCGTTTATTTTTGAGTAAGGTCGTAGCTTATTGGTATTGCGTAATTCCATAGTTAGATGGTCCCCATGATTTAAGGGTGTATCTATTTCCGCAAGCTTACTGCTGGACCGTCTTAGTGTGCACCAGTAAGGGGTTCTATGATTCTGTGCTTGAACAAATTGTTCGTAACTATTTGATAATAAATTCTTGGGATTTGCAGATTGTTCTTCTATTAACAAAAAACTAATTTTGAATAACAAATTGTAGGTCGAAAATTTAAGAGAACAGATTATCAATCAACATTGAGATACCATGCACGCTATTTTGCAATAATCACCCTACAGTTGTTTCTATGATTCAATTCTTGAAACAAGAGTTATGGATTTGATTACTTGAAAATATTTTTTTACTTATTTTTGTCATACTTCTAAAATTAATTGTTTATTTGCATATTTATTGTTGTTTACCTCGTTTACAAACAAAGAATGTTGCAAGTTGATTTTTAATTTCCAATTTTATATCTAGAGTTGGCTTATTAAGTGAAGAAATTTTGTTTTTTCAGTAAATACTAAAACCAAAAGTATGGACTGGATCCTAAGACAGACCAAATGAGCAATTTCTTGTTCTGAGAACTTGGGAAGCTATGTGTTTTTGCTATAACACTGAATTGAAGAAGAAAGGAGACAACAATCATTCGTTTACTAGTATTCAATGATTTAGCTAGTTTCAATAACATTTATACCAATAGATCCTTAAACGTATTAAGTCACTACATTGCATGTTCTTCAAAAAACGAAATTCCTATTTTGTTCCAGTTCAAGGATACGACAATATATTTTCTTTATTTTAATGAAAGATAGTGTTTGAACCAACTACTGAGAGCACTCTTTGCAAGATGAAAGTCTTTTAAATGAAGGTAATAGAAAGAATCGAATGCTATTACAGCTCAAGCACTGCATATTTCCAAAAAATAGCTACCGAACCATTTTAAAATGTACATTTAGATTTCTTAAAAATGGAATGCCTTAAAACGAGGTAGAAATTCAAAACGGAGTTAAACACGACCTTCCGACGTCCCTTATAATATCGTCAGATCAAATACGGGTGGAATATCTGGAAGGCTAAAGAAGCGAATAACAAAGTAAGTTAAAGGGCGTGCAGCGAATAATATAATCTTAGAATAAATGGATATACAAAATACCAGATGTGTTAACGGATATGCACGGGAACGAGGCAAGTGAATCTGTTTTTACATTGTTCCGTAAGAATTCCTTTCACGACACAGATGATGGAAAATAGATTTAATAAAATGTAATCGCAGATTAATTGTATCATGGAAATCAGGATCCGTATTAATGGACCAAATTGTAAGAAGATTGACCAAATAGAAAGTTATACTGTTTATTATATCACATATTATGATAAATATTTTGGGATAAACTCAAAATAGCGGAAGTAGAAGTAGAAGTATTTTCAGTACTAAACCATTATGATATTCATTATTCTAGTATATGGAACATCGATTAAATTTGGTTAGTTGTTTATATTAGATCTAGAATCTATTCAGGTCTACTATCAACATTTTATAGCTTACTAAGGTATAATTCAATCTTGAGAGTTGTTGTTTAATATTTGTCGCCGGAAAGACTGTATATCGTTAGTAGCCTTATCTCTTAGGTATCTTAGCTTATCTCTCTGTAATCTAGATATGACATTCTAATTTCACCTAATTCCGTTATTTGTCTATTCTATGGCTCATCCTATTATCACATTTGACAGGGTCGATCATTTGCCGTTGAGAACGGCCTTTTCTATGTTCCACAAAAGTTGAAAAAAGAATAGGAGCTCAGGGACATGTATTTAAGGACAAACCTATGATCGTTGATGAAACAGAGGGATAATATGGATAACAAACAGGAACGTGCGAACTATGTTTGAAATGATGTCCCTACTATCCTCACCTTGTCACTAACTACAAGTAGATCGTCGGGATATATAGGGGTGGAAGTGCTGCATATAATATCTGCTGGTAAAACTTGATGGCATTTTATAGGTTACATAGATTACATCCAGTATATATATGACATCAAAAAAACATTGAAAATGTCTTTTGATCATTTTTAAAGAACCGGACCTAGTGCAATTGATAATTTGATGTAGTTCCCCTTCAAGGATTCCAAATGTTTTACACTTACTAACCTTATTTAAAACTCTTTAACACAAAAAATTATGACGAAAATAAAGGGAGGATAAGTATGGACACATAGGTATTGGTAGGTGTCCGTAATATACTGAATATTTTGACCGAATGTAGTCGAATTTCTCCAGACGCCAACCCATTCCAGCACCCAGAGCAAACCACACCTAGATCTTAACCAACCATGTATGAGACTCGAGTGAATGACCATATTTCTAAAATGAAAACAGAAACTTGATATATGTGTCGTATAGAAAGAAATTGACGGGTTTTCTTCGATATAACACCAGTTAATTATACGTGATATGCTCTTGCTTTTCTGACGTTTTAAAATCGTCATTGTGACTGCTGATCAAAAATAATATGAACCTCATAAACTAGAAATGGAAGTGAAATGTCTCATCATTTGCAATAGGAAATTATTTTAGACTTTGTTTGAAGTTGTTTCAAATCAAGATAAAATTTCCCAGAACAACATAAGAAATTGAGATGCATAACGCAATTAAAGAAAACAATCAACTGAGTGAAGCTAATAGTTCCAGTGATCAGGAAGATTTGACCTGTAGGATTTATTACGTAGAAAATCATAATATTCGAGAAAGGATCTTTCAGTTAAGTGAGATTACTGATGATGTTCTTCATCCATTGTTGACAGAAATTAACGGCTGTATATTAATAATGGTTATTGGTGGCAATAATGGCGTGCATGAAGACCTACTGAGTTCCTATAACGAATGGCTATCTATAATGGGTAATCCAGTAGAGGCTACAGATAGATTCGAAAGTGTTTCGTTTTGTGGCTTCACATTCACTGATATATCAGATATAAAGAAATTCACTTATCACGAAGTCAAAAATTTTACTGTAATAGTTGGTCATACTCCAGATATCAGCTTTCATCTAAACGAAATACTACTATTAGAATCACCTGAAGGTAGTGCGATACAAGTGAATTCTTTAAGGTTACTTTATCTGAAATATTATTCTATTGTTCTGATTAAATGCCTAATGCAGTTAAGTTATCCAATAGAAGATATTTGTGAGTCTAAAGAATTGGAAAAGTATGAGGATGGAATTGAGAAAATAACACGTATTCTACAAGATACCTGGGTAATTGATTTTATTCTCAACTGTTTCTACATGAAAAGCGATAATAACTATGCGATGCGTCATTACGTTCAAGAACGTCAAAAAAATGTCACATAGTATATGGGATTGATAGCAGTGATAAAAGAAAAACTTTGTAAAACGAAAGAATCTCTGAACAATATACAGAAAGAAAGAATTCAGGAAGCCAAAACTAGAAGCGTCCTAATGATGACTATCATGACAATTTTTACTGGATGTATATTTTACGTTGAGAAAATTATCAAAGAGAGGTTCGAAAACAAGTTTCCTAATAAAATATTCTGGATTGTGTTCGGTATAATAGATCTTTTGTTGGTGACACTAACATTTGCTATTATTTGCCTGGCACTTCACAGGTACGGTATTTTTCAGATATGGCTTAATTATCTGAAGAAATTCACAGCAGTGTTAATTCACCCGCCGGTGATCACGAACAGGAGTAACTAACCAGTCTTCTATGATATATCACAATTTGAATTAAACAGTTCAATAATACCTTATCACTTTTGAAACGTGCTTATAGAGTTTACGACAAAATCAGTATTTATCTTCAAATCTGCTTAAACAGTATATGAGCACTGATAGTTTATAAATGTGTGTGTTCCATCTTGAAATTATAGTGCCGATTACTGAGTATCTGAACTTTCATCTAAGTAAAGTGGTGGAGGGTCTTTGAAGTACTGAGGAGTAGGTTGGAATTCACGACTAGGATCATAAAATGCAACTTCTTCTGCAGTAATAGGCACCAGATCTACATCATTGATGCTGTTGTTATCATTTAGTAGCCTTCTTTTGCGCTTGAGAAGAAAATAGTTCCGGTATCTTATAAATATATCGTCAGGGAGCTCAGTCTTGAAACTACAATCAGACACTACAATTTTATCTCCATCAATACGAAAAGAAACTGGTGCTAAAATTCTTCTAATAAAAACATTCGGAGAATAAAATGTATAACTTTTAACCTCTTTCATCATGGTTGTTAATTCCATGTAAACCTTGCGCATATTATACTCGGAGCAGTTTACAAAGAGCATTGGAAAGTATTCACTTGGATCGTCGACAACAAAGAGAAGGAGTGGGTTATGTTTATCCAATTTCAACTTAAGACCTTTGTACCTTTCAGTCACATGATTAAACGGATTGTAGTTCATGAGGTACATAGTCTTGCAAGCCAACTCCCTATGGAGATGTGATATTTGCATCTCACAGAACTCTGAATATGTAAAAGTACTACCTGGTATCTTCGTTAAATCTGTTCTGAAAGGTGATGTCAAAGAAATTGTGTCAGATTTTTCGTTTCCGACAACCACGAGCACTGAAAAGAACTGAGTGTTGACGTATGCACGATACTCACGGTATATAGCATTGTGCGAAAAAACATCAAGCGAATCGTAGTTTTGGGAAGAGTATATAACGTTTCCTGAAGATTCTGTATTCTTTTCTCTACCCGGCATTTTTGCCAAAGTATGGGTTAGATTCCCCAAAGAAGATTCACCTGTTACGAAAAAAGCTGGTTCAAAATTCTGGCTGTTTTCGCCAGCTGGCTCTTTCTTCTTCTCAGCAAATCTTTTCAATATATAATCTTTTAGTCCCAAACACATTGAATTGTAACTTACACTGCACAACTGCTATCAAATATGTTGTCATTTAGTTCTCAGTTCAAGTGCAAATGTATAAATGATCTGGCATCTCTTATTTATACTTCTCCAGGGCTGAATGCCACTCCTGATTCTCTGGGTAAAACACTACCCACCCACCCACAAGAGGTAATTAGAGAACTAGGTACCACGTGAAATATACGTTAACTTCATAACCTTATGGGTGGTAGAATACATGTTTTCCTTATCATCTTCAATATTTTTTTTTATTACCTTCCGCTCCCCTTTTTTTACATAAAATTAAAGCCGACGAAGCAGAAGTATCCCGATCCTTTTTTCACAAAGATCTTCATTGTTAGCTGAAGATATGTTAGTTGCTTATTATAAGTTCAGGATACATATAAATTTCTAAGTCTGCCATAGCTCACCTTACTGTCACTTTTGAGGAGCGTTTCATTTACCATAACAAACGGCATTTTCTATGTTCTTCACAAATTACTCGTTGTCAGAGGGAAAAATATTGTAATGGAATTTGGTTGTAAGAAATTAAATAGGGTCATATGTTATCAAAAAAATGTAGCCTTTTTAATGAAACAGTCAAATTCATTATCAACTCCTTCTTGTTTGTTCCGTTGTCTTTTTACTAACTATTGAATGCAGAATACGGCACTACCAAATCGACAAGTTGGTCGATAACAATGATTAGCATCTCAGATCTATCGTAAAGTAGTGGCAATCATTAGGCGTTATGCATAATTGGCTGTTTCGCAAAAAGTATTCCATCTCGATATATTTCATGTCTCGCCATTGTCCCTCCTTCATATGTCGATTAGACCAAAAAGCAAAAAATGTTTTCCTGTGGATATTTGTCCTTCAGTGGGGTTCAGTAATTAATATTAGAAAGTCAGGATAGTTTAGGTTGCATTTTTTCTATTATTTCTTGGTAGTAGGTTCTTGTGGATTCTCTGGAATCTCGGAAAAAAAGTCGACGAGTGATCAGTTTAGTAACAACACAGCTGAGCACTCCAAACCAGTTGTATGACGATCTAATCAACTATTATTACACGAATTGTGATTTGTTCATAAAAATATTGTACTTTGGTAAATCCCGTTTCTTTGGCTATTATCAATATTTCATACAGCAATTGGGCCAAAATATCTGAAAGCTAGCAAGTGATAAAAGAGTGAAGTAACAACGATCTAAAAGTTGGTTCCGTATAAATGTCCACCTTTTATCTACTATTACTCTCTCGTCAGTGGTGGTAGAGTCCAATATATTGGTTATCAGTAATTACCAAATCAATCAATAATTGGCGAAATTAAATCCATGTAATTGCAATTTCTAGGTTCATATTTTAAAGTAATAGTGTTCCCTATAGATTTGGTAGCAGTGTGCTAGCTATTCCGTTTCATACGAGAGGGTGAAAGTGCAGTATACAGAAAGCAGGCAAGAGTGATAATTGGCAATTTATAATGCGTTGAAGCCCTTTACAAAGTGGAGAGTAATTAATTTAGGAAATATTATGCACTATTCTATGGGTTACAACCCGCCGAACTTTATGTTAGGGGCTAATTCAATGTTCTAGCTTGCGAGTATCCGACAACCGTAAACAATACAACAAATCCAACTATGGAAATAGAAATGTTACTATCTTTTTACATTTTCAAATAGGTTAAACTAATTGAGTAGTTTACTTGCGGTTCGTTCATACATATTTATAGAATATATGAGTCAATCTAGATTGTTTATGATAACGTACACAGGGTCAATATATCGAAAATTATATTCAAAGAAAAGTATTCTGCAATGAAATTCCTAATTATTAATTGCAGTTAGAATTTTAAAAGGATTCTAAATACAAGGAAGTGACCCTTTTTTCTTCAAACCTTTTGGATTTGATCCAGCAGTCACTGTGACAATTATTTATGACCGGATTTTATACTGGAATATTCCTATGATATTTATGGGGTTCGAGGAAGTAAATTAAGACGGTACATACGGTTTATTTGTTGATATTCTCGGATCAAACCCTATTGGGAAAGATATTTCTTCTATTGAATTCTTAGACTATATGTCTCAACCAATAGTGCTAAATCAGAAAGTGGCAATATACAAAATGATACAGATGAATCGCACTATGATAAATTAGAGTATAAAATGACGAGTAATATTATTACAAATGAATTATTCAAGGTGATGAGATTCTTATTTGGAAAGTATTGGGAGAAAGCTTTTGAACTCCAATGGTTTACAAAATCGGAATTATCTAGCGCCGCAACAGTCAAACCGCATACACTAGAGAGACAAAATCAAAAAATCCAAATGAATTTGAGCAATAGTTACCTCATTTATAAAGGAATCCCAACGGCATTAGGCTTTCAAAGTTTTAGGAAGAAGAAAAATGCCGACTCCCTGAAATGTTAGTTGTCAAATCTGATAACAGTCGCCATGATAACAGCTTGGACTGCAGTGTATAATCGGGTTAAAGGAAATTATGTGTAAATGAACAATCCACATTCTCTCCGGCGTACTGACTAAAGTCTTCTGATAACATATTTTTTTGTGAGTTTTGAATGCATATATTAGAACGTTTAGCATGTCTGTTAACTAGATATGAGAATAAGAATCCTAAAGTGTTCATAATTATTTCGTTATTTTTGATTTGATGAGTTAGATATCAAAATATGTAATATATACACGACAGCCAAAAAGAGATAATACTAATAATCAATTGTTCCGTTAAAAAGTTTATTTCAATGACCCAAAATACGTCATCAACTTACAATATGGAGGGTCAGGGAGCAGTGTAAATATGGAATTCTTTAACAAATCCTCATACAGAGCTATAGCAATGAAGCACCATGTTCCAGATTATAATTATTGTTATAATCAACAGAACGATGCCACATAAGCTTAGCAGTCACTTCATAACTGTTATCTTTTAATCATCGTAGAATTATATAAAAAGGATCAGTATTTATAAAAATATATTGTTAATTGTAGACACTATTTTTTTAATTCATCGATCACCTTCTTTCCCTCCAGAAAAGTAATTCTACATAATATTCATAATAACTTTCAACACTGAAAGTTCTTCATTTTATATAACATATTTAAAAACAAACATATATTCGTTTTGAAAGTTTGTTACAGATCAGCTCTCACGACATTCTTTGTTATATAATACATATATTAGCCAGCAGGAGCCAATCATCAACAGGTTAATCTATTTTCCAAAATAGGACACCAGGTAACACCCATCTTTTTTTATTTAACTGTAAGGGTAAACCATTTATAACTCTATACTGTTCATCTAAGATTATTACATTTCAATTCAATAGATTGCTATTAACTTTAACCTTTTAAAAATTCGTATAACTACAAATGTGTAAGGACAAAGAACTAAGTTTATTTTTATGACACATTAGCTACGTGTTTTGTGGTATTCCAAGGGTTAGGCGTATTGGATGTAGAAGAAAGACCCGTGTAAGTTAATGCTGTAGTGGCTGAACTTGCACAGAGATAGTCAGGATAAACTATGCATGTTACTGTTGCAATGGATACCCAACCAATCGCAACCGACTGGGGAACACCAATAAACTTCCCGGTTGAACCTAATTTTATATTACCGGAGCCAACATATAAAGTAGTTTTGGCTGTTATAAAAAATAAAATTGCTAACAAAAAGGCGACAATCGTGTGAATTGAATTTGTAGATCTTGATCTTAGAAATAAAATATTCATGGTTCAGTCTTCTGCCTTCAGGCTTGATTTTTTTATTAGAATTGATAATATTTGATTAAATGATGTGCATATATAAAATGTCAAACTTAGAAGAAGATGCCTGAAATTTTACGGAACTTCTTTACCGTAAACACCATCTCTTATATAGTATCGAGATTCCCTAAATTTAAAGAGTGCTGCAATGCCATATTTTCTTTGTCCCGGAATAAACGAGAACTAGTTATCATGCTCGGGATATCTTCAGCAGAATAAATCATGCTCCTTCGATATCTGGAAATTCTCCCAGTTCGCTTAACTAAGCTTATCATTTGAAAATTATGCTGCATGCAGTCAGGGATTGCGCGGATAGGACAGGCCGAGAAATTTTTAGAAATAATAAAGGGTTGAGAAAGGGTAAAAAAAATACTCCGAAAAAAAAAGGTTTAATATCTTAGAGAATGTTTCTTGAAAATACATAAAGTGAAGTAAAAAGCGACTTAAACAACTAATAAATAATAATACTCAATAATGCACGGCTACTTTAACAGGTCACCAATTGGGGTTTTGAATTCTTTAAGCGAATTTGAAACGTTAGAGACGTTTATCATCTCTGATACAATTAAACCAGTGTGTAGTAAATCATCAGCTAATCGATGTCTTTTGCTCACTAGACGTTGGCTAAGATGGCTAAAAGCTCGCGCACAGTTCACAGAGGTTGCAGGCATCTAACAGATGAATTATTGTGAAGCAATAAATTAATAATATCATTTTGAATGAAAGACGTGGTAACTTCGGGCGCCGTCGACAAAAAGCAATAGCAAAAGTTCTCTGTTTATATGAACGTTATATTTAACTCTATATAATTATTACTACGACTTGACAGAATAATATATATCGGACGGACATACCGACAGCTTTCGAGATAATGGAAAGAGTGCAAGAGGAGAGTATATATTTACGGTTTCCATCAGTGTTTGTGTTTGTGTTTGTGTCGGGGCCATAGGCATATCCGACATAACCTACCATTGTGTTATTCTTGTATGGAGCTATTCTTGCCATGCTTGGTATCGTATTTCCAACATAATAATCAGCAGTGAAATCTGACAATGAATACCAATTAAAGGTTTTATTTCCTACAATCCTTGGAGAGGTCCCATTTAGATGTACGAATGTAGGGTTGTCTTACATTAAAGAACGCTTCGCTGTAGCCGCTTCAGGAACAGATCTTGTGGTAATATAATGCCCAACAGATACAAACACATAGTATGCTAAGGTTACA